GCATAAGGTTAAATCTATTGGCCTGCCAGGGCTTGCTGCCCCCCCCCTTCGCCTGCTAGTAAATACCTTACCTTGGCCAGTGGGTATTACGAGTTCACTTGTTGATGTTGCTTGTCTGAGAGGTGGTGAGGCAGAACAAAGCCCGAAGCGGCGGAACCTACATTATTTGGAATGCTATCGTGCGGATGCCTGGAGCTGCAAATCTCGCACACATATCGACCTGTAATCCTCTGGTGCTTGCAGCTACATGGCCGAATCAGACGCCTTGTGGTGAATAGCAGCTGAATACCGTGGGCGTGTGTACTTTGTCGACTCGAGGGGCTTGTTGTGCGGCTTGGTTCCAGATATGCTTATCCAGACCGGCGGGCACGAACATGGGGCTGCCGACGGATGGCGATTTTAGGTGAGAAGTATTTATTATCATAGTTGCAGGGTAAGCAGGAGGCAGCCAACTCAGAGACGAGATTTCGTGTTATGGGACTTGTTTGGCGAGATGGAACTGCATCAAGCTTATTTGATGGCACATCTCTCTTCACTGCACTTTATCAGAGAAAAAGAAGGCTTTTTCTCGAAAAGGGAAGACTGTGGAAAGGATGCGCGTGCATTGAATTTCGTTCAAAGCTCAGGGGAGAGTGAAAAGACTCTTGTCAAGATCCCGGTGAAGTGCGGAGGACAGGAGCATTAACGAGTCCACTCGCTTCGCACAAAGTCGGTGGGCTTCGTGTTGCCGGAAAGGAGGTGTATCATAGACTCGGAAATTTGGCAAAGGGCATTTCTCGGGTCACTCTCGCCTCCAAACGCCGCAAGACTGGCCATAGCGACGAAGGTAGCACAGGAGTGCAAAGAGCCTCGAGAAACTGGCTGACGCATCTTCTGGCGTCTCTCGCCGCATCGGGGTACGAAACGAGGTCATCTCCGAAATCTCTGGTCTCTCGTATCTATCTACCTTACCATCAAGGCTCGTGATGAATACACCACAAGGCAAGAAGCTTGGCTCTGATAGTCCGATTGATTGGTCACTCGCCGCCTCGTTTCTCCAATCCCGTCGATATACATATCTCATAAGCAGCACTACGAGCGGGTAGTACTGAAACTACTGGCATTCTCAAAGTTGCAAATAAAGCTTCCTCACGCGTCATTGGCGGGCAATGGCGCAACCTTACCTTTAATCCTATCGCTGCCAAGACAATGCGTATCTCGGATTCGACGGGGTTTCTTCCTTTCTTCGTTTGGGTTTGCTTTACTTCTTCCTCCTTTGTTTTGCGGCGACGGCTGACTATCTGGAAGTCTATTCGGCTAGAGCGTTCGACCTGTCACATGCGGATTGATAAACGACGGAGCGCAAGCTGAAGTGAGGTTGCTCCATGTCTATACGGCGTTGGTCACATAACGTTGTTTCGTCTTTCTTGTCAGGAGCATAGGTACATGTCGCTTTTCTATTCTTTTTGTTTTTCCTTGCACGTGTACCTTTTTAGCACATTGCTCGTCCATACAAGTCTGCGGAGTACGTTACTTGTTTATTCACACACGCCGACCTTCTTCGCTTTGGGTGATGTAGACGGCGTGGACGTCGGAAGCATATCATAGCCAACAACAATTCCCTTAGAAAGCCCAACATTTCGAATTGCCATCAATCTGTCACAAAAGCGTAGGCATCAAGAAAGGTAGCATTGCAGCGTGGCTTGTTGGATGAGAAGCAAGCCACGACAGAGAGTGGCTTGGATATAGCAGCTTCACATATGCGGTCGTGATGACTCGTGAGGTAATGCGCTCATCCAGTCGAGGGTCGAGACTGTTTGCGCTATATATGTAGTAGCCGAAGTCTGACGGAACCGAGATTTTATCGGTATATACCTACCTGCTATTCGAGCTTGGTTAGCTTGATATGCTGCTACTACTGGACCTGAACGGGGATATCGCTACCTCTTCTCTGCTGCAAATGGTTCTCTTCTAGTCTTGGTAAGTACATATCTTTCTAACCTTACTCTTGAGACTGCATTCCACCCTCTAGCTGTGTATCTAGAATGCTACATAGCGCTCCTATGAGAGGTGCGGCTCACAGGGTGAATGGATACCTCGTCGGCGCGACTGTTCTTGATCGGATTGCTGTTGCCCATGGGGGAAGCTCTTATACACATGAATGACGATACGGCACACAAAGCGCGTGCTCAATTAGATCTGTCCCTTATTCATCTCGAAATGAAATTCGGCGTCTTGGGATAATCAGAGTGATGTATGCCACAGGCTTGTTCCGATGATATACGGCAGACAACTGAGCTCTAAGTTTAAACCTGGTCTGTTATGTGTCTTTGAGCTCATGCCCTGAGCTCATGCTACTCTTCTCTCGCTCGGCTTCCCTGCTAGATCATGAACTTTCCGCCAGAATGAGTGCGGCAAGCTGAAGTTCAGCAGTTCCTACTCGCACCATGTGCTCATCACCGACGAAACGCACCCGCAATTGATAATTTTTTCATATTCTTGTTCGATGCTAGCTGTATATCAGGACCAGGAAGCCGTTCCAAAGTTGTTTAAAAGAGCCACAAGAATCTCTGCGTCATGCTTGGTACAGGAAGCCGAGTTGGACAAGCGTCGGAGGAAGAAGAGACGAGACAGAATAACTGAACGGGGCTGATTGCTGCTTAACGTCATACCTTCCCTTGAAGCCGTCAAGCCCTGTGGATCCATGTCTCTTCGTCTTCCCTCACCGTCCCATCTTTGTCATTTCCTCATTTCCGTGAGAGCAAGTCCCTCGACCACCCAGAGTCGATGTGTCGCACGAAAGACGGTCGATGGCAATCTGGGCAGCAGATACTGCTAACAGTAACTTGCACAGCTGTCGGGATTTCGAATGTTGGTGGTGTGCCGAATGAGATGCTTGATGATGAGGAGACTCAAGATGGGAGAGAAGAGAGTCAACGAACAAACCCTGGCTGGAGCAGATGGAAAAGAATCAAGCTAGGCTGAGACTGACTGCACGCAGGAGTATATGCGCAAATCATTCGCGTGTTGGAAAAATTGAAACTCAGAGAGTATGTAGAAGGTTATTGGGGATGATGAGTATGACACGGTGAGGAGGTGAGGTGGAAGATGGGCGAAACCCAAGACTTCGAAGAACACGACTCTACGTTTTGCCCAACCCACTTCATCTCCAGTGCCAGGGATTTATACAAACACTAGGAGCCAAGCACATGAAGCGAGTCTACCGATCTTCTCATTGCGACAGCTCCGTTTATGCAGCCAGCAGTGGCAGTAGGGATCATGGCACGCATGAAGAAGACTTTGTTGGACGGGTTAAGGGCACAAGAACATCCGTGTATATTTAGACTACAAGGTGGAAAGAAGCAACCTCATTGTTTGTCTAAAAGCAGCGATAGTGTGTATAGTTACGGCTTCACTAATCGATGGCATCCTATGCCAGGCATAGAGATCTGAAGTTGAGAAGCGGAGTCGACAAGCTGAGTCGAAGAGGTTTCTGCTCTGGTTGGGCCGAAGGGTCTCAAAGGCCAGTCTTCTCAACACCGCTTTTTCTTCTGCGAAGATCGGTGACTTGCGCGACTAGATACACTGAGAGCAGACGCCCTGATATTTTCCAAGTTTGGTGTTATTTGGCATGAAATTGTCTGGTAGGTCACACCCATCTGTATTGTGCTCTTTGCTGAGTCTGCCCGGCCGCTTATTACCCTTTGACCACGACTTCATCTTACGAGATTGGCCAGGAAATATGTAGCTGTTATGAGAGCAGTAGAATACATATGTGTCCCAAAAGGTCCGCAAGATCGAAGTCGACAAAGAATGAAGTCGACAGAATTTGGCAAGGCTCGAATCACGCCCATGCGTTCGTCAACAGGCCTTGGGAGGTAAGATGATGGCCCCCCCAAATCATACTGCCGCAACAGTGCCTCGCTCTCTTGACCATTTTTACGAAAAGGTGTTACTGTGCGCGCCTTATTGCACGGAAGAAGACATGTATACTGGAGCTTCGCTTTCGGCACACTCAACCGGAGAGACTCACCACACGTGATTCCGTCACTCACATCGCTATGAATACATACATGAAAGGGGTATTTTCTATTCCGCATCCCAAAACGGGCCTTCTCATCTAGGTACGCAACAACTACCCAACATGGCCATCCATATAATACAAGTCTGCGGCATCCCCCTGCCGCTTCCGTCCACGCATCGTCTCGATGGAGGAATAGTTGCAAACGGAAACCAGCACAGCACAGATCTCCGAGTCCAAAACAGCACGGCTAGATGCGTTCCTGCAGCGTCACCATGCGAGTCTTTGTCCCTCCCTGAGAGAAAGACCGGAACGGAGCAACCTGTGCAAACCTATCCAAGGCGTCCATATACATGGCCAAGAACAGAAGACGACGAGAAGGGGAAAGAAAAGTGAACAAAGTACGCCTCATCGCTTTCCCGCAGAATCGCGTCCACTGTCGCAGATGGACAAGTCGCACAAGATCTAATTTCCCCATGTGTGGACTGGATCCCGCCTCGCTGAGACGGACCCAATCGCTATGGGGGCATCAGCTCTCAAAGAGGCGGTGTCGGCCTCCCCGCCTCGCGTGTGAGGTACAAGAGTAGAAGCGTTGGTGTACATGCAATACATGTGGGAGTATATATAGAGACAAGGTGTAGAAAAGGGGACAAGAGACTGACAAGGGGAGCAGCAGATGGTATTGGCACATGCGGCTTCCCGCAAGCCTTCTCGTCTTTAACCTCAAGATCGGGATCCGCAGTGTAACGCAGGCACGGCGTGGCGCTGCGTCATGCAATCGGTCCCCTGACGCAGATCGCCGTTTGCTGCTGTCGTGCGAGCAGGCTTGGCCTGAATTGAAACAGTCCGAGGTAGGCAGGCGTTGACGAGCACGACAGGCTGTTTGCTGGCCACGCCACGCTCCCGAGACGTCGGGGCAATATCCTGTCTGAGTGACCCGGGGGGGGGGAGGGGCATGGCTGATGCAACAACCGCTCAGAGGTCGAGGGGAGAGCCGCATTTAGCAATCGCAGCGCTCAAAATGGCGCGGGAACGGCACCACGTCGCGGACGTTGGGCACACCAGTAAGATAGCTCAGCAGGCGGTCAAAACCAAGACCGAAGCCTCCATGGGGAGGACAGCCCCAGCGTCTCAGATCCAGGTACCACCCCATGTCGCTGGATCTGGCCTTCCGCTGCGTCGGGACCTCCAACCCGTGCAGACGCATGTTGTCTTCGAGCTGGGCAAGCCGGTGCTCCCTCATGGAGCCGCCCGCAAGCTCTCCGAGATTGGGCACCAGGAGGTCGAAGCAGTCGACAGTCGGCCCCTGAGCCGGCGGCGACTCGGACTGGAGCATGTAGAAGGCCTTGATCTCCCGCGGGTAGTGCGTGACAAAGATGGGCAGAAACGCGTCGCTCGCTTCGTCGTATCCGATCTTTTCGGCAAGGTACTTTTCATGCTCCGACTGGAGCCCCGAGCCCCAGACGGGCTTGTGCTCGAACTTGTGGGCCACGGGTTCGAGGATCTCAATGGCCTCTGTGTAAGTCACTCGAGGCCATCGGGTTGGTGCCATAAGACCCCTCCAGCGCTGCTGCAGCTCCTTGAGATCTACAAGATCTTCGAATGCCAGGCGTTCGGCAGGATCTCTAGAGTCGAGTCGATGCTTCTCGAGCTCCTGTGCGGCGCTTCGCAGCCTGAGTCCGCTGGCGAGCGAGGCCAGCATTCTCTGGGCGAGATCCATGACCTCATCCATGTCTTGAACGAAGCTCATTTCAGCCTCGAGCATATAGAACTCGCTCAGATGCCGAGAGGTGTCACTCTGCTCGGCTCGAAACGTGGGCGATAGAGTCCAGACATTGCCCAGCGCCTGGGCTAGAGCCTCCAGATGGAGCTGTGATGAGACAGTGAGGTACTTTGGGTCTCTGAAGAACTCGGACGGTGAGCCGCTCTTGACGGTAAATGCCTCCCCAGCACCCTCGCAGTCCGACGAGGTGATGATGGGGGGGTGTGTTTGCTGGAACTTTTCTTGGAAGAAGAACTGGCTCACGAGGGCCATGGCGTCTGACCTCAGCCGGAGCAGGGTTGAGTTGAGGGGAGTTCGCGGACGGAGATGTGATATAGCCCTCAGGCTCTCTGGCGTCTGGTACTTGTTCTGAATAGGATACGTCTTGAGGATAGTCAGACCCGTTATTCACTTGCAGAATAGCTCAGTATGGCCTTACCTGAGGGTTAGATGCGCCGAGGATTTCCACCTCGTTAACCCGTAGCTCAGCCGTAGCTGGGACCTGGCCAGAACCAGCCCCAGGAGCATCAGCAGCTTCTCGCTCCTGGGCCGGAGGAGGGCTGGACTGGACGCGAGGCGTGGCATCGTCCAGACCCGGCTGGTGAGCGGCCGGGCTACGGGCAGGGTTGCCTTGTTGAGGCTCTACGCTGGATCTAGGGAAGCTACTGTGCCAGACCCCGGTGAGGCGAACGGCGGCGCCTGGGCGGATGCTACCACGGGCCTGTCTGTCAGCTGGTGCTCGCCAGGATGCCGGGACGAGGGCTGACGTACTCGGCGGCCAGGCTCTTGTCGACGACGGCCTGGACGGGCCTCATGGACGAGCCGTCGGTGATGTCAACGAAGCGCACGCTGGCGCTCTTGCGCACTGATCGCACCCAGCCGCAGACCTGGACATCCGAGACAAGGCGACCCGGCTGCCATTCCTTCAGATCGGCCACGGTCGTGACGTCGCTGCTGCCGTCGCCAGGGACGCGCACGGAATAGCTTCGCCGGGCTGCTGGCAGAGGCCAGCGCCGGTGTTGTCGAGCCAGCAGGCGGAGCGGATGAGACATGATGGGCTTGCTCAGAGGCTTCTCGCTTGCTCAGGTGCGTCTCATGACGTGAGAGATGTGCTTGATCCCTGGTGCTTTGGGTCCTGTCGTCGGCAGGGAAGAGGCAGGCGGGCAAGCGACTGACTAGATGTCTCGAATCAGAGGCCCGTGATTGGCATATCCCGTCTTGCGCGTAGGATCAGATCGAGGTTGGTTGCAGTCTTTCTTTTTCCTCCTTCTTCTGTTTGCTGAAGCTGTTATTGCTGGATCTACTACCTACTACCAGCACGAAGAGGAAGAGCTGTGAGCAGGGGTCCGGCAAAAAAAGGAAAAACTGTCGCGCCGTTGGCTGCGGGCCAAGGCGGTGAAGGCGCCTTGTGTGACTGTGGCTTGCGGCACCTGGAGTTGGCGAACTGGGGAGGTAGCACAGAGGCAGGGAGCAAGTACCAGTACCGGTACCTAAGGTACGAAGCAATGATTCCAGAGTCCCGTCTGCGTCTGTACAGTCTTCTGCCTTGTGCCTACCCACCTATCTTCCAGGGATGCATTGAATCAAACTGTCATGATAGTAGAGAATTCGAACATGTCTGTTAGTGGTTTCTCTGATGTTCCAAGGTTGCAGCGTCACTATCCTGGTGAAATTTGGCAGTGAGGCCCGTCAATCTGGTTACATGTAGGTACCTTGGGCCAATGCAACGGGACGGCAGCGCTAGAACAGGGGCCGTCAAGCAGCTCAGCGGTTAAGGCATGGAAAAGAGTCCAGAGGGCTGGGTAATACCACTAAGGTACTAAGTAACATCTTTGCTCCCTGCAGCCATGAATATAGGCGTTGCAGGCATCGTGCATGGCACCATTTTGACCTATTAGGTACATACTTGTACTGCCATCCACGGATAACAGTTGGTGGCTGCTTCTGGCCTTCAGTTGATGCTTCGTTCGTGGCCTAGGTACTCCTAGTGAGTAAGGTACTTCACCTTAATCCTCGAGGTACCTCGTCTATACGGAATGTCAAAGGTAGCGGCAGTTACCTACTACTAGGTAGTAGCTCTTTCCTGAACCGACTGTTTGGGACTGGCCACAAAGTCGACTGCTGACTACAAGGAGGTACCTCCAAGTTGCCATCGACTTGCTCGTCTCTTTCGTTTCTCTCCCACGCAAAGACCAACAGGCTACTATCACGAACGAATCACGGACAATACCTCACTGCCACCCTCACCTGCTCACTTGCTGTACTCGCTCACCCACAGATTCTCACACAGATACCTGCTTGTTCCACTCGCACTCACACCCGTGGCCGCGCCTCGCCCGCTCACACGATCGCCTGCCGCATCGTCATGCATCTCCCTCGGGCCTCTCAGATGCTGCCTCGGACCGCACCCTCCTCGTCTCCCTTCTCTCCTCTTCCGCGGCATTGGTCGTCACTAACTCATGGACCTCTGCTCTGAATGGCCGCAGCAGAAGCCTCATGTTCCACCCGCACCCACCGCCGCCGGATGGCCTTGTTCTCTCCTCGTCATAATATCACGCTGAGTCCTGCTTGATATGGCAGAAGACATGTCGCGAGAACGGGTTATGGATACTCTGGGTGCCTGGATGTACAAGTACATGGTGAAGTCGCCCGGCTAACGGCTGTCCAACCAGAGAGCATCTGATGTCTCAGCTCGAAGCCCTTGTTGCTCGACTTGCGGGCATCGTCGTCAACCCTTGAGACCTCATCCCAGCCAGTCTTAGGGGATTGGGCAATGGCTGCGACCAGGCATGGATCGATAGCTCTAGGCTGCCAAGTCACAGCCGCTTCCCGCCTCCACCGTCGAGGGTGCTGGGACAATCCCAGCTCAAGCACACACACACACTCAACCAGCAAGGCCTATCCGTCTATCTCGTGTATACACTGATCGTTGGTGGTACCGCCCCTGGAGAGATCTGCCCACCACCCGCCTGTGCAATACTTGGAGAGTACACACACACACACACATCCACTCACACTCAATACAGGCAGACCCAAGAGCCCTCGAACGGCCCCCATCCCCCCTGGACCATGTCCTGTGCCGACACAGACTAGTTTGGATCCTTGCCAGGTTCAACAGGGCGAGATGAGGTGTCACAGATCTTATGCGCATGCGTCCGCAACAATACTCCGGCCCATGCCAGAAGCAACGCTCACGAGCACGCTGTACTCTGCTTGCATGTGCTCTCCTGTCTGCCGTTCCCCAGCGCGTCCACCGAAGCCCAAAGAGCAATGAGCAGGCCAGTCTCAGCTCGCGCACCAGGGCAGTTCCGCTCCCAGTCTGAAGCCAGAAATCGGCATGGTCCATAAATCCTGAGCCGCCGTGTCTGAGAAGGCCCACGGGGAGGGGGGCAAACGGTCCGCGAACCATGCCTCTCTGGCTCTTGGTCCGGGCTCTCGACCTGCCTCTGAGATCTTGCAGCACGCGAATTCAAGCACCTGCTATCCAGTCATGGGCGCCCCATCGATGTACCAGCATGTCCCGCCAACTTGGCTGCCGGCGCCCTCGTGGGTCCCGGTATGTATTCCTGTCTTGCCGGCGAGACATCATCTAGCGCCCCTTTGGTGGTTACTAGTAGTCTGTCAAGCGATGCTTGACACTCTTACTATTTGCAAGTTAAAAGATCGCTAGCCTCTTGCTTGCTACTTCTGGCCCTGCCTGCTCGCCTGCCGTTGGCTCTTGTCCCAAACATGTGGTTCAGATTCTCGACATATTGGGTCGTACAATTCATGGCAATCCCTCCATCTCGCTTCACACTCTCAATGAGCCTTCGCTTCTGAATGACTGCCTGATTGGTAACTCGTCTTGAGAAGAACAGGAAGAGGAAGAAGACGATAAGGAAACCAGAGACAGGACGAGAGACAGAAGAGACAGAAACAGAAACAGCAATTTATATCAGGCCGAGACAATGATATAAACGCACTTCACTCGCCCTGCTGACTGGTTTCGCTTCTCGGGATTCAAAACAAGCAGTGCCGCCTCCATCTCTGATATAAGATCCGCGCTTCTCCTTCGATTAATCTCTTTCGATAGTTTCTTCAGTCACGCCGCTCATCATCCCTCGACAGCCTCATTCCTCTCCTCACTGCTCAACAGGTCATCAGAAACTCATGAGTATGGCTCCAACCTCTAGGTCCAGCAAGGTAAGGCCGTCCGATGTGGCGGCCGACACCAAGAGGAACTTTATACCTCTCGTGAAAGCAAACTATTCGGAGATGTTCCCTCCCTATTCCGTTCTCTACCGGCAGCCCGCGGCACAGCTTGATGTCCCACGCCGGAAGCCGAGCACTCGTCCCCCCATGTTTCGAGTCGAATACGGCGATCCCGTCATGAGGGCCATTTACTATGCCGCCATGGAGACTGAGACCAGCGAGGCGGCAGGCGGGCCGAGAGTCCGGATTCCCTTCATCTGCGCCGCCAACGACCGTCGTCCCGGGGGAGACTGGGAAACTGGCTGCTCCGGCTACGAGGAGAAGCTCTGCCGGCGAAGCAACCTCTCAGCCACACTGAGCACGCCGTGGCCGACGATGGGAGAGACGTCCAATTATCCCATCCCGTCTGCCGGGGGCATTCTCTCGGACTCAGTCGTTGTCTCGCGAGGGCCTCACGAGCGCTACGAGCCACTCGACCGCTGGTACGACCTGCCAGTCGTCTCCGTTCCGCCTACGCGGTGGCCAAAGCTCACGGAGAACGGCACCAAGTACTCCTTTTCGGCGGAAAGGGACATGATTCGAGAAAAGATCCGCGGCGCCCTTCTCATCTGCCTCTACAACAGCTATGACCGTGTCGTGATTGGCGACTTTGGCCTCGGCAACGGCTACCGCAACCCGCCGCGGGAGCTCGCCGAGATCTGGCGGGACATTCTCCTCTTCGACCCTCATCTCCGCGGACAATTCTCCTATGTCATCTTCGTCTTTGAAGACCCCGCACAGAGCACAACTCGCCTGATCCAAGAGGAGATGCTCAAGAAGGACCGAAAAAGCAGCGGCGTGTCAAAGGCAAAGTTGCCCCTCGGCTCCGGTGGCACCGGCCCTACCGACATGGACATTTTTGAGGGCGTCTTTGACACCGCGGAGATTGAGCGCGTCCTGTGCCGGCCAGACCCCCGATACGGGCTCGACATGATCACCTCGTGATTTTTACTTCAATACAAAACATTACATTGCTTGTGTCATGTGAGTCACAATGGCCACCCACGGACAGGCTACGGGGGGGGGTGGAACAGCCTACGGCAGAACCAAACACGGGGATGGCTTGACTTCGTCTCGAACGCTTAGACAGACATCTTTGCCGCCGACTCATTTTACTTTTCGCTCCTGTTCGAGCTTCGAGATTGATCCCTCAATGGGCTCATCAGGAGGCGGGTGAGGGGAAAGAGAGGCTTATTCACTGTTTTCTACTCGTATGGGCGGTGTTCTACGTCTTGCCTTGATTTTGGGTGCGAATCGTTTTTCTGCAATCTTTTTGGGGGGTTTCTTGTTCCTGTGAATGTAGAAGGGTGTCAATGTCTGGGAGGTATGTACATGGAGGCTGGTTCGTCTGAACGGGCTTGGATGGACGGGCTAGACTGCTAGGGACATCACATATGAGTATCATTGGGGACAAGGTCAGTTTGTCGGGTCTGGTTCATGTCTTCTTTTTTCGCCTTCCCATGCTGCATAGAGTCATCCCATGTGTATGATTGGCTGCTGCTAGTGCAATCTAGAGGTGGTGGGCTTGCTGTCAAGCTCCCTAGGAGGGAGGTTTCCGTTCTTTTCTTTCTATCGTCTTTTTTTCCATCTGCCTGCTAGGGCGCGGTGTGGCCCGGGATGAGTTAGGAGTGGCTTTGCAACTTTGTCTCGTTACCCCTCCGAATCGAAGATGCGCTTGATTCATATCAGACTCTTTCGGCCATCAGCATATTAGTTCCATCACTCGATGACAAAAGAGACAGACAGCTAACATCACACCTTCGCCAGGCCCCACACGAATGTCTGATATTCGCTGGGCGAGGGTTCGAGAATCCGGCGATGCTGTTCGGACAGGGGGCGCGAACCACTGCTGTTTCCAAGTAAGCGCAGAACAAGAAGTGCTTGCGTGGGTGTTGGCAACCCAGCAAGCCTCCATTTCCCCCCAGATGGAGACAGACTGGGCAAGGCCCGGGTTAGCCTGTCACTGTCGACTGCTGCTGAGCTGTAGAGATCGAGCAAGACGGGTCGTGGACGAGACACGCAGCACACACACGCATACACGCACATGCAGTCCACAATCAGGCCATCAGGATTTCCTCCCGATCCTGCGGCACAAGCTCTTGCTTATTATTAGAACCCGACTATGTAACCTGCCGGAGTCCCTTGCATGTGTCAGACCAGACCGGCTGATGGCTAAGACCGGTGAGGACGGGGCCGGGCTGGGTGAAGGCTCCATGGCTCCCTGTTGATACGCGGCTGACACGATCTGCAAATGGTTCCATCACCGAGGAGGTCGTACCCTCAAGGTAGAGGCTAAAGAAAGGCCGTTGGTAACGGCCGTTTGCTTTGACTCAGAACGCCGCAAGTGGCTGCAGGAGGAGATACAAGGACCATGTGTGTGTGTGTCTCTCTCTCTCTCTCCGTCATCGACCACATTGGCCTGACGGGGAACGCCGCTGGGATGCGGAGTCGCCACTCATCAGATGGATGGGGGGACGGAGAATTTGGCAGCAGAGTGCCTGGCCCGGCTCGCGATCCTCCGTAGGAGGGGAATCGTCTGTATCAGCTCCGACCTCGATCCTTGGTCTGCGTGTGAACACACAGGCAAGATGGCGCCGGCCAATGATGCGGAATCACTCGTCGTGAGAAGCAATCCTCCCCTCCTCTTCGTGTCAAGCCCTCTCTACAATTTCCCCCTGTGATGCTGCTCTTGGTCCTGACTTGTTATCACCACACAAGAAGGCAAAGCAAGCATCCAGCCAGCTTATTCGGAGCCCGCTCCGCGCTTCTATATGCGAACTTACACACACACACACACACCCTTCTCCTCTCACCCTCTCTCTCTCACCTGGTTGGACTCCCCATGCTTGCCCTAGCAGGGATCGCGGAACTCGCCTCTCCCCATCGGAACTGTGGCTCCGAGTGTCAACGGCTGCGGCCGTTGGGGAAGCACGGGGAAATGCATCCTCTAATACTACCTACAGGTCCTAGTACCTGGGCCATACTGTCCAGGGCGGCCCGGAGAGCTGGGGCTTGCTCTCTGGCCTCAAGCCTGCGGCCGCATTGGCAGCCCGTCTTGCTCACTTTTTTTTTTTTTTTTTGCCTGGCGTGCCCATTGGCACCAGTACAAGTACGAGGAAACACATGCCTGCCACGGTGGAAGCGTGTTCGTGCTGTTGTGTATGGCGCCAGGTCTGCATCATTCCCGGATGACAAGGTTCTTTGTTGACATGTCATGCTGTGTCCTGCCGGGCACTGCCACCGGCAATTGCATTGCCCGATTATGTCGTGAGCCTCTAATAGTTGCTTCCCTTTTGTCCCCCCCCCCCCCTTTTTTTCTTTTTTGAAAGAGAAGGCATGGGAATGGAAGGAAAAGGAAGACTTGGCCGTGATGAGAGAATCGTAACGGCCTTGCGTTGGCTCACAGATTAGCTTCGCTGGAAGTGCAATCTTTGGCGCGCGCTTCTGAGGGAGAAGAGGATGGGGTTTGCGAGTTCGCTCGTAAGCCAAGCAGCGTTGGACGCCCCTGTTCATGATTAGGTAGCCGGGCGGAGGAGCTCACGCAGTGAGATTTCCACACAGTTCGGTGACTTTGTTTGTTACCTTGGGACAGGATGGCGTGCATGCATGATGCATGGGCATCGTGTTGTGCGGAGAGGCCCATGCTGTTGGGGGAAAAGGAGCTGCCTTTCCATTGTCGTTCTGCTTGTAGTAGTGTCTCTTTGTGTCATCAAAAGCATACAGTATCAGACGAGACAGAGTGAGTGTAGTGTGGCGTATGTAGGTATGAGTGAAATGGGTCGATGGACGGTATGTACGGTTGCCGACTTGCTGACAGACAGACTTGGAATTAGCATGACATGTCGTCTTAATCACACCCAGTCCCCGTCCAACTTGCGCTCCATACTACTACTTCATACCTCCAAGGCTCAGCTGGCCGTGTGTTTCCGGGTCGGCCCCCATCACCCATTGACAGGCGAGTACAAGGGTGTGAAAGACTAGGGGTTTGGGAGGGATCTCGCATCAGGTTGCTACAGTACAGCGCATTGAGCGACTTTTTTCATGAGCCGAAAATGCGCCTTGCATCGTCGTTGAGGCGCGATTGCTTGCGCATATCATACATAGAAATGAAGGGCGGGATGGGGGAAGAGACTTGGTGACAGACGACGAGGAGGAGGAGGAGGAGGAGGGAGAGGGGGAAAAGGCTTCGTATGTGGTGTTACTGGAGGAATCGCGGACTTTGACAGATAGGATTGAGTCCTTTCGACTTGTTTTGGCATATGAGCTAGGAAATGACATATGTTCGTGGACGAAGCAAGAGGTAAAGAGTGTTTTTTTTTTTTTTTTTTTTTTCGTTTGCCCTTGAGGAGTGGAAGAAACTGGGTTGCATTCAAGACAGCAGCCAAGTCATCAGTCAATGTCTCTTTTTTCTCTTCTCATAAGCCAACTTGTGCCATTGGGTGGCAAGACGGCCAGGATCCATGTCTCAAAACGAGCGATAAGATAGAACGAAAATATTGAGGAAGATTGAGGATATGCGAGTTATAGAGATTAAACAAGAGAGTTTCTTCCCCATTTGTACGTTACGTTACCATCGACCATGGATCTCACCTCCTTATTTACGTGAGACATTGAGAACAAGGTCACTCTGTTCTTCGAAAAGGAGTAAATCCATACCTAGGCAAGTGTGGTGTGATTGTCCCGCCCTTCGCCTTGAATACCTAGCTGAGGATTCAGATACAAAAAAGTCGCCATCTTTGTTTCATGTAAACACCATCGGCTCTTTACCTCGTATCTTACCTCGTCTTGTTCAAGACTCTACGTTTCTAAGCTCTGACTGATTTGATTGTTCAAGCCACTTGTGATGGAAGCAATGTAGTCCGCAGTCAAACATATAGTGATAAGTACAGCGTCAGGGTTATCAATGCAATATGCAATACATACATGCCTAGGTAGTTGGTTACACAAACAATGCTGCAGCGCCTCCCACGATATCATCTAATTTTCCATGCGTTTCTCTCTCTTTTTTCTCCTCCTCTGCCATTGACGCCCCATTCGAACAAAAGGCGAATCTCATTCCGTCTCTGTGCCGCCACCCTTAAAGGAGTTGGGTTCAGCAACCTACCAATAGGCCGGTCTCAGTCCTGCAAAGTTGGCCATTACGGCGGTAGCCTCTCCATCGCCTTCCTTCTTTCGTTGTCCGCTCAACTATAGGACGAATTAGCATTCTCATCATCTCCTGACGACGACGCAAGGGGGAAAAGGGGGGAGGCGGGGGAACATACCTCCAGCTGAACTCCTCTGTGAATGTGAACAAGCCAGTCAACGTAGCTCTTCGCCTCATTGTTGCGATCCTCCACCAACATCCGCGCAAACTCGTACTCGGCGCCGTCAATCCCCTGCCGCGCCAGCTGTATCGTCATGCCCTTGGATCCCCTCATGCTTTTGAGGAACTCAATAATGTTGCGGACCTGTGCGCTGAGATGCGTCTCCAGCACCGGCAGCGTGGACGTGTACGGATCCAGCCCCTTGAGCGAGTCGTGGCCCTCGCCAAACAGGTCGGTGATGAGGTTGGGCGACGTCTGGGCGTGAAACCACAGCAAGCACTGCTGTCCGTTGTCCACCAGGTAGACGCCACCCGGCTCGACCCGTGAAAAGGACGTCCGCACGGACGGGGGCATCTTGAGGTGGCCTGTTTCGGGGTCGGCAAAGCCCTCTTCGGGCTGGAGGTTGTGCAGAGCAATCATCCGGGGGTACAGATACAGGCTAAGCTCCAGCGGGCCCATGCTGCGGACCATGCGCAGCTCGTGCACTCTGCGATCCGAGTTCTCGATACCGCCCTTGAAAGCTCTGCATTTCAACATGCCTAGCATGTACATGCAGAACTCCTTCAGCCGTTCGGGCATGACCAGCTGGCTCGGAGGGAACTGATTGGCAGAGTGCTTCTTGTAGTAGGCCATGATGTCGATTGTTCGCTCCGTCAGCCAGTTTCGCACATCCTGGAGATTGGCCGATGTCGTGGCGAGCTTGGTGCTGGCTTCTTTTGCAAAGATACCCACAACCGCGTCCTGGTCGACAAACTTGAGGCACTGCCGAATGGCCAGCTCCTTGGTGTTGGACTCCTTGGAGGTGTCGCTGACGCTGGCAATCACGTTGGAACATCGCACGCGTCGCTGTCCGGACGCGGTCGTGTACAGGAGAGCCGTCTGGAAGTGGGCGTCCAGCTTGGGATCCAGTTTACCGTCGTGGCTAAACGACACGCCGAGCGCCTTGTCCGCGTCAATGACGCCAATCTCCAGGTCTGCCCCAAAGGTGTGCTGGACAAAGTTGCCGTGGTACGCCGCCACCTGCAGCCCGGTCGAGCAGCGGACCTTCATCAGCGCCTGGAAGCCCGTTTCCCTCGTGATGGCGTGCGTAATCTCCATTGACAGCCGGGCACCGTCTCGCGGGGCGATGAAGTTGGGGTAGTAGAACGTCTCTCCACCAGTCGTGGCGGCGACATGGCCTATCGTCGCAATGTCCAGGTAGCCGCCGGAGGGCGCAGCAAGGAAGAAGTCGACACCAATGCCGGACGAAGCCATCTTCTCCGAGACCTTCTTCCACGCGGGGTGTTCCGTCGTATACAGCTTCTTGTCCAGCTCGCCACCGGGATGGTTGCCGTCGTCGCGCATGAACAGTCGGCCAGGGCCCCAGGTAGGCAAGGTCGAGCACGAGCACACGACTTTACCTCCCGTTGCCTCCAGCGCAGCCACGGCGGCATTGAGCGTGGCAAGCAGAGCGGGCTCGGGGTTTTTGATGGTGGAGAACATCTCGGGGAGGCGGGTGAGGAGAGAGGTGATGATGGCCTTTGACTCGTACGGGTCGACAAAGAGGCCCTCGCCGAGGGGGAGGAATGGGTCTTCGAGGTCGGGCATGATCATCATGTGCGCTTGATCCAGATGAGGCTGTCTTAATGTTAGCGGGCCATCTCATTCTTGTTCCCAGTGCTCGTGAACTCACGTTGATGTTGTAAAAGTGAATGTCCTTGTCGTACGTGATGAACCCAACCTTGGCTCCCTTGGGTATCCTTCGCTTTGGCTCGCCATCTTCATCATTCTCCTCGTCGTTGCCGCCGTAGAGGGCCGCGAGGATGCCCTCGCAGAATGTCTCCATGAAGCCCTTGTTATAGGATTCCTGCGTGACGTCGATGACAAACAGCCAGCGGAGGCCGACGGGCTCTCGGGTCCAGTACTCCTTGGGGACGACGAACTCGACGGTACCGCGGTGAAGCTCCGGCCGCTGGTCTCGATCTAGGCGCACTCCCTGTGGGCTGACGGCGCAAAAGTACTCGGGCGGCGTTTCGTTGGGGTACGAGCAGAGGTTGCACACGAACTTGTTGCCGCCCGATCGGAACATCATGAAGGGGTTGATATAAGCCCGGCATCTTCGACATCGAGGCGGGCCGGCGTCGCCAAAGTCGAGAACGGGAATCTCGGCCTCTCCCGCTTGAAGTGGGGCCAGAGGCTGGATGAGCATGCCCAGGGGCAAGCCCGTCGCATGGAGGCCCTCGGCTGTGGTTGGGATGTTGTTGAGGGTGAGTCGGGTGAATTTGGGAGAGGCATTGCCTTGGTCGAAGGCAACAAAGGAAACCGTCGCAGGAGGGGGCACATGGCGCTCGAAGGTCGGGTAAACGTTCTTAAAAAAGTGCTCCTGGATGGCGTCCCTCGAGGCGGGTATGCTGGGCATGTCGTCTGGCGACACCTGGCTGGGGCCAGCCGAGCCTATTGACGTGGCAGCGTCGGGAGAGCCAAACCTGGATGCGAACTCGGCCGGCGACACAGGGGCCGAGGGGGTGAAGGGAGAGGTTGGCGCCGGGAACTGGCCCGGATTGGCCATGTGAGGCGTGCCCATGGGGCTGGCCAGAGGGCTTCCAAACTGCCCTCCCAGCGCCGGGATGCCCTGCGGGTTGTTGACGTTGAGGAACTGCTCGGCGGGCGTCCCCGGCGGCAGGCCATTGAAGGCCTGCGACGAGCCCGTCGGCTCCACGCTGTGGTACGCGTGCCTGTCCTTCTTCTTCTTCCTCGCGGCGGCGCCTCCCGCATCCGCACCCAGGCTCATCCCGCCAAACTGCGCGGCAAGGCCAGCATCCTGCGACGGCATCGGAGACCCGGGGAAGCTCTGGCCCTGCGGCGGGCCGTAGCCGGGCGTCGACGGAGGCGGCATTGCCATGGGAGGAGCTTGGTGGCCGCCATGGTACGGGGGAGCGCCGTAAGGGGAGCCCGGTGGCACGTAGGGCGAGGAGGGGGGCTGGAACTGGGGAGCCGCTGGAGCGGACGTCTTGTTGGGGTCGTTGGGGTCGAGGACCTCGCCGTGGCCCAGGGCGTGATACTGCGTGTAGTCCATTGATGGCTCGGGTCGGTGCGAGGAGGCTCTCGCAGGAGAGGACGCGGGATGAGGCTCGAGATGGCGATATCAGACAGCCGGGTTGTTGGAGGCTGACAATGAGGGGTCTTCTTCTCGCAGGAAAACCAAGACGGGAAAGGAAACAGAAAAAACAAGGTCAGCGACTGGTAGGGATGGACATGCTCAGCACCGCTTCCATGATCCGGTACAGGAGCTGCAGAGAAGCGCCAGGCAAGCACAGGGGAGACAAGGTGAGGCTGTCAAGGGCCTGGAGCTGGTGCTGGTGCTGGTGCTGGTGCTGGTGCTGTGCCTCGGTGGCCTTTTCGCGGTGCTTCGACTTTCCACAATCGTGGCTTCAGAAGCGTCGATGCGCGCTTGGCCGTGATTGGCTTAGCCCGGCTCTGAGCTATCGACATGCTTATCGGGTCCTTTTACCTTATCGTGGCACATGTTGACAAGGCCTCCCCACATGCAGCTAAGCGTTGCTGTGCCTTCTATCGGGCTCTTGGCAGCACGTGCACCGTCACATGCGCGGAGTGTCCAGCCATTCCGTGTAAGTCGAAAGATGGGGACGGTCAGGCGGGAGGGTCTGTGTACTAGTATATGGGATCAATATATCAGACCCGGAAAAGGAGGAGGCCCAGGTTGAAGGCATGCACAGCTTGTTCGTCTCCAGCCGCCCTGGATAATTGCCGGAGGTGAAATGTTTTGCAGGAGAACTGCCCTTTCACTCTCCAGAGATGCACATGTATTCGGCAGGGCATGTCGGGCCAATCCGCTGTCAGTTGGGTCATGTTGCATGATAAGCACGTACGTATGAACTGTACAGGGCGTCATCCAATGAACTCCTTGCACCTTTGCAGCTCAACTCTGCCCGTGTACCTCATCCCCTCCTTTGCATTTTGGAGATAGATAAAAAGATTCCCTTCCAGGAGAAGGAATCGGGTGCAGACCTGTCATTTCTCAGGTACTCTGGTGATGGGATTGGCGTGCCTTGCTTCGCTACCTAGGGGTAGCGCCACGGTCATCTGGCACGACACGAGTCGGGCATTTAATGAGTTGTCATTCGATAACAGGCACCGCACCAGGCCACTCTCCATGGCTTGCATGGAACAGAAATGACAGTTGTCTATGTCGAAATGACTGCTGGCAATCAATCTGCAGTGACTGCTTTGTACAAAGCTTGCTGCCGCCTCTGCTTACTGCTACATGATGAACTGTAGGACGCAAGAGGTCGCTGGTGAGCGCGTCAGCGCATTGGGCTGCTCGGCGTGTAAGACTGTATCTGAGCCAATGCAAAAACCTGCGTGGGTGCCTAGAATATCAACAGTCTATGGGATATTGAAAGCGAAGATGACGCTTCCAGAGAGTTGTCTGGGTTGGGCACAGTCAGTCCAGCTGGTTGGGCCGCATGTCTGTGTTGTTGTGGTCGAGTCAAAGTGCGGGGGCAGGAGAGGTGATGACGGCGTCGCGCCCCGCGAGAGATTACCGCAAACTCAAGCAAAAAACAATCATTGAACAGGTTAAGAGAGAGCTTCGAACACAAGACCATGGAATAGCTGTGAAATCTAGGTCCCAACTACGTAGTCTGTGTCGATATGCGTTGGTAGACTCTCGTCCAGACTACCAGGTAGTCATTGGAGCCTGAGGTGCGCATGGTGACATGATGGGTGCAACGATCCGAGCTACGAGCGGCGAAAAGAAAGGGCAGCAGAGGACCGTTCGAGATCAGGGAGAACGGAGGAAAGGCTCGAGTTTGGCGAGATGCCAACTGCCGCAATTCGGCAAAGGAAACAGGTCCAGAAACAGCGGGAGGTTGAGCTCCGAGCGTGGCGACGGTGAGACGATGACAGACGGCCGGTCGCATGACCATCCGCCACTCCGGCAGCGGGCAGTCTTAGAATCACGATAACTCATCGCAGCAGCGAGCTAGAATTACAAAATGAGTTGCAATCAATTCGCAAATAATCCATCTTGCGAAAAATGTCAATAAGTGTCCCATTTCAGTGGTGGTTGCGGTGAAAGGCGGCTGAGAAGCGTTGCGACGGCAATGTCTGGATAGCTTCACGGGCTGGGTCGTGAGCTCCAAGGGCGACACCTCGCCCAACACCGAAAAAAAAGTGACTTTGGCTGCGAACAGCAATAATCGCACCAAGGCGTAGCGGCGCCCGAGTAAAAATAGGTTCAGCGAAAAGCCCGAGAAACAGACAATCAAATGCATCCATTCACAGCACGGCGAACGGGGGTCGCTGCCGCGCAATTCAGAATGCGACGACGACCATGGGCGAGCAACGACAGCCTCGACCATCGAGAGCGAACCACGTAAACGCTGGCGATGACCCGCCATCCAGCAAGTCTTACAAAACAGTCACCGCTACGGCCGCACGGCATCTGACGTCAAAACATGGCATGACGGCAGAAAAGAAAACAGACACGAATCCAGGCTTGCCAAAAAATGACTCACAGTCGAGACTAAACAAGAAAAGAAAAGGGGAGGGCGAAAAGGGCGAGAAGCAGAGAGAGAAGAGCAGAGCTGTCGAGGAATCTGGCATGTCCAAAGTCGGGGGGGAGCGGTCGAGGCAGCCAGATCAGAGCGTCGAGGTACACGGCAGACGAGGTGATGTTGGCGCTGGCCAATCAGAAAATTGGTCACGAGGCAAGGGATTTATTTTCGCAGCCGAACTGGCGTCGATTTTTACTTTTCTGCGTTGAGTGGACGCACGACAAGGGCCGGTGGGGCCCGGGCTAGCGTGGCAGACAGGCAGAGCCCGGAGGTACCGGTACTTTGCGAGCTGGACATGCATGGGATTGATGGCATTGCATGGGCAGCGCAAGGTACTTGATACCGGGGCTGCTGTAGCGGGGGGGGGAAAGGGCGCTTCTGGCGTGTCTTCTTTTTGTTCTGCAGTCTGTGTGTTTGGGCTGGCTTCGCAGTTGGGTTCTGCCTTCGTGTTCTGACTTGTCTGCTGCAGAGTAATATGGTTGGGCCTCAACAGAGAGCACACATCACGGAAGAAAAGACTTGTTTCTTTTCGAATCGTCCAATTAATTCAGGAAGTGTGTATTCAAGTCTGAAATCCATCAAGCAGCCGCACAAACACGGGAATTGCGACACCACAGCTCCCGTCCACCACGCGGGTATAGGGTAGGGTAGACAAAGCCCAACAAGCAACAACATCCATGACACAACGGAAGAAGACAAAAACAAAAGAAAACGCTGTGGCGGCGCCTCGGCTCTTGCGCAGATTGGGGCTGGCGCAGGATCGCTTCCCGGCCGGGGAGAAAGAGGGGCTTGTACCGGTACGCGCGCAAGGTGTGGTTGACGGCGCCGGTCTGGCACGTCTGGCCACTGGCAAGCCACCCATGAGGGCGCTAGCGGGCGGGTGCGGCACACAATGTCGGTGCCATGTACCGCGACCCGTGGCCGCATGCTCGCGCAGCAGCGAGTACAGGGTACATGGCCAACACAGACCACCCTCGAGCGCCGCTAGCGGTCCAGGGGACGGAACCGCTGGAGCTCAGCGCTGGACCCCTCAAGCTCTCCTGGAGGAGGTGGATGGATGGAAGCTCTGGGCTGGCTGCTCTACCTTACTGTACTAGCCCGTGCGTGCGCTCTCATCTGCTCTGCGGCGCTGCTACATGTACTTCTCCAGCGCTCAGCAACCTACCTAGCTCTGCACGCCTCCATCTGCCAGCGCTGTTACTGATTGCGGCGCTGCCCCCGCCCCGTATATAAACAAGCCCCATCGCCCTCCCACGCGCCCGACCTGAGCCTCGCCTCTGCCCTCGATCCCTCATCGCTGCTCTGCCAAATCGTCGCCCGTCTCCGTTGTCGCGCATAACTCCATCCTCGCCGCTCCTCTGCCGCCTCTTGCAATCACGTTTGAACACGTCCCATCGTCCCTCCGCAACTCCGTCGCCATGCCTCCCAAGAAGACCGAAGGCGCTGCCCCCAAGGCCAAGTCCGGCGCTGCCCACGCCAGCTACCAGGTTCGTTCCGGCTGCTCTGCTCGACCCTTTTTGTTGTGTGCCGGACGCTTGGATGCGTTATCACCGGCTGCGTGATTGGAGACGTGCTAATGCGAGGCCGACTGCAGGACATGATTACGGATGCCATTGTCAATGTATGTGGGCAGCCCTCTGTGGCACCAGCGCATCTGTTTGCGCTCGCTCAATTTCCGCCTGCGCCCCCCCCTTCTCTCTTCCCTCTCCCTTACTGCTGTCCTCTTCCCCCTCTCACTGCTACCCTTTTCTCACGGCCCGTCCCCTCTGCCTCTTTCGCTGTCCCCTCTCCTCCCACTGTCCTCTTGTTGTCCCGTAATCGCTCCCACCGCCATCTCTTCACCATCACGCCATTCCACGTCGCGTAATGCCCCCCCTCCCGTCCCCGTCCCCGTCCCACCCGTCTCTCTCCCCAACTGTGCGAACACGCAGATGATTTGAGTATAAACTGACTTGCTCCGTTTTTCCTTTCGCTACCAACAGCTCAAGGATCGCAATGGTTCCAGGTAAGCGTTACGGCCCATGCAGCCCAACCATTGGGCAGCGCAGTACAAGTAGCTAACGTGGCCCTCAATAGCCGTCAGTCTCTGAAGAAGTATGTCAAGGCCAACAACACCTTGAACGTGTCGGACAACATGTTCGACTCTCTCTTCAACAAGGCCCTCAAGGCCGGTGTTGAGAAGGGCATCTTTGCCCAGCCCAAGGGCCCCTCTGGCGGCACCAAGCTGGCCAAGAAGAAGCCCGAGCCCAAGAAGCCTGCCGCTCCCAAGAAGGAGAAGGACGCCACTGCTAAGAAGGCCACCACCAAGAAGGCCGCCGCCCCCAAGAAGGCCAAGGAGGGCGAGAAGAAGGAAAAGAAGGAGAAGAAGGAGGGCGCCGCCACCACCACCAAGAAGGCTGCCGCTCCCAAGAAGGCCGCTGCCCCCAAGAAGGCCAAGGAGACTGCCACCAAGGTATGTTTATCACGTCCGCGCTGACGACCCCGCCCCCCTTTGCTCTTACGACTCTCCATCCTTCCTCTTCCTGTTCTAACTCCTCTCCCCCCTTGTTCAGCCCGAGAAGTCTGAGACGGCTCTGACCAAGACAAAGACCGGCCGTGTTGCCAAGACCACGAAGCCCGCTGCCACTAAGAAGGCTGCGCCGAAGAAGGCCGCTGCCCCCAAGAAGGAGAAGGCCGCTGCTGCGCCCGCCGCTGCCGCTGCCACCGCCAAGGCGTAACTTGACCTTGCCGAGGCGTGAGCGAAAAGCAGCTTTTCCTTTTCAACTTCTTGTATCCTTGACGAAATGTGGCACGGCGTTTTTGGGGTTGCAAATTATCACTACGGGTCGGGCAACGGAGAGCCTGGGTTTGGCTCGGGACTGTTTGATTGCTGTTTTGGCGGTGCGCAGGAATGATGTTTTGTTTTGATACGACGCGCACCACTCGGGACGCGCTGGGCACTGCATTATCGCACTATATATGTGACTTTCCTGGAATGAGTCTCCCGGTGGGGGGGCGGATCACTTATTGTCTTTCTAATGACTACCGCCTGTCAGTGTCCTGCTTTCTGCCGTGAGAATTTTGCGCAAATTCGGGGTCTCTGGTGGGTGGATGTCGAGGAAAATCACCCCCTCTCAAAAAAGCGGGAGAGAGTGCCTGGTGGAGTTTGTGTGTGTGTGTGTGCGACTCGAATTGTTTTTCTCAGGAGAGGTATGGATACGTGTAAATGGTTTTATCGAAAGAATAGACTTGTACATTTTATTTCTCACTCTATGATGACGCGCTGTGATCAAATCTTGCTGTCGCAGGTAATTTTTTTGCTACCTATGAGATTGGCTTGAATTTCATCCTGATGAAGCGCGACTTCGACATCACGGCTCTCTCTCAATGACAGCAAAGGCGCTTTGTTGTCCTGATTGTGCGATTCTTCAGCGCGTGTTTCGAGCCGTTACAGAATGGCGCTACTAATATGTATCATTGATGTATGACGTAAACACCAAATTCATCATAAGGAATTACATACTCTTTGACAAGACAAATGGTTCTGGTGAGACACACTGACGAATTCCCTTCTCATGCTCATCACTCGTTATTCATCCTAGCTTTGTCCGAGTCCCAAATGTTCACTTATGTGCTGGCTGTCCTGTAGAAGGAGAAAAAAACAACCAACAGCTTAACCCCAAGTTGGCGTGCGCTCAGCCTCTTTCGTCTTGGGTGGTCACCATGACGTTAAGCCGCAAAGGGTTTCCGGTGGGAGGGATGAGGCTTTGCATGTCTGTACGAATGTATACGTGTACATGCGGCTGGCGCTGGGGACATACCAAGCGGAGGGCATGTCTTGTACATGCAAGCAAGGGCCGCCAACTTTGACTCCCCCAGTTTCTTTCCCCCCTCCCCCAAAGCTTCCGTGGCGTCTTACCGTCCACGAGGTGGGACTATTTCCGGTTGATGCCCTGGCTGGGAGCTGTCGTGTTCCTGCGGCTGGGGGGGCTGCCACGTAGGTAGACGCAGCACAGCATCGGCGCTGGATACAGAGGTAATCGTCGGGAGTGGCTATCCAGACAGAGCCGAAACGTAGTAGTATAATGGTTTATCTATAGTGCCTACTATGTCTACTGAATAGTAGGTACCTAGGTATTAACAGAGGCTGATAGGAAAGAGGCAGTGATAGTAGGATAAAGTAGACTACCTGTGTATCCTACCTACCTATGTACTCATAGCGTTATAGCAGCAGCATGCAGTTATCAAAACCCGTCTTCATCAGCCAGAATGCGGGACCAAGCAGGTACCTACCATAATATACCTGTACCAGCTCTACCTAAGGTACCCATATCAGCTCAGCTGCTGTATAACCCTGGCCTGCCGTCTTCACATCTTCACATCTCCATCCTTCCATCTCGTACCTTGTGACGCACTCACTCAATTCAAGGCCGTGCTATTGCTCCCCTAATTGATGCTTCTGCCGGGTCGCCAGACTTTGCGGCTCCCCGTCAGCGAATCTCGTCAGCGCATCCCGCCATCGCCGTGTTCCTTATGTGCACAAAGGTACATGTACCTTACCTTACCTCCTGTAGCTGGGAACACGCACGGTACCAGCCGACGACAGCAGCCTGGCCCGTGCGCGCCCCCCGAGGCACCTGTGACATGTTGGCAGGGCTGCGATGGGGCGGTACATGCCAGCCGTGGCTGTGACGTGTGAAAGACGGCAGCCTGAGCAGGTATCTCCCTAACGCGGCCCGGGGCTCCCCTCAGTGAGGGCGGCTTGTAGCTGCAGCACCTCCCTCGGCGTACCTTCCTGTAGCTTCCAATGTTCCCTGGCCTCCTTCACAGGGGAGGAAAGCCAGTCTAACCGATTCTTCCGAAAGAGACGCAACTCCGGCTTCTTTTCATGGCCCGTCTGCTTGGCTCCCTGGCCACACGCCGATTGTTTTGAGCCAGGCAAGGTCCTACCTTAAGAAGCTATTACTTGTACCTGCTTTTTTGCTTCGTCGGTCTGTCAAGAAGAAGGAAGCTCGGACTTTTTGTTTTCCCAAAGGGTTCCCTTCTGTCTTTGCGTTGGCGCTGGAAGATGGCGGACCGGCCCTCTGTCTTCCTGTCGTGACCGAAGGGAATCAGAGGACCGACTCACACCCTACCATCCACAAACCAAGTCGATCACGCTCAAAACATAACGACGGCACACGCGGGAGAACAACACAGCCATCTGCTCGAACGGACCAGTGGCCCCTTCACTCTCCCCCACGCAACCGCCACGATGGCCTCGTCATCGAATCCGTTCCGCAAGAGTGCGACGCAGCACCCCGGGAACCGCTTCTCCCCGATCCCCTCCTCCATAGACGCCGCCCAGCTGTTCCCGCCGCCGCCGCCGCCGACGACGACCTTCCGCGACGAGAACGTGCCCCCCGCGGCCGCGCAGAACCCAGCCGTCGACGCAAACAAGGCAAAGGTCGTCAAGAAGGTCCGCGTGCTGTCGCCGCCTCCGCGGACCCCCGAGTCGCCGGAATGGACCAACAGCTACTTTGGCTCGGCGGCCACCGCCCCGGCGTATGCCTCGGAGCAGGATCCCTTCAACAATGTTGACAACGACTGGGACGATGCTTCTGCTGCTGCCACTGCTGCTGCTGCTGACCCCCTCTCTCAACCGGCTGTTCCGCCGGTTCTGCCGCCGTTGACGGCTGTGGAGACGCAGAGGCCGGTGAATGTGGTGGCCAATCCGTTTAGCAAGAAGAAGTCGCACGAGACTGCGGATTTCAAGAATTCCAGAGAAGACGCGAGAGAGGAGGGCGAGGTGCTCAAGGAGGCGCAATCAGCGAGGCGGTCACTCAACGTGGATTCGTTTAAGCGGCTGCTGATGACGGGGGCGGCGAGCCCGCCCAGCTCTCCACTCCCAACGGACTCGTTCGAACATGAACCTGCGGACCGCCCAAGGCCTGTATCTATGCCTCCGCCGGCACGGGAGGCCTCGACGACTGCGTCTACTCACAAGGAGAAGAAGGCTCCCCCGCCTCCCCCGAGCTCGCGGCACGGCAAGGTGATTAAGCCCGTGCCTGCGCAGAGCCCCACCGGTACCGCGAGTGCCGTCACCAGCCCCAAGGAGAAACCGGCCGAACCGGTTGGCCACCACATTGAACCGTCACGGCCGTCGCTGTCTAGAGAGACCTCAGCCAGCAGCGGAAGCTCGACCAGCAGCAGCTCCTCGGCCTCGGTGTCGGACGAAGTTGGTGAGATGGACACCCATCCGTCCGCCCTCACAGCCAGCCCGGATCATATCGACACCCCCGTCTCGCCCCCGACAAGCAGTGTCAAGAAGCCTGTCCCAGTCCCGCCGCCGAGGAGGCAGCCGCGGAGCGAGGCCAAAACAACCAGTACGGATGTGCAGGACAACGACCCGCCTCCACGCTCATCAATGGACTCAATCTCGTCCAGATCCAACAGTGTTCGACATAGCGCCAATGCGCCCGCGCCTCCGCCGCCCCGGAGGACGACTTCGGGATCGAGACAACCAGCCACTTCGCACTCATCTACCCATATTCACCCTCCCGACGTAGACACGCCGAGGACATCGTCGGAATCGACATCCAGACCCATGGCGCCTCCTCCGCCCCCAACTCGCAATCCTTCCACTCGCCGACCTCAGAGCTTATACGGCCTGGAGTCCTCTCACCGACGGGTCCTGGGGGAGATCAAGCCGCGAGATGTGGTGGCGCCCCCTCCCCCGCCTGCGAGAATCAGGGGCAGCAGTCAGAGTAGTGCTGAGGGACGGTCTGCGCGGGCGAGCCTGGACTCTGCCCGGAAACCGAGGTCCTCTGCAGACGAGTCTGGGGATCTGGGGGATGCGCAGTACACCGGTCAGACTGTGGACATTTTGGCCGATCTCGAGTCGCTGCAGAGGGAGGTGGATGCTCTGCGGGGGAAAATGAGCTGACACGGTAACGAGCTCGTGTATACACTATTGGAAAAATATGGAGTGTCGGAAGCTGAGCTGTACAAGATGATACCAGAAGGAGATATAGCATTAGAGGGGAGTTGAGATGTGGGCGAGAGGCAGTGTTTGAACAAACGTCCTTTATGGGAGTTGGCTGTATATATTATATGGGAGGCGTTCTTTTTCTTCGCTGTTCGCGTTAGTTGTTAGTCTGCGAAGCTTGGGTATGCTGAAAAGAGAGGTTTGATTGTCTTTTATTATCTTGTTACAACTTTCTATTCGTTTGGTGTATAGGTAGGTAGGGATAGGTATGGGTAGCGTCGCTGATATGTTGTGTAAATTGATTTGTAGTGTAGTAGCAGGCCTAATACATGTAGTATCTACGAGTTGCTTCGCTTCAGAAGACATGTATCATGATTGATGTCCCTACCTTTACCGTACTCTCCCTGCTCTAGAACTCCATCCACACAAACTCGCAATTTTTCCGTGGTCTGGAAGAGTGGAGGCCATTCTGCTCCATATTTGGCTTTCTTCGTGAACTCGAGTGCGATATGATCCCTCATGTGCCACGGTCTTGAATAATGGTTATGTTGTCTATGGATGGGCCCAGTAAACGCCGGAAAAATGCACGCCTTGGACACAAGATATTATACATGTCGGAGGTAAATCACGAATTTACCCGTCTTGATCTCGAACCCGTCTATATATATATAAGATACTTCATTGCCGATTCTGAAACGTGCTCTTATGTCAAAGTCTTGAGCCTGCTCATCTCATACTCCCCCGCGGAACTCGACCCGCCCATGCCATCCTCTAGGTCGGGAGGCAGCGAGCCCCCAGCTCCTTGTCCTCCTCCGGCGGCTGGGCTCCTATTGTTGTTGTTGGAGGAGGAAGAAGAGGAGGAGGAGCCGGCGCCGCCCGACGACGTGCCGGAGCCGAGGATCCTGCCGCCGAGGAAGAAGACGGGCTGGAGCTCGCGGTAGCGGCACCCCCACATGCCGAGGCCGACGGCGGCGGCGGAGGAGGCGGCCATGGTGAGCCACCACATGGAGTTGCGGGGGAGGGAGCGCGTGTAGAGGGTCGTGAGGAGGAGGTGGAGGAAGTGGATGGTGAGGGCGAAGTCGGGGACGAGTTTGCTGCGCGCGATGAGGATGACGATGGCGACGGACCTTGAATTTGTGAAGAAGCACGGCCCTAGTTAGCTGGAGAACTGTGTTGCGACTTTCTGAAACGCGAGAAAGAACTAGAAAATAGGGGGGAAGAGGTTTTGTTCTCTGGACGTACATGCAGAAGCCTCCGTCGAGGAGCCATACAAAGGCCATGAGCCATCCTTGCGTCGTGTCGCCGCGTACGCGGTCCCATGTGAAGATGAGGTCGAAGCTAAAGGGCATGCCGGCGACGAGAGTGGTGAAGAGAAAGAGGACGAGGGCGGCGAGGTAGTAGAGGGCTTGTAGCGTGGCGATCTGGGCGGCGATTTTGAGAGGCTGCAGTTCGGAGAGGGCGCCGGCGCGAGGGGGTCTGCGGCGACGAGCCATTGTGCGTGTTTCTGGCGGAGGAGATTTGCCTGGGGGGGAGGAGAGAGAGCGGTGCTTTGGGAGGTCGGGAGGAGAGAGGTGGTTGTTGTGAAGGGTGATGGTCGAGCAAGAGGTCTATCTGTGGGTGACTGGAGATGCGGATTGGATGGGATGAGGCGCGCAAGGGTTTGCGTGATGCATCGGTTCGGTTCGGGGGGGATCGCTGGTTTCTAGTCCATGGTGGTTGTCGCGGACGGAGAGGGATGATGTCGGGATTGCGGCTGATTATGAAAGCGATGCAGAACCGTGACGAGAAGCATCTGCAGGTTGGCGCGAATCGAGAGGCAGACGCAGCTGCTGACGCCGGCGATGGGGCGGATTTGGTGAGAAGGAGTAGTAGATTGGTGATAGTTACCTATATATCGCGGATAGGTAGGTGAGATATGATGATTCGCTGGTCCAGGTGACAGCTTGGCTGCAGGCAGATGGCAATGCTGCGCTAGGCCGCATCGGACGTTGTTGCGCCTGACCGCCCGCCGGATTCTGCCGGCCTTTTCGTCGTCATACTTCCATTTGTAGGTGCGGCTCTCATGATGTGTTTGCTCTTCATACTGTACTGGTTTTCACGCAGCTCTCGACATTGCACACCTTTGGGCCTCACATATAAAGACTGATCACTTCAGCCAGAAGTCACTGACGAGTGATTGAAGAGCTTCCATTGTTGGACAACTACTTGAGGAAGAGGAATTGACCCGCGGCCACCCTCGGGACTGATCGATATACCCTCTCTGCCCCTCACACCCCGAACAACAAGTGTGCTGCAGCAGCATCAAAGCTCGATATATCCAATCACCGGGAAGGGCCATTGCCGGATATCGACATCTTTTCTGTATCACTCATCCGCACACCTTCATCTAAACACATCCACATACCGAGGCAAACATGGGCTGGTGGCCATTCTCCGGAGACACCCGCGCCGACGCCATCCGCAGCGGCACCGCCATCCCCAACCGCCAGGAGCGCACCGTCTGCTGGGCCGCGCGGGACGCCTACTTTGCGTGCCTGGACGCGCACAACATCGTCGACGCCAACAAGGACGCCTCGGCGGCGGCCAAGGCGTGCCCGCAGCAGTCGGCCGACTTTGAGCGCGACTGCGCCGCCGCCTGGGTCAAGTACTTTAAGCAGTGGCGCGTGGCGGACGTGCAGAAGAAGAGGAGGCTGGAGGAGCTGCGCAGGCAGGGCGCCGTCGAGATGGAGGTTGCGACGAGCTTTGCGCCCGAGGGCGGCGCGGGGGAGAAGGGCAAGGGCAAGGGGGATATTCAGGAGATGCTGGATCGGAAGAGGGGGAGGTGAATGCGCGTTGGACGGAGGACTCTGGGTGGTTATGGTGAGTGAGGGTTAGGGGGCTCGTGAGAGGGCTGGGAACAGGTGGCATATGGAGTTTGTTTGACGTGTTTGATATAGATGCCGATGTGTACCTGTACAACAAGTGTATATTATGTATATGGGTGTTATCGGACATGGACTCACCCTCCTCTTCTTCATTTGCATTGGACTCTTGTTTGAATCAAGTTGCTGGTGGTTCGACGCTCTCTATAACTGTCTCGCTGTACACTCTACATGTCAATAACACAAAAGACTCAAGCTCTTTCAAGCAGTTGTTGAGATCATATGGGAGTGGATAGCAAAAAAGATCAAAAAGAGAATCACATATGGACGAACAGGGAATCGAACCCTGGACCTTTCCCAAGCGTGTGGCAACTCGGAGGCTGCGCCATGCTAAGGGAAAATTATACCACTAAACCATTCGCCCATTTGCTTTGTGATGCCAGATCTGGGTGTCTAAGATGGTATATGTTTTCTGTGCTGGATCATGCGCAGCAAATAGTAGACGGCTTCGAAGGGTTGGAAGTGTTCAAGGCTCTGAGTATTACTTCCAAGTCGCCGAGGAGTCCAGATTCAGTCGACTGTCAATACCTAGCCGCCAGCAAGCCTGACCTGTCTCGTAGATGTGATATTTGCAAAAAAGCATGAGTCAGCAGCCGCAAATCGAGCTCCAAGGCCAGGCCCAGCTCCTGACTTGGTCTCGACGCACGTCTTGGCTGTTTGGCCAGCTGAGTTGAGCCTTTACGGCTCGTCGGCTCTTCATCAGGGTCGCCAAGATGGCCTCACAAGGGGACCAATCGATGGAACTGGGGTATGTCGTATATGACATCTCATGCGTCCCGATGGTGTATGTAGTATGTAATGAGCCTGTAGATGCCATATTATATTCTCGCATGACAGCGGGTGTCGATCGTCATCTCTCCATCTGCTGGGAAAGCGAAGCACGACGGTGAAGAATCACAGAGGATAAAGTCCATCAAGCTTCAACTGTATGACACGCACACGGCCGTGGCCTGGCAGATACAAGACATCACCAGTCAGATGAAATGTGTGAACGCCGGGCAGAGGCCCCCAAAGCTGCAGCAGGCAGAGACGAGCGGATGGGGTCTTTTGCAGATGCTGGGGGCGATTATGATCAGTGGGCGCATGAGGCTCTCCAGTACATATCCGGCTGTCAGCCTACGAGCACTGCGTAACAGAATGCTTTTCACACGATAGTGCCACTGTCGGGTGGCAAAAGAACGAAACGAAACAGAGCGGGCGTGGATGCTTGCCCGTCAGCTTTGCGTGAGCCCTCCATCACCGCGTGCGAGCCTCGTCTGTCATTGAACTTGAGTGCAACACCGAGCTGCAAACTCCTCCGCAGACGGCTGCCGAGGCACGCTATATTGCTAATAAATTACCAGAGATGAAGCCGAATCAAATTTCCGCCTCCACCGCTCCAGGCTCAGCCGCCAGAGTTGTTGATACGACGTGCTTCCCGAGTGACTGCAGCTCTTGGTGATTTTGTGTGCAACTATCACGACCCTTTCCCCCCCCCCCCCTTGATTTGCCCCCCCTCTCTCTGCGCATGCACATACACATTCAACGTCCCTTGCATGGCCAGTCTTCTTTGCCATATTAGCGCCCTCCTGGCGTTTCACAGCTCAGCTCTGCATGTTTCAAGAGACTCTTCCCTCTGCGCTTCTCGACTGCGATTGGACGCTGCCCGGCCTACCCCCTGTCCATGTGTTTCCCGGCAAAAGGGAGCCAATCTCTAGCGGCGCGTCAAAGTGGGCAAGCGGCCAAGCAGCTTGGGGGGGAGAAGCCGATCGTGAAATGGTGCCTGTGAGCGCTTTTGGTTGGCCAGGGGGCGCAAAAGAGATGCGCAAGATTGCTGTTGGGTGCGGTTTTGCGGGTTTGGCCGCCCAATCAGTGCCGACGTCCGTCCAAGCTCGTCGTTTGGAGGCCGATTTTGTTCGCCTGCCCTGCCCATGTGGCTCGCCTAACCACCCACCCCCCTCCCCCCTGGCGGGCATGATTCACGGCCCCCTCGTTTCTATTGTATGTATGTAATGGCCGGCTGGTGAATTGAGGAGGGAGCAAATAATATACAAAAGGGACTGGGTCTGACTTGACGATGGCCTCCCTCATGATTTCCCTTCTGACAAGCACGGTTCTTCTTCATCTATCCGTTCATTCCTTGGTTTCCTGCGTCGCTGGCTGGCACCGCATCACTCCTTAGTTGCCGCGTTCTTGACCTGCCTCTCCTTTCATTGTTCTACTTTCTGAACAGCCTTTGATTTCTTCCACTAAAGAAGACCTGGTGTCCTCTGTTGCGCTCTCTTCCGGAAGAGAATCTGCCCGTTGCATTCACGCACATTTACCGACCAGACAAAACGCATATACCTTATATACCTTATATACTCTCGCATCCAAGCACATACGCAACTCACTCACTCACTCGATCCTCCCACACAACCCATCCCAACAACAACAACCTACTCCCTTTCCATCATGCACTTCTCAACTGCTTCCGTCGTCCTGGGCCTCGCCTCCCTGGCCGCCGCCCAGCTGCCCGCCGTCGCCATCGTCCAGAAGATCGCGCCCACGGCCACGTCGTGCGCCGACTCGAGCGAGTGCCGCACGGCCGAGCAGGCGGCGCCCTTTATCGCCAAGAGCATGTCCGACTACGGCATCTACACGACGCCCGAGATGGCCGCCATCGTGTCCCTGATGGCCTTTGAGTCGGTCGAGTTCAAGTACAAGCACAACGTGTCGCCCGGCCGCGCCGGCCAGGGCACCGCCAACATGCAGATGGCGCAGTTCAACCTGGCGTACGCGCTGAGCATCCCCAGCCTCAAGGCCCAGGTGGCCCAGTTCACCACCGTCGACGGCCTGGCCGACGCCGACCTCAACAAGATCCTGGCCCTGGTCCAGCCCGACGAGTTCAACTTTGCCAGCGGCGCCTGGTACTACAAGACGTACTGCGAAAAGACGGTCCAGGCGGCCTTTTGGGCGAATGTCGATGATGGATTTACAAAGTACATGCAGTGTGTTGGAGCGGCGGTTACGGATGACCGTCTGACGTACTGGAACAGGGCGAAGGAGGCGTTTGGACTCAACTGAGCTGCTGAGGCGATTTGCGTTGTGCAGATGACGACTGCTCTTCTTCTTCTTCTTCTTCTTCTTCTTACTTATTCTTCTTCAACAACCGTCTTCTTCTTCCACTCAGGTGTTGTTGCAGCTGCCGGCGTTGGTGTGTGCTAGAACAAAAAACGGTACTATTGATACCCTCGTCAATACAAACATGAACAATGAGTTCAACTCTCTCTCTCTGCACACCTCCCTCGATCCCTGTTCACTCCGTTGACATAGATTCCCTGTTGCTGCCATGTGCGTCTATGTACTACCTACCTACCTATTCATAGTAAATGTGACCGTGACGCTGACACGGGGGAGATTGCCGAAAACCTCCAGTTGATGGAAACCAGACACACGTTCGAGCACCTATTCAAGGCCCAACGTCAACACAACGGTTACATTTGATAAGGCATCTCAGAGTGACAGCACCGATAGGGCTTAGATTGTGCATAAACGAAACCATTCAAGGGTCGGTTATAGGCGCTGCAGCCTCGTATTGCCAGACAAGGCGATCCTCTTGACACACGGTCCAACAGCACGCAATACCTAGTGCAAGTTGGCTGCGCTGCGGCTTACAGTAGATACCTACCTAGTCTAGTATGTGTGGTTGAATCGGGTTGCAAGAGGTTGGAACATCATCAATGTCGCGTCTGCACATGCACTTTTGTGAGATAGCCCGCAGCCAGAGCGCTTGATGCATCCTGGATAAGCGCATACATACGACACACAGCAATATGACGAACCTACCTTAGGAACGTGTATGTATGTACCATGATATAGACGGCCTCTGCCCGCGACACGCTTCAAGACGCATCTGCAGGTACACACACTTGGTACGGCTCGCCATGAAAGCATGAGACACAATGGCATCGCATGGTGACGAGTCCGTGTTCCTCTCGCTGACCTCGGCGATTTCGCTCGCATTCATTCTCCTCGGCTCATATCGCCTGTGGGCTCTCCGCCATGAGAAGATCAAGGTAGAGCCGAACTGGCTCGTTGTGACCAAATCCGTATGTGCATCGTCATCCCGCGCGACGCGTTCCTCGTTGTTGTTGTTGCAACGCTGATGTTTGAGCTCACAAACAACAACAGCTCGTAGCGTTGCTTCTGCCCGCGATTCTTCTCTCTGATTTGGCGCTGGCACTTTCACAAGGTCGCACAGACTGGCTGGACATTGCATCGCGCAGTGCAGCGTTGGTGGCGTCCGTCGGCTTGGTCTGGCTGTCAACTGCCGAGCACAAGCGTTCCATCCGTCCCTCGAGTCTCATCGTGCTCTATCTCTTGCTCACCATTGTCTTTGACACGTTTGCACTGACGTACCCCGGCTTCTCCAGGGTTCGCAGCGGCGGCAGAAGCCATGCGTTTCTGGTGGCCGAGGCTGCGTCTCGGGTTGCGATATTGGTCCTCGAATCCCATGAGAAGACGCGCATCCTGAGATCGGAATACAGCAATATGTCTCCCGAGGAAACGGCTGGCTTGATTGGCTCAGTGCTGTTCTGGTGGCTCAATGGGCTGCTGAGTCGAGGCAACCGGAGTATTCTTCGAGGGAGCCATCTGCCGCCTCTCGACAGTGAGCTGGAGGCGGAGGATCTGCGACGGAAGATTCTGAGGACTTGGGAGAATAGATGTAAGTCTTGACTGGGTGGCAGTGGCACCAAGTTTGGGAGCACAAGAACTGTATAGATTCTGACCTGCTGTAGCAACAAAGTCAGAATCCATCTTGACGCTGCTCAGCGTCTTGCTACGGTGCCTTGCAAGGCCCTTCTTCGCTGCCACCTTGCCACGGCTGGGCCTGGTCATATTCAGATGCAGCCAGCCGATCCTCATTGAACAGGCTGTTCGCTTCGTCCAAGGATACACCAAGGGAGACGATGCCAGCGCGGGATATTGGCTGGTCGTGGCGGCGGCCTTTGTCTACCTGGGCCAGACTGTGAGCATCTTTGAACAAGATACCTGCCTTGTGTGTTGTAGAGTCCGGACATTGACGAATGATGGCCACATGTAGTTCTCGCACGCCAGATATTTCCACCTCACCAATAGGCTTGAACTGATGACGCGTGCGTCTCTCACGACGTTGATCTACAACAAGGCGCTGAACATTGGCTCGCATGCCGCCGAGACGGGCAAAGTAATCACCATCATCAGCACAGACGTGGACGGCGCGGTCGAAGCGGGAAGAATGGTTCACGAAGCCTGGGCCAAGCTGTTTGAGCTCGTCCTTGGCGTAGTTCTTTTGGTTCGACAGGTGAAGTGGCTTGCTCCGCTACCTTTCATCATCATCGTCTGTAAGTTGGCCTGCGGTATGACATGCCTTGAGGGCAACGGTCTTCTAATGGCAGCCGTCGATATGTAGTTTGCTCGCAGGTGAGCCGTTACGTGGCGCAAAACATCCGTGTGCGACAAAAGGGCTGGAACATGGCCACTCAGCGGCGGATTTCCGTTCTGAGCTCGATCCTCGGATCGATGAAGAGCGTCAAGGCTCTGGGAGTATCGGGAGCAATCATGAGCTATATCGATCAGCTTCGGGAAGATGAGATCAAGGCTTCAAAGAATGTCCGCTTCATGAATGCGGTGTACAACGCAAGCGGTAGGCTCCGGAATTTCTACATCACCCTGCCCTGCTTGTCTTGTACTGTAATGCTGACCCTCCTTGAATAGCGAACGCACTTGGAATCTTTGCGCCTGTGGCCACCATTGTGGTCTATGCTGCTGTTGCTCGCCTTCAAGGCTCCCAGCTGAATGTCAGCACTGCGTTTACGACTGTTGCCATCCTGGCGCTGGTGACGGAGCCCGCAAACATGATCATGACGATTGTGCCCAATGCCGTGGCAACTTCGGCCAACTTTGAGAGGATCCAAGCGTATCTGCTTGAGCCGCCACGTACAGACGAGCGCCGTGTTACAGGCCCGTCCTCAGACGCACCCAGAGCCCATTCGGCAGAGGCTGCTGTGCGCCTTGACGGCGTGACTGTCGTCTCCCCAACAACAAAGGATCCTCTTTTGCACAATGTCAACTTGGTGCTGCTTCGGGGATCTGTAACCACCTGCTCCGGTCCCGTGGGAAGCGGCAAATCGACACTTGCCAAGGTGATACTGGGCGAGATCTCGCCGTCTGAGGGCGCCGTTACGGTTTCTTCTGCGTCAATTGGGTATTGCGATCAGCAGGCCTGGCTGCCGACGGGCAAAGTCAAGCAGATTGTGGGTGGATTTTCGACGGCCATTGATGAGGAGAGATATAATGCTGCTATCCACGCCTGTTGTCTTGAGCATGATTTGGCGGGGTTTCCTGAGGGCGATGAGACTGTTGTTGGCAGTCGGGGGATTAATCTTTCAGGAGGCCAAAGGCAGCGACTGGTAAAGATGAAGACGTCCTTCTTTTTACTGATGGTAAAATGACTGACGCTGTTTCACAGGCCCTCGCGCGCTTGGTGTACTCCCTCCACGACATTGTGGTGTTGGATGATCCGTTCAGTGCTCTGGACGGCAACACCGAGAATACTGTGGTGGATAATCTACTTGGGCCAAATGGCTGGTTCAAAAAGAACAACACTGCCGTCTTTCTAGTCACGAATTCTGGTCAGTTGATAATCTATTGCTTCTGAGAGATCGTCCGAGACTAACGGCCTCGAAGCCCAGCACTTCCACGTCGCCGACGAGATCTTGGTCCTCGACAAGGGTCGTATTGCCACTCGAGGGTCATGGGACGAGCTCAAATCTTCCGTATCCGAACTCACGAAATTCACCTTTGCACAAGCGGAAAAGCGGCCAGAGCCTGCCACAAAGATTGCGAAGGGAAAGTCGCAGTCGACCGCGGACGCTGAGGAGGACCTGTATCGAAAGACGGGGGACTTTTCTCTGTATTGTGAGTTCCAGTTGACATCCTCTACACCAAAAAGCTTGACGAAACTTGCTGCTGATGGCGTGTATAGCGTATTACCTCAAGTCTGCTGGTGCCAGCAACGTGATTTTGCTAAACATATGCTCGGCATCGTACTCCTTCGGCATGTTCTTCCCGCAGTACCTGTTAAAGTGGTGGACGGAAGGGCCTCCAGACAAGTCGTCTTATTACATGGCTGGTTACATCGCGCTGGCTGTTCTAGCTTGGGTGGCAACGAATGGTAGCACGTGGTAAGTCTCGGGCTGGGAGCGTAGGGCTTCTACGAGTACTGACGGTGTCCAGGAGTACAAGCATAAGGATAGCCCCGAGATCTGGCGCTTTGCTGCACAAGTCTCTGCTTCGAACAATCTTCGGGTATGGCCAGCGCCGCTCCTCGATTGTTATATATACTAACTTTGTCTCAGTGCACCCCTTTTGTTCTTCACTTCTACAGATATTGGCGTCATCTTGAACAGGTACGAGAGCGAGAATGACCCTTCCTCCCGAGGTAGTCTAACTAACTCAGCATTACCTTAGATTTAGTCAAGATATATCCTATGTGGACAGGCAGCTCCCCTTTGCCCTTATAACGGTTTCTACTCGTAAGAGATGCGATATCCATTCGTGTATGCCTTATTGCTAATACCCGGGGCCGTGGTGTTGTAGAAATCTTCAAAATGCTGTTCCAGCTTGTGCTCATCCTAAATATCCAGAGATGGCTCACCGTCTGCTTGCCCATCTGCGCCGTTGCCGTCTATCTTGTCCAGAGAATCTACCTTCGAACTTCCCGCCAGCTGCGAGTCCTCGAACTAGAGTACCAGTCCTCACTCTACCAGTGGTTCTTGGAAACGGCTGAAGGCGTCGTCACGATACGGTCCTTTGGCTGGTCTCCTGCGGCCGAAGAGAAGAACATTGAGGCGCTCAACTGGGCCCTCCGTCCGAGGTACACGCTCATGTGCGTCCAGCGGTGGCTCAGTCTGGTGCTCAACTTGATCGTCAATGGCATTGCAATCGGGCTCATTGTTCTGGCTGTGAGATGGAGAGGAACGACGACGGGAGGCGACATTGGCGCTGCACTCAACCTCATTTTGGCTGCGAACGCGACGCTGGTGAGGTTGGTAGAGTCATGGGCGTCTCTGGAGGTGTCGCTTGGTGCGATTGCGCGACTTCGGAACGTGGAGAGGTTCACACCCAAGGAGGATCGACCTGAGGAGGACCTCGTGACGTATGCTGGGTGGCCTACCAAGGGAGAAGCACAAATAGCCCATCTCGATGCGGGATATAGGTGAGTTTTTTGCTGTAGTTGATGCGCCGTCTTGCAGAATGTAGTGTACAGGAAACTGACAGGAGCAGTCCTGAGCATCAAATTTTGCACGATGTCAACATCGACATCAAGGCTGGCCAGAGGCTCGTCATTTGCGGCCGAACTGGCAGGTAAGTAGCCTACAAGATTCGGGATTCTCTTACTTGATCGCTGACAGTTCAATTTAGCGGGAAAAGCACAATCGTTGCTGCTTTGTTGCGCTTGATCGATAGCACCGGCGTGCTCAAGGTGGACGGACAAGACCTGCTTCGTACTCCCCGGTCCGTCGTGCGGCAGAAATGCTTCATCACCATTACCCAGGAACCGTTCTTGATACCGCAGGCCACGCTGCGATTCAACCTGGATCCTCATTCCGTTGTGTCGGATCAAGTCCTCGAAGAGGCCCTGCAAAAGGTCGCCATCTGGCCCTTGCTCTCGAGCAAAAGCAACCACACGGCAGCAGCAGACGTCTTGAACAGCGAACTCTCCGCGTTGCCCGCCCTGTCAGCGGGACAGAGCCAGCTGCTCGCCGTGGCTCGTGCCATTGTTCGCAAGCATGCTCTGGCTGCGGAGTCGGACCATCCCGGGGCTGATGTGCCGAGGCCGATTCTCCTGCTGGATGAGGCTACGTCGTCGCTGGATTCGGAGACGGAGGACTTTATCTATGGTGTTTTGGACCGCGAGTTTGTAAGGGAGGGATATACGGCTGTGATTGTGGCGCATAGACTGGCTGTTGTGTTGGGGAGGTGGAGGCCGGAGCAGGATAGGGTTGCTTGGGTGGAGGATGGGAGGGTTCCCAAGGTGGGGAGCTATGAGGAGGTTATTGAATTGGTGAGCAGGAAGTGATGGATGATTTGTTTTCTTCTTCTTTTTTTTTCTCCTTTGCCTTTGCTGGATGTTGCTTGGTGGTAAGCGGTAGATGCGAAGTCTGTACGTCAATAGTATTTCTGGTGGTGTTACCATGGCATATGGAGGCGTATAGGTTGTCGTGATACTCGTATAAGCCAACCCGGAAACGGAAGTTCCCAAGCCAGCAAAATGGAGTAAAGGGACTTCAGGATAAGCTTAAAATCTTGTGGCCAAAGGTGCTACGAGGACTGAATGTAGATAGCGTCTAACTACACCTCTTACTCAGGGATCACTGGTAGGATTCGCGGACGAATGCAAGCCTCACCAAGCCGGCTTCTCTCGTCGTTCAAGAGCCTTTGGCGCAGTTATTTCTGTATTGGCATCGCCTCTTAAGCCCGATCCAATGCGGAGTTTTGTGTGCTGTGCAACAATCAGCCTGATTGCAAAGCGGCTTCTCCACACGGCTAAGTTGGAGAATTGGTTCTCCTCATGAGTGAGTGCCGATTTCGCAGAGGCATTGAGAAAGAGGAAGTAAAAGATGCAGATTTAACGTTCCATGGAACTGAGCGGGAAAGTCTGAGTGGGAAAGTCCGAGTGGGAAAACAAGCGATCCAGTTACCAAGAGGTTTAGAAGCAAGATCGCCAGGCCGAGTGATATTGGGCGTCTCTTCACCATGCCACTTATTCGCAATCCCATTCTGCCGGGGTTCAATGCCGACCCTTCAATTGTAAGAGTCGGCTCGGACTACTACATTGCCACCTCGACCTTTGAATGGTATCCAGGGGTCCAGATTCACCACTCCACGGACCTGGCCAACTGGGAGCTTGCGGTCCGTCCCCTGAGCCGCCGCAGCCAGCTTGATCTGCGAGGAGAGCCAGACAGCTGCGGCGTGTGGGCGCCGTGCCTGACGCACGACGGCGACAAGTTCTGGCTCGTGTACACGGACGTGAAGCGCAAGGACGGCTCGTTCAAGGACACGCACAACTACATTGTCACTGCGCCGAGGATCGAGGGCCCCTGGTCTGACCCCGTCTACGCAAACTCGTCCGGGTTCGATCCGTCGCTCTTCCACGACGATGATGGGCGCAAGTGGTTGGTCAACATGGTTCAGGATCATCGAGCGCGGCCGAGGACATTTGCGGGCATTGCTCTGCAGGAATTTGATCCGGCGCAGGGCAAGCTCGTCGGAACTCGCAAGGTTGTTTTCCACGGCTCGGAACTCGGCCTCGTGGAGGGACCTCATTTGTATAAGAGGAATGGATGGTACTACCTCCTGACTGCTGAGGGAGGCACGGGGTATACTCATGCTGCGACGCTTGCACGGTCTCGAAGCATATGGGGTCCTTATGAGCTTCACCCGCAGCAGCACATCTTGACCTCGAAAGATCATCCGTTTGCGGCACTGCAGCGAGCTGGACACGCGGATATCGTGGAGACAGCGGACGGGAAGACGTATCTGGTGCACCTTGCCGGACGGCCGATCGGGCAGAAGCGGAGATGTGTCTTGGGACGAGAGACGGCTCTGCAAGAGGCTTACTGGGGAGAGGATGACTGGCTGTACGTAAAGAACGGCCCGGTTCCGTCGCTGGACGTTGAAGTGCCGGGAGTGCGGGACGAGGAGGCGTACTGGAAGGAGAAGCGATATGAATTCCACGATGGCCTTCACAAGGACTTTCAATGGCTGCGGACGCCTGAGCCGGAGAGGCTGTTTGCGATTGAAGACGGCAAGCTGGTGCTTACTGGAAGAGAGTCGATTGGATCATGGTTCGAGCAGTCCCTTGTTGCGCGGAGACAGACGCACTTTTCGTTTGACGCCGAAACGGTTATTGACTTTTCGCCCGAGGACGAGCGTCAGTTCGCCGGCCTGACGCTGTACTACTCTCGATACAACTTCTTCTACCTTGCCGTGTCGGCGCATTCCGACGGCCGGCGCGAGGTCCAGATCCTGCGGTCCGAGGCGTCGTGGCCTAACGGGAAACTCGAGGATGTCGGAGCGAATGCATGTTACGTGCGCATCCCGCAGCAGGGAAGAGTCAAGCTCGCGGCCACGATCCGAGGTGAAAGGCTGCAGTTCTATTATGCTCTTGTCGCGGAGGGGGGCGAAGAGCAGGAGGAGCTGCAGAGGATTGGGCCGGTGCTGGACGCGTCGATTGTGTCGGATGAGTGTGGTGGGCATCAGGCGCACGGGAGCTTCACGGGGTCTTTTGTTGGGGTTGCTTGCTCGGATGTGAATGGGACGGAGAAGAGGGCTGTGTTTGATTACTTTGTGTATCGGCCTGCGCATGATTCGACGGATCGGTATAGTGTGTCGATGGAGGGGATTCAGAGGGTTTGAGGAGGTTGAAGGATTGGTGGTGAGGTGTGAGTCTGGTTTGGAACGACCCCTCGCTGTTTGTAAACGAGATCTGAAGGCTGGTGATTATACGACATCTGTCATACGACATCTGTCATACTACAAGGGGCCATATGTGTCAGGACGAGGCTTGATGGGGATGAAGGCTAGCTGAGGCTGATGCTACTGTAGAGGATGCTGAAGCTGTAACTCAGACAGTGGTATCTGGGACGGCTTCTTTCTCCGAAATTTCAATGTTTGAATTTGGGATTGGCGTACTAATGATGCCTTCCTGGTCGTAAACATGATGCTCTCCAGAGATCCATCAATCTATCCCGGGGATATCAATGAGCTTTCTTGTGACTTGTACCTTGATATCTCAGCAGTCGAATAGTCCTCGTAATTCAGACAGACCTCGTCAATCAGTGAGTAGCGAGAAGGGAGTACTATGCATATATTTGACCAGTTACTAGATCGCCGAAACTCTTGGATCGATTGCAACTGGCATGCTGACAGCAGTTCAAGCCCATTCAGCAATCTGTAACCAGCCGTCTTCTTATGCCCCAAACGCGGCTGGGCAGCATACGCTTTCACCTTTGCTTTCTAGATTCAGATCAAGCCTCCATGTATGCCCAGGCCTTATTACCATGCATGCACGTCTCAGTTGGGTGCGTCTGACGCGACGTGTCAGTGCAAAGCGGTAATACTCGGCCATGATCCGCCGTCCCCCCAACATGCGAATACCGCAGTGTCCATTATCACACCCGCTTTTCCTATATCTGTGCTTACTTGGAAGACAAACATATTTACCAAACTCGAGGGTCTATCCTTCAGCACACCGGCAAATCAGCGAGCCATGTCTCAAGTCACCCGCAGTCCCGGACTCGCTTCGTGAACCCCCCGGCCAACTTACGGCATTTGAGGGAGCGGCAAGTGAGGAGCTGCCTAATGGGGCAATGCTCGCTGTTATTTCATGAGAGACAAAGTAGACAAATTCGCGATTCGTCTCCACTGAACAAGAGATGGGTGATGGCAGCGGGTCACCGAGTTGGAGGATGCCGAAAGCCGGCGGCCTTTTTTGTGCTGTTTCAGGCTGAAGGATCGGAGTTGTCTCTCTCTCCGGGTTGTTCCTATGGATCGAGGCGAGTGTCCTCCTTATGGGTGGGCTTACTCGAGGTTCTCTTGTCTTTCATGTCCTGGGCTTCTCCGACTTCATCCGCAAACCATGTCCCTCTGTGAAGCTTCCCCGCGCTTTGGATCATCTCTCCCCCACAAAAGCGAGATCTTGGCTGTTCCCCGCAAACACTTAGATCGGCCTTGTTACTACATACGACCAACGTCTTACCGCGTATATGGAGCGGTTCGCTCAAGATCCGAGAGAATGCGAACGAGGAGATGCAGGAGATTTACATCGGGAGGCGCACTCGGCCGATGGGTGACCCTCCCCCCATATGAGCGGTCGACACCAGGGCATGATCCGGATCCGGGTTGCGTAGAAAGTCTAACCGGCCACGCATACACACATAGTACTCGTATATAATGGGGTGGCATCACACTGGAAGTCGAACGTTGAAGGTGAACTTCAAACCACGCAACTCTCAGTTAATCAAAAAAAAATGTTGGCACAAAGCCTTCTTGTGCCCGCACTGCTGTTGTCAGTAGTGGGAGCTGTCCAAGACACTGTGGACGTTGGATACTCCATCTACAAGGGACAGGCACTCCCGAATGGCGTGAGTCAATGGCTGGGCATTCGGTACGCTGCACCGCCGCTGGGTGAGCTGCGTTTTGCGCCTCCTCAAGAGCCTCTCCGTACGCCAGGCGTACAAGATGCGACCATTGTCAGTGTTGTGCCAGCTCTAGTTGATGTTTGCTTGTGTGACTTACAGTCTTGATACCTACCTATAGCATGGGAAGTACTGCCTTGGGACGGGTCGTTCGCCTACCGACAAGTCGACGTCGGAAGACTGCCTGTTCTTAGATGTGCAAGCCCCGACAAAGGCCACGGTGCACTCCAAGCTCCCCGTCTTCCTCTACATCCAGGGCGGTGGTTTCAACCTCAACTCGAACCCCAACACCAATGCCTCCGGCCTCATCATCAACAGTGGCTACGACATTGTGGTTGTGAGCCTCAACTACCGCGTTGGCCCTTACGGCTTCATGACGGACAGTGATAAGATTGTGCCCAACAATGGCCTCCGCGACCAGCGCAAGGTGCTTGAATGGGTGCAGAAGCACATTTCCCAGTTTGGAGGCGACCCTAACCACATTACTCTCGGAGGAAGCAGTGCTGGTGCAGCGAGTGTGACATATCACCTTACAGCCAATAACGGCACCAATCGAGGTCTGTTCCATGCTGCAATCGCCGAGTCTCCCTCATTTGCAACGACTCTTTCGGTGGCTCAGTCGCAATACATGTACACCCAGTTTGCAACGCGTGTGGGCTGCGTTGGGAAAGACAGCCTCGCTTGCATGCGCAAGAAAACGGCGGTAGAGCTTCAGACGAGCAACTTCAACATCCCTCTCCCAGGGGCGTCGAAGCCGCCCAACTACATGTGGCTGCCTACCCTCGACAACGAGTTCGTGCAGGACTACACGTACAGAGTCTTTCAGCAGGGCAAATTCATCAGGGTGCCCACCGTCTACGGCGACGACAGCAACGGAGGGACCAAGTTTGCTCCCAAGGACACCGCCACGCTTCAGGAGAGCAACGGCTACGTGCTGGACCAGTATCCCGTGCTCACGCTGGAGATGCTCGGCGAGATCAACGAGCTGTATCCCAACCCCAACACGAGCTGCCCTGCTGTTGGCTGCTACTGGCGACATGCTAGCAATGTATACCAGGAGGCGCGCTACATGTGTCCCGGCATGTACATCAGCTCTGTCGTGGCGAAGCACGGCAAGGACGCCTGGGTCTATCGATGGAACGTCGAGGACCCCGAGCAGATGGCCTCTGGGCTGGGCGTTCCTCACACGGTCGAGCTCAACGCCCTCTGGGGCGCGGACTATGTCGACGATGCGCCGGCGAGTTACCAGGATGGGCAGGTCAATGCGGCTGCTTCGCCCACGATGCAGCACTACTGGCTCAACTTTATCAAGTACTACGATCCTAATGGGAGGAACGCCTATGATGGCAGCAGGTATCCCCAGTGGAAGAAATGGGGGGAGGGAGCGCAGAGTCGACTCACGTTTCAGACGGGAGGCAAGGCGGAGATGATTCCGGTTGACTCGGGCTTGAGGCAGCGGTGCGACTTTTGGACGAGGAACGGCGTTGCCTTGACGATGTGAACAGAATGATGCAGGCTGCATCAGTTGGTTTTGCGTGGAGAAGATATATTGGGTATTGCTTCTGACGGGGGATAAGCTTGTGTCTATATTAGCTGTTAATGAATTGACTCTGGGTACAACGTCGGACATTGGTATATAGCTGAACGTCAACCAAGCTCCAAGGTGAAATCATTGACGAGTTTCTTACATTGATCTGATGGACTGACTTTGATTGTGATGGCTGATGCATACCTGTACTGAGGTAATTAGGCGTATGCGATCTGAAGCCGGCTTCAAGTCTACATGTAAGTGCCTATTCAGTGTACAGAATCACGCCGGGGTCATTGATGCCCGGCATCTGTATAATGGGGCCGACAGTCTTTCTGTTTGAAAAAGTGCTACTGAATGAAAAGACTGGCTGATTATCGCGATTCTCCTGGAGTCTGACAAGACAGACTGCGCAATGACGACACGTGATGGCTGATACCGGGATTCTCCCCGCACGCTGGCTGCAGTATCTTGATAAGCTCTCAACTACATGTACCTACCTAGTTGTGTCAATCTTCTTTTTCTATGCGGCAATACTTGTGCGCATGTAGAAACATCTGCTTTTGGGACTTTCAAATTCACACTCACAAGTTGCTTCTAAAGGATGATGGGGGAAGAGGCTCTGATGATGTGGGTTGGGGGTGAGAGAGTGGCCGGCACTGGTGAGCTGTAAGTCAGGGTTCCTATCCATACCTTGCATGTATCTGTATGAGTTGAACGAGACATAGGCTCACTGTATTGCAGCTTTGCCGTTGAGAATCCAGCTACAGCGGAAACAATTGCAGAGTAGGGATCCCTCCCTTATCATTCATGGGCTGCGCGTTCTGAATCCCAGAGTCGTGCTCTAACTTGCCGTTCACTTGCAGATGCCACTCCGCGTCAGCTCAAGACGTCGACGATACGATCCAACTGGCTCATCGTGTCTTCAAGTCTGGCGTCTGGTCAAAATCACCTCGCCATGCCAGGGCCGACGTGCTAGATAAAGCCGCCGAGCTCCTCACCTCAAACCTCCCTACCCTGATCAAGGCCGAGGTCGAGCAGACGGGCCGCGCAATCCGAGAGATGCAGGCCCAAGTCCCGTCGCTGGTCCGCTGGTTCCGCTACTACGCCGCCGTCCTCCGCACCGAGGAGCGTCCCGTCCTTCCAACGACGGGGAAGCTGCACAACTGGCTGGAACGGGTTCCGCTCGGCGTCGTCGTCCAGATCACGCCTTTCAATCACCCGCTACTGATTGCAGTCAAGAAGCTTGCCCCCGCTTTGGCGGCAGGGAACAGCGTCGTCTTGAAGCCCAGCGAGCTCACACCGCTGACCAGCTTGTTGCTGGGACCGATCCTGAAAGAGGCAGGGCTTCCGGATGGCGTCTTCAACGTTGTGGTAGGCTTCGGATCTACAACTGGACGGTCTCTTGTGAGCCATGCCCTTGTGCGCAAAGTCGACGTGACCGGGGGGACTGTTGCCGGAAGAGCAATCGGCTCCGTTGTTGGCAACAACCTGGCGCGGTTTACTGCAGAATTGGGGGGAAAGGCGCCCCTGGTTGTATTCGAAAAGGCAAACGTTGACCTTGCCGTCAATGGAGTTGCCTTTGGGTCGTTCATTGCAAGCGGCCAGACATGTGTCGCAGCGACCCGCATCATCGTCCACAAGAGCATCTTGCCGGCTGTGGAAGAGAAGCTCGTCCGCAAGGCCGAGTCCATCACACGGCGGATGGGCTCGCCTATGAACTCAAAGTCCTCCATGGGTCCGCTCATCTCATCCAAGCAGCTCGGCAACGTTGTGAATCTCGTGGAAGATGCCGTTGCGAACGGTGCAAGGGTCCTTTGTGGCGGCAAGAGGCTGTCTGGCAGGTCGGCGCTCGACGATATCGACCTTTCCAAGGGCTATTTCTTTCCTCCGACTATTCTAGGCTCGAGTTCGTTGTGCGACATCACAAAGACCAAGATCTGGCGCGAAGAAGCTTTTGGACCTGTGATTGTGCTGGTTGAATTCGAAAGCGAACAAGAAGCCCTCGAGCTGGCCAACGATAGTGAATTCGCTCTGGGAGCGGCGCTGTGGACTGACGACTTGAGTCAGGCTTTCAGAGTCTCTGAACAGATTGAGTCGGGCATTGTCTGGGTCAATACGCACCACCGGAACGACCCGAGCAGCCCGTGGGGAGGAGCTTCGAATGCCAGCGGGGTGGGGAGTGAGAATGGTGTTGAGGCTTATTATGCGTATACGACAACGAAGAGCATCATTGTCAATTATGCTTCCAGTGATGAGGCTGTGGCAGACGACTGGTTTCGAGAAGACGATGTTCAAGTGCGCTATGGATGAAACGGAGAGTCTTTGATGCAGTTTCAGTGAGCTTACTTGTAACATACTGAAGAATCGATGACCTCTGGGTTCTACCTGCTAGCATATCAACAGCATCTCGTGATTACCACCCAAGCTGTGTTTTATGGGGTGGCGATGCAACTTTCGACAACAGGACGCGTCCTATCAGAACGCAACATGTCAATGAACCCATTGTACAGTACGAAGATCAGTGCTGACGGGCATGCGAGTCTGTCACTAAGTAAAACCTTTGGTTAAGTACCGTCTGTTGCGAGTTTCAGCAAGTGACGCTCTGGCTCCAACTCTGGTCAGGTAAGCCGAGTTGCAGGGGCCATCTGTTATGCTAGAAGAGGAAGAGGTTGTGAAGCCGTCAGCAACCTATTGCAGAGTCGATGCTTAACTGTATCTCCTCGAATAGGACAATGGTCATTACTACTTTCGTACTTGCAGGATAATTAACCCCCCTCTCCTGCCAATAGCACAAGACTATCCTAAACAAACGTACAAATAAGAAGCAGATAGTCTACGTAAATAGGCGGACATTTTGGGCGGCATCATATCCGCTGAGGCGCAGCGCGATAGTCAGCGGCAGATCCCGTCGGACTTTGCGAGGTGAAGCGGCCGCCTATATCCATTTGGAAGTCGAGTGTCAGCCTGGCAGCTGATTTGGCGGGCTTGCGGAGAAATAAGAAAAGAACCAGCCAGAGTGCCTGGCGAGCACGAGGAAGTCAGATCTTAGTCACCTGCAGCGTGATAGTCAGCAGGATGCGTTGGCGACTTTGTCGTTTCCTCGGTTTGTTGTCGCGATCGTGAGGCTGGTTGTGTTGGATGCGGAGAGGTAGGGCTGTTGAATCAGGCGGAGCGGACAAACTGGCTCAAACGATGGCAGCGGCGTGTTTGGGGCCCTTTGCTGGAATGCTTGTTCCTGGTCGAGAGAGGGAGATTGGAACATATATAAGTATGAGAAGTCTATAGACAACTGACAATGAAAGAAGAAGAGAGTCAACCGAAAGATTCAATCCATCACAGACCCCCATTCGCACCTCTTCCTGAACCATTGAGCCATTACTTGTAAAGTCTGAGAATGCCTTCATCCAAGTTCTCCCCCGATTCCATCCCCAGCCTCCAAGGGCGAGTGTACCTCGTGACTGGAGGTAACGCTGGCATGTAAGTCGACATGCTAACCCCAACTTTCTCATGAATTGTCAAGACTCACACAAGAATGCCAGTGGAAAGCAGACTGTGATCGGGTTGGCGACCCGCGGCGCCAAAGTGTACATGGGCGCTCGAAGCAAGGGCAAGGCGCTGGCTGCCATCCACGAGATTCAGGAAAAGCACTCGTCCGCCGACATTCACTTCCTCGAGCTCGACCTGTCCAGCTTCCAGAGCGTCATTGCTGCGGCGAACAGGTTGCGCGCTGAAGAGCCTGCGTTGCATGGGCTCATCAACAATGCCGGCATCATGGGCGTGCCCTATTCTCTGACGACGGATGGCTATGAGTCTCAATTCCAGGTGGGTTTGCATCCATCAACTTCAAGCTTGAAAAAACAAGAGCAGAGGGAATTGACACAACGCAGACCAACTACTTGTCGCATTGGCTGCTCACGCATCATCTTCTTCCTCTTCTTCAGTCCACCGCCCAGTCAAGCCCCGAGGGAACTGTCCGCCTGGTCAACGTTACGTCGGACGGCCACGCGGCGTTCCCACCGCCAGGCGGAATCCGGTTCGACGACACGGGGCTGGAGAAGGAGTCTGCCATGATGAGATACGGCCAGAGCAAGCTCGCCAACATCTTGCATACGGTGCAGCTGAATAAGAGATACGGCCCTGCTTCGGTCGGAGCTGGCAACGGAGCAATCTGGTTCGCAGCGGTGCATCCGGGCCATATCGACACGTAAGTTTGAAAAAAAAAAGACGCTGGCTCTCAGTTAGTTGTAATGGAGGCGCAATCGAAAGCTAACCCGGAAGGCCAGCGATCTGAACAAGCAAGCTACGGGGGCTGCGCCTGGAGCCATCCTGCGAGCTGCGACGCCCATCATGCGCTGTCTTGGAGTTCTGGACAAGCAGGAGAAGGGCGCGTGGTCCTCGCTGTTTGCCATTGCCAGCAACGACTTCAAGGGGGCGAATTCGGGGGCGTATGTCGTGCCGTATGCAAAGATTGGGACGCCGAGCGAGCTTGCGCGCGACGAGAGCCTAGCGGAGAAGCTGTGGCAGTGGACTGAGACGGAGCTTGGGGCCAAGGGGTTGCTTGGACAGCAGTGAGTTGTTGAAGGAGATGGGGAGGGGGGGGGGGGGGGGGGGGTATGGAAGCAGATCTTCGCAGTGAGGAGGGATGATAGCCTTATTAGATGATATAATGAACTAATTGATAAATTTGGACAAACAAATCTTTATATAACACATCACAAGGTTATACCTGGATATGGTCTTCTGTGTGATCAGAGTCATGTTGACGGGCCGGGTCCTCCTCTCCTTGTACTGTCCCCTGAGTCGAGTTGACACGGTCCCTGCTCCATCCGCCTCCAGCCAATCACTATCCAGACTTTCCGAGCAAGCCAATGACCCTTTTAGAAGCACTTGGCGCTCCATCAAACTCGATCCGGGATTGTCTCCACGAGTAAGCCGGGATGGCGGTCCCACACCAGATGAGAGTCGGGATATCGGGGGGAGCACCATATGCCACTTCACACTCGTTCATCTCCAACGATGAACTGCGTCTTCGTTAGGTCTCATCTTGAAATGCTTCCACTTGCAGATCTGTGACTCTATATCTCTCGGATGGTCCAGTGGTAAGATGGCGAACCCTGACATCATCTCACAGCACCTCCCAACCAAGACCGGGCGCCGGAGGGTCAAGACGGGGTGCCAGACTTGCAAGTATGTGTGTATCGAGTTGTCCAATGCGATGTGATGAATATAGAATGAGAGTATGGATAGATTGCTTTACAAGTCACTAATCCATATGGAGCAGAAAGCGGCGAGTCAAATGTGACGAGGGACGACCGGCGTGCCAACGATGCCTCTCAACCGGCCGCGTCTGCGACGGCTACGGCATCTGGGGCGGCGGCAACAAAGCCGACGGTAGCTCCAGCAAAGTCTCATTTGCTTCTTCTTCTTCTTCGTCTTCTTCTTCTTCCCCTCCACTCCGTGGCAAGCCGACGCAGACCCTGCAGACGGGTGTCGTCATGTCGCAGAGGCGCTGCATCGCCGGCCAGCCCGCAAGCCTCGGGTTTGAGTACTTTCGGAGATATACCACCACTAAGCTTCCCGGCCTCTTTGAATCCGGCTTCTGGGACTCGTTGGTGCTGCAGGCGAGTGAGCAGGAGCCGGCTGTCTTGCATGCTGTCACGGCGTTGGGGGCCGCACATAAGAATGAGGAGCGCATTTCGTTGACTGAGTACAACGAGGCGATTCGACATTTACGACAGAGCTTGAAGCGTTCTGATAAGGAGGCGTTGCGGGTGTGCCTCATTACTTGCATGCTATTTGTCTGCATTGAGCTGCTTAGGGGGGGATTCAAAGCAGGGCATGCGCATCTCAGCAGCGGTCTCCGCATCCTCCGCGAGATCCAGAGGCGTGATGGCATTATTGCCTCTGACGGCGACATTATCCTACGATCACACGCAGCATCGGTCGAGGATACCCTGGTCGAAGTATTCTCGCGGCTCAACGTGCAGATTGCGCTGTTTGGCCACGTCTCTTCGTATCTGCTGTTTGTGGGCGAAAATTCGGACATGTCAAAGACATACGACATACCTTTATCATTTTCGTCCCTTCGAGAAGCGCGTAAACATTTGGATACTCTCATCAACGGTTCGCACGTCCTTGGAGAGCAAGCCAGTCGTCTAGTTCTAGAACAGAAGCCCATCCCGGAGCTGCTATACGAGAACCAGGGGCGTCTCGAGGCGGCGCTGATGCACTGGCTTCGTGCGCTGGACGCGAGCCGCGAGGCATTACTCACCGAAGCCGACATTCGCAGCAAGTTTGCCACGCCGATGTTGCTTCTCTACCACACCATGACGAGGATCATGGCAGCTACCGCTTTGCGCGGGACGGACGAGATGATATATGACCAGTATCTGCCGGACTTTTCGCTGCTGATCAAGCAGTCTTGCAATCTATGGGACATGATGCGCACAGCAATCAGGAATATGTACGGGGTACGAGGCTATACCAAGCCGGACATCAACTTCACCATCGACATGGGCTTCATACCGCCGCTCTACTATGCACTGGCAAAGTGCCGTCAGCCGAATCTCCGGAGGATGGTTCTCGATCTCTTGAGAGATGTCCCGCATCGTGAAGGCGCCTGGGACGGCTTCACAGTCATCAACATGGGCTACGCTCTCATTGAAATCGAAGAAGAAGGCTTGTATGACGGATGGGACATTGTGCCGAGCTGCAACTTGCCAGATGCGGCGGCAGCGGATGCTTTGCCCGTCGTCCCGGCGTCCCGGCGACTGAACAATGTCAACGTGGCGCTGCCCGACTATACGAATGGAAAGGCGACCTTGTTTGGCCGGCGATACAAGGGTGATGGGCAGTGGGACTCGAAGATTGTGCAGTTTGACTCTGCATTCAGGAAGTTGAACCCTATCCCTTGGGAATGCCTTCAGAGAAAATCCAATTTCTCATGATATCTGAAGGAACTTTGATATGGGACACACCAGTCATTCTCCCATATCGGGGCGAGGAGGAATCGGTGACCCTAGGTCCCAAATAATGGAAGGTATGAGATGGACTGGAGGAAAATTCTACCATAGTGACAAGACTAAGGTACATGTAGGTACCAACTGACAACCGCGTAGACAAGTTGTGCGTGTAAAGAGCAAAGGATATGACAACCAGATCTTGACGTCAACGGATGGCGAGGCAGATGACATTCGAGCACAGGTTCATCGATGCCGTCCTCGAGCAGACACAAGATGGTTTGCCTGGTAACCAGGGTGGAAGAAGACGCCGCTGATTAGCCACTATACATACGTAGGTAGATACAGGGATAGAGTGGCATAGAAGTTGGGGCATACAGGCTCTAAACGCAGGTTGAGAGTTTGTATATATCTATCTGTAATATTTTTTTTCATCTCAATCTACAAACTTGGCTTTCTTTTATGTATCGATCTATAAGATCAAGATCGTCGCTTATCCTTAGAGTAAGGTAGCCTGATATAGCGATAGTAGCAGCGAGTGAGAGTAGAATCGATCTTCTGCTATAGACAGCCACTCACTCCCTGTCTTTGGTACCCTACCTTATTTTGTGTACAACAGACGGCGGTGTCCATTATCGCACCCTTGCATGGGCCAGGTCTCAACAGATGGACTTCCTCTGTTTACGTTGCTCCTTCAACCACCAATATCCACCTCCTCCCGCTCTCGCCCTCAACCCAACATTGGACATTCCCTTGCCATCAACCATGGCTCACTTGACCTTGCAGAAATGGGCCTGACTGAGAAGCACGCGAAAGTCATTGCACAACTGCCAACGAGGGCGATGGCCCAGGGCAGGAAGTCATTGCCGCCCTTCTCTCCGCGTTAGTTGGATCGACGGCTGCCTACAACCTCCAGGCTCCTGATGGCAGTGGTCACGTAGCTGGCAGGCTGTTCTCTGTACTCCTACTCTTCCGGGGAGGCTCTGTGAGGTCTGCCCATTTCCGCACCCTCATTCGCTGCGTCGTTGACAAAAAGAGCGACGTGGACGTGTGGGAAGCTGTCTTTACCACCTTTGGAAACCTCAGCGCCGCGACTCCCCCCCCGTCGAGCATCGCCCCGACGTTCAGAGGCACTCCGATAAAGAGCAGCTCGAGCCGACTTGCCGATAGCGAAACGCGCGACATCGTTGAAGCAGAGCTGTTCTACGAGATCAAGGATTGTACCTTTCGGAACGTTGGCGGGTTCTGGGAAAAAATCTTCAACCCCGAAGGATGGCGCCAGGAGCAGAAATCGATGCTCAAGGCCCTGATGGCATCACACAATGGCAGCTAATGGACCGACTTCCCTGTTGCTGCCGACGAAGGGCCGGTTTGGAACTGGCTCAAGACACTCGAGGGCCGTTACTTGGCCGATGCGCCTTACAAACTCCATACGACCAGATCTGCCAACCATTTTAAGGAACGGAAAGGCCGGATGGATATCTTCTTTCAAGCGCCTGCCACGGAGTCGGACATTTTCGAGTGCAAGAATGCCCTTGTCGTTGGCGAACAAAGGAAGACATATGACAGGAGCAGGTTCAAAGCTGATCTCCTCCAGCTTACGCGCTACGTGAGAGATGTTTTCGCTGATCAGCCCACACGTCGGTTCGTCCACGCCTTCTCACTCTGCGCCTCCATGATGGAGGTCTGGGTCTTTGATCGTTCCGGTCCCTATAGTTCGGGGCCGTTTGACATCCACGATGAGCCAGATAAGTTTGCGCGGACCCTTGTCGGGTACGCAACGATGGACGACGAGGCCATGGGCTTGGACACATTCATGGAGCGGGTAGGCGGGCATCGCTATCTTACGTTGGACGATGCAAATGGCGGAGAGAAGAGGATCAGGCTCGACAAGGCGATGGTCAGGCAGCGAGCCATCGTGTGCCGCGGTACGACGTGCTATAGAACCCGGGGAGGTCACGTTGCCAAGTTTTCGTGGGCGTCCGACAAGCGGAAGCTGGAGGTTGAACAGCTGAAACGAGCAGAAGAACGAGGTGTCAGAGGAGTGGCCAGGGTAGTGGCGCATCGTCGAATTACCACCATTGCATCGCTACGAGAAGGCTTGGAGTTTTCAAAACCTCATCGGTTCAGGGAAGAAGTTCTTCACTTTGAAGATTTGCCTTCTACCGCAGCAGGCGCCAGTACATCAGGCACCAAGCGCAAGTCGTCCTCTGGTCACACGCCCGAAAACACATCTGAATCCAAGAGGCGGCGGTCTAGCAGCCAGAAACCAACCCTGACCGGATCCAACAGAGCATCCCTGGGAGGCAGATCTAAGCCGAGCCTTTATACCTCCGGCGAGGATCTTTGGGAGAATAGTATCTATTCCTGTCTCGTCGTCTCCCCTGCTGGGCGCGTCATCAGCGACTTCGGAACCGTCAAGGAGTTGTTGGAGTCGATGCGAGATGCAATCAAGGCTCATCAATCTCTTTACACAACCGGCAACATTCTGCACCGCGATATCTCGTCAAACAACATCATCATCACCGAACCAGAGGTGGCCGATGGGTTCAAAGGCATGCTCATCGATCTTGATCTGGCAAAAGAAAAGGACAGTGGCCCTAATGGGGCGCGCCATCAGACCGGGACGATGCAGTTCATGGCTGTGGAGGTACTGCGCACGGCAGATCACACCTATCGTCACGATTTGGAGTCGTTCTTCTACGTCCTGCTATGGATGTGTGCGCGGCAGTCATGGCACAATGGCTTAGCCGGTGACGAGAAGCCGCCCAAGGAAAGTCTGTTGCGGAGGTGGGAGATTGGCAGCTTCAAGTATATTGCAGCCGCCAAGGAAGGCGACATGACCGTCAATAGGCTTGAAGCGATCATGGACGAGTTCCCTTCAGTCTTCGACGTCGTCAAACCCCTCTGTTTACGAATCAGGACAGCTCTATTTGGGAATACGGCAAGGCTACACTTCGGAACTCCTGGAGGGGATCCGGCTGAGCTTTACAACCCTATAATAGAAGCCTACGACGAAGCTGTCAAAGAGCTTAATAAATAGATGCGATGGAAAGTCATGGTAGACTAGAGGAGCAGTTGTTCCAAAAAGGGTGGCCCGAGAAAAGGGAGGAAAGGGGAGGGAGGGGGGTTGAGTGTGTCCTTGATTCTTGCATCCTCCCAAATGCAGTGACAGTATTCGTGCAGCCGCCGCAAGAATTCACACAATATCTTGTCGCCAGTCTGGTAATAAGATATTTATGTTCAAGTATCACATCCCTGGCGGTTTCCAAACCTGGTCTGATGTAGAGCAATAGAAGCTACGCCCAGATCCACGGTAACTGGCTTCCCTCATAAGCTGGACTTTGTGCTACTGGGTGGAGGAAGCTCGATGGGGCGACAGCATTCCCTCATACCAGAGCAGGGTGAAGCAGTTTACCCATGGATCAATATGCGCTGATGAGAGAGACGTTGGAGGGAACACCAATAGGGTGGTTGAAACGGGATCTAGCCCCCCATTTACCCACAGATCTCGAGCGTATAATTTCGACGACGTATAGTCATTTGCCAGTGCTTGGAGATCTGGCATGGCAACACGTGGACAATCTGCGTATCCCGCTTCTATCGGCATCCAACTGCCTGTCTGAATCACCTCAGCTCAATGTAGATCCAGATTCAGAACGGTGAAGCAGTTCGGTGGGGGTCTCATAACCCAGCCTCCGCATCGTCTCTGCTTCAGTGGCGCATCCCTAGTGAGGAGATGTGGCCACACCGGGAGTGGAAGCTATGACATAACAGATACTGGCCTGCATGTTTTTGGGCTTCTAGAAACAGGCAACATGGCGTTTCAGCACGTGGTGCAGAGACTATGACGGCTCGGTTGTTCCGTGTAAGCACACTCATGGGCGGTTGGATATGGTCATTGGTTCGACCATTACTGAGGATGGAAGAGAGGCTGATGAGTTTGGGTTATCATGAAGTAGTTTGCTTCAAAACACCACTATCAGCTGAAGCCAACTGTTACTTGGAGCTCATGACTTGGGAGATTTGACGTAGAAGCTAGAGCAGTATGCTGCATGACATGCCTTATCCGGCATTGGGCATCTACATATAATCTGAGAGTGACACAATGACAGGTGCTTGGCCGTCGTATAGACGGCATACTTCGAACCGGCAAGGTGGTACGCGCGAGCAATCTACTATCTCTACTCTTGATAGTACGCAGACGACGCTCCACATAGCCTCGCTAGCGACAAGAACTTGGACTCACGAGCCGTCAGCATGGATATCGGACGGCGCGAGGGCGGCAGCCTATGAGGAAGAGCCAGCTTCTCCGCGAGTTTAGTCGCCGTTGAACCATTGCGCGACGGCTTCGACGCTGGCTCCTTTGTCCGCTTTCAAGCCATTGGCCGTGACGACACTGTGCGACGAAGATTGCAAACCGCCGTATTCCAAAGGCCAGTGTGTTGGAGGAATAGCTTGTCATCACTCGATACGTGGGGGATTTTCTCCTAAGCGCCTCTGTTCCCTCACGGACCTGAAGAGTCTCACGACAACATCGTCAGCCATGCGAGACAACCATTCCGTTCTTACAATACCTGGCTATCGGCATCTACGAGCCATCAACCCTAAATATCTCCTTTGACCCCACAGAGCAAGCTTCAGAATGCGGGGGAGGAAAAGGCATCAAAAGAAGGTCCCCCCGCCTATTCCCCCCAAACCTCCAAGATCGGGCAACCATCTCTCCATTGTCTAGGTGTGACGATTTGGGGCCAAAAATAAGATTATTTAAATAGCCTTATATTAGAAAGAGGAAGAAAAAGGAAAAATACTGTTATAGCTAGCTAAATACATTTACCCACATTCTAGGGCTTTATATTTATATTCCTAAGCATATAATCTAAAGGCGCTAGTTGCCTTTAAGCGCTCCTGAATATTACACACCCCCTAGTTAAAGGAAGTATTATAAACGCATTCCCTTTAACTAAATAATAAAATCCTTAATATTTTCATTCCTTTAATAACCTTATTATTAAAGCCTATGCTTAGGCCACTATTTATAAGCTCCTTTATATTAAAAATAGCAGTAGAATATATAAAGTTATATTATTAAGGAAAAGTAAATAAAAGCTTTATTTATAAAGCATAGTGCAGTAAATAATAAAGGAATAATTAGCCCTTATACTTATAAAGTAAAGCTATTTAAAAAAAGCTCTAGAATAAATAAATAAGCTTTTAATCCTTTATTTTTACTTCCTTCTTCTTTAATTATTATTATTATTATTATTATTATTACTACTGCTATGCCTTTTAAAAAGACTGCTGCCCTTAAGCCCTCTGCTAAATCTAAAGGCAAGCAGCCTGCTAGTATTATTTATCTTATCTTATCTCTTTTATCTAATCTTATTATACTAATCTGTTATTTTTAAATAAAGAAGAAAATAATAATAACTTTAAAACCCTGCGCAGCTGCAGGTCCTTTTACTAATCCTATACCCCTAGCTTAATAAGATCCTGTTTATAAAAATTATATCTAGGCCCTGTTAGCAGGCTAAAGGCCTAACTATTCTTATTATATTAATGCTAGCAGCTGCTTTTAGCGCTATATGCTATATATAGCTAGGTTATATTATTATCCCTTATAATAAGCTTAATTCCTTTTATTTAATTATATAATCTACTAACTGCATATATATAGTTATCTTATATTAGTACTATTTATTTAATAAATAAAGCATACTGCTAAAAAGTTAGATAGAAAGGTATATCTCTTTTCCTCCTAAATTATATACTTAAATGCTAATAAACTAGCAGACTTTTAATACTTATTACGCAGCCCTGCACCTCCTTTTTAAGATATTAAATAATAAGAATATAGCGCTAGATTTAACTAAGGTAAAGGATAAGAAGATAAAGGCTAAGAAGGCCTAGAAGACTATAGCTAAGTATATTTTTTATAAGTAAGCGCTAGTTGCTAAAAGCCTAGTCTATTAATGTTTTTATTTTATTTAAATTAACTTTATATATTATTTTTACTAGCCTACTCTGCTACTTTATTCCTTATATCTTTTATAAATTGCCTGCTCCTTTCTTATTAAGGTTATATAGCTTTAAAAGCTTTATAAAATACTTAAAACGCTAATAAGGCAAAGCCTTTATAAGTCTATTAGCTAGCATCTTATTAATAGGTATATAAATAATATTTATAAAGCTATGCTTATATTCCTGCCTTAACTATATATTCTAGATATTTATATAGTAAAGGCATATATTAATTCTTGCGCTTAGATTAATTATAAGGCAAATGGTTTACTAATTATTATAGTTAATATTCTAGTTAACCTTAAGGTTAAATTTAATTTACCTAAAAAAGTGCTATAAGGTAATAGTCTCTCTTACTATTTAACTTAATATAATTAACTTAGCTTTTATTATACTTATACTAATAATGGCTTACTAAGTTATATTTTAAAGGATAATGCTATTAAATAGGAAAATAAGATATCCTTATAATAACTTCCTAGTCTTTAAATTATTACTAAATAAAGTATTACTTAAGGTATTTAAGACCTTTATTCTCCTACTACCCTTATATTAAATAGCAAGGTGTCTCTTAATATAAAGATAGTAGATAAGCTAGTTAGTAGTATCTGCATATTCTTTTAATAGATTTATAAGGAAATAAGATAGTATTAATACTATAAATATAATGTCTAGTTAGATTATAATTATGCTATAAAGCGTAAAGCTAATCTTTCTTTAATATAGCTTAATCTTTTAAAGTATAGCTATCTCTAGGTTTTTCTTATATTCCTTTATAAGAATAGGAATCTCTAGATTCTAGTCTCCTTTTATAAAATTAAATTATTATATAACTTTCTTAAAATATATATTATAAAACAGATAGATTAAACACTTTATGCAATTCCTAATAATCTTAATCCTTAAGAACTATTTAGCATCTCCCCTTTTATATAACTTATACTTAGCCTTAATCTAGCGCTTAATTTTAAGGAAATAAGCTTTATCTTTCTTATAGTAGGCAGTAAGGATATTATCTATATAAAATTCTATAAACACCTTCCTATTTAGTATATAAAAAAGGCATAGCTCTTTAAGGCATGCTTTTATCCCTAGATTTATTAGAGTTAAAAAGAACTTATTAAACTATAACTTTAGTAAATCCTTAAAACTATATAAAGCTTTTTTAAGCTTTAGATAGGTGTTAGCTTTATAAAATCCCTCTAGTATTTATATTATAATAAGGAGGCTATCTTTATCCTAGGATGCATTAATAAACGCATTTTTAATATTATACTGCTTAATTTTAAGCTTAAATCTTACAGCTAAAGTAATTAGTATATAAAATAAATATACTATAAGTATAGTAGCATATATACTCTTAATTATAAATTAGTTTTATAAATCCCCCCTTACTATAAGTCTTACCTTATAGTAATTAAAATAGCTATCTTAGTTAAACTTATAAATAAATACCTATCTTATTAATAATAGTATTATTTTTACTTTATTAATTAGGATCTCTTTTTATATTCCCTTAAATTATAATGCTTAAATCTTAACTCTTATAGCTTCCTTAAACTTCTCCTTTAATAAATGCTTTTATATCTCTCTCTAGCTATTTAGTAGCTTAGCTAAGTTATTAAAGTAAATGCATAGCCTGCTTAATGCCGCTCTTATTTTATAAGCACTCTTTTACTTAGCTGCTTTACTAAGTATTATAAAAACAGTTTTAGTAATCTTTATATTTATATTAGACAGGCTAATCTTATTAAGCTATATCCTATCTAATAGTAATTTAAAGAAGCCTATAATAATAATATAAATCCTATCCCTAACTTTATTATATCTAGTCCTTCTTTTTTAATTAAGGGAATAGTTATTAACTGCCTTTAAGAGTTATTCTTTATAAAGCTATATGCTTTTATATAGCAGAGTAAAAGGTTAAACTTCTTCCTAAAGTAAAACTTTATCTTTACTATTATTAATACTACTCTCTGCTATTATAAATCCCTTTATAAATTTAGCAGCTTCCTTAGCTTCTTTTAAAGCTTATAATTACTACTAGATCTGCTTATCTTTATTAAATTCTAGTATTTAAGGTTCTTTAGCTATAACTCCTTTAAGGGGCTAACTTTTTATTAGCATTTATAGTTAATCCTTTACTTAGCTACTTATATCCTATATACTAGCTAAGCGCTTAAAAGCATACTCCTGCTTTAGCATTAAGGCATAATCTAGCTCTCTCTTTAAAGTGTTATAAAGTATATTTAGCCTTATAAGTATAAAGGCTTTCTTATTTATAGCAGCAGGTCCTTTTATTATAATTTAAGGGATTTCCTATACTTCCTTCTCTACCCCCTAGCTTATATATATTATAAGCTGCTTAGCAGGTTCCTCTAAGTTATAAAGATAAAGGCTTAACAGCAGTATTAAGATATTAATATCTTCCTTTTCTAGGATATTATTAAACAGCTTATTTAGCTGCTTATTAAAGAGCTTAAGAGCTAGCAGCTCCTGCAGTTTAAAGAATATAGTCTTATTAAATATAACATTTTTAATCTTTAAGACCCTGCTAAGTTAAGGAATCTAAATGTAATATATATTAAAAGCAGAATAGCTAATAAGATATCTAATTAGACCTCTAGGGCTTATTTTAAATAATTTCTTATTCTTATTTACCTTATATTCTTTATTTAATATATAGGCATAGCAGCTATATATATAGATCCTGCTTTAGTCTAGCCTTAAGTCTGCTTTATAATAATAAATTTTTAAAAAAGCAAAATCCCTAAACTAATGTTTAAGGCAATCTATTAAACTAAGCATCTTATTAGCTTAAGATAGGCTTATATTATATAAATATACAGCTGCTGCTATACTCTTAGGCTAAAGGTTTATTAGTAAATTAGCTGCAGAGATTATCTTAATAGATTTAACTATTATCTTTTTATTAGTATACTTTTTACCCTTATTTAGCTTATAAGTGTAAGGAGGTGCTAATTTAAGAATAAGGCTATAATACTTTACTTCCTTTTAAAATAAAGACTTGCCTTAGATTATAATTATAGCTTTTTTATTATCCTGCTATAAGATAATAACATTAAGTTTATATTATCTTTTTATATAGCTAATAAAGTTAAAAAAAGTATAAAAAATTATAAGTTACTCCTTATTAAGCAGCAGCTGTATATATATCTATCTGCTATATTTATCTTTAATTAAAAGGAGCTAATTGCTTTTATTAAAACCTAGATTATAATTTTAAAGATCTTAATAAAGTTATTAAAAGGGTCTTAGTAAGCGTCTCTTTAATAATCTTCTTAAAATCACTTACTTAGCTTTAGCTAAAGTATAAAATTTATAGTCTAGCTACTTAATTCTATTAATTTATATATTCCTTATATAATATACTATTACCTTAAAGGCAGCTAGTCCTAAATAGCCTAATTATAAATACTATAAATATTTAAAGTCAGATCTTAAAAAAGGTAGATCTCTTAATAGTCTTCTTCTTCTTATTATATTATAAATGCCTTAATTTAATGCTTTATTATATATAGCTTTAGTAAGCTGTATGCTTATATAAGAAGGGGAAATAGGGTTATATTAAAGGAATAGTAAATTATGCTTATATATAAGCTTAGCTAATACTATTTAATTAGCAGGCTCTCTAAAGCATAGTAAGTAATTATAACCTAAGTACTAAGCTCCTAATTAACATAAGCAAGCTTTTAAGACTATATTAATATAAAAGCCTTTAATAATAATAATATCTTTAAGTATAAGATCTATTTTTAAATTTCTATCCTCTCCTTTTAGTGCTCCCTTAATAACCCTTATACCCTTACTAAATATAAAGAATTATATAGTGCCTGCTTTTATAAAGTCTCTGCTTATATTAAAAATAAATATTCCTTTTTTAAGTAAGTTAATATTATTAACTAAATAAAGAGCGCTATAAGAATTTAGCAGGGTGCTTTATAAAAGCAGATAGATGCTATTTTTAAATATAGTATATATCCCTAGTCTGCTTTCTAAATTAAGAAAGCTAATAAGGTTAATAAGCGCTATAATTAGTTTATTAAGTATAGATTTAGTTAGCTTAAGGCTATTACTGCTATAATCCTGCACTTAGAAAAGATTCTTTAAGTATAACTCCTTCTAGATGTCTAATTAGTAGTAATTATAAATAATCTTAATATAGGCCTTAAAAGGTATACTATATATTTTAGGATTCTTCTTCCTAGTTAAGGCATATTTTAGCTTCTAGTATTACTTAAGTAGCTATATATAACCTTCCTCTCTCTTATCCTTATAAGGATATTTCTTAAAAGATAAACCTTGCCTTTTACTACTTAATCTGCCCTTAACTGCACCTTTAAAAGCATTTAATCTTCTAGCTAATATAAGATATATCTTATTCCTTTTCCTTACTAGTTAATATTTTATAATTATATAAAATATAGCTTTATATTAGTATAAGGAAGAGATAGAAGATATTTTAGTTATTTTTAAGATTATAAGCTTATTTAAGGCTTATATTACCTAGGTTAAGGTAAACCTAACTAATACTATACTTAAGAAATTAATAATAGCTATATTACTTTAAATCTTTAAAATCTGCAGTTAAGATGCCCTTACTACTGCCTTAAACTAATAATTAAACTAAGCTTAAGGGTCTATTCTTAAGGCATAGGCCTTATTTAGCACTGCTTAGTAGCTCTTTTATATAGCCTTAAAAATGCTTAAGTTACTAAGAGTGATTATCTTTTTAAGATCTTTTAAAAGCTTATAGGTTATAATAACTTTATATTTATTAATCTCTCCTTTATTATTCTTTTTAAGAGTATCCTTAAAGGCTTAATAAATTCCTCTACTAACAGTCTTAATAATTTAAAAGCGCATAGTATTATTCTTCTTTTTTAAATTAAAAGCATTTAATTATTTAAATTAGAATTTAAGGAGCTAGGCATAATATATAGCTGTTATCTTCTAAAGCTTTAAAAGCAGATTATCTTTACTTAAAGCAGCTACTAGCTTTTACTTTATATCTTCTTATAAAGGAACTTTATTAATTATAAAGTTATTACTAGCAGCTAATAAAAGCTTAAGATTAATCTTCTCTTAAATCCTATATACTTAAGTAAAAGACTTAAGTATTTTAATCTAATCTAACTAATCTAGTTATACTATAAGCTTAACTAATACTAATAGCATAGCTAAGAAATCTTTAGTTAATTCTATTATAAGATTTAAGGAAAATAAGCGTATAAATATAATAAAACAGTATAAAGGGCGCATAAGAAGTTACTAATAAGGTACTCCTATACCACCTAGGCTTATAACTGTAATAATTTAGGGCTAAAAATAGGATTATTTAAATAGCCTTATATTAAAAAGAGGAAGAAAAAGGAAAAATACTATTATAGCTAGCTAAATACATTTGCCTACATTCTAGGGCTCTGTATTCATGTTCCTAAGCATACAATCTAAAGGCGCTAGTCGCCTTCAGGCGCTCCTGAACGTTACACTAGGCTAAAGAGGCCCCCCACGAAACCAGACCGAAGAGTTTCTCGCCATTGTTCATCAGTCTTGCTCTTCCCCGCAGCTTGGGCGATAAGCCCAGAAACTTGGGGAGAAATCCGACATCTCAGCTCGTCAGTTATTGCCATGTTATCCGCGGCTCGGCCATCGGCCAAGTCCCGCCTGCTGGGCTCTCCCGACACAATTCGACCCCCCACCGTAGGTTTGCGAGGGTCGATTCTCTGTAGAGATTGATTGACCGCGTACGCAAGACATGATAAAAGGAATAGGAATCATGCCGAGTTGCCTGCTTCCGAGTGCAACCCTGCGATAGCAGTTTTCCTTGGAACCAATTACGGTTGCTTGGCTCCTTGGCTATCACACCGAGGTGGTGTGCCATTCTGACCTTCTTCCCTCGAAAGACGCCCTTTTGTCTGTCTTTGCGTCAGTAAGAGACGGCATACCGAACTGAGTATTGGTTGACGATTCGAAACTGCGGAGAAACCGAGACGGACCCTGGGCATATCTAATCTCCCATAAAGGCCGTCACCATGGGCCAGCAAGAGTTCAACGAAAAGGACGATGGAGGTCTGCAGTCCGTGTCTTCGTTCCGTGCCGGAGTAGCGAGCGGCGTGCTTGAGGATTATGCAGACCCGAATGTCCAGAATGAGGCCGAAAACACTCACAAGGGAGAGTTTGGCACGAAGCGTGACCTTGTAAGTCGATGGGTGCCCAGTGAGGCAACAGAGGATACGGCTGATTCAAAGTCCCATGCCCTAGAAACCTCGCCAAGTGTCCATGATTGCTGTTGCTGGTACTATTGGCACGGGTCTCTTTCTTGGATCTGGTGCTGCCTTGGTGAATGGCGGTCCTGTGGGTTTCTTCCTCGGCTATGCAATCGTTGGATGTCTGGTGGGCATGATGATGTACTGCCTGGGCGAGATGTAAGTTTGAAACTGCCCCTTACCTGGCTTGATACTGATGATACGATGTGAAAGGACTGTCTTTGCACCCAACATTGGCGGCTTCATCGAAATGGGCAACAAGTACATCGCCCCCGAAGCAGGTTTCGCCATGGGCATCAACTACATCCTCCAGACCGGCCTGGCCATCCCCTCAGAAATAACCGCCGCGGCCGTCATGATCAGCTACTGGGATGATGCCTCAAGTCACGTCTCAGCATACATTGCGGCCTTTCTGGTCCTCAGCATCGGCATCAATCTCCTCGGCGTCAAGTACTTTGGCGAGGTCGAGTTTGTGTTTGCCTGCGTCAAGGTCCTGATGCTTGTTGCCCTCATCCTGTTCGGCTTGATAGCTGATGTCGGGGGCATCAATGGCGTGTACACGGGTGGCCGCTATTGGAGGGAAGAGCCTTTCAACGACACATTCGCCAGCCTGTCGCCAGTCTCGCTCGCGCGGTTCCTCGGATTCTGGAAGGTCCTCACCCAAGCTGCCTTTGCGTTTGGTGGTATTGAGGGTATTAGTGTGCTGGCCGGAGAGGCGCACAACCCTCGAAAGACGATGAGGCGGGCTGTTCGAACAGTCTTTTATCGCATTGGTAAGTTGATGAAACTCCTGCATTGGTCAGGGCCGTGATATTGACCTGTTCGTTGTATAGTCGGTCTGTACCTCCTTACTGTCTTGATGATCTCGCTCAACGTCAGCCAAAGCTCCAAAGACCTCATTGCTGCCGTCTCCAAAGGTGGCGCAACTGCTGCTTCATCGCCATTTGTGGTCATCTGCCAGCAGACTGGTGTCAAGGCCCTTCCGAGCGTGATAAACGCCGTGGTCATGACGTCTGCGCTCTCATCTTGTAATGAGAACATCTTTGCTGTAGCCAGGACCTTGTTGGCTCTGTCTCGTCAAAGTAAGAAGGCCGTTGCCATTCCTACACAATGCTACAATACCATTAAGTATTGACAAAATTCTAACGTTCTTTGCTTAGGATCTATGCCCAGGTGCTTCCTCAAGACGAGCCGCTTTGGCACGCCCTTTTATGGCGTTGTCGTCTCTTTCTGCTTTGGACTGCTGGCTTTTCTCTCAGTCTCCAACGGGTCAGCCCAAGCCTTCATCTGGCTCTCCAACCTGTCGGGTAAGTTACTCTTTGTGTATCCTTCATTCCGAAAGGAGAAACTGTCTGACAGTTGCATCTGTAGCCCTTAGTAGCTTGATCGCATGGATCTCCATCTGCGTCTGCTTCGTCAGGTTTCATCGCGCCCTTCAGATTCAGGGCATTGACAGAAAGAATCTCGATCTCCGGGGATGGTTCCAGCCATACATGGCGTGGATCTGCATCTTTGCCTTTACCATTATCCTGTTCTTCAATGGATTTCAGGCCTTCATCCACAAATTCTCGGTATCGAGCTTCTTCGCGTCCTATGTGACGCTGCCAGTGGTCGCCTTGGCCATCTTTGGCTTCCGGACTTACTTATGGCGGACCGGAAAGCCGTATGGCTTTACGGATCTGGCTGAGGTTAATCTCGGCAATGGGCCGGCCAGGGCTCTTCAGGGGACCAAGTATGATCTTGGATCTTAATGTAGCTGACGAGGCCTCCATCGTGGGACCAGTCGAGGACAATGAATCAATGCAATACAAGTTGCTTATTGCTATCCGACTCCAACACAACGTGAGGCTTCGAACGAGTCCGAATCTGTAAACCGTCTGAGAAAACAGTGTATACAGGCGGAACGTCAACCATCCCTCTGATGACGTCTGGTATGAACACCACAAAGGTGCCTGCATGGATGTCAGTATGTGAGGCGGGGTTGAGAATACGACGTTGCCAATCACTAAGAAGATCTTCATGACATTACTCTTTTCAGTCCTTAGCACGGATTGAGGAGCAAGGAGATAGAGTCGGGTGTTACCCTGACATCTCCAACTCTCTCCAAATACTATTGAGACTATTCCCGGTCATGATAAGAAATGTTACCTTTGCACAGCATGTGACTCGACTCACACAGAAGCCTGGTTATAGAACTTCCCCCGCTTCCTCATGCGATACTCCGCGTTCCGATCGTTTCACGGCGCTTGAGATGAATCAGGCAGTTCGTTATCGCCAAAGGAAGAAGCGGAGAGTTTTTGGAGGACAAGAACTCCACCATGTCCATAGAATCCTCTCACCACATACGATATGTTCCCGTACGTTACTGTCACTCTGCATGGACGCTAATAGCCGTTCTTCAGGTTATGCCACTAGAAGTCAACGGTTTCTGTATCCTGAAGACGGGAGGTTCTCATATAACAGTGTGTGAGGCTTCGTATGAGGTTGACAAACGTCTCATGATACCCATAGATCTAGATCTACGAGATCTCTGGTGCATACCGCCAATCACGGAACCACCTTCATTTATTTGTTCTTAGAGGTAGAGGAGGAAAAACCTGTAGCAGACGCCCTAGAGGAGGGTTGCAGCCACCTCTTCAGGGGTACGCAGAATGAACCGGCATTGTGCAAATTCGGCAATGCACTTCCCCCTCCTAGTCCGAGACATGCTCATCACAACCAATGGCGACGTGTCTCAAGGCATTGAATGCTGGTGCGGAACGTGACGTCCGGAATGTAGCCTCTATCGGATTGTTGACCCAACGGCTGATGAGCTCTTGTGATCAGACGCAGACGATGTAACGCAGGGAAATGAGAGAAATGCAGAGTGATCTGGGGGGGGGGGGGGGGCTTGTGGGCGTCGATGAGAGACAGTGGGATACATATGGAGCCGTGATAGCACCCTTCGTGGTGCTGAGTAGTCTGCTTCTTTTCAAAGAACAAGAGGCTGTGAGAGTAGTATGGCAAAGCTCAACGGAGCCGTCAAGGCAGCAAGTCTAGTCTACGGGCTGGCTGCCACCACAACAGTCCAAGCCGCTTCCTTTGACCCCTTGACATACGTCGACCTGCTCATCGGCAGCAGCAACGGCGGCAATGTCTTCCCCGGAGCCACTCTCCCGTATGGCATGGCCAAGGCCGTAGCCGATACCAACAGCGGCAGCAACCAGGGCGGCTTCACGCTGGACGGCTCGTCCGTCACCGGCTTCAGCGTCATGCACGACTCCGGCACTGGAGGCTCGCCGTCTCTGGGCAACTTTCCGCTGTTCCCGTACACCTCGTGCCCCGGCGGCGAAGTGGACGGGTGTTCGTTCCCAAAGAATGACCGCGTCAAGTTCGGCGCCTTCTCCAACGAGAGCGTCGTTGCGAAGCCGGGCTACTTTGGCATCACGCTCAACAGCGGGGCAAAGGTCGAGATGACAACCTCGCAGCATGCGGCGCTGTTCAAGTTTACGTTTCCCGACGCGGGCCCTGATGACAAGCCGCTTATCCTGCAGGATCTGACGGATCTGTCAAACTCGCGGCAAGATAATGGCACCGTGAGTGTCGACGGAGATACAGGCCGCTTTACCGGCAATGCTGTGTTTGTTCCCAGTTTCGGTACCGGCACGTATAAGCTGTACTTTTGCACCGACTTTGCTGGTGCAGACATCTATGACAATGGCATCTTTGTCAACTCGCGTGCAAGTGCCGACGTCAAGGACTTGACCATTTCACGCTCTATCAATGGCTACCCGTTGCCAGGTGGTGCGTTTATCCGCTTTGCCAGCGCCCAAGAGCCCATCTATGCTCGGACAGGCATCAGCTTCATCAGCAGTGCCCAGGCATGTTCCAATGCAGAGAAGGAGATTACAGAGTGGGATGTCGACAAGTACGCCAGCGAAGCCGCCGATGTCTGGCGAGAGAAGCTTTCTCCAATCACTATCGAGGCGGGCGAAGGCGTCGGCGACGACTACATTAAGTCGTTTTACTCGGGCATCTACCGCACCATGGTCAATCCGCAGAACTACACAGGCGAGAATCCTCTCTGGGACGATGGCGAGCCGTACTATGACTCGTTCTACTGTATCTGGGACTTGTTTCGATCACAGATGCCGTTCTTGACAATTCTGGATCCGACAACTCTTACGGAGCAGATTCGGTCCCTGATCTCGATTTATAAACATACCGGCTGGCTGCCCGACTGCCGCATGAGCCTCTGTCCGGGATACACGCAGGGAGGCTCAAACGCAGACAATGTGTTGGCAGATGCCTACCTCAAGGGCCTCAAAGACGGCATCGACTGGGAAAAGGGCTACGAGGCTGTCGTCAAAGACGCTCAAGTCGAGCCCTATGCGTGGTCCACCAGCGGCAGAGGAGGCATAGACTCGTGGAAGAGACTGGGCTATGTGCCCGTCCAAGACTTTGACTACAAGGGCTTTGGAACCATGACCCGCAGTATCAGTCGGACTCTCGAGTACAGCTACAATGACTTTGCCATTTCCCAGATTGCGGGAGGACTGGGCAAGAAGGAAGACCAGGAGAAATACATCGAGTCCAGCGGCAACTGGCGGAATCTGTTCAAGGCTGACCAGACGTCTTTCTTCTCGAACGGAACTGATACTGGTTTCAAGGGGTTCTTCCAGGCCAAGTTTTTAAATGAGACGTGGTTTACGCAGGATCCGTTGATGTGCAGCAATCTGGATTCCAAGAGCATCTGCTCGCTTCAGAACTCTGGGGCTGAGACCTTTGAGAGCAGCACCTGGGAGTATGGCTTGTAAGTTCAGCAATATTGCCATTTATCTCTCATACTTGGTCATCGTACTGACTCAGTCTCTTCATAGCTTTGTTCCGCACGACCAGGCTAGCCTGCTCGACCTCTATGGCGGTCCTGATTCATTCGTTGACCGCCTCTCGTACATGCACGATCAACAGATTACATAGTGAGTCTTCATCAGTGCTGCTCTTTGACGTGCAACTGACCATACTCTAGTATCGGCAACGAACCGAGCTTCCTCACTGTGTTCCAGTACCATTATGCCGGGCGACCAGCCTTGTCCGCCGAGCGCAGCCACTTCTACATCCCCAAGTACTTCGCCCCTACACCAGCTGGCTTGCCGGGCAACGATGACAGCGGCGCCATGGGCAGCTTCGTTGCCTTTTCCATGATGGGCTTGTTTCCCAACCCCGGCCAAGACGTCTATCTAATCATCCCGCCCTTCTTCGAGAGCGTCAGCATCAAAAGTCCCGTTACGGGCAAGACTGCAACGATTCGCAATGTCAACTTTGATCCTACTTACAAGAATGTGTATATCCAAGAGGCTACTTTGGATGGAAAGCCTTATACTAAGAACTGGATCGATCACAGCTTCTTCACGGAAGGAAAGGAGCTCGTGCTGACTCTTGGGGATAAGGAGAGCTCTTGGGGTACACAGGTGGAGGATCTGCCGCCGAGTTTGAGTCCTTACAATAGTAGCAGTGAGGCTCATACCACTGCTCCAGCGAAGAGATCGTATGTGCCGCGCTTTGACGGTGGCATCTTGGGAATGATGTTTAGTTAAGATGCTTGCAGTGGAAAACAATGGAAGTTGTCACTTCAACAAATACTATTAACTCATACGCAATACCGCTTTAGGATCGGAGATTGTGACTGCAGCTCCGATGAAGCCAACATTGCATTTCAACTCGATGAAAGAGAGGACATACCGACCCGATAAAGGACTCCCAGCTTCTTCTGAGAAAATTGTATTTTTCAGCAGCATTGCAAATGCATGTAACAATTCCAATTACAGAGAGAGTATATCCTCCAAAAATACTTTTACGCCTCGCAAAAGAAACCGGACGCCAGATTCCGCTTGAGATCCCCCTACATAACATACATTTTACCAGACAAACATTTCCTCAAACAGCTCAACATCAATGTGAACCTTCTTCGTCTGCCTAATGACAGCTTGCCTCGTCGTGTCGGCAATCTCCGCCGGACCGCAGACAAAAACGGCCGTCTTGCCCTGCGACTGAGTCACAAAGTCGTCCACCGTAGTGTGAATGTCAGGCCGCATCTTCTTGAATCGCTGGTCGGGAACGCTGTTTCCAGCTTCTTCCGTCTTGGGCGTAGAGCTGGATGAGCCTTCCGAAGTGATGTAGAACTCCATGTTCAGCTTCGATGCTCCTTCAATGGCGCGGAGGTCGTTGGCAAGGACGTCTCGGACGAAGCCCTCGTGTCGAACAACCCAAACCAGGCGGACGTTTGGGGGAGGAGTCTGGGATTGCTTCTGGTCTTCAAAAAACATGCGGAGATAGGGAAGCACGGTGGTGATTCCGCTACCGCCAGCAATGAACAGGACATCGTCAAAGTGGTCGAGGCGAGCAGGCGTGCCATATGGGCCTTCGAGCAGGACACGCACACGAAGAGGGCCGGATTCGCTCTTGCTGACCAGCTTGTCTCGCAGCCTTCGGGTCATTCCATCGCGAGGACGGATCATGAAGGTCATGTAGCTGTCGCCCGACTCGGACGCCAGCTCCGTCACTCGAGGAGACTGAGCACCGGTCTTCTTCTCGCTAGGCTGGTCGCTGCTGCTGCCGTAAGCGGGACTGTCGTCGAGTTGCTTCGATCGTCCGGCCAGTGTAAAGGGGTGAGACTCCCAGAAGTGCATGCCGGGGAGGTACACGAAGTAGTAGGTTCCGGGCGTCTGGCGGCTGCAGTTGATTGAGGGCTTGACCTGAAGACGAATTATGCCCGTCTCTTCGCTGTAGCTGGCCAATGCGAGAGAACCCTTGCCGAGAAGCGTCTTGTAATTCATGGCCAGGACTCGCAGAATGCGGAGGAAGTGGTCGCCGGCCCAGAGGCCGACGCAAGCCCATACCCAGACGAGGTAGACACCCTTGAACTGGTCTTTGACGTGGCTGAGATATGTTAGTAGACGGACAAAGATGCCTGACAGATCAGACTTTTGTCTACTTACTAGTACAGGCAAGCAAGGAAGACGGCTGCGAACGCAACGTGAGTTGCCTTGAAGAACTCATAGACTCTGTTGCGCAGAGGGGCAAAAGCAAACAGGGACGAGAGGCCTAGTGCGACGAGCATCTGTTTCTGCGTAAGTCTTTTGTACTTTGTAATATATTCATCAGGGTATGGCTTACAGTAATGCCGTAGCGAAATACCAAGTCGTCCTTTAGCTCTTCGTGGTAGCCTTCCCATCCTTGTTCTTTTCCTGATGTTAGCATACATGTCTGGTTGGTGCTGCCGGCAAGGGAGCGCTTACCATTGACGTAGTAGGCCGAAAACACTACGCCGTGTATGATGCCCTCCACGACCAGAGTCAGGGCAAGCCAGCGGTGAAAGAGGCTGAATGTCCTGTAGCTCCATCCAGTGGCGTAGATGAGAATGTTGGCTCTTCCGCTGAAGAGGAAAATGAACGGGAGCTCAGCGGTCATGAAGATGCCGAGTCTGTCGGCGAGGATTCGGCAGACCTGTCCCGTGATTGTCTTGTAGCTGGCATTGAGGTTAGAACATCATCTCCAAACAGCCAAAGGGTTAGTCGCCGCTTACTAAATGTTATGTTCAAAGACAGGGTAGTGGAATGCCAGCATAAAGATCGTGGTGATAACGTAGCCAGCGATGACCAGAGATTGCAGACGGAGAGGGATAGTGAACCATCCCAGGGGCTGATGATGGTGATATGAGAAAGTAGGGGCCATCATGAGGTTGCGGTGGAACCAGCCTTTTACTTTGGCTCCCGCATCGGTCTTTCGTACGGGCTGACTGGAACGCTTCACCGGGAGAAGTGCATAAAGGTGGCTGATTGTGGCCAGACCCAGCACCAGTCCCCAGTAGCCGTACGGAATCCATCTATCCAAGGTTGTCTCGTTAGAAAGGGGAAGCATTACGAGGAAGAGGGTGGCGTTCTGTCAGGCCACTTACCGGAGCTTCTGGTGGTATACAATATTGGTGTAGTAAGTGTTGACAGTCCGATGGGCAATGTTCCAGTTGGCCTCCGAGGGCATCGAGACAACGTCCACCACTGTCTTTTGTGTCTGCTCAACGGTAGGGAGGCTGTCAATGTACTCCTGCGTCACATTGGCGACTGTGCTCTCATATTCCTTGAGGTTGACCAGCTTAGAGGACTTCTTGCACGCGCCAGCCCACCAGTTGATGCCCGGCGCGAGGTCCTTTTCCTCGCAGTGCTCCCACAGACACAAGTAGGTCGAGGTAATCCGCAGAGGATGAGTGCAGAGCGTCTGCTCAGTTACATTGTCGGAGGCGAACTTTATCTTGGCGAGGGTGTAGTAGCAAGAAGCTCCGCAGACTTCGAGGCCCAGGGGCTTGGCCGCATGGGCACAAGCAACGAAGAGGAGGCACACGAGGTAGGAGAGCCGTGACAACATCTTGTTATCTTGGAGCCTCGTTGGGAGCAGCCTACGGTGCTTTGGGAGGAGCCTGACAAGCCGGAACAGCAGAGCGAGGACTCGGCGAGTTGATGATATATAGAGTACGCCCGGCGAGTTCCAGGCCTTCATTACCAAGATTCAGCAAAGCAAAGTGTATCCACACCGTTGGCTCATGGTAGGAGAGTCCATCGGCCGTCATCCGAGGATGGCAATAGCGTGGCCATGGTTCCTGTTTCTGCAGTCCATCTCCCCACAAAGAATCATATATCAGACGGCCCAGCCAGTCGGCCTGCTGCGGAAGACTACCTTTTCTCGTGGGAAAGAGAAAAAGTCCACATCTCGGGCGTGCTAACCGTGTTATCACGACTCAACGTCACAAAGCCAAGCCGGCAGAGACCTCGGAGTCGGCATTCGGGACAACATTGTTCTAGGGCTGGGCTGGAAAGTGTAGGGGTTTTGTTCTAGCTTCAGATCTCTCAACAGCCAAAATGGAAACATTTGTGGGATTGTCAGATATGAAATGCCCTTGACAGCTTCCCAATCATGCGTGAAACGGGTCTGCGGAGCCTGCGGTTCCCAGTCGGGGTGTGGAGAAGGGGGGGAGGGATGCTTCATGTAATGCTGATGAGCCTAAGCAGGCATAAGGTGCGTCTCTCGTGTGTAGTGTACGAGGAAGTCAATCGACACACCTCCCCAAGCTGAATTATACGTGAGTCCGTCGATATTAACCAAGGACCGATAAAGACAAATTAAAAGAAGAGAGGGCGGAAATGCAATGTAACTGTGAACCGTGCTGAGGTTCGAACGCAAAAGTCCAAGGAGTCAAAGGGAGGCCACAGATGAGTCCTGTCTCTCTCTCTCTCTCTCTCTCGCCGAAGCATCAATCTCTGGGTCTCCCACGACCCACGAACGGTACGAAAAACGTGAGAGCGCCGAGTTGGCCTGTCTACTGCCACGACCTAAGGCAACTAAGTGGGTAGAACTGCAAATAAAGCCAGGGATGGTGGAGTGACGATGCCCGCTTAGAGATTAGATGGATTGATAAGATGATCAGATAAAATTTTTTCGCAAGCCACCGCCCGTCACCAAAGTATCTTGTATCTCGAGAACTCCTGTTTTCGCTCCAGTTTCCTCTTTTGATTGGTCTGCCGGGACTTGGTTCGGGTCTTTACGTGAGAGGGTAGGGGTGGTAGGGGAGTTAGGGGGGGTTTGAAAAGGTTCATGTTTCCGTGGGCGAACCCACAAGAAGAGGCCACTAAATGCCTCGAGCTTTGCTGCCCTCAGAAGCACGCCATTTATAATCAGTCGACCCAACAAAGATGCCCTTTTGTTTTGTCTGTTTGGGTCCGCTGAGAGGATATGGAAAAGTTCCTATTGAGCCGAAAGCCGTGGCGGTTGGCTGCGGGCGTCGCTGGGGGAAGCCATTGCCCAGGAACGATCGGGAGAAGTGAGAGAGATGGAGAAATTCCTGGAGGAGGAGGCACTGTCACATTTGCAGACAGTTTTACTTTCTCCCAGCCGAACTGATGGTCCATATGAACATCCCAAGGGCAAGTGAACGAGCTGCCAATCTCATCACTCCAAGTCACATTAGCCTAGATAGGTAGCTTGATGATGGTCAGCAGTCGTTGGGCCAGCGTCAAACTGCCGGTTCAATGTCGGCGGCAGGCCTCGACTGATGCTTTACCATCCTTGCCATGATGCTACGCTTAATGACCATTGTGAAGCTTGTTTTGGCCCGGCAAAAGACCAGGCGCAAAGTCTTTCCTGACGAGGGGGGGTTTCACGACGCGGCGGCAGTTTAGCCATCCACTCATATTTCTGCCCTTTCAAATAAGGTAGACTACATGTAACTGCCACGCATGAGGGGGGTCTCCAAATGCCGCAGATCGATAGACTTCTTCTTAGTGGAGGGTGTCACCGTATGGTTGCTGCTCGGCGATTCGGGGATACCGCCGTCTGTCATGACCGTTTGCTGTGTTGGGCTATCTGGCATTGGTTCTGGGCGACACATTGACGATAGCATCTCGTATCTACTTCGTATCGCTGGCGGACTTTAATATACACGTCTAAAGATGGTACTATCATTGCTCCTTCTTGATAGAGCAACGCTCGACAGGCCACTCGGGGGCGGAATCATGGATCCAGCCGACGAAGATATCTATCCTTGCCACCTCGTCTTGCTCGTCCATGCATAGATCTCATTAGAAGACAATGCAACGCTGCTATATTAAGTAGCAGCTTATAACATCAACAGCAACAAGTTTCCACTCGTGGAGCCGCTGCCTCCGTCTTATCGATCATGCTTTTCGCTTATTGTAGATGCTGGTGCTGTATCTGGCAGTCCGAATGCATACAAACCCCGATGAAAGAATAAGCATCGCATGCAGCTCAATCTCATGGCATCCAGGGTTTAGGTGTCACGACAGGATACTCCATGAATGTCTGTATATTGCAGCATCTGTCCAACACGATCTGGTGTGACGTACTCTACAGAAGGAGACTGGAAGAGGAGACTGGCGTCTGACGCTTGTCTTTCATCACCGTTGGCGTCGCGAGAGCGAAGGGATCGAGAGAGAGACGAAATGGCAATGAAAGACAAAGCCATCCCGATAACTCGCTTTATTACAGATCAACCTTGACAGCAATGACGCTTGAAGCCTGATAGCCCGTCACAAACAGCCACGCCCGGCGTCTGCCTCCCTCTTCGCTAGGATCAATGGCCACCAAAACGGAAGCACTAGAAGTTCGGAGTCTCCGCCCATCGTCCTGAAAGATTAAACTGACCTCCCAGTCCTTTCCACCGCCGGTTATACTAGAGCCATCCCGCTCACCTTGTCCATCTGTTTCTCTTTTGCCGGACCTGGGAGTGGCCTTCCAAACCATGTTGGGATCCAGAACGACCTCCTTGCCCTTACTCTCAAAGAAATCGATCCCTCTCGTCGGTCCAGAGGAAACAATGCCGCTGGCATCAAACGTACTGTTCGCATATGGATCCCTAAAGTAACTCGGATTGTCGACGGGCGACGCAAACTCAATCGACTCCTTCACCCGGATGACCTTGTTGCCAGTATCATCGGCCTCCCCCCTGATTTCGCCCACGTGTACTAGCCCGCTGCCGCACGACGTTACCAGTACCTCGTCGCTACCTCTTGCATGGCCCATCCCGTTCAGGTTATGCAGCTTCTCCAGCGCAATCGACGCATGGACGCCTGCGCTGTCACCACCTTCATCCCCAGCCGACCCCAGGTTCTCGAGCCTGACGTGGAGTACGTTGGTCCACCTGGCCAAGGGCAGCGCGGTCTCGATGTTCCGTAGCAGCCCATCCGTGTAATAGTGGTCATTCGTCACGAAAAAGGACGTTGGGGACTCGGCAAAGATGTCGTTCGGCGTGACAATGAGGGGGTGCCATATTGTGCGGACATATCGTGCCTTGTCGGAGCCGAGAACATGGTGGAAGAGCTCTACCACCGAATGCGACTTGGGCGCCTTTGCGTTGCCATTCTCACCATAGTGCTCCGGATTGGGCTTGTGGTTGACGGCAAATATGTAAACCGCCTCGCCTTGGGGCTTCTCCGGATCATCAATCACGTCGATGCCATGGGTTACAAAGGGGCCGCTGAAGCCTTCGAGCTCTAGGACCTTTGCTCTGAACGTCTACCTCAGAGCGTCAACTCATCGCACGATCGATATAGAGCACGCCCGGCACTTTGTTTTGTGTCTAGGCACCAGCACTCTTACCTTGGGATCAATAACTTCAAGCTTTCCTCTCATCCTTTCCGTCGACGGATTGGCAAAATGTTCAATTGGAGGAAACCATTTTCGACGACTGGCGACATCATCTTCGCAAGCAGTGAAGATGAGGCCGCTTGGCTCATGGAAATGCAAGTCCTCACAGCCTATCGTGCCATTGATTACCACAAAATCTCCGGGAGCCAGTTCAGTGCTCCCAGGCTCTCGAAACATGCCAGACACTTGGATGAAGCGTTGCACGTAGGCGTTGTACACATAGCCGAATAGCACGGCAAGCAGTGCTATCGCAATCGAGAGCCGGCCAGCCATGGTAACGCGCCAACGGCAGACAATGTTGAATGATTAAGAGCAATTGCAATTTACAGACGACTGAAAAGAAGGCGGGAATTAAGCTTACAATAAGAACAGATCAAATAAGACTATAGTCTGTATTATGCTTCAACCACCTACTCTTATGTTTCGTCATCTGGCTTGGGGCATCGAAGAATGCGGGGACCGAGGTTCGGCTACGGAGGAGGGGGACTTGAACTCCCAGCAGTGAGCCTAAGCTTCCGAGGTATCTCAATGCTGGCCATCAATGGTTCCACAAGTTGAGGGGACGAATGATCAGCATCTCCAGTTTCAGTGAGACGCTGGATGAGAGCAAGAGAAGAGAGCAGCTACATAGGTATGCGGACTGGTGGACTGGGTATTACAGTATGTCTAGGTACAGACGGCGAGATTGGCTCATCCATGAGTTATGAAGCTTTTCGGCGGCAAGGATAACGATACTGGAATGCACAAAGTGGATAACCGCACGATATCTGTAGAGATGAATTGCGATGAACAAGGAAAGTCAAACAACGAGAAGTCTCTTATTCTCTTCTTGCTGTGCAGCAGCTCACCCGGCACTCTCAGTTGCTCACTTCATGTTCTGCAACAAGTACTTGAAGCCTGCGTATGCCTCCTCGCCGCTCGGCAGAATCTGGTCTGCAGGGAGGACAAAGCCATATCGACCCGTGTCTCGGAGCTCAGACGTAAAGGTGTAATCCGCCTTGATCACGTCGCTCACATAGTCAACGCTGGAGCCGGTGGCTTGATAGATAGTCGAGCAGATCGGGCCGTAATCAAAAGAGGTGCCGTGGACTGCACGAATGGCAGCAACGGCGCCCTTGGCGAGTGACTGCAGCTCACTGTTGTTCGGCGCGACGGCAGTGCAAGAATATCCATACGCTACAAGCATGTGTGAGCATATACAGTAGCTGCAGCGTCAGGCAATAGAATGCATCATTGGGACAGCACTTACGAGTCATGAAGAGTTGAGAGTAGGAGTGGTAGTCAATGTAGAGCTTGACACCTTGGGCCGTCTTGATCTTCTGAATAAAGGCAGAGAGGGCCTTGAACTCGACGGAATCGCCCGCAGCAGCGCCTTTGTAGTCCTCGGCACAGGGGTTGGTAGAGGCGCCTCCAGGGACATTCCACATATAGTTCCAGTTGCGGTTGATGTCGCGACCGATGCACGAGCTGCCAGAGTTGGTCTGACGGTTCTTTCGCCACAAGCGATCGGTGCTCTGGGTATACAGGAATCCTAGAGCAGCAAGTCAGCGGTGAAGACTTTCATATCGAGGGCAAAGACCAGCAGTGGCTTACCGTCTACGTTGACCACGGGGAAGAAGTAAAAGTCATATTTGTCCAGAAGGCCCTTGGTCGTAGCATCAGTGCTCGTGAGCAGCGTGTAGGCGAAATACTCGACAACCAACGTCGTGATCCATTCTCTGGCGTGAACCGTTCCGTGCAGGATGACGGCAGGCTTCTTGCCCTTACCGGAGCTGCCCCAAAAGTGAATGCCGGTAATGGGATTTCCGTTTAGCGAGTTGCCAGAGGTGACAATCTCGGAGGTGTTGGGGAACTGAGCAGAAAGATCTCGGAGCCACTGCAGATGGTCTGCATAGGCGTGGTAGGAGTTGAACCACGTGCTGTTGACGGCATTGATAGCAAAGTTCTGGGAAGAAGACTCAGCTTCGATAGAGAGGCCAAGATCTTCGTGCATGACGACGGGCTTCAAGTCTTGCGTCTCCTGTTGGAAAGCCTCGAGCTGGTCGGGGTGGACTACGATGTCTGCGAAGGACCCTGCCTTCTTGGCTGGCTTCCAGGTCTGGAGGTTCAGCCTGTCCACGACATCGTTGATGCGGCCAATGTTGCTCTCCTCGACAGACACTCGGAAGACCTTGTATCCATTGTAGGAGACTCGGTGAGGCTGAACAGCGGCAGCTGATGCCGATGCAAGAAAGGCCGATAGCAGAGCGAGGCACTTCATGATGGATGATGCTAACGATGCTGGCGAGGACCTGTTCTGTTGTCTGATAGCACTTTGCAGCCAGCGGGAGACAGCTTTCCTGTCCTAGGTACCTATGTAAGGGAGGAGGTTTATGTCGCATATTATATACCTAGTCGATCGTTCTGTCTCATCAATGCGGACTGCAATGAATGCTATTGGTATTGAATGCCGATGGGACTTGCATCTTTGCCACGATTAGAAGGTGGTAGCCGAGAAGAAGGCATCTAAGTGGTTATCAGATGGAAGAAGGCCGCTCCCCCGCCAATGATCCAGCGGTTTAGACGAGAGCAGTGCAACATCAGGAAGCCGAAGAGCAGCAAACAAGCCAGGCTACCGGGGGACTTTGTTTATTCTGAAGCCGTTTCAAGGTCGAAAGCCGTCGACGATCAAACGTCCCCTCCAACCGCCCGCTAATCGGATCACGTCAAGGGCAACCGGCATCACGCAGATCCATATTGGATCTGGAATCGCTTGATTTATGGCTCGAAATGCTGCGTCTACCCAGTTGGAGGGAGCTGCCGAAGAGAGTTGCTGTTCCGTGAGTGGCGATAAGAGAGAGGGGTTGGGCTTTATGGGAAACGGCATTGAAGTCTGATTGACCTGCCGAAACGAGAGTCGCTGTTTCTTTCGATAGATGGGACTTTTGGGCAGCGGTATGTATTAGTAGTTCAGTACATACCAGCGAAGTGGTTGGTGATGTGACGCCACTGCCGAACGAGATCCGGAGGAGTGAGGAACTCGACGTTTTATAAGGATCTTCTCGATCCTCCATCGTACCAAAGCGATCAGAGCGACAGGAATAATCTCTTTATAATGTTGTCTGTCCTCGAGCTGATCATCTATTCTTGAAAAATTCTGCTTCATCATCAATCCGAATTTGCAGACCTTCTTCCCCAGAGGACTGTGCAGGAGGTCTTGAGCTCTTCGCCTCCGCTCAAGGTGGCACCGATGTAACGGTACGGCGACGCGGGCAAAAAGCAGCCAACCAGGTGTTGACAGCATACATTAAGCCCTTCGAAAGTTCCGTTTAAGCATGTCTCAGCCAGTCTCGTACCAAAAGATCTTTCCTGCAGCTACTGGCACAACAGGAAGCTGATCGGCGCATCGGGCTATGATGCTGCTCGTGTTCTAGAGTGTTCTCCGCGTGAACCCGAAGCTGTGACCGAGGAAGCCACATCTTGTTTGATGGATGGACCAAAAGCTCAACGTTCGACGGCTTGCAGCCATCACATATTCAATGGCCAGTTATCCTGAAGACTTTGAGGTCCAATGCGCTTTGAAGCCCCGTGTGCACTAGACTACCTACTTTGCAATGGGACATCAGAATGCGCAATTTGATGCTGATTATCACCGATCTTTACACATTGACCCTGCTGAAGCAATTATACACCTATGCCTCAAGATTCCCACTCCCCAACTTGCTGAATCATGATCGAACCCGCTGGGCTATGGACCATTCCATACCTAAGGTACCTATGATCAGTCTTCCCCTTGGATGGCCAACACACAGTGTCCCGCTGGATTATCGAACACGACGATTCAAGCATACTACAGATCACCGACAACATGACTAAAGCCGCCCCATATGTCAGCTCATCAACCTGGAAATGCAAGAGTATGTACGCGTAAGCTGGTCAGGATCAGATCCGAATTCTGTGATGCCTGAATTCCCCGTTGCACGTCCATGTAATTTGGCATTTTCTGGGAAGAATTACTCCAGAGATTGAGGCACCTTACTTGAGTAAATACGCAGAACATCAGCCTAGGTAGTTGCCAGTTCACTAGCTGCTCTCCTCGGTAAATGTATGCTCAGTCCTCAGACTCTCGAGTCCAATAATAAAGTAGGTGATGCTAACGACACTACAGAGAGAAGCCAGGAGCTTATGCAGAGCTAATTGGCCTGTCTCCATACTAACCAAGGCGGTGCCGCATGTCCGTTGGGAGATTTAGGAACTCTCAACTGCTCCTGACGCGTTACTATTACTACTCGTTTCCCAGTCTTTAGTAGACGCGTCTTCTCAGTTACCGAGATGCTCTGTCCCTTTTGACTGTAATATTGTGCTCTCACATCCGTAGTGTAGTGTATTTGCTCCCCTAAGCCCCCTGCAGAATAGCATCAATCTTCGCAATGCACACATTCTCAGAGAGAGAATTTCCTCTTTGGAAGTGTCTCGGATCCGGCAGTTGCCCAGTCGACCGGTGCAGGACCCAATTCGTAACTGCTCAGCATCTTTCACTCAGCTTTCAGGCACATCCTCGTGCATCTGCGATAGAGAAGCAGTCGTTAGCTATACTGCTGCGCTCTGTTGTCTGCGTTCAAGTTGGGTCGAAAACATGGACGTTTCTGATCTGTCCGAATCGAGATTATTTATCCGTCTTACGTTGTCGGAAACACTGGTGCCAAGTGGCTTGGCGTGGCTCGAATCCTCAGGGCTGAATATTCCCTGTTCATCAGGAGCCGTTATAGCCGGTGGGATCAAATGCTAGAACATGTGTTTGGGGTCTGGATGTCTCGAACCTGCAAGACTCCCCGAGCTATTAATTAGGTAATTTCTGAGAGGGGGGGTTATTGATCAATGGGTTGTTTTGGCATTTGTCCATCAACAAGCCACTGGCCACGAGGAAGGTTCTTCAGCTTGTCAACTCACAGACTGAAGAGAGCTGTTCCCATCTCTTCACGCGGAAATAACTTCACCTTGAAGAGCCAAGAGGCCAAGAGGTCGAAGAGCCGGGTATCGAAGCCAATGCAGATCGTGGACCATCAACTAATGACTGCGGTATCCACTGTGAAGATCCCGAGATGCTGGAGCTTTCAAACCGCGTCGTCTCTGGTATTACGCAAAGTCACGCACTTTAAACTTCACACTTCCCCTGAATTAGGCCCGCAAAGGGCGTAGAAACTAGCCGGAATCATGCAGCGTGGAGAGTTTATTGTGGCCCAGAACGCAGAACGAGGAGTTGCCCCTGTTTTGCTTCTCGGTATTACTGGAGACGTTAAGTTTCGTCAAAGGCTAGTTAGCTAGTCTTTGACGATCCAGACTTTGACCTCACAAACATTACATGTCCTGCTGAAGTCGAATGAAGTAGCATCAGCGGACAGGTACCAGATCGACATGTCTCCTGAGCCCACTGGTAACAGTCCCGCCCCTGAGAGGAATTGTGAACTTTGGGTGACCGTCACAACTTTAATTCTCTTTCTTTTGCGCTTCCGGGCGCCAGAACCGTCAGCACGTTGTTTTTGAAGCCGGAGCCACTTGCATGAAAGGGCTGTGCAAGACGACACCATCTCGTACTTCGTATCGCCCCTCTCTCCCCAGGTGGCTATGAGCAACTGCCCAGATCCCACAACCCTTATGCGCACACTAATGCGGGCTGTTCTCATAACAAGTTCTGCTAAGAGCGTGTCTGAATGTACATACATGTAGCTAGCCAGAGGTGACGAGTCCTCCTCATGTAGGTAATCTTGGGGCGAGCGAATAACGAGGCTCCGGGTGGCACCACGGCTGGACTGGATCGACACCCCGTCTACGTCAGATGCCCGAAAGCTGGAGGCGCATGATACATGGCATGGCATTGCAATACGGGGGGGCTCTGCGCCTCATCAAGACTGTTAGGACATGGATACAGCGGTTTTCCCACCAACTAGCGCTTATTATTACCCGTTGTCTTCGTCGGTCATTGTTTGAGGATCGAGGCTGTCCGAAAGCACAAGTGACTGTTCTTTCTAGGAGACTGTCCCGGCGTAACGTGGAGTTGGTACGAATGGCTGAAGCAAGATGAAGATCCCTGCGGGTTCTCTTTCATATTAGTAGGCTACTCGCGCCTGAAGAGCGTCATTCCGAACACAGTTCCCTCCCTCTTAGACAAACTGCATTGCCGTTCTCGTTCATGTTGGAGAGGTTGTGACAAGAGAATGTCCTCATGAGTAAACCGACTTCTTCGTTATTGCGGCACGCTACCGATCTCCGCGTCCTCAACTTCGTCCTCTTCTTGATATGGCTGATTGCGATCCGGTACTGTCAAGTAACGACATACTATGACCCGTCGTCGTACTTCTTTCGCTCTGATGCCGCCTACGAACCATTCTACTCTGCCGTTAGAGAGCAGGAAGCCGACGACTTCCTCGCCTCACGAGACTCACACCACGACCGAATAACAAAAGGGGTAACAGCAAGCGTCCGACGTGCCGCCCCATCTTATTGTATCGGCATCCCAACTCTGCAGAGAGAGAGGGCGCAATTCTTCCCGAGAACAGCGGCATCCCTCGTTGATACCTTAACGCCCGAACAGCGAGAACTCATTCACATTGTCGTTCTCTTGTCCGATGACGATGCGACGGAGAACTTGGCTTTTGGCCAGGACTGGCTCCATGCCATTGCCGACACAGTCATTGTCCATGAAGACACGCCAGAGGATTTGGTGTCCGAGAATGGTTACCAGACGATACCACGACACTTCGAATTAGCGGCCAGAGACGAACGAGTGAGACGCGACTATGCTGTTCTTTCTGAGACGTGCCGTCGACAGGAGGCGGACTACTTTATTCTCGTTGAAGACGATGTTATAGCCGCGAGGGACTGGTTCGAGCGACTCCAGGCAGCAACGCCTCTGGTGAACGAGCGAGCGGTTGCCAAACGCCAAGATTGGCTTTACATTCGACTCTTCTACACGGAGACGTATATGGGATGGAACTCTGAAGAATGGGGTATATACTCACGGAACATTGCTCTTATATACGTAGCCGTGCTCGGTCTCATGCTTGCACTCCGCTACCTCCACCAGATGGCATCGCCCTCTCACAAGGAACGAGCATCTAAACACGCAAAGCTCTTGATGGCAAACATACTGATGATATGGGTGCCACTGTTCATTGGACTCGGATTCATGGCTGGTCGGTTGACAGTCAGTCCATTGCCGACCGGGGTGTTGGAGATGCCGCGATACGGCTGTTGCAGCCAGGGCTTGGTGATACCAAATCGGCATCTGCCCTTGTTGAAAGAGAGATTATTGGAATCTCCATTTGATCTGCCTGCGGACTCGACTATCGAGAAGACGGCAGATGATTTTGGATTGGGCAAGTGGGCGGTCGTGCCAAGTGTTTTGCAGCATATCGGAGCGAGAGGGTCGTCGGCGAAAGGAGGCGCCATCAAGTCGACGTGGAATTTCAGTTTTGAAAGATTTTACTCAGCTTAGACTGCGACATATACCCTACGTACGTTATATACCACCTTGTGACTTCGTTCCATACCAAAACATTCTGATTGCGACTGGTTCAGTCCCTCTTGGTGTTAAGGACGCGAGGGAGGAGTCGGGCGAGAGGCTGTCTCACAGCTGCTGTGTAGTTCGGAAATCGTGATGCGTCGTACAAGAAACGAGTACAGCAAGGGTTTGCCGAATCCCTACGCGTATTGTTTGCACCAGCATAAGACTAGAACTACATGGCCTCAATTCATCAACCCCCCGCCAACTGACGAGCGACCTCAGTTTTGCACATCCATATGACGGGAGCGCAGGTCAAGTACGAATCGCTTCTCGACGACTCAGTTATGCTCTGATGACGAGTATACCAGCTCGGACAGGTCTGAGTCTGAATGAACCATTGTTTGTCTTCATATTCCACGAACAGAGGGCTAAAGAAAGGAAAAAGATATATACTACCTTGCCTATACCTGGAGGTGGGCTAGATAGGGGCCATACGACCATTGCATCGTTTCCAACGCTGTGGAACAGTTTCAAGACGGGACCTCTTTCTGGGAATGAGACAACAGCCAGCGACTACACAGCCTATCTGGGCAGGTTGAACAGCTGTAAAACAGCGCCTCAGTAGAGAAGACCAGCAGCTCTCTCGCTCTTTAATACTCCGCCAGACAGAACATGGTATCAAGGCGAACATCGAAAGGCACGCATCCGAATCTCCATTCTGAGCTATAAGCCAGATCAGCTTTTTTCGTAGCAATCATAGGTGAACACCCTCTTGACTTTACATTGGTTGAATCACGTCACACAGCAACCTTTGGAGGGGGATCTGCCCTAATATGTTTAGAGAAAATTTGGCTAATACTCATTCTCATCCTTGCAAACAGGCTCTTACACTTGTCCCTGGTTGGTGAAGTACTCCCGCGTCTTCCCGCAGAAATCCATAGCAGTGTTTCTGTTCGGTCACATCTTGAGATGGAATTCCGCGATTGCCTGAGAAAACCCAAGCCCTGTTGCTTGCATGTGTGAATGTAGATGTTCAATTGGCGGCGTTCTTGCTGAACCGGGGGGCGATGCGAGCCTCTTGAGGTTTTCGTCGGCTGGTGGCAATCCATATGGGGTTCGCATATGCAGGCGACGTGCAATTGCGCAAGGATCAAATCCAAACAAAAGGCAACGTTAGTATTGGCAACGCTCGTTTGAGTACCACCAAAAAGACGGATATATAAATATATCTGCCGTGTTGCAGTCGAACACCATGCTGTCGAAATCCGGCGTCTCACCACATCTCCAGCAGTCTCGCCTTCACGTCCCACCATGCTTCTCCTCCCCACGATCAGTAATGTAGCCCTCATTCTAGGCGCTGCCTTTTCTTCAGCTTCTTCTCCCGTGGACGTATCGACTCCGAGCTGTGAGGCGAGCCGATTCCTCACCATCTCCACGACAAACGGCCCCATCACGGGTCATCCGGCGTCCAACTCGGCCTGCGTGCTGGAATACTTGGGCATTCCGTTCGCGCAGCCGCCAGTCGGCGACCTTCGTTTTGCGCCGCCTGAAAAGATCCAGTCACAGAAGCCCTACATAGCTGCAAAGTTCGGCGCCGATTGTCCCTTGACGCCGTCGAAGCTCGTCGACTACCCCGGGTTTACGCCCCAGGCGCAGCGGATTGTCAACTATTTCGCCTCTGCGGCGGGAACCCCCCAGAGCGAAGACTGTCTCACTCTCAACATCTGGGCCAAGACGACGCAGACGTCATTGGCGTCGGAGAAGCCCGTCTTGGTCTTTTTCTACGGAGGCAGTGAGCAACAGAGCCCCCCTTCAATTCGTCGAGGAGTCAATGTCGTGAGGTCTGACAATAAAGAGCAGGGTTCACCATTGGAAACACAGACAGCCCTTTCTACTCTGGCAAATACTTTGCCGACGCAGAGGACATCATCGTCGTCACAGTCAACTATAGGCTCAACGTCTTTGGCTTTCCGGGAGCCCCTGGCGAGACGCAAAACCTCGGTCTCCGCGATCAGCGAGCAGCTGTCGAATGGGTCCGCGACAACATCAAGCACTTCGGCGGTGATGCCAACAAAATCACCATCTCTGGCCAGTCTGCCGGAGGAGTTGCCGTCGACTACTGGGCGTATGCATACCAGGAGGATCCGATCGTCCACGGCGTCATTGCGCACTCGGGCAATGTTTTCAGCTTCCCAGTGAATGCCGCTGGCGTTTCTGAAAGGAACTGGAAGACTGTTGTGGCTGCTGTCAACTGCTCTTCTGCTGGCGATGCCATGGCTTGCATGCGCAAGGCCGACTGGCAGGCCATCAAGGCGGCTGCAGCAGGCATCAAGCCCACGCCGAGCAGCAGCGTTCTGCGATCGATACCAGCGTTCTACCCGATGCCGGATGAGGACCTCGTCTTCTCCGACTATCTCAAGCTGACCAGCTCAGGCAGCTTTGCAAAGGTGCCGCTCCTGTTGGGAAACAACAACGACGAAGACGGTTACTATCGCATCCCGGCGTTTCCCTCTGGTGTGATACCGACTGCCGACCAGGTCGCGTCTTTTCTGCTCGAGTCCTTCACCTGCCCCGTGTCCCACCAAGCCGGTGCTCGCCGCGATCACGGAGTTCCGGCCTGGGCGTATCGCTACATGGCCGACTGGGACAACACTCGCCTCTATCCGACCAGCGGCGCCTATCACGGCGTCGATCTGCACATGGTGTTTGGGGCGTCAGCAGACGTCAGCGGACTGCCCACGACTGCGGATCAGAGGAGCCTGACGAAGCTGATGCAGCATGCTTGGTTTTCGTTTAGCAACAACCCGACATCGGGACTTGGCAGCATTGGATGGCCCCAGTTTGACCCGGATGCTGCCTCGTTGATCCTTCTGGGCCAGGACAACTCTCCAGAGCCTCAGTTTGTGTCTCCGTCGCAATTCGATCATGCTTGCCCAAACATCACGTTGGCAGGCATAGGAACGACTGTGCCTGCAGTCGCCGATGCAATATCGCTGCCGCTGTAGACAATATGTAGGCGACTTTGGCTGAGGCCTACAGTAATGATGAATGATATGAGTTACGCCGGCTTTCAATGGATTGATAACAGATGTGATTTTCAACACTAATACCGGAGGGCCTTTCTCCACCCTAGCTATCCAGTTTGATGAGAGCTGTCATCGCTGTTTGTTCCTATTGGTTAATGCTAAGCCCTCGCTCGATACACAACTACTACGTTACTTTAGGCACTGGTGAAAGGCGATCAAAGTATTCTGTACACGGCAGATGTGCTTTTGATGAGGGTCGTACATGTTTCACGGTATCACTAAAGCCGTGCCATCAAGACGCATGCATCTGGCTTTAGACATCACAACAGCTTAGATGAACGATCAATGAAGCCTGATATGTGATAGGCTGTTGAACCCTCTATCTAGACTTTGGAAGGGGAATCAATCGTTATTACTTTTCCGCTGCAGCAAAGATCGTGATCGTGAGGCTGTTGTTATATCAGCCTCGTCCCACCTGAGCAGAAGCTTCCATAGTAACTCCTGGCATCTACCAGTCAACAATCATCACGTTTACCGGGATTCTACATTCCTGTCCTCTCAAGTACAATCTACCTGTCATTTCTTCACCCATCCCATCGTATGTTCACGCCCGGATATTGACGGGCATATCGAACATCCAGATAACATGCGCGATATCTGACCCGGGCCATGACATAATTAATACCCACCGTGAGATTGAGGGGTAAGTAAAGCTTTTGACATCCTGAGCTCCCGGTCCTCAAATCTCTCTTCCTCTCTTCTCTTCCCTCTCACAACTCATTCCTCTTCTGTTCACAGATTCTCCTTAGTCTTCACCACAGAAACGACCCAATCTCAAAGAAAAAAACAATTCCGGTACGAGGCTTGCCTCCGAGGAGCCATGTCACTTGTCGCAATGGAACTATCCAGTCATCGAGGTAAAGTAGACTGAGCAAGCATCCGGGTGTTCGACCTGACCTATTGTGCTGCTTCTCTATCCATAAATACACTCGCTCTTGGTCGTCGACCCATGAGCTTTCAGGCTGGGTGTTGGACACGAGACGCAGCATGATAGAGCAGGTTGATCTGAGAAATACCGGCGAACTTGATCTGGATAATACCAGCGAAAGGATCTGCTTCTTGGGCTTCCCCCCCTGCTTCCCCAATCAACAGTGTGCAGACTAACCCACGTAGCTTTTTGCTCGATCCTCCAACATGTCGACGGATAAGATCACGTTCTTGGCCAACTGGTCAGACTTTTATCCTCGTCTATTTGGCTAAGTGCTCAGCAGGGTTAACACAAAGACAGGCACGCCACCCCGTACCACGCCCCCGTATACCTCGCCCAGGCGAAGGGATATTTCAAGGATGAGGGCATCAAGGTTGCTCTTCTGGAGCCCAACGACCCTAGCGTGTGTAACCGTGGCCCAAGACTTTCTTAAACCATAAACTCACCCATCTTCACAGGATGTCACCGAGATCATCGGATCCGGCAAGGTGGACCTCGGCTTCAAAGCCATGATTCACACCCTTGCTGTAAGAATGATGTCTTCATTTTCTATAGGCGCACATTACTCACGCGCAATGACCTTAGGCCAAGGCCCGTGGCTTCCCAGTCGTGTCCATTGGCAGTCTGCTCGATGAGCCGTTCACCGGCGTCATCTACCTCAAGGAGTCCGGCATCACCACCGACTTCCGCTCCCTCAAGGGCAAGCGCATCGGCTACGTGGGCGAGTTCGGCAAGATCCAGATCGACGAGCTCACCTCCCACTACGGCCTCACCCCTGAGGACTACACTGCCGTCCGCTGCGGCATGAACGTCTCCAAGGCCATCATCAACGGCGAAATCGACGCCGGCATCGGCCTGGAGAACGTCCAGATGGTCGAGCTCGAGGAGTGGCTCGACAAGCAGGGCCGTCCCAAGACGGACGTGCAGATGCTGCGCATCGACGAGCTCGCCGAGCTGGGCTGCTGCTGCTTCTGCACCATCCTCTACATCGGCAACGAGTCCTTCATCGAGAAGAACCCCGAGAAAGTCCGCGCTTTCCTCCGCGCCGTGAAGAAGGCCACGGACTTTGTGCTGGCCGATCCCAACAAGGCCTGGGCCGAGTACGTCGACTTCAAGCCCGTCATGGGCACTGAACTCAACCGCAAGATGTTTGAGCGCAGCTTTGCCTACTTTTCCAAGGACCTGAAGAATGTTCAGCGCGACTGGAACAAGGTGACCAAGTACGGACAGAGATTGGGAGTGTTGGATGAGCAGTTCAAGGCCAACTACACCAACGAGTTCCTTAGCTGGGAGCTCGAGGCCGACTCTCAAGACCCTACTGGTGACCAGAAGCGCATGGTTGAGCTGCAGTGCGACGTTGCCTGCCGAGGAGGCTTCCGCCGTCTCCCAGCCGTAATCAAGGCTTAAGCTCAAGTCCTATATATATGCCCACGAGTCATTTGACCCAGTGAGTGTATGCAGTCTGCCGTCTTCACTCATTGCCGAAGCAGCCTGCCGATCTGGCATCACCACGCTCATTGCGCCTAGTCGCTCATTAGCTATATATCTTTGCCAGTAACAGAAATGAAAAAAAGAAAATCGATGCCGGACAATGATTGCTCGCATGTTCCGTGTATCATCATCAAGCCGTATGAGACCTACCTGCAAAGGCCATAGGATCGCAAGTCCCTACGATGCCAAAACCTCACCACCGTAGGTACAGAGTGCATGTGCTGCCTACCAAGAGGAAGGACAGCTCAGAGCACATGCAATAGGAGGCGGTTTCCCTCGAGCTCAGCATTGGCATGCTTTGACACTGAATCATTCAGGATCATTCTACATTTCAACCTGCATTTGACCGTAACTCATCTACTTATACGTAGCATCGTAATACAATTTTCCTCCACTCCCTTCCAACCCGCAACATAACATCGCCGTTATCATTCCTACCTCCCAACCATCACTTCCAAATCAACCAAACTACCATGCAATCTTCGCAACAGGTCCATTAGGAAACAACCGGACAATCAACTTCCGCACCTCATCCAGCATCAAAATGCCCAACGCCAGGGGAATAGGAATCAACCAAAACTCGATAGGCACCGGCGCCGTCAAGAACAAGCTATGAATGCCCGGAACCTCAGTGACGAAGATTGCAATGGCAAGACTGATCATCATGCTAAGCAAAAGCCAAGGGTTGCGTCTCTTCTCGGTGAACGGATCGGCCTGGACAATGCTCAGGCGACGATTCCGCACAGACAGGATGTTGCCCCATTGGAGGATGACGAGAGTGACAAAGTAGACGCACTGGCCAGTGTAGTTGAAGTGGTTGAGCTGCTCCTGGGTGTAACCGTGGAAGCCCTCGGAGTAGCCCTCGAAGAGGAAGAAGAGCTCGTGCACGGGGATGCCTGCCTTCTTCCACATGTACAAGAAGAACATGGAGTGAGCGCAGATAGTCTCAGCCGTGCCAGTGAAGAGATATGCCTGGGCGTAGATCTTGAAGTTGATGAGGTGGTCCTTTTTGTGGTTCCGAGGAGGCAGCGACAGGAGGTCAAACTCTTCCTTTTCCATGATGAGCGAGAGGGACAGGAACAGATCGGTGAAGACGCAGATGATGATCATGAGGAACGAGCTTAGAGGCAGGGGAACGCCAAAGAAGACATTGACGAGGACGGGCCAGATCTCCGACCAGCTACCGGCGGGAAGAAGGTACGCAATGACCTTTTGCAAGTTCTGGAAAACGAGTCGGCCAAGACGGATCGCATCGATGATGCTATCAAAGCGATCCATCAAGACGAGGTCAGCCGCCTCAATGGCAACGTCGCTCCCGGACACAATGGCAACGCCGACATCTGCAGCACGCAGAGCCGGCGCATCATTCACTCCGTCGCCAGTCACGGCCACGACGTTGTCTCTCTTGCGGAACTCCTCCACAATGCGCAGCTTCTGCTCCGGCGTCGTCCGCGCAAAGACAATCTCCTGATACTCGCACACGATGCTCCAGTCGTCGTCGGAGAGACTCCCCAAACTATGGCCCTCGAGAAGGAGGCTGCGACACTCTCCTGCGATGCGAGCACTGTTGAGCTTCTTCACTGCGTCGGCGTCGTTGTTGGCTTGCACGATGGCGATGGTGTCGGGGTCGCGCTCGCAGGTGAAGATGCCGACGTTGCGGGCGATGGCGGCGGCAGTCAGGCCGTAGTCGCCAGTGACCATGAAGAACCGCGTTCCCGCACGACGACACTCTCTGACGGTGTCCAGCGTCTCAGGGCGAGGAGGATCGGTGATGCCCAGGATGCCGACGACGATGAGATCCTCCGTGGCGCGGCTGGTGACTTCGTCGCTGAAGGCATTGGTGCCTACGGCCTCCTGGCAAACCATGTTTTTCATGCAGAGTACAATGACGCGCTCGGCGTTCTTGGAAAGCTTGTCTTGGTATTGCTTGAAAGCAGCCTTTGCCTCAGCGTCCAGAGGCATGACGCAGTTGGATTTGCGCGACCAGTAGGCTGAGCAGGTAGGCAGGAGGACGTCAGGGGCTCCCTTGACAAAGACCTGGAACTCGTTGAGGCCCTGACACTCGGAGGGACTCTTGTACATGGTGAGCATCCACTTGTTCTTGGAGTTGAAGGGGATCTGGAAGACTTTGGTCGGCTGTTCTGCTTTCTCCTTGTTTGAAGGAGCTGCCGCGGAGAATCGAAGAACAGCGCCGTCGGTAGCGTTGCCTTGAATGGTGCGCGAGGCGACAGGTAGATGAAGCGTGGACGGCTCAAAGGTGGCGTCGTTGCACAGAGTAGCTGCCTGATGAAGCTTCTTCACGCCGGCATCAACCTGGTCGCCAGAGAGACTGTTGTAGATGTCCTGAATGGCAATGGGCTCGTCGACAAAGGCAACAGAGTTGACGTGCATCTGATTCTGCGTCAGGGTACCCGTCTTATCAGAGCAAATGACATTGACACAGCCCAGAGTCTCAACCGTGGCGAGGCCCTTGGGCAGGACATTCGCCGCCTTCATGCGTCTCGCGACCATCATGAGAGTCAGCGCAACAGCGACAGGCATGCCCTCGGGGATGAAGGCGACGACACAGCCCATGACGTTGTTGAGCATGGCCACGACGTTCATGTAGCCGGGGTGATCTTTGCGCAGCCACCCAAGCCATGTAAACAGGATGAGGAGAGCGAGGACAAGAGTCAGCGCGACAATGATGTACACGAAGCGCGTGATCTCTCTCTGGATCAGCGTGGGCCGTTCCTTGGCAGTGGCAGTAGCAGTCGCGATCCGGCCCATGACGGAGCGAGGGCCGGTGAGGACGACGACGCCCACTCCGCTGCCGTTGACGACGAGGGTGCCCATGAGAGCAATGTTGCGGCTCTCGAGGAAGTTTTCATCCGTCTGGTCGACCGAGGCCTCGATCTCATCCGACTCTCCAGTCAAGACGGCCCGGTCGAAGCGGAGGTCGCCGGAATGGCTGATGATGCGCATGTCCGCGGGCACCTTGTTGCCGATATTTAGATGGACAACGTCGCCGCTCACGAGCTCGGTGGCACGCAGCTTCATCAGCTGGCCGTCACGAAGCACCAACGCCTCAGAAGGCAACAGATCGGTAATGGACTTCATAGTACGCGAGGTGGACCAATCCTGAAAAGCGGAAAAGCTTGCCTGAAGCACAATGACAATGATGACAAGAATAGCAAGAGCCAGATTCGTCGGCGAGGGCGGGTTGCTCAGGGGCCGCCAGCAGATGAAGAAGATGACGACGCCCACCCACAGGACGGAGCAGAAGCCGCCAAAGACGTACGTGAGGATCTTGCGGAGGTAGTTTGTCTTGGGATGAGGAAGCGTGTTCCTGCCATCGCGCTGGAGCCTCAGCTCGGCGGCACTCCTCGACAGGCCGTCGTCTTGGGAGACGTTGAGCTGCTGGCAGAGCTGGTCCACCTGGAGCTCGTGAAAGGTCAAGTTGGAAAAGTATTCCTCCTTGTTCTCCTTCCGGGGCGCCTTGGCATCGGCCAGGTTATCAGAATCGACGTTGCGGGACTCGGAGACGTGGATGGACAAGGTGCGATATTCAATCTGGACCCCCGAGTATGGCGAAGCAGCAGCCCGCTCGCGGCGACTGCTGGCCGAGCCACGGCTCATGGACCTCTTGCGGAACGCTGAGCGAGGTTGGTCGCGGTCGAAGGCGTTGCTGCGACCGGCAGCGTCTGCAGGATGAGAAGCATCGTCGAAAGTGATGCGGAGGTCGACGTTGGGCTCTTTTTCGTCGGACTCGGGCGTCATGTTTTCAGACATGGTGAAAGGGGGAATGGGATCAACAAGATATAAGAAGGCTTGAATGATGATATTCAACAAATCTTTGATTTTTCAGAGCCCTTTCTGTTACAAAAGAGAGCAGTAGAAAGAGACAATTAAGTTTATACCAAGCCAGATGTCTTTTCAACAACAAGTTCTTTCGCAACGAAGAAGCCGATGGAAGAAAGGAGGTAAAGAATCAAACAAGCAGCGAGAAGCAAGAGGCTTTATGCAAGCAAGTAAACACAATCCCAATCACTCTGGGCCTAAGCCAACTACGATAGACTTTGAGTCTTCTTGCCATCAAACCAGACGAGGGCGTCGGCTGCTATACCCTTCTGGCCCTCGTCGCCATCTGCTCGCACCAAGGGCTGGGGCAGGGCTGTGATATCTCTCTGCCAGCCTACAACTTGACCTATCAACAACCGACGGCCACGGTACACCTGCGATACCTGGCATCTCGTGCAGACACAAGGATGCTTGCCATGTATTGCATCTGTACGTATGGCGTATGGGTGCCATGTCCTCGCCCACGCCCGGAGACTGGCTGAGAATAGGGGGAAGGGGGCGTGTTCAAAAGGCAAGGAAGACGTCTATAGAATATTTCCCGCATACAGAAGGCACAACACAATGGCCAAATTTCTATTCCCCGTCGGTTTGTGTTTGCCGCCCAGCTTACTGAAATCAGCTAGCAAGAGGGTATACATAACTCCCAAGGGATGAGAATCTGAGGCGTGAAACCAAGAAAAGAAAAAAAAAAGTGAAAACTATCATCCTGATCTGGGATGGCCTCAGCAAGAGAAAAGGGGGGGGAGCCTGTACGAGGCAGCTAATGTGGCTCTACATCTCGACCTGTATACAGCTACCTTATTCCAGTGCTCCATCCTTCTGACAAGCATTGACTAAACTGGATCTCACAACCAATGTCCTGCAATAACACGTACCATCACGGGCAGATAGAATGAGGAGATACAACTCCTCCGTACAAGGTACAAGCGCTGCCACCGCCATCATACAGTGCGCCTCTTTGCTGTCAAGCCCCCGCTACCCGCGATTGGACACGGGCTGGAGTGGATATGCAATTGTATGAGGGAATTTCGACAGCTCTTGGGCCCTCCCCTGGCGAGAAGGCGAGCCTGTTCTTGTCCCTTCTCTTGCCCTCCGCTATTGCATCACGGCGGGACATGGGCTTACCGCATCAAGGATCGCTTCGGGGGGCGTGAAGCTTGCGAAAAGTGCCTTCAGCCCAGGTGAAGAATCCAGAACGCAGCGAATATGACAGTTTCAGTCAAGGTCAGAAGAGAGGCATTACAAAGTAAAAGAGCAGAAAAGTTTTCATTCGTTCAACTCTTATTCCCTCAGCCTTTCCTGTCCGTCTCTAGCTAGCCAGATGCTCCGTGTATTAACTCCCCGAAGCCGTGCCTCTATCTGTCCGTCTGTCAAGTGTCACCCCATTCTGGCAACCCGCGTGTAACCTCACTACAAGGGCAAAGGCCCCGCCGTATGCAATATGCAGATGCCTCGTTTTGCCATTCTCCCGTTCTGCGGTTAAGAGGTCAGAAGGCCTCCCACCTCCATTTCTCTCCCTCTCTTGCTCTACTCTTCCTTCACTTCGCTTACATATGACTTATTCTATCACACTTTCACCGTGTTTGTCATCATCCAAAAGGCATTCTAACAGTCTGATGCGGAAGATTGGCTCTGTAAACATGAGATAAATGCCGCATCTCCCATACTAATCCGTCTCCTCTCTTCACTTACACATTCTGCGACTACTATAACCTGAACCCCGTCTTTTCGCACCGATTACCTCCATTTTGAAGCATTTACAGTACGGCATTATTTCTTTGGGTTGAAAATGCCCATTCCAATGATTTTCTAGCTTGCCATGCGAAATGTCTGTGTGATCTATCAACTCATGAACACGGGGCCTCAGGCCATTAATAAGGTAACCCGTAATGCGACATCTCTTCTCTTTGTTCCTTCTCTCTCTATATATATACCTATACATATAGATTGATCTTTGTCTCTCGAATTTGAGCCCGTGTGTGAACAATTGTCCAATATCCTGTGCTTGCCGAACTCATCCTTGTTAGGAGATATATGCCACTCATTACACATATACGCACTCATTAGTAAATCAACCTGCTCATGCTGCACTATGGTCATTCTCATGAGATTATCCCTCATTACACTCCCATAATAAAAGAGGTTCGTCAATCTTCCTCTTTCACGATGTTATTCCTATGATTGGATGAAACCAGAAACGAGGCCTTCCAAACGAACATCTCAGCGCAAGAACAATCGTCTCGCAGTCTACATCTCGTCATACATACACTGCTGCCAATCACCCTCGAGACAGTTCTCTCCACAACAAACCAGGGAGTCACCGTACAGTACTCGTAGAAAGCAGATGAAACAACCCAACCCATCCCCATCCGATCCACCCAAAATCCTCAGATGCATCAAATGCACGCAAAACACCCTTGGCATCGTAACCCCATTCGAAGACCCCGGCCGGCTTGAAGTGGAGAAGGCTGCCGCACACCTGTTCGGCATCTTCCGAGCCTTTCTATTGGGCTGACGGCCAAGGCACAGAGACTCAAAAAATAGAGAAAAGAAACATCTACAAAGCAAACAACACAGATCAAACCCTTTGCGGTAGAGACATCCCACTAGCCAAGAGGAAGCAAGAGGAAGAATTTATGAGAAAGGAATGAATGACTAGGTCGTATTAAATAAGTATATATTTCAACTATGGACATACACTGGGTATTTCTGTCCCCTCTTCTTCTTCTTTTTTTCCTTTTAGAACTGTTGTAGACTGTAGCGCGTGCCGGGCATATATAGCGAGTGGTATCTAACATCAATAAGAACACCAGGCCCTTCATATGCACATGGGCGTTTTTTTGTGAGCTTAGATTGCAAATGTAAACATGACCCTCCCCCTTCCATCCATCTTCCCCCCATGACGCTTCCGCTCCACCTCCGCTTTACGCCTGAGCTGAAGGAGACCTGGGAGCATCGCCATCGGCAGAGATCTTGGTAATAACCTCGGAGTCGACGCCAGGGCCGTGGGACACCTCCTCGTCGTGGTGGTGAGCAGCGTAGTCGTCCTCGCCACTGAGCTCCTCGAGCGTCTTGCGGGCGGTCTCGGGGATGAAGATGGTGGTGAAGCAGCCGAGCAGCATGAACAGGGCGTAAATCTCCAGCACGTGGTCCATCCATGGGGCGGCGTTGTCCTTGGTGGCGCCGCGGGTGCGGAGGGTGGCGATGGCGCCCTGGCCGATGATGGAGCCGATCTTGCCGGAGGCGGCGGAGATACCGTGGGAAGTGGAACGGTAACGCGTGGGGAAGACCTCACCGGGGACGACGAAGGTGGTGGTGTTGGGGCCTGTAACATGTTAGCTTATGGTAGTATATGATATCGAACTGTTATGAATGCTTACCAAAGTTGAAGAAGAACTGAGCAAGGACGTAGATGGCAAGGAGGCCGTTGGGGCTGATGTGGTTGTAGGCGAAACCCATGACGATGAAGAGGACGGTCAGGATGGCAAAGCCACCAAACTGGATCGTCTTGCGGCCGAGGATGTCAATAGTGGCAACGGAAACCCAGTATCCAGGAACGGCGCCGGCGAGGACGATGATGATGTTTCCAACGGCGGTGTTGTACAGGTAACCGTAGACATCGTCGACGCCCTTGGTGGAGTAGCCAATGACATTGAGAATGGTGCCGTTGTTCAGGGAGAGGCCGTAGAAGGCGACATCGAGGCAGAACCATGAGCCAGCGGTACCGAAGAGGAGGAGGAAGTTCTTGAGCTTGCCGTAGTGGTGGAAGAAGTCGCTCAAGCTGGCACGGGGGACCTGGAGAGACTCCTGGGCAGCCTTGGCGGCGGTGATGCGGGCGATCTCGTCGGGGTGGCCCTCGCGCTTGCCGGTCATGTAAGCCTTGACGTCGTCGCCGGCCTGCTCGACGTCACGGGCGATATCGAAAGTGTAGCGAGGGGTTTCGGGGATGGTCAGACGGTCTACAAAGGAGAGTTAGAAAACCACCGATCCTCTTCAACATGATGATTCACTCACAGTAGAGGGCAATGCAGGCGGGAACAGCACCGAAGCCGATCAGAGTGCGCCACATCTTGTCGACGGCGAGCTGGCAGACACCGCTGCACTCGGCAATAGAGGCGGCAGAGGACAATGATCCCTTGAAGCCGAGAGTGACGAAGAGCATGACAAGGGCAGCAGTGAGCTGGCCGAGACCCTGCATGGCAAAGACTGCGCTCATCATGGCACCACGCCACTTGGTAGAGGCAAACCTATCGTGAGATCAGATCAGCAAAATCATTTTCTCTCTCTTGAAACGCTTGAACTGGAGATCAAAGACTTACTCGGAAGTGATGATGGAAGAAAGGGGATAATCACCACCGATACCAATACCCATAATCACACGCCAGAAGATGATGAGGCCAATGACATCGCAGGCAGGCGAGCCGCTGGTCAGAGCCTGGCCGATGGTCGCAAAGATGATGACAATCAGTTCGAGACCGTACATGCGCTTACGACCGACCAGATCGGCCGCGATACCGAAGCCAACCTGGCCAATGACGGTGCCGGCGGAGGTGGCGAGCTTGATGGCGCTGTCGGACGAGGTGGGCATGGTGCCCTTGCCCTGGTAGAAGACGATGCCCAGCATGATGGTCAACATGGAGGCCGTGAAGATGTCGTACGAGTCCGTGAAGAAGCCGACACCGGCAACGACGACGGCGCGGACGTGGTACCAGCCGAAGGGGGCCTTGTCGATCTCGGCGAGGGCCAGGCGGCGGCGCTCGTTGAGATCCTGGACGTGGAGGAAGTCATTGTTGTAGTTGTGGTAGGCGCTGTTGCCTCCAGATGTCTTTCCGAAGGCCATTGTGAAAGGCCTTGGGGGATTGTAAACTGTTTGGCTTGATTGTAAAGAAGAGAAGAAGTAACGGGGTTAAAGAGAGACAACAACAACAACAACAACACAAGCTCAATATCAATCCTCCTCCAATGGGGAGAGTAGATTGAAAAGACAAGGGAGTCTTGAGCGCCTGTGGTTGAAAAACAAGACAACAGAGGAAAGATGAAAGAAGAAAGCCAAGATATTGTTATCGACAGGCCCCAAGGGAGTTATATACAACAGTAGCAGGGACCGTCATGATTCAAGTCTGGCACCCGAGCAGAATCAATTTAATCATCTTCAGGCAAACTTGACCCATCATGGCCCGAGTCCTCGGAGCCTTTACCCAGCCCAGTCGACCGAAGGGGCCAATATAGCACCAGTTCCTCACACATTAGTGGCTCGCAGTCGTGCCTCCGCGAGCGGGCCAAACCGATAATCGCAGACGCGAGTGCAGCCTCAGACGGAGATGCAAGGACAGGGCAGAACGCAGAGGATTAGGCACTCCGACGCTATCTGGGCCTGTCCATTGGCTGCAGATGCTTGTCGGGTTGTTGATGAAGAAGAGGCCAGAGCATGGGCGATGTCGTGGTGGTGGTTGTGGAGGATCGACCAATGGCGAGCGGCAGGCCCAGCACGTTGTGTCGTGTAAGCCATCTGATACGGGGGGTTTGGGTCGCTCCACCCCGGCATCTGCATGCAACAGATATGGCATGCTTAGAATCTCCTCCGGCCGCCGTCAAATGTTCTTCAGCTGGATTCTGGGGGACGTCCAACGCCATCATGGGTCCTGGCTATCACGGCACGTTCTGCAACAGAGCCAAGACGTCCCAACTGCCCTCAACGACGTGTAGCTGAGCATCGTGACAGCGCCCTTCCGTCCTGTCCCCTCGGCCATCTGAGCCCGTGGCCTGTCTAGTTTCGAGACCGAGACTGACCCTGAGGCGGGCGGACCCGGTCGGTTGCCCGTTTGGGACACCGATGAGGCCCCGGATCCGATCCGTCTTCAAGCCACTATTCGCCTGCTCGCCCCCCCTTGTCCACTCTGGCTAACCCTCCCAGCCGTCGCCGAAGCCTCACTCGAAGCCTCCTCCACGCACGATGCCTGCATTGTCCACGTGCTCGCATCGAGTGTCTGCGGAATCCTGCCTGCGATTCAGCTGCAAAGACGGCGTGGAAACCCACTGCCCTGATAGAGCCACATGGGCAATATTCCTCGTGCAGGCTGCTGATCAGTTCCATATCCACGCAAAGTCCTGTCAGCCATGCGCCGGTCCCCTGGCTGCAGTGAGCAGCTTTATTTTCAAGGTTGATTTTTACCTTTGAGTCTGAGTCTGAGTTTTTCCTGTCCTCCGTTTTTGTCTGATTTCACGCTGCGTAACAAGGGGTGAAAAACAGAGAGATCAGTCTCACCTTGTGCCGTAATTCTCGAATCATTCCAAGCAATCTCAGCACTAAGGTAGTAGCACAACCGAGGGGTCAATCTGTGTACATTTTTTTTTTTCCCTTTCCCCTCTGTCAGGTCCTCACGACTGAGCCTCAGTTTCAATGTCACTCACCACGCAAACCCAAACCATGGCAGCCAAGCCAAACAACGACGCAAACACCTCTAAAGAGGCCCCGGATGGCCTGCCGCCGCTCTCGTACAGAGTCGTCACGGACGACGGCGAGAAGCAGGAGGCGCTGCGCCTCGTCGCCGACAGCATCGCGCAGCAGCGCCAAACCGCCTCGGCCGCCATCATCTTCCACCCGCTCTGTTTCGCAGGCCTGCTCGCCATGTGCGCCGGCACATATCACCAGTACCAGCACGCCGGATACGGGACCGTCATGACGATGCTTTCCGGCGTCGTCATCGTTTACCTGTCGTTTGTTCGCTTCTACACCTCGGGGTATATCCAGCGGGCGGAGTCGTTCCGATGGAGGGACTTTATCACCGGCCCTGATGGCAAGGAGGACACCGTCATTGCCGCAGTCTACGGCGACGATGTCATTGGCGTCGTGGTGTTGAGGCTGGAGGGAGACGAGCTTCACAGAAAGAAGAACAAGGGCGGCGCTCAGGCCAGCAAAGCTGGTCGAGGCATCATCCGCGCCTGGACCACCAAGCTGCGATACCGAGGCAAAGGCGTTGGCTCTGATCTCCTTCACTTCGCGGTTCAGACGACCTTTCGTGCGTTTGGCCCAGACGCCAGCGTCGAGTTCGACCCAAACCACCCAAACAGCACGCATCCGCTGCCCGACATGTTTCTTCGACCCTTCAAGAGGCGCCAGCAAAAGGCCGCCAAGGCGTTGAGACAAGCATTGAACCACCAGGGGACCCCGAAATAGAGCGGGTTTTGCTCACGCATCTTGTAACATAGCAGTATCAGTTCCTATAGATTTAATCATAATGATAACATCATGGCATTTGCGCTCTGAATCCAACAAAGTACTCTGGTGACACGGTTTTTAGACAGAGGTGTTCATCTACAGATACCGCTCATACACCGTCATCAGGCTTCAGTGCACATCCCCGTTCCTCCAGGCGGAAATTATCATCAGCACTAAGGAAGACGTCTGTTAAACCCGTATAGCACGATGCACCACTCATTGACCAAGCAATGGGCAATTGGGCATGCGACACAATGGCAGGATGGCTGAGCTACGGCGGCCAAGACACTTGGCGATGGGAGCAGCCAGAATCACTTGGCGATGGGAGCAGCCACATGCCGATGGCCATCTTGAGGACCAAGCCGATATATCCGGCACATTCCCGGCCTTCTGTTCTTTTCTATCTCTTCCTTTCCTTCTCCTTTGTTCGAATTCTAGACAGGTTCTGCGCTTATTGGGGTCGTCAAAAGGTCTTTGGCTGGAAGAATCTGTTTCCAAAGAGGCTTGATGGTGGCGAGAATCGAGTCGGCATTACAGCCAAAGCCAATCCAGAGCTTCAGCACGTGGGAGAACAACGGCAGCCACAATATCGAATCGCCAGATCAAACTTCCGGCCAAGGCTGCGGGCGTCAAAGAGGACGGATCTTTTGCCAGTCATTCTCCATCTGGGGCTCCGGTAAAACTAATAGCTCGCCCACGTGCATTCCGTCTTGAGAGAGCTGGTCTGGCGGTATCCACAGCCATCTCTCACTCGAAATGGCACTATCGACGGTGACTATCCCGTGCATGATGAGCTGATGAACTTTCCAAGTCTCTTTCTTTCCATACATCAAATTTCTATCGATCAGGGCAACCTTGGGCGGTAGGAAGAGACTGGCTGTGATAAGTCTTGGGCATTAGACAGGCATTCAGCTCATGCATTCCATCTGTTGAGACCGATTGTGGTGCAAGCGGCCGTGGACAATCATCTCGAATGATCAGAGCCCGGTTTTACTAGCACTTTCAACAAGATTGCTACCATAGACAAATTACTGAAGCGCAGAGTCGAAATTGAAGAAGGAAGGTCTGAAGAAGGGGCTTCACCACTGGTTTCACCCCCGATGCCTCCTCGAATAGTATCACGTAGCACTCGGTAAAGTACATACAGAACAGCTCGAGTCCCACTAGAGACATCTTGGTCAAAGATCCGAAGCGGATTTCCCAATCTCACTTCGAGCCAAACCGTTCCCCGTATCCCCGCACATAAAGGAATCGTTTCCCACTGTTTCCACGACGGCTGTCGGCGCGGCGACCGAATGGTCACGGTAAAATATTCCCTCGCCGCGCCCCATCTGGCCTAATTTCGTGCTCTTGTTGAATGCCTCAGGTTCGACCGTCTAAGCGTTGACAGGAGCAATATCCATGACTTATAATGCCGCTGGTTGCCGTGGTCATCTTGGTAGATGCTGGCTCAGCCGGTCCAGGTAGCTATGCGTCAAGACGGAATTCCATTGTAACGGATAGGACAGCAGAAGGAAAACTTTGACAAGTGGCGCAACCCAGAACGGGCCTGTTGTTCGAGCGCTAGAACATTGGCGTTGGCGCTGCTATCGTAAGGTATGCCCTGAGAGTATTCCGTAGGCTGAGGGACATTTTCTGGTTGCCCTAGCTGAGGGTGTGTTCGAGGCTGACTAGGTCTTGGTCTGTCGGCGCGACTGGCATGGCCGCGTGGCTGCTGAATTTGCTATGATGACATGACGAGCTGAGGGCAATTCATGTTAGCCCATCGGTTTCGAGGAGAGGAGGGGAGAAGGGCAAGAGATTGAGCTGTTGTATAATCCAGAGATCATCTCCAGTGTAGCGACTCTACAACAGACATAAACACACTTGACAGCTTGCCCATGGTGAATTCGAAACCAGAGCAACAGAAGCAGCTCGACGAGCCGTTCTTCGTATTTGATATAGGCTTTTATGAATTTCTGCCTTCACACACACACAAACACACACACACACACACACAACACACGCAGACAAACAGCCACGATGCCAAGCATTTCACTCGGGACCCTCCGTCAATCTCCTGTTGCTGCATTTGTCGCCCTTGCTGGTCAACGATGCCTGTGATAGGCCAAGAGGGCAGCACTACCCAGATCAAGGGACGCAGTTAGCGGCCACTAAATGGCCTCGCTGCCGAGCCCGCTTTTAGGTGTTTAGGGCTGGGAGGTTGTGCCCTGAGATCGGATACCTGTGAATAGTAGTAGCAAGTTCCTCTCTCTCACTGACCCTTTTGACTTATGATCGAAGCGTCCGGGCTTCAAGAAACTCGTGATTTCTTATGTTGGCGTACACTGAGAAGAGTTCAGAGTGCCGCTCATACTCGGACGTGAATCCTCCAAGAGACTGAAGGCGGGGAGGTGAGACAGAGGGAGGAGGCCAGAGGCAGCTCGCTTCAAGGGGGCGTGGGCGTGTTCCTAGATGCCAAGGCCTCGCTTTGTGATAAGCTCATGGCAAAGTATGGGGAGGCAACATTGCTTGCCATGCCACATGAGGCGAGGCGTGGGCAGCGATCCGGTTCGACAAGGGACGAGGAGCCGTCATGGGTTCTGCTGCAGGCGTACCTATGCAGGAAGATGCAAGAATATGCAATTATACGCTACAGTGCTCCAGCCTCGTGCGTAATGGTCCAGACAGTGCGGACTCCCTCGAGTCGGCACTGGCCCTGATGGGCTCGCCAAAGTCGCGGGTACGAGCTGGGGGGGTTCGCTGACGGGCATGGCGTAAGAGCTGCAAACAGCGGGCAAGCTTCCACCGGCTGGGCCCCCAGAGCAGGTGTTCTCTGGTTCTACCTCTTTTGCAGCTGTTTGTGTGTCCTTTGTATGTCGTTCCGTATTATCATATCAAGCGGTCAGCATGCAGGATAGCAAGTGGTAGCAGTCATACACTGTTTGAAGCAATGCCTTACATGCCTACACAACACAGAATGCTCGCATTCAACCTACCTACGTACATGTATACACCGTAGCATCAAAGGGTACCTATTGCTCGATACTGATAAGGCCCTGGAGTAAGACCACATGCAAAGAGCCAACTTAGAGACTTGTCTATGAGAATCAAGTCCATCAAATCACTTACACGTATAGAATGACCATAGACAGACACTGCCAAAGCAAAGACATGGAGTAACAATCTTGTTCAATCCACCAGTCCACCAGCCCACCACTTTGCCCGACTTACATACACCAGCGCCAGCTGCTCGTTCCCGTCAATGGCAGCACATCGACCGGTCTAGACACGGTAAACCCCAAACAGCGAAAGGCCCCTTCACCGCAACAAAGCACACAGAAACCGGCCAGCACAGCCCTGCCCCGGCCCCAAATCCAAATGCCTCATACTACCTACACTCATGCTCACACGGATGTCAGAGAGAGGGAGGCCTCCTCAGCCAAAACCAAACAAGCGAATAAGCAGCACCCTGTGACGTAGGATGACCGACTGCCCGCCTACTCGCATCGAGCCCGGTCTCCCCCCTCTTTCAATAATGCGAGAGCCTCAACGAGAGCCCGCGTTCCTACGTCTTTTTCTGTCGCTTTGTCGCAACTTACTGCATGTGGAACTAATGCAAAAAGACCCTGACGACCGCTTTCTCCTTCTCGCCAATCACACACTCCGTAATTATGCATTTAGCAACCTGCTCACCTCCTCTGCCGATCCCCATACTCCCGGCTCCCTGTTCCGCGTTTAGTGCCGTGCCTTAAGAGAAAAAAAAATTCGAAAAAGAATACAATAATATCCTAATGGGAACTGGAGACGGGAATTCCCAGCTCAGCAAGCCACAAGTGCCCTGGACGTATATCGCTCATAGATACACCGAGCAGATGGTTCATCCACGATACTTCCTCTCTGTTATGACAGGACAAACACCAGGGCTAACTATCGCGCCCACCCAGGATGGCCCCCTTACGCCTCGACGCAGCTTCGACCAAAAGAAGGAGACGAAAAACTATTCAGCTTCCCACACACCTCTCGTCTTGACGTGTTATGAATCAATCCGTTTCTCTCACTCCCTCGACATGTCTAGGCCTCGGATGGATCCAACGCCGTGGTATGACACGGCGAGTAATATCAATGCCGTCGATTCCAGACTTGGCATAATGGCCGCACCGCATGTGATGATGATTTACTTCCTAAAATGGTAGTTCCTTGAATATCCGCTCTTCTGCCAGAAAGAAACGAGCAGAATCAAATGCTGCTCCATGCTGGGGAGTTCTGTAGCTGCTACCTCTCATCCCCCATTGCCCCCCCTTTTCCAATTCACAGAAGTATTAGATGGAGCGTTTGTTCTTTATCCCAACGTATGCCCTACACAAATAGGCACAAGATTTCCTCCCAAGCGCGTTAACCGTTTGGCCCTTATCTCTCATTCTAGCATCAATCCCGTTCGAGGCGTGTCCTGTCCAGACGTCTCAGGGGGGGTAGGGCCCTGGCTTTTCCTTCACCGTATCTCCATCCAACCTGTCTGCACACAATCATACCAGAAGCCCATCCGCTTGGGGGCGTAGAGCGGCAAAGATGAGTCTCCTTCTTCATTCTGAGTCACCGTACTTTGTCAAATTCAATGTTTGCTCGTCTCTTGCCTTTGGCAAAACTCCCACTCGATGCTGATTTTCCATTGTCCTCTTTAAAAAAAAAGAGAAAAAAAAAGAAGAAAAAGAAAAGGGCCGTCTTTGATTGTCTCGTTTGCGAACAGAACAACAACACATTCCTTTCACGAGGTCAGGGGCAGGCCCATGTCTTGGGAGTGCACAGCTCCAGACCAAGCCAACAAAAAGCCCTTTCAGACTATTTGCCATCCAGAGAAGTGCCTCCCCCTCAAAACCGTGTCGAAATTGGGAAATCAACAGTTGGCATTCCACCAACCCCCTATACACATCAAGATCACAGATAGTCCATTACCTGCCTTCGAGATGCGTTTCAAGACGTCCTTGTCAACAGTCCTATTCCTCCCTCACCACCAAACCTCGGGCAACTAGGACTACGGTTCGAACAGAGGTTAAGGCAACTTGGTGTCACAGGCAAAAAGAAAGCTTGTGTCTATAGAAGCACAAGGCAACCATTCTTTTCTCTCTCTGCTGACATTTCTACAGGATATAGCTCAAGAGACAACCTTATTCAAACGTCCCTTTTTCGGCCGATCCCTGATTCGAAGATCGAAAGAAATTCAAAACCCGGACGAACCCTTATACAAACATTGACCGTAACGGCCAGCCCTACTTCATAGATTCGTACAATGGCTCTAGCCAAAGGCACGCTCAGCTCTTCAGGGCGAAATGTCTTCTCCGTTGCGTCTGTGTCAGTGCTGCAAAGTTCCAGGCTATATGATATCGAACTCCATGCGCAACGGCCGACTTCAACCAATGTATTCATTAAGGAATCCATCCAAACCTCAGCCAAGGGGGATGGCGGCATTGCACCTGGGCGGGAGAGAGTCATTGTAGTTTGACTATGAAGTCAAGGGCCATCAGTCAGCCCCAGCTGTCACTGTTGGAGAGCTAGCTATGAAGTCTTGGCCGTCTTCTTTGTATTCACTTCTTCTCATATCTAGAGTCATTTCCATAGCTGTAAGCTTTCCTAAGTAAACAAGACTTAACCACCTAAGTAAGTAGGATATTCAACATCTTCCAAGAGGATTTGCAGGAATAGATTCCTCCGAATCCCTTAATACGCGGCTCAGTTCTGGCCTATCTATACGACCGTCCCATGCTCCCTTTGAAACAGAATTTGAACTGAGACCGGATAAAACGCCATCTCTCAGCAGAGGCAAGGAGTCCGACTGCAATCATACGAAGCAACAGATGGAGGTGAACACCTCCGAATTCGTCACTTTGTACATTGGGCTTCATCTACATACCAAGGTCACCGTACGAATCAATTGCTACTAAAAGGAACCATCAGGTCAAACGAGAACAAGAAAGTAGTATTGTCATGTCATCAACTCATAAGGGTATAATATCAGGTGTGCAGACCCATATTTGCAGCTATACAAATAGACAAAATTCCGAAGCATTGCATAACGAGACATCATGACCATCATGACGAAGCAGCAGCATCCAACTTGGCCTGCACAACCAGCAAATCTGTCATCACGCCGCTGGCGACAAAGTGAGCAGCAAGAGTACCCAGACAGCCCTGAACGTCCTCCCTCGGCCTATTCGCCAGCTTGCCTTCGTCCAGCTTGATGCTTCCGCCGCGGCTCAGCACCACCAAGGTTGGGTTCGCAACGTCTGACTCGTTGGCGGTGGGAGCGGCGTTGGCGAGGTTGAGCAGCTCCTCCACTGTAGGGGCGACGGAGAGCTTCTCGACCTTGATACGAGTAGACATGCTCTTTGGAATCTCGGCCATGACGGCATCGAAGATGTTCTCGCCGGCTGACGCAGACTTCTCGCCAAGCTGGGAGACGTTGATGATGGTCGCAGTCACGCGCTCGCGCTCGAGCAGCTGGAGAACCAACCGAAGGGCAAAGTTGTCGTCGCGGCCTCCAAAGTAGACGAAGAAGATGTTGTGAGTGCGAGGCACCAGGGGCGCAGTCGGGAACTCGCGCCGAGAAACGTCATACGAGTATTGCCGGCGAAGCCTTGCTTGCTCCTGGCCCTCCTTCTTGCCCGTCTTGACATCGTCTCGGCTGCGTGTGAAGAAGATGCCGACATTGTGATCGATGGAGCGGAGGACAGACTTGACAAACGACAGATAGTTGGACGCAAGCCTATCTTCAACATCTGCGGATGATATTATCTGCGCATCTCCCATGCTGCCAGTCTCGGTCCAGGGCATGAGGAGGAGATCCGATCCCATGTTGGAAGAGCGCGAAACGAGGGCATCGGCAAAGCGATCCTCGGGCATGATGGCGACCTCGCCGGACGCTGCAATGTTGTGGAGCTGGCCGACGCTGCGGAAGATGTTCACGACGGGGTCGTGTCTGGTGTACTCGTCGACCTGAGCGACTGTCATGACGGACGAATCGCGATCCGTCAGTTCGAGGAGTCGAAGACCGTGAGCTCGGACCGGCCCCTTGACTACGTCTTCATAGCTCCTCTTGGAGCCTCCCTCCGACGTTCCGCTTGGCGTCTCTGCCGCATGAGAACTTCCAAACAGCGAAAGAAGGTTGAGCAGCGCAGGCATGTTGTCCAGTCTAAGGTAAACAAGCAGCCGCCGGACTCTCTGAGTAGATGTGTCTGTTCCAGGAGTGACGGTCACTTGGGTGATAGGAGCACCAGTGTCCCAGTCAATCTCCCCACGCTTCCAAGCAGCAATCTTCTTCTGATACCAAGGGGGGTAGAGAAAGGAGACGGCTGGGGTCGTCAAGAAGGTGGTGAGAAGGGCCATGACGACGAAGATGGTAAACGTCCTGACGCTCAAGATTTTCGCTTGCAGACCGATATTCTAGCACACGTCAGTACAGCTGTGATTGCCAAAGGTTCCCTTCTTCATCAACTCACCAGCACAATGAGCTCCACGAGACCCTTGCAACTCATCAAGACTCCAATGGAGAAAGACTCTCTCCAGACCAGGCCATTCAGTCGAGCCGCTACAGATGCACCAATGATCTTGGTGGTGAGGGCAACGATGGTAGTAGCAAACACATAGCCCCAGGCCGTTCCGTTGTTGAGAAGGCCCAGGTTGGTGCTGAGACCGGAGAGGGTAAAGTAGAGGGGCAGGAAGATGGAACCGACGAGATCCTCCATCTTCTCGATGACGCGAATGTTGAAGCCATGCTCACGCGGAATAATCAAGCCGACAACAAAACCTCCAAAGATGGGATGGATCCCAATGATTCCGGTGAAGAAGGCAGAGGTGAGGGCGATGAGGAGAATCAGGGCAATGGAGCTCTGCGAAGGGCCATTCTCGATATTGTTGGTTTTCCGCAGCACAAATCGCAAGACAGGCTTGACGACAAGGACAAGGAGGATGATGTAGCCAATGGCCACCAGCAGGATCCAAAGCGCCGTGATGCCCTGCCCGGCATTGACCAGGGCGACGCAGAGAGCCAGCAGAATCCATCCTAGAAGAAACATATTAAGAGCCATCCAATAACGGAAAATAAACAAGCCAATACTCACCTACGACGTCGTTGGCAACGCCCGCTGACAGAGTAATGACACCAACTGGCGTATCGAGCAGCTTGAGTTCGGTCAGGATACGGCAGAGCACTGGGAAAGCCTAGAGATTGCAAAGGTCAGATTCACGAGATGGACAGTGTGCGAAGTGGACTTGTCGGAACAATGCATACAGTAATAGCGACCGCGATGCCGACGAACAGCATGTAGGTGCTAAAGTCGATGGGCTTGATGCCGGGATCGTCGCGGAAGGCGTTGTATATGCCCCAGGCGAGACCGCAGCCAACGCCAAATGGCAAGGCCAGACCAGCAAAGGCGACCGAGGTGGCGACGCGCCAGTTGCTGAGGAGAAATCGAACATCGGTCTCAAGACCAATCATGAACAAGTAGAGGACCAGACCGATGTTGGCGACAAGAGTCAGGTTGGGAATCGAGGCAGCGGGGAAGATGGCCTCTCTGAATCCGGGGATGTGGCCCATCACCGAGGGTCCCAGGATGATGCCTCCAATGACTTCGGCAATGACTCGGGGCTGGCGGATCTTGGACAGAGGCCAATGCAGGATGTGGCAGATGATGACGATGAGGCCGACCTATATGCGCTTGTGTTGGTCACCACAGCATAGGTAACGACAACGGTCAATGGGGGCCATGATTGACTGACCTGGATGATGAAGATGGTGAGAGGGTTCTTAGGGTCGTATTCAGACGGGTTTGCCCCCTCCAAGATACCGCCCTGCGGCGCAACCCGGACGGCGGTCGAGGTGGGCACGGCCGACGACGTTGTTGCAGTCGCCATCGTGAGAAGATTATCTTAGACCAAAGCTTTCAAAAACACGCAAAGTCGAAGCGAGTCGCCTCGATGAAGCTCCCACGGCAGCGCAAACGGCCTGCGGAGCGTGGGCCAACAGACGACTTCGATGATATCGCCGCTGTAAGCCTCTCAGATGGGTAAAGACAAAATTAGATAACTGAGATGAATTCCAATCCTTCTCAAGCAGAGAGGAGAGGATGATGAAGAGAGAAAGAGAAAAGGCGGAGAGAAGGCTCGAGGCTGGCGTCGGCGACTAAATGATGACGCTCAAACGGACAAACCTGGGCGGTTTAGCAGCACCTCGAACTCTCGAATGCTGTCCACAAGGGTCCTCTCCGCTATTCTGTTCACTAGACCACCCGCTGATCAGTTGACAGGGCGGGCACGAGCACGAGCCAGAAACGAGGCAGTTTGGTGGAGGCTTCGGGATCCGTGGACGATGCTTAGCGCCACGGCAGACCTGGAGATGGCTTTTTGGATGGTCCTGGTGCTGCCATGTGATGGCCGAGTGCGCACTGTGTCCTGGGGAAGCAGTACTTTCAAGGGTTGTGTCTTGTCTGCTTTCAGGTGAGGAGAGTGAGTGAGTGAGGTGAGATGCATCCAGCCTGAATGTCTTGGTTCTGAGACAGCGCAGATCAAGATGTCATAGCTTCATAGGTATGTTGGATTGTTTGGATTGAAACAAGATATGAATGACAGGCGAGCCGTACTATTTAAACAGATTTGATTCATGAGGGACGTTGTGAGAACCACGAACAGTAAAAGGCTAACACAGCAGCCGCCTCCGTCGTGTAAGCGCATTGTCGAGCCCGAGGCCATGGCACCAGAGCAGCTTTCCCTCTTATGACACGCCACAGGCAGTTACAATCGTGCTAATGGTATTGGCATTCCTGCTCGTGATACCCTGGCATCCTGCGAGCCGTAGGCAATTGGGCATGCTCCGGAGCTTGAACCGGGCAGCGAGCTGGTCGTAAGACACGCCTCGACTGGTTATCTATTGGCCCCCAAAAAGGATTCGTGCATATCGTCACAGGCATGGGAAGAGCGCAATCTTGTCACATTGACAATGCCACTACTAGATTGACAGCCGTGAAGCAACAGTTGCAACCAACAACCGCGCTGAATCGTACACAACCCATGACATCCATGCTATCGCGCCATATTCCCTCTTTCTTCCTTCCCCATGGAAGCCATCTTTCGAACTCCCATAGACAAAGAAGCCTTCCTTTTCTTCGCCTTGTGAATTCTGCCCCCAAGCTCGTACAGGCCAGCCATCCAAAGGGCCATGGAATCACGCCTGGTTGGATGAACATCCCAGGACCGTGCTTCAAGTACACGAATCGCCTCCACACAGTATCCCGAAACCTGGAGAGAGAGGCCCCGGTTCTCTTGGTTGTCGCCAGCTCCTCTTGGCTGCCCGCTACTTCATGCAAGCTCCGGACAAGCATCAACCCGTCGTGGAACCCAAGTGACATTCATTCGTCGTCGTTCGTCTGAGAGATTGAGACACACGCGGGCCCGATGTTTCGCAAGAGGTTAATTGTTGGAGAGTGTGGCAAATGCAACGCTATCCAGGAACATGCGAGACATGCATCTATCTGCTCAGGATTCGATTTCATCTGCCAACATAATCAATGAGTTGGGTGAAGTCATTCCATCCTCCACCGCTGTTTCTGCTTACAACAACATCAGAACTCAGGTTTTTTAATCCGACAGATCACAACCCAAGGGCAAGGAATAAACACAGAATCACAGCTTGAGATAGAGCCATACATATAGCCACGCACAATACATTTATCCATCTCTACACCGAGTATACTTCATCGTAGTGCACCCCATCAAGACGCCACCGTCCCCCAGCCGCAGCTGAAAGGCGCCCGTTTCTCCTCATCGTTACGCAACAGCCGCCCGCCAGTCTTCATCCTCCCCAACTGTGAAATAGCAATCAATCTATTCGTCCCGCCATTATCAGCAGATGTAGATGCCTCTACTACCCCAAAAGCCTCCTCAATGTTACCCCACACACGCTTCTCATCTCGCCTGGCCCCGTCCACTTACAAGCTGACCCATCCACCAAGCCTCCGCATTGTACTCCAAACTTGGGGCATCAAGACAAGATCGAGCCCTCAGTTTCCAGTTGTCCTTTTCAAGCGCCTCTAAAATCCTCGCGACCTGTATCCTGTACGCCGGCGTCTTCTCAATCCATCACACAAACAACACCCATCATCGCCCTTTTGCTGCCATCTCAGCAATCAGTTCAGCAGCCAGCTTCCGGCCCCCATATTGCTCGCCCCTACGCGCAAGAGCCTTGGCATTCTCCCGCATGGTCACGCTCCGGTTGCCGCTCAGCACCTCCAGGAATGCCTCGGCCAGGCCCGCCGCGTCCCAGTCCGGCGCCAGCGTCTTGTTGGGCCAGATGCCCACGCCCAGATACTCGGCCGTCTGTGCGTAGTTGTAGAGGTCTGCCCAGAGCGGGAGAACGACGCTCGGGATGCCAGCGCTGTTTGTCGTGTCAGCAGCTCATGATCGGGGAATCTTGATGGCGATGGCGCAGGGTATCATCCTGGGGGGGAAGAGGGTGGCGGAAACGGAAAAGAACATAGGAAGCCAAACTCACATGATTGCCTCGTAGAAGCAGTTGGCACCTCCATGATGCACCGACACCGCGATATGTCCCGTCTTGAACAAAGACGTCGGATCTACGTCGAGCCACGACTCCAGCCGTAGCCTCCCAGCCTCGACATACTTGCTCAGCGGCTCCCGAAAGGCGTCGCCGTACTCACCCAACTTCCGCATCTTCCACAGAACCTGAGCATCCGAGGCATCAAGAACACGGGCAATGGCTTCGGCCATGACAACAGCTCTCGACTCGTCGTATTGGAACCCACTCCCCAGATTGACGAGAATCGTGGGCGCCTGTTTGATCCAGGCGGCCAGCTCGGCACTCTGCGTCTCGGCCGGAGCAACATCCAACACCAGCGGACCAGCGATGTGAAAGTTGTCCGGGATCACTTCGATTGGGTAGCCAGCCTCGGGATAGCTCATGGTGATCCACGGCACGTCCTGCCGGAACATCTCAAAGAGATTCACGGCGCGCGGAATGCCGTGCTGCTGAAGCCAGGAGCGCTTGTTCCTGATGACCGGCGAGGTCAGGTACTTGGTGATAAAGTACACTTGCTGGTAGATGTTACTCGGGATCTCTTTCCAGGGGACTGGGAAAGGAAGCCCCGAAGCAGTTCTTGAGTGGCAAGGGTGGTCAGTCTCTCCTGATACAATGAGCGATGGCCCCCCTGAGATCATCCGACACACTCACCCAGGATACTTCCAGAAGATGGCTCCCTTGGGCTGCACACCAGCCAAAAGTTCCGTCAAGGCATTGGGCGTGATATAAACTCGAGTCCGGTTTAGATTCACCGCGGCATCAATCGCCGGCCGGAACATCGAATCCAGCACCACGACGGCCGGATCAATCTTGCGAATCAGGTCCGCCGTCTGATGGTACAGGCTCAGGTGAGCCTCGTTGGACCACGCTGCCATGACAGAGGGAACCATTTCGGCAAACACCTTGAGCCCGGACGGGCCCGGCGGAGATATAATCTTTTGCGCACCCCCTGCGGCGTTCAGTTCGTCCACGAGGCTCGGCCCATCGAGCTGGCGCCAGTGGATCTTGGCTTGCGGGTTCTTTGCCTTGGCAATCTCTGTGATGCGCTCAATGTCCGATGCGATGCCCGAGAAGGAGGCGTAGTGCACCTCGAGAGACGGATGGTATTCGATCAGCGCCGAAACCGTCGCGAGATGCGCGTTGCACATCCCATGGTGGCTGTCGGTAAGGAAGAGGACTGTATTGTTGCGGCCACTGATGAGAAGTTCGTCTTCCTGTGTCGACTGTCTGGCCAGAAAGACGGCAACGAGTGCGCCGAGGACGGCGAGAATAAGCAAAGCTCGCCGAAACATATCCAACAAGGCGCCGTGATATCACCGTCGTTAACAGCTATGCATCACATCAATGCAGAGATTGGAACTTCGATCTGAAGCAACAAGTAGCGGGAGGCACGCTCTCCTATTAATACAAGTGCTCGTACTCAAGGACCAGCGGTATATCTTATCATTGCATCCCCTATTCCGCCAGCTCAACGGCATCCTGAAGGATTCAGCGGGGCCGAGTCGCGAGAATTGTATCCAGTCTTACATCTATTATCAGCGACATTCGCGTGTTTTCAAAAACTGCTAAAATCCATCTGGCTAGTCACATAAGGAGAGTGAGGACGCGAGTAAGTTGCACGATGACGAGCAAACCCCACAGCTTCCCTAAGTCTCAGCTCATTCTTGAGTAAGATCAGGCATCCGGTCTTTCGCCCAGAAGTGACCCGAAACAAGCGTCCCTCTCTCCAGCTGGTTCCTCGCCATCAGAAACTAGCTCGTCGTCCAGTGACTCTAGCTCGTGTTGCAAATGTTTCTCGTGTTAGCAAACGCGTAGTTTGGCGTTGTGATGACTGCACGACGGCGCCTGTCTACTAATAAAGTAATCTTCAAGAATCATCAGCTCAACTGGCCCTAGAGAAACGTTCCTGTGTGTAAGAGCTACGCGTTGGGAGTCACAACGGCGAGTTGAGCTATTAGGTTACCTTATATCCTTCGGCTGTCGGCAACGGTTGCCCTAAGCCTTCTGCTCGTGTTACCTAGATTGCCTCTATTCATGTTGAAGCCGAATGGGTCGTGCTGTGATTCGAGCTACCCTATGAACTGGGTTTGTGATGAGAGTCTAGAGCCTTCTCTGTGGCATGACAAGTTTGTAGGGTATCAATTCCCCCTATATCTGTAAAACATCATCACTCTAGTAGCAGAACGTAGAAACGATCCTATTCTTCTGTTACAAATAGATCTTTTTGTAATACAATGGATAGCCAAGCTTTGATGTGGATTGGTAGGTGCAGGAGGTTCCAGTTGGTAACTACATTACATGTACCCTTATAGGTGACTAAGCCGCAGATATGTCACAAGAGTTGTGGCGCGGAAAGGATCGAGCTTAAGCATGGGCCATAACCAACAACAAACCCCAGCTCCATGCTTCTGCTCCATGCTTCTGCTTCAGCTTCTGCTTTCTCCGATGCGCCGCGATAACCCGAATACTAACACAGGGCGATTGTCATGACGTTGGCGCGCGCGTGATGCTTGACTATCGCGGACTGCTGGCTGTTCCCTGCCGTGGGAGACCCGTTTACGCGCAGCTCGACGCCCATCGCGACGCTCGATCGCCGTATAAATCCATCCGCCTCTCTTGAGCCTCCATCAGATCGTCGCCGTGGTCCCAGCTCGAGCTCAGGTAGTAGCTGCCAAGAGAGGGCGCACTTCAGATGAGAAGGGCATGTATACTGAAGTGCTGGCAGGCCTTGACTGACAACGAGCAGACCAAGTCCCTTCTCTCCTGAGCAAGCGACGTCGGACGATGGAAACCCCCAGCCAAGGCAAAAGCCAAAAGCGACCCCTCAAAGACACATGCGATAGTGTTTCTGGGACGTCCGGGGATGCCGCCACGCACGACGACGCCCCAGCCGACACTCTTTCCGACGATCCAATAGAGTGCTGGAGAAGACAAGGGCGCTGGCCAAGCCATCTCTTCGAGCCCAGTACGGAGCGCTCTTTTGCAAGACAGCCAACCTTGTCGACCCTCAGCGGGCGTAAGCGAGCCCATTCTTCCTCTTCCACAACTCCAAGCGACCAAAGCCCGCGCGAGCACAAGCGTGCCTACCATCGAGACCCACGGTATAGAACGCTGCTTGCAACCAAGGGCAGTTTCATGACCGAGTCCGACAAGGGCATCGCCATCGAGAGTAAAGCTGCCTGCATGACTCTACTCACTTCCGAGCAAACGCTCCCAACCGTGTCGCTATTCCAAGACGATCTATTCCATTCAGTCTGCGCAAGTGTGGATAATCGGAACGAGGCGAGAGTGTTGCGATTTATCACACCGTTGATCGTCCCTTCGGCAGAAGAACTTGCCATCTGCGGTTCCACTGGCCTTGGGTGTTTGGTCGAGAGCATCAATGAGGGATGGAACAGTTCCATTCCCTTGATTGGCATTCGGCCACAACCCGATTACTCTGTTGGATTCCGCCGAGAAGCTTTCACTGAGTCCCAGCTTGAGAAGTTGGCGCCATTCATTGGCGAATATCTGAATGATGATGTTTCCTTCTTTATGGCCACATACTACATGTATTTCCCCTTTCTTAGCTGCGAGGTAACGTCCAACGCCGCAGCACTGGAATTTGCAGACCGCCAGAACGCCCACAGCATGACTCTTGCAGCACGAGGTATTGTTGAGCTTCTCCGCCTTGTGAAGCGGCAGGACGAGGTCCACCGGCAAATCCTTGCGTTCTCAGTCTCGCATGATGGTTGCTCAGTGAGGATTTACGGGCATTATCCGGTTATTGAGGGAAATGATACAAAGTACCACCGCCATCAGATTCATAGCTTCGATTTCACTGTCCTTGACGGAAAGGAGAGGTGGACAGCATATCGATTTATCAAGAATATTTACGATATTTGGATGCCTAATCACTTGAGGAGGATTTCCTCGGCTATTGATCAGCTTCCGTTGAAAATAGACCTCGAAGTCCCGGCGCTTTCTGCACCGACTGGCCCCTCTCAAGGCGTTGAGAGGCTACCTGGCGTTATCGCAAGTCGGCATTGCATCACAAGCCGTGGAGGAGGGCACAGCGACTCCAGATACTTTGGTCCCGAAACAAGCCCCAGCCAAGAAGAGGTGGAGCACAGCTAAGGAGCCACAGGGTTAGACTATAGAGTCACTGATCAGAGCGGCTTTATAGTATCTTGACCTAGTTATCAGTAGATACCCAAGACCACCATGAACTCTGCGATGTAATCGATGTGTATATAGTGCTCCAAGCATCTAGCAAGACTACCTTAGCACATATGAGTAACAGATGACATACCTTACAGTATTCTGTAAGCTATTTACTACTCTAGGCATCTTAGGTACTACATACTAGGTAATTCAGACAATATTCCTGGCTTCCCAAGTGATAGAGAAGTATAACATGATAGCTTTCATTCTTCGCCAAATAAGATGATGCCTAGCACATATCCCCATTTTAGACCACAGCTTACAGAGTACAATACCGTTCCGAACCAAACATCATCTTAACCAAATTCTTCTTTTCCTAACCCTGGCATCTCACATCCATCTTTCACCCATTTCCCCCGCCCTCTGCTTCCCGCAAAATTCGCCATGGAAGTACACGCATACATACATACCTTACGTAGGATACGCTCCCGCGCGTTCCGTTCCGCACAACCCAAAAGGCCACGTAAATTTGGAGTTGTCACACACACACACACGCACGCATACGCACGGCGTCTTTCATCTGAGGCACCTCAGGTAGTATCCGTACATCCATGCAGTAATACTCCGTAAGGTAAGGTATGTACCACCTTAAGAATCCAATATCGCAAGCAAGATAGGCGTAATATAGGTACCCTCCCGACGGTTTGACCGCGCGGATGCATGCCGCCCATTTTCCCAGAAATAGCCACAATCTCAAGGCGTGGATTCCCCCAACATACGTATGCAATGCAGATGAACATTGACCAGCCATCCATACCTACTTATCTCACAGCCTTCAATCTCACACATGTACATCCATCTGGTCCAGTCGCTTTTCTAGCCTGATTAGTGGCTCCCTACCTACCCAGGTACCCAGACAAGCGGACAGACAGACACCTTTAACATGGCCATCAATCTTACTATTAGTCTTCCACCCCCCAAACCTGGAAAGCAAAGACAGATATAGTAACAAACCCGCCTCCAAAATAGTCGGATCGATTGACTACCTATCCCCTCCATCCAACCATCACCGACAATCCCTCGTCCCTCACCCACCGTCAATCCTCATCCCCAAACCTACCAATGACTTGACACAAGCACATGCCACTCATCCCAAACTCACATGTCAAGACCTAAACTCCCCCATCCCACTGGCCAAAACCCCAAATGAACGATCGACACTCAGGGTCCCTCCCACCGCCTCCCCTCAACCAGTCTCCTCAGAGACGACCTACCTTATAATCACATGTATCCCGTACCTACTAAGCAAGCAACCATCAAAAAAGTCCCTGGTTGAACACTGGCCAATATAAAACATTCGTGCATCATGCCCCTACTACCACTACAAAGCAAGGGGGCCAATAGAACCGCCGGGCTCACTAGGCCGCTTGCCGCATATTATTGGCACACACACACAAACACACACACTTGCACCTTCAATCAAAGGAGCACCGCGAATGGGAACCTGCGACTTGCACATGCAGTTTTAGCACCAAGTCTCCAGAATCAATGAAACCCAAGCCTGCAGATCCCAGAAAGCGGCTTCTCATCCGAATTCCTTCAGGTCGGTCATATACTACCAAACTTGGTATGTGTACATACATGTCAAGTGTGAGGTAGGTAGCATTGGGGGTTGACTGGGGGAGGGGAGGGGAGGAGGGGGGGTGGGAGTACGTCTTCCCTCCCTCCCTCCCGTAATACAGGTATGGTATAACACTGAGGGTAAGTATCAAGGCATCTGAAGTGGCAAGGGTAAAGAGAGTAGAATTTCACCGCAGCACGTTGATGAGTAGGTGAAAGAGGTGTAACCCTCACCCCGGCTCTGCAACTGCTACCTTGCGTGTCTGGCATCTTTTTTCTCCGTAACGTGTGTGTCGCTTGTCGTGAGGCCTGTCAGCTTGTTCATGTTACTGCATAAGGGTAGATCAAAGAGGCTTTCTATTCGTCGACAAGCTTCCGCTGCTACACGAAGTCTTGATAATGGTACGAGTACGTAGTTGTCGTATCTTGTTGATCCTTAACATCATACCTGACATACCTTTGATGAAGGGCCCGAGTACCATGCCGGAACTTTGTTCAACTGATGGCGAGGTATTCTTCCGGAGCATAAAAGGTGATATGCGCTCATACGAATCAATATATGCAACAGAGACTGCTCTGTTAAACCACCTGCTCAAGAACGCAGTAGATCAGGCTGTTACGGGAGGCAACGGGTTATCATCTCATCAGGCAGTACGCAGAGACCTCATGTCCTTCAGCCTGTAGAGATAGCTAAATTCACCATGCAATTTGTGTCACATCCGCGCAAGTTTTGGGTCGGAACAGCAACGTGACTGATGGTGTGCGTGGATTTGGCTGGCCGAGCAAAGGAATCCATGCCTGTACGAAGTACCTCACCAAGCAACATGTTTGCGTTGGACGGTACATACGTGCTCTCATAGGTACGTTGCTGCAGCTCTTTTGCGGCGCATGCATAGCGCAGGACTGGGAGATTGGGCTGCGAGACGTGAGAGAGAAGCCGCCGCGGACACAACAGCTTTGCTGGGAGTTCGGGACCGGGCCAACAGAACGGGCTGACCTGGTCGTCGTCTTCCCGACAAACATGCAGGCCAAACGGCCCAGGATTGCTTGCAGCCTTCGGCGCAACAGCAAGCTGGTATGTGAGATGGGTGGTGGTACTTTCAGGGACACCAACATCTGGCGATGCAGCCTCGGGTGGCCACCCCCGATCAAGGCCAAGCAGCAACGCTCCACCATCCGCTGTCCCGTCAAAGAATAGCTACTATCGCGATCCTTCTTCGCGCTTCTCCTTTCGAGGTTGGCTCAACGCGAACCAATATTTGGCTTGAAGCAGCTATGGCAGACAGAACACAACTGAGAGGACGGAACCGCCATGCTCGGGGCGTCTCGGCCATTCAGCATCCTTCTCTGCGAGGTCCCTCTGCGGACGCTTACCTGGTTGCTCGTCGGGCCGCTTCTTTTCTTCTCCCTCGTCTTCTTCTGCCCATGGGGTTGGGATCAGAGTGGGACTCCCCTTTGCTGTGCGTTGGGAGACGGAGCACATCGTAAACGGTACGTATATACATACAAGTATGGCCGAGGGCACTCCGCGAGCTGCTGCCGGTGCTCGGTCTTTTCCCCATCGTATAGCAGCTTCGGCGGATACTGCATACTAGTAATACCAGCAGGTACAACGTACAGTACAGGGACGGCGACGGCGGCGAAGGAGGCATACTACTAGCATTATGATAGAACGGTTGCGAACGACGAGCAAAGATGGTGATCAGGTCCTTCGGCGGCTTCTGTACAAGTCAGTTGCTTTAAAGGCACGGTTGATGTTTGAGCCGGAATGCCAGCTTGCTTGCCTGCCTCCATGCCTGGGAAGAGTCATGACAGACTCATGACCGACTCATGACAGACGGCCTTGCTCCTGCGTTTCTGGCACCGATGCTTGTAGGTGCTCGTACGAGCTCCGTTCCTTTGTGCGTCGAGACTGCCACTGCGGCCCTTCGTGACAACCTCGTCCTGGTGCTTCTGCTATAGACGGCTGTATGTTGATACTAGTAGCACCATGGAAAGCCAAGTCTTTCTCCGGATGCAGCTAACGGCAAGCCACATTGCCACGCGGTAAATCGCCATGGGGCTACGATCATGGACGAACTTCATCACCAGCGAGCAGCCAAAGAACAAGGGAAGGGGAGCCAGCGCTCGATCCTGTGCTTCGGCTGCTGAGCCGGATCTGCTGGCTGGATGGCGATTTCTGTCCAAGTGCAAAGCGCTGTATACGAGGTACGCTCCCACCGGCTGAAAACTCTGTGCCTCACCTGCCCCCCTGACTACCGTGTCATGGAATACTGGTCCCGTGACGAGGGAACCCAAAAATTTTTCCTCACCCCTTCTGTGCCCCATCGTCCCCTTGTCCCCCGTACTTTAATCAGATGAGCAGATACGGGGCAGCGTTCGGTCTCGATCTAGCGCCTCGGCCTTGGTCTGGAAACAGGCCCGGCATGTGTCGGCCAGTCAGCCAATGTCTGCCTCGGTGCGAACCGATCCATAGGTATTACTAGATGCTGCCCAATCAGCGCACCCGGCATGGCAAGGCGACGCGGCTGTTGATTCTTGCTTCTCGGCCGGAAATGGCCCTGCCCCGGAAATCTTCCCTAGAGCAGCGACAACGCAGAGCACGTCGTGGGCATGGACAAGATCATTGCTCGATCCTCTTCCTTGGCTGTCCGTAATAATAATGTTGCTGACATGACCTGAAATTTCGAGACGAGCTCCGCATTGTTGGCGTACCCTGTGGAGTGTGTTCGGTCCGGAGACGTGCATGGTGAGGATTGCTAGCGTACCGGAGGGTTCCATGGGGTGTGCCCGAGCCTCTGGGTTCGCCCTGTGGTAAGTCTTTGTTAGTCAGTCAGGCGAGAGAGTCGATGACAAGCAGCTGAGCGACAATGTGGCATAGCTCAGGGTTAGGTGTGCTTGGATTTGTATGTTGGCCCGAAGCGATTGTTTGTAGTAGTGGCAACGGCGGCAGGTCAGCGAGGCAAAGAACTCGGGGCTGTTGGTCGCCGTTGAGGCAAGCAAATCGATCAATCTCTCGTCAGATGATGGGTAATAAGACCGAAAAGGCTATCGTGCAGATGTCTCGCGCTGCTGTCCCAAGTCCAGGACGAGCTGAAGGGTTGCGGCTTCACGCCAGACGAGAGAATGAAGTCATGAAACGCCCTGAACACAAGTAATTGTGTGACTCGTAACCTTGGTCCCATCTACGTTTCGGCCAAGGAGATCCGAGTCGACTTCCAGCATTAGCTCAGACGTCTCTCGTCGCGAGATGCAGTAGCATCCCGTCTTCAGCCTCGCTCATGGGCAGATCTTGGCGTGGGCCGGCAACCTGTCACATTGTGAGTCCAACCGTGTGCAGCCGGTGTGCGACGATTGAAATCAAGCAATGGTGTGAAGTATCAGCAGGCAATATCTCGCACGCGCGGACCAGGCGGCATGTGGCGAGGCATGATCCGATCGAGTCCAACCACGGGCGCCCAGATTGAATGACGACGCCGTTTTGGCGATGTCTGGGAGTCCATGCTGCAGGCGTAGTCCTGCCATACGATGCTAAGCCATGTCCACCCATCTCCAGATCCTTACCAACAGCAAGGACCAGCACTAGCGAACCCGGCAAACGGCCGAAGAGGCGCCCGTGACGTGATGCGATCCGGACAAGAGAAGGAGAAAGACGACAAGCAGCACGCGAACGGCGACGGCCTTGGGCGCGTGACTTGAGCCGTCCCCGTATGGTCGCTGGAAATGGTTGTCATTGACCGGGCGCCCTCGTCGGTGCCCCCAGAGCAACTGGGCAGCACTTCCACAGGCTGCTAGCAGAAGCCAGAGTCCGGAGACTGCCCCCGGATTGCAGATTTGCACGATGCGCAAATGACCGCCAAGCCGCCCCGTGCTCGGTCAATTAGACACAGCTCAGAGGGCAGCGAGCGGAAAGACTGAAGCCGGCCGTTGGAGAAGGGCTGCCACTGGGGGCTGAACAGCGACGCCCCTCCCATCCACCCCGAAAAAAGACAACACGACAGACCCCATGGAGAGGAGGAAACAAGGTGGAATAGCGCCGCTGAGTATGACCGAAAAATGCCCTTTGGGAGGCAGCGCCGGCGGTCATTCTCCAGCTTTCGCAGCCCCTGGTCGCTCCCCCACGACCCAAGCCGGGTTGTCAGCACGAGGCCCATGGGGAAAACAGAGTCGGGTGCCAGGGAGGCGTACGGGGCAGCGGCGAAAGGCGCCGAAACGGACCAATTCTGTGAACTTGGCCACCGGCTCTGACTGTCACCGTCGTGTCATGCATGCCGCTCGTATGTCGTTCGTTGTATGGCCGTGATGGAGTGACGGTTGGCTGCTCTTGGGAGTCGTTTGATGCCGTATTATCCAGTGACCGGTCGGTCAGTTTGGGGGAGCTGTTGGTGAATGGTTGCGGAGCTTGTATTTTTTTGAGTTTCCGGCTGTTTCTCACGAGGACTGCTTTCGATACCCCAACTTGCCTCGGTTTGTCTTCTCCCTAACGTGACACGATAGTATGTAGTATGATGTCTGGAATCATGTTGCCGGTTACCCCGTCAAAGGTAGCAGTAGCAGTAGCAGTAGCAGTAGCATGATCGACAGGAGGCTCAAGACAATGGGATTGCACCTTGACGCTGGATTAGCTAATCCGGGATTTCTAGCTAGACAGGTGCATACAGGTAGCACTTGCTGAAATCGCAGGGAAAGAGCGAGTGCAGCGTAGCATCGTCCAAATGGAAGGACCAACGGCCACAGGCAAAGTGCACGCAAAAGCAACCACCTCAGACGGATGTGGACAGAAGTTCCATGACGCCTTCCATCACGGAGCCTAGCCTTCTAGGTACATAGGTACCTAGGTAGGTAAGGTTGGTAGGCAAGTACGAGTACCTTGGGTTGCTTGGTGGTTGCATGCACAGGAAAAAGTGCAAGAGCCACCGATGCTAGTGCCCGAGCTGTGGCTCCACCTGTACATATTGGCATGTGAGTTTGGATCGAGGCTGGCGATGGCATCGTGAGATCCGGCCATTGGTGTTTTGGGCGCTCTCCAATTCCACGTCAAGCCACCAATCCTGATGCTGGGGCCAAGGAACATGGAAGGTCCTGACCAGCGCGGGACATCATGTGTCATGGCGAGCAGCCAGCAAAGTCAATTCGCCCTCTTCTCACCACACGACCACCGCCAGCGGATGCCCGCAAACGAGGGACCAACCGGCCCTTCTCGGCGCTTCTCTGCCTCGTCTGGCTAGGGGTCCTCGCACCGGCCCAATCAGCGGCGCCGGCGCTCTTTGGGCTGCGTCGGCGTTACTTCGTAGCTCATCAGCCTCCGGGCCCCGCAAATCCCCATGCGGGCTTCCCCAGACGCGTCTTGGGGCAGCGCACAGCAGGCCATTGTGAGCAGTTTGCAGGTGAGTTGGACGACTGGCACAGCAGCTGGAGCGGCCAGGGGCCCCCCCTCAATCTCCTTTGGCGGCCCCTAGCCCTGACCCCGGTCGGGAGCCACATCCTAATGCCTGCGCTCGCGTGCGCGCCACACCCACCCCGGGCCCCTTTTTCAGAGGGCGATTGAGTCGTTCCTTGCCAGTCAGTGTGTGCCTGTGGCTCAGCTCGTCGGTTGTTGGTGCAGTTTAGGTTGCTGTTCAGTTCTGTTGGCCCCTGTCCTGTTCTGCCTGCAGCTGCTACTACTAGCGCCAAGTACCGGTACATACAAGCGAGCTGTTCTCTTCTCGCTGCTTCGTGCCCTGACCTTGACCTGAGTGTGCTCACTTTGACGACCTAGGAATAAGGTACCTACCTTCGGTACCAAGAATAATCCTCCACTGAGTCACCACCAGACTCTCACGCCGCTGTCGCTGTTGCCGGCTGCCTCGCAGCTTGCTGGCCCCAACTGCCGCCTGCGCGCGTGATCACGGCATGAACAGGTCCAGAACGTCTAATTACAGCAAAGCCCAATAGCTCGCGAGGCAGCGCACGGAGAAAGCCGCGGGTGCGTGAATCGATCGACGGGTGGCTATGGCGGAACTGCACGAGATACGCGCATTGCCACTGCAAAAATTTGCCAGTAAGCGTCGAGCACAGGCGCACCTCAATCTCTTGCCGGCGTGTACCGGTACCAGCCCGCAAGCCACTCGCTCGCCCAGTCCGCTACAGCACCGGCTCTGGGCCTGAGTGCGCTCTGCTAGCGGTCTGGTGCCCCTGTGAGGCCCTACTACTAGCACCGCTATAGCACAGCTTCCAGCGCGCCGAGCGCTAGGCCAGACCCGACCGCTGGCCAAACCGCTAGGCGGGATGCGGCGACGGGCTAGGAGAATACTCGAGGCCTGTAGCGGTACCTCGCACCCCAGGCAGGCGGGGGCAAGTGGGTGAGGCCGAGCGCCACTCCAGCGCCTCCACCAATCCGCGCATCGTCTCTCCACTTGCAACCTCGTCCCTCTGCCAGGAACACGAGCCACCAATTTTGCATCTGCTCGCCGGTGTGTGTTATTGTGCGTGTTACCTACAGTACTGCTGCCACTGCGACTCTGATGGGAGGACCAACGACAGACGAGAGGTACTTCGCACAAGGGCCTGCCTTGCGTCCCTCGTGTGGTACCGCCCAGTCCACGCCCTCCCTCCCCCCCGGTCCTCCTCGCCCAGCCGGGGAGGGGCGTGCGAGCAACCAGCTTCCCCAAGCCGAATCGACGGCGTCTCTCCACAAATGGCCCATGGAGAGCTTCTGGGCGTGCTCTGGTCTGGCCTGGCCTGGTCTGATCTGGGCTTGGTCGATGGGCGACGCTCCAATGGCTCGACGCTCGCTCCTCCGGCTGACTCTGGCTCCTCCTGCTCTGCGCTCTGCCTGGACGGACGGACGGACTCGCTCGCTGGTCCCGGCGTCACGACAATAAAAAGGCCGGCCTGCCTCCCGCCCCCCTCTGCTCCTTCTCCTGTCTCGCCTCGTCGGTCTCTGTCTCACGCAACAAAGAGTCGTTCCGTTCACTCGGCCCGGGTCTCGTCTTTCTTCCTGCCATCCCCAGCCAGCATCTTCACTCCCACGCGTCAAGTCAACAAGAGTCCCCCTGAACAAAAAAAGACAAGCCCAGCGTCGACCGCAGCCATGGCCGACGTCCACGTCGCAGACGCCCCAGAGGGCCGCAAGCAGTCCATCGGCATCCATACCACCCAGGATGTCGAGCACATCGAGGCTCCCATCACCTGGAAGGCCTACCTGATGTGTGCCTTTGCCTCGTTCGGTGGTATCTTCTTCGGCTACGACTCCGGTTACATCAACGGCGTCAACGGCTCTGCCATCTTCTACAAGGCCGTTGAGGGCATCAACGCCACCAAGCTCAGCGACAGCCACACCTCCCTCATCACCTCCATTCTCTCCTGCGGTACCTTCTTCGGTGCCCTCATCGCCGGTGACGTTTCCGACTGGATTGGCCGCAAGTGGACCGTCATCATTGGCTGTGTCATCTACATGCTCGGTGTCGTTGTCCAGATGATCACTGCTCCAAACCACGCTCTGGGTCCCATCGTTGCCGGTCGTCTGATTGCCGGTCTCGGTGTCGGCTTCGAGTCCGCCATTGTCATTCTGTACATGTCTGAGATTGTAAGTTGACGAGCAATGACCCTCCCACCATCACTGGCATTTCCCTCGCTAACACGCTGTTCCTCAAACAGTGCCCCCGCAAGGTTCGTGGTGCCCTCGTCGCCGGCTACCAGTTCTGCATCACCATCGGTATCCTGCTCGCCTCCTGCGTCGTCTACGGCACCAAGGACTTCACCAACACCGGTGCCTACCGCATCCCCATTGCCCTCCAGTTCCCCTGGGCCCTGATCCTCGGTGGCGGTCTGCTCTTCCTCCCCGACTCCCCCCGTTACTTCGTCAAGAAGGGCGAGATCCAGAAGGCTATCAACTCTCTGTCTCGCGTCCGTGGCCAGCCTGAGGACTCCGAGTATGTCCAGAACGAGCTTGCTGAGATTATCGCCAACGAGGAGTACGAGCGTGCTCTGATCCCCTCCACCACCTGGTTCGGCTCTTGGGCCAACTGCTTCAAGGGCTCTCTGTGGACCGGCAAGTCCAACCTGCGACGAACCATCCTCGGTACCTCTCTCCAGATGATGCAGCAGTGGACCGGTGTCAACTTCATCTTCTACTACTCCACTCCCTTCCTCCAGTCCACCGGCGCCATCAAGAACTCGTTCCTCATCTCCCTCATCTTCTCCCTGGTCAACGTCTGCTCTACTCCCCTGTCCTTCTGGACCGTTGAGCGATTCGGCCGTCGTACCATCCTCATCGCGGGTGCCTTCGGTATGCTCATCTGCCAGTTCCTCGTAGCCATCATTGGTGTCACCGTCGGCTTCAACAAGACCCACCCCGACCCCAGCAACCCCGACGCTGCTCTGGCCGACAACATCCCCGCTGTCAACGCCCAGATCGCCTTCATCGCCATCTTCATCTTCTTCTTCGCCTCCACCTGGGGTCCCGGTGCCTGGATCGTCATTGGTGAAATCTTCCCTCTGCCCATCCGATCTCGTGGTGTCGCTCTGTCCACCGCCTCCAACTGGCTGTGGAACACCATCATCTCCGTCATCACCCCCTACATGGTCGGCACTGACAAGGGCAACCTGAAGTCGTCCGTCTTCTTCATCTGGGGCGGCCTCTGCACCTGCGCCTTCGTCTACTCTTACTTCCTCATCCCCGAGACCAAGGGCCTGTCTCTCGAGCAGGTCGACAAGATGATGGAGGAGTCCAGCCCCCGCACCTCCTCCAAGTGGAAGCCCACCACCACCTTTGCCGCTCAGATGGGCACTGGTGAGTACATTGAGAAGCCTACCGCCGAGGTCTAAAGGACTCTCCTGCTTCCGGATGGATGCTTGAGATGTTTCTTTCTTGCCTTTTTTGTTTCTCCTTTTGTTTTATCAAAGCTTTTTCCTTTATAACGCGGTGGGGTGGGCGGCTGCAGGTAATGGCTAGCTTCTGCAGCTTTTTGACGAAATCATACCCAGGGCCACTACGGAGTGTGTCCGTCGAGATGTATCTGACGACGTGAAGACGTTTTTGTAATGCGGTAGATGTGGACATACACTAGCTACAAATGCGAACAACTTTCCAAAGAAAAAAGAAACTGCTCTTCTTTTGCGCTTCCAAGGTTGTTCTTCCGAACCCTTTGATAGCTGCACTTTTCTATCTATACTTTTAATAAGATCACTTGTTTGATCAATATCTCCTTTTCTGTCTCTTTTCTTTGTCTTGTCATTGTCTTGACTGTCAGTTCGGTGATGGATCTGATCGGTCAGCTGAAGTGAGATTGGTGTTAGGGACTCATGGCATCTGGCGAGACTTGACCAATCATTGGCACGCGGGCGTTGCTGGTCATACTATCAGGAGTAGTGCTGAATCTAGGCAAGCCAGCTTTGTTGTTGGGAAAGAGGAATGTTTAAACAACGTGTGAGACTGAGTTCTATTATGGGGTGTTTTGGGATGTTATCTAATGTTTTTTTCTCTTGATTGGCGGTGTGTGTTTGAAGACTGGGTGTTTATTCGATGGGTTGGTTTTTGTCATGATGATTTCAGTTTGCGAATAGGGGGGATGTTTTTGAGGGTATTGGAGGCGTGGGTTCTTGTTTGCTTGAGGGATGTGCAAGGGTTGGGTGCTTGGATGAATGGGTCTGGGTGGGACGAGTTCTGGCACGGCTTGATCCTTTTGAATGATGTCTTGATTCGGGCGTGCTTTGAGTTTCAACAAGGGCTCATGATTCCCGACATGGCGACTTTATGGACATGGAGCAGAGTAGATGTTGTCTGGCCTTTTGGCCTCGTGTTCAAGCATGTATCCGTGACCGGGGTATCTATCTTTATTCATATAGACATGACTGACCTCCTGAAAAGAAAAAGAAAAGAAAAAGAAAAAACACCACAAATGAATCCTCATACACACACAACCAACCATGAATTCTTTGCTCTCACCCGCTACCATCATCCCCCTCTCGACCCTCCTCCCGCCTCACTCATCACACTCCCCTCACTTAAAGACGACGCAACCGGCCCCCGAAGGATATTCTCCGTGCTCTTCTCCCCATCATTCTCCTCGTCCCCGCTGCTCCCTAGAGGCCTCATCCCACTCTTCTTGGCCGCCCTCCACGACTGCAGCGCATACGGTCCCTCACCGCCACCACCACCACCACCACCACCACCACCGCCCAACCTCGACGAATTCCCCCCACTCGACTTTCCGATCCCGCTGGTACTGGTCCCGTCTCCTCCTGCTCCTCCTCCTCCGCTGTTGCGCGTCTTTTCGGAAAAGTATGTGATGAGCGGCGCGAGCGTGGGGACGCACGCAATGATGATGCCGACCGCGGTCTCGACAATGGACCACTTGATTGCTTCGGCGGAGTCGAGGTAGTTTTCCAGGTTGCGGATCGTCTGGATGCGGATGATTTGGACAATCGTCACAAATAGGCCGAGGGCGAAGAGGCATAGGAGGGCGACTTTGCGGCGGATCTTCATCTGGAGCTTGAGGAGGACGGGGAAGGGGAGGATGAGCCTGGTGGGTTCAAGAATGTTAGTTACACAATTGCTGAAGCGTATGTTGCGGGAGTTAGAGATTGAGCGTGTATCGTTTGAGGAATGGCAGGGAGTGATAAGCGTACGTCGTTACGTCGAAGATGATGGTGAGAGAGGAGAATGTTAGGTAGAAGGGGACAGCGTCGGCGCAGTGTCCGGGGATGAGAGGCTCCCATTGCTTCTCGACCTATATTGCAGGTCATCAGTACACTCTCCTACCGCAGAAATGAAGAGAGGAGGAAAAAAAAAGACTTTAAAGAGAAGTATCTCAGAGGGGCCGTACCGGGATGCACAGAAAGAGAAAGACGAGCAAAAATGCGATATGCGCCATGGTAACAATCACGGCAATCGAAATAGGTATCAGTCGATATGTGCCAGGAACCAACCGGACATATGATACGAGAAGGCTAGTCTTGAAGCCCCAGATGCCGAGAACGTAACTAGAGATCATCAAAGAATGTGAGTCAAGAGTAGTACGGGGGGAGGGCAGAGACAAAAATCGACTTACAACGGTGCCCCGATATATTGCGTCTTAGAAACCAACCGAACGAATTAGTCGGTGAAGACGATGAGAGAAGAGGCAAAGAGGGAGGAGTTGAGTTACTTTTCCAAAGTTGAGGACGTTTTCGTCTGGCATTGAGTCCAGCTCAATCAGCCCAAGCCCCCATTTCGTCTCTGTCGTATATATGAAATCAGCAGTCGGTTCTCGTCTACATGGCATCATCGAGGAGATTAAGCGTACGGACGACGGTTGCCAAAGTGTAACCACAGGCTCCAATCTACACACAACGCTCATCAAGTCAGCAAACAACTTCGGAACAACGAAGACCATGTCGAAACTCCCCGAGCGTAGTAGAAAGTCAACCGTTTAGCGACAACATACCCAGCTCGCAATAATCAGCCAGTCGTCTGTCCTTTCATCAATCAGTTTCCATCCCATCCAAACAGTTCAAGGTCCTTCGATGACAATCGCCAGGGTCTCGCCCACCCTCCATTCCATTTACGTACCTAGACCAACGGCTTTTGCAATCCTCGTCCGCACGTACATCCTCAAGCAGAGCGCGATGAAAGCCAAGCTCGTCACGCTCAGAGCAACGGCAGCAATGGTCGGTCCATTGTTTGGCGTGCCGTCGGGCGTGTTGTACGCCCACGCCATTGCTCTCTCTGCCTCTCGCGCTCAAGTCGACGTGCTCCAAGAAGGAGGAACAAGGCGGGAAGATGCTCAGAGTAAGTGGATGGGAGAATAAGGCGGGATACCTTTGGGTTTTCACATAGCGTGGATACAATGAAAGGTAGAGGGCTGAAAAGGGTAACAAAGTAGGAAAGAGAAGCTTGGTAATTCCATATGCAGACGGTCTGCTGCTGAAACAGGGAGGAGAGTTGCGAGTGTTGGTTTCTCACAGTGGGTGAGAGGGGTGTGGAACTCGTATATCCTACGCGTAATAGGGGTCCTCGGAGTATTACACTCATATATGCCTCTTCCCCAGCTGAGAAACGTAGGCAGAAACTGTCATAGGTTATGAAACGCGCCTTTGTCACGGATCGTTAGCAGCAAGACAGAGACTCCATGATCTCTCTGCGATCGAGACCTCTGTTCCTGGACGAAGAGGAAAAGATGGCTTGCAGCTAAACAAGCTTAAAGCAACAAGTAAGGGGCTTGCAAAAGAGAAAGACCAACGAAAAGAGTCAAGGAATGCAGAATAAGCATGACCTATCCAATGGCCGCTGTTATGGCACCTCCCTCACCCCAGTTTGCAAGCCCAAAGACGGAAAAAAGAACGAAGAAGAGGGTCAAAGCATGACAGACAAGGCTATGCCGACTGCCGGACCCAACGAGGAGGGACATCAAGCCTGTCAAATGCCGCACGCCATGTCTGCCATTGCCCAAGGCGCTGGAAATCTCCGCCCCTTGCCTCCCTTTCTTGGGAGGTATCTACCCTGTTCATGTGGCCGTCAGGCTGCCTCGTTGGGAGAAAATGCCGCCCACTCATGTTGAATACGACAAGTGCGAGGACTAGTGAGACTACTACCTTTACTAATACAAACACACGGTAGTCGGAGTTTCCATGCTGCATTGACAGGCGTCAGGGCACTCAAGGCTGGTCGTTTTGTGTTTAGCACTGCGACGTTAGAATGGACAGGAATAGAAAGGCTGAAGTGTCTTTAGCACATGTGCGGACATGGCTCGTCTCGCCTGTCATTCAGCTCTCGAGGTCTCAAGTGAGTAGCCGGGCTGGAAGTCACCGCCGTTGAGAACCGTCGGACCTAGCGTTACAGACTCATCAGCAATTGATCAGCTATTGTGGTTTTTTTCCCCGTCTTTTCTTTTTCCTCCTGCTACCCACTTCCACACTCGAATACTGCAACTCACCCGTCGTTGTTCCTCCCAAAAGGCCACTCTTCCACTCTTGGCAAAAGTTCCACCAACCCGAGGGCATTGAAATGACGGTTATACTACCAGGGCCTGCCCTAGTTAGCAGGTGGTTAGCAGGTGGCATGCCGGTTCAAGCATGTAGCATCCGGAGATGACTGGCTTCTGTTCAATGTGCAGCTCGATGCAGAGACCAGTCACGTCGTTCGAACCGCTGTATTTCATGCCAACAAGGGATGGCCATTTCTGCCATAGTAGTTGCTACAGCAGAGGTGAATTGTGTCCCAGATGATCTTTGTGACATTTGATCTGCATCCCCATGATGCCAGTCAACATGAGGCACGGCCTCGTCCAGTGGAGGGGAAAGGGCGCCATTGTTGATACCCTGGGAGCTGAACGTGGACATGACCGCTGCAGGCTGCGCAGCTGCAGTATGGGTGTCCTCACCAGTTGCATGTCAAGCGGCCTAATTGGTCCGCGGCATGGACGAGGCCGTTGGTCCTAATGCTTCCTTCGCCCGTCTCAGTCGTTTGGCCTCGGCCGAAGGCCATTGACGACTTTTGTGGAATAATCCCTGCCCGTCTTTCGCCTATGGTCCCGGCACACGGACCTCCACGTCCAAAAGCCGGCAGCTGTAGCCTGAAATCTAGACTCGGCCGCGGGAGGATAGGAACCCGCCGAGGGCAGATCCCCCGAGGTAGACATGGCTGGTGTGAAACACTGCACCGATGTAAGGCAGAGACTCGCGACACAACGATGCACGAACTTCTGTTCAAAGAAACATCTGATGGCCCAACAGACAGCCAATTGCGTAACGCGGCCCTCATGATGTCGCTGTGTAGCATCCAGACCGGCGCGGCAGCGAGACCCGGACTCCGCGTCCCTGGACGGCCCCCTTGTCTTTATGCAGGAGAGTTCTGGCCCTCATGCCTCCAGCTCGTGAATCCCTGCCAAATGCGACAAGACGACATCCGGTCAATACCACCAGGATTCTTAACGGGGAGCAGGAAACAGGCACTACTAGGGGGGTCTTAAAAACGACCACAATCCCCGTGATAGCTCCACTATTATAGGGGGGTTATTAATTTGCAAAAGGTCTGTTAATTTATAAAAAAAAAGATATATAGTATAGAGTGCAAATCCTATATAAAAAGAGGTATCTCATTTTAAATAAATAAATTCAATATTATTATAATAATTTAACGCAAGTGTATTTATCATAATAAAAAAAAAACACTAATACGCTCTATGCCTAAGGCCTATACAAGCTTGTTAACGCTTTTAACCTTATCACCGCCCTTAACCTTATCGCCACCCTTAAACGCATCGCTGCCTTTAACTTTAATAGCTTAGAATACGCTGGCTAGGCTATTTAAGCTGCATTTATTTATTATTTTAATGCCATCAGCTTTATATAATATCTCCTTCTAATTAATTGCCTATCTCTTAATATTAAATATAATAAAATTAATCGCTTCCTTAATAATCTCCTTATTATATTCTATAGCCTAAGGGAATAGCACTAGCAGCTTCTAGTTAACAGGAAGATAGCCCTTGTTTTAAAGCTTGCAATAAAGATAATAGAAGCTATAGAGCTATCTGTTATTATTAAGGAGGGCATAATAGTCTAACTTAGACTACCTCTCTAATACTAGTAAGTCGCCTAAGTAAAAGAAGATATTATTAGTAAGGTATATAGCTATAATATTAGCCTAGAGGATAGCCCTAATCTTCCTTAGCTAATAATAAAGATATAAAATCTTATTATAAGCTTCTTTATTATATAGCTGCGCCTCCTCTTCTTCTTATACTGCTTATCTATTATAGTTATCTTTAGCAAGCTAAATTCTGGCCTTATTAATAGTAATTAGGCTATATTTTACTATAATTAATGTCCCTTAAAATAGACTTAATCTCCTAATGCTCTTTACCTTTAGACTCCTTATCTTAGCTATAGCCGTAATGCTATTTAAGGCAAGAGTGTATAAGGCTTTTCTTCTTTTCTTAAAAACATGCAATACTAATAGCATTAGTAAAACTTTTAAGATTATAAACGCCTTAATATAATATTAAATATAATTATAATACTAATTTATTATATAAATATAAAGTTACAGTGTTAAAGCTATCTGCTATTTAAATTATAATTATGCTGGCGTCTATAATATTATTTTTTTCTGCTTTTACATTAAAGGTTAGCTAAAGGCTAAGCTTCCTAACAATAATAATAATAATAGCTATAACAAGTCTAAGGTGCTGTTAGGATTAATATAGCCGGCAATATCACTCTCTTTAACATTCCTAGTTAAAGAAGAAAGAGCATCTTAAAGTTAATTAAGGATAATTACAGGATTATATAGGAATAGTCCTGTTTTCTCCTAAGCACTAAGGATTATATACTTTTTAAATATTTACTCCTACATCTCCTAAAAATAATAAAGAAAGTTAGTCTTACTAAAGTTAATAAAGCTATTAGTAACTTTATAATATAGGATCTCTTAATACTAGTGTTTATAAGACTAGAAAACACTAATATTAAGGGGTTAAAAATAGTATATAAGATATAGAGGTAAGGGGAAGAGCTTAATATTATATTACTATATATAATAAATAAATTTACTTATAAAATAACTCTTGCAGCTATTTATAAAAAGAACTTGCATTTCCCTAAGATTATCTAGTTATATATATCTCTTAAAGTAATAAAGCCATTCTATAGCTATAATATTAAAGATATAGCCTTTTAGACTTATAGTAAGAACTGTACTACTTTTAAAGCTATTCTAGAACTATTTCTTAAGCAGCTAGACCTTAAGAAGGATAATAAATAAAGGGATTATCTTGCCCTTAGCTAAGATTGCCTTAACAGCAGTAATAAAAATAGTATTATAAGAATTAGTTAAGGTCAGGTTATTAATTAAAATAAAAGTCTAGAGGAGTATTCTAGTAAGGAAATACCCTACTATAAAGCCAGTCTTATTAAAATTCTATATATACTTCTTCCTTACCTTATATTATATTAGAAAATTCTTCTAGGCACAGAAAAAAGACTTAATAGCGCCTTAATCTTATATAGCCTTGCATTTAGCATTATAAGATATTAACTTATAAATATAGAAGTCTTTCTTTAACTGCTATATAAATCTTTTAGCCTAGGACTGCAAGACCTTTATTATCTTACTTCTAGCTATAAGGATAGTATTAGCATAATGCTATAAAGCGTAGAGTTATATATAATATCCTTAAGTTATTTAGCAATAGGCCTAGATAAGGATCTTGCGCTCTTCTTTAATCTATAGTAATATATAGTTACTGCTATTTAAAGACTGTGGATAAGCGCTATAAAGCTAACTGTATAGTCTTAAATATAAGACTTAAAGGGCATTAGCTGCTTTAGTAATTATAAAATAATGGCCTTCTTAATATAACTTAGCTGCTGCAATAGTGCATTACTTTAAGGTTTTAACATTATAGCGCGTAAATATAGGCAAATTTATATCTAGATTAATCTAACAATCTTTAGCAGGTTAGTAAGGCTTTAAAGATAATATTACTATAAAAATAATAAAAAATAATAAAGGTTTAATAAAGTTATAGTAAAAATAAGATATAGCTTGCATATGGCTGTTATTACAATTGTAGAGGATAGCGCGTTTAAGGCGATAGTGTTACGCACAGTGTTACGCATTATTACAACTTTTATAGGATGGCGTTTAAAAATAAAAGAGATATGCAAATAAACATAGATACCTCTATTTATGTGGCATTAGCACTAAAAGCTAAGTATCTTTTTTTTTTTGCAAATTAACGGACCTTTTGCAAATTAATAACCCCCCTGTGATAGTGGAGCTATCACGGGGATTGTGGTCGTTTTTGAGACCCCCCTAGTAGGATATATGCGAGATAGTGCTGATGGCTTCGGCCCGCGCAGCATCCTGAACCATAGCTTGAAAGCGACGGTGAAGGCGAAGAGCGAAGAGCGAAGACAGCCCTTTGCGGACACATTCAAGATCGTGGTCCAGACTCGACTCGACGCAAAGCCGGAGATTTTGCCTGGCTGATGGTAGCATCGGCAGCACCAAATGCCGGTCATGGGATGGAGGTAAAACTAGATTGCCCCCCAAATACAACATCTGAGCTTTCATCGATGCCATGCAGGTCCGGCAGAGGCTTTGCCACATCGAAGGGAAGCATTTGAAGGAGACATACGGCACCGCGCGCTACTAATATGCCACGATTCCCAGCCTCTTCAGCCCTTGATTTCTCTTTCCTCTCGTCAAGCCTGAGCTCCTTGTCCTTTGGCCTGGCCCATGATGCCGCCTCCGGCCGGGTGACTCGGGTCACGCTGTCTCGAGTTCCGAGATTTGCGGCCGTTCTGCCGCCCCCAGTCGGCCCTGGAAGAGGGGGCCCTTGGGTGCAAGCGAGCAACTGCACAGAGCAAACGCTTCAGCTTGGTACGACCGCGGACTTGGCGACGTGGGTTATGAGCGCCGCGCATCGACATCGGTTGATTGAGACCCCAGCATCGCAGTAGTAGTAGCAGCTCATAGATCGCCTGAGGCCGCCGTAACGAGCAACAGGCTCGTTCAATCGGAATGAGGGGTGCCGAGATGTGTATATGCAAACGGCAAGATCGAGGGCCCCGTGAAACGTGGCAGAAGCTCGATAAAGAGTCCGCAGATCCGCGCATCTCGGCGGATACGTGCTTCGTAGCTCAACCTCGTCGACTCTTGTCTTTCAGCCTTTCCTCGTTCGCCGCAAGGAGCATCGCTGGACGTTCAAGATGCACCGTAGCCATCTGGGATCTGCACTCCTGGCCTTTGCAAGCCTTGCAGGCGTCGCCAATTCTGCGCCCGCAGCTTCGTCCACAGCCACGTCGTGCAAATGCTTCCCCGGCGATGCATGCTGGCCTAGTTCTAGCGACTGGGCCGCCTTCAACAAGACGGTGGACGGGCGTTTGATCGCGACGGTTCCCCTAGGATCACCATGCCACGGCGAATCCTACAATGCGACGGAATGCCAGTTCTTGCAGGACAATTGGCTATTTCCGCCGATCCAGTAAGTTATCGTGCTGCATGACATGCTCATTCTCGTCCTTCACTTGCTCCAGATTCCCCCAGGCACACACAGGCTTGGTCTAATATGGAATTGTATCAGCTTCGACTCGTCCTCTTCGGTCATGGCGCCTCTGTTTGCCAACGCGAGCTGCGACCCGTTCCAGCCGCCGGACTCGCCTTGCACTCTCGGCAACTATGTCCGCTATGCCGTCAATGTGTCGACGGCTGCTCATGTCTCGGCAACGCTCAAGTTCGCGGCGCAGCGCAACATCCGGTTTGTCATCCGCAACACCGGACACGACTACAACGGTCGTTCGACCGGTGCGGGCGCCCTCTCCGTGTGGACCCATCATCTCAAGGATACCGAGGTTCTGGACTGGAAGGACCAGTACTACACTGGCAAGGCGCTCAAGATCGGGGCCGGTATCCAGGGCTTCGAGGCTCTCGAGGCAGCACACGAGGCGGGATTGATCGTCGTGACGGGCGAGTGCCCCAGCGTTGGAATTGCAGGAGGATACGTTCAAGGCGGTGGCCACTCGGCTCTCAGCACGAACTTCGGCCTCGCAGCGGACAACGCGCTGTCATATGACGTTGTGACTCCTAACGGAACGCTCGTGACGGCCACTCGGACTCAGAACAGCGATCTGTACTGGGCATTGAGCGGCGGTGGTGGTGGCAACTATGGCGTTGTCGTCTCCGTGGTTTTCCAAGCTCATCCAGATGCCATTGTCGGCGGCGCAAAGTTCTCCATTGACACGACCTCGCTGGGCTCCGAGACGCTGTATGCCATCATTGATGCCTTCCATGCCGCACTGCCGGCCATAGTAGACTCGGGCGTCATGGTCATCTACTTCTTCGGCCAGGGTTTCTTCCAGGTGCCGGCCTTGACGGCGTACGGCAAGACGCAGGCTGAGACGGAAGCGATCCTGAAGCCCTTTATCGACGCCCTGGCCACGCTCAACGTCGACCTGAAGCCGACGTTTACGCAGTTTTCCAGCTACTTTGACCACTTCCAGAACTACTGGGGACCTTTTCCAGCGGGTAACATCCAGGTCGGCACGGATCTGTTTGGAGGCCGACTGATTCCCCGGTCCGTACTGCCGAGCTTCTCTCCGACGGCGCAGAAGCTGGTCGAGCTCGGGGTGACGTTCATCGGCGTGGGGCTCAACGTGTCTCACTTTGGCGGCGACAACGCCAATGCCGTGCTTCCGCAGTGGCGGTCGTCCATCGTGGAGGCGTCGCTGACGCTGCCGTACAGCTTCCAGGTGCCCTTCCAGGACATGCTTGCCACCCAGGACACCATCACAAACGTCGTCCAGCCCGTCATCGAAGCGGCCACGCCCGGCGCCGGCGCGTACATGAACGAGGCCGACTTCCAGCAGCCCGACTTCCAGGAGACCTTCTTTGGGGCAAACTACCCGCAGCTGCTCAAGATCAAGCACAAGTACGACCCCGATGGCCTGCTGTATGCGAGGGCTGGAGTGGGCAGCGAGGCCTGGACGGTTGCGGAGGATGGCCGAATGTGCAGAACTCAGTCATGACGGTGATGCGTTGGGTATGAAGTTGTAGATTACCTAGGTATCAAGCTCGATACATGTAATTGAGTGGTAGAGATGGAAGCAAATGGAGGATGATTCAAGACGAGAGGAAGAAGCAAAAGTGGCTTAGATAAGCCATGTCTTGTGACGGCCACGATGGAGGAAGGCACGGCCCAGGTGAAACAAGTCTGAGACTCCACAGGTTCAATCGATGTTGCCTTTTTGTGAGCTGGTGAGTTGATGTTGTTCTATTGGTGCCTTATGTAAGGTATATGTAAAGTGACGCCTCTCGATGCTGGGAGAGAACGATTTGACTCGAGTCTTGGTCAGTCAACAACAAGGCAAATGCTGTATCAACGCTTTGTACCGCTTTCGGTGCCGCCTTGAACCCCTCTATCTGCTATGCATCGCAGGTCCAGAAGGATCGATTGGACAAAATGGTGCACAGAGCTGTCTTTTTTTTTCATAGCTTCATGAAGTCGAAGCCACGGCATGCAAAATCGTGTACAGGAGAGCCTGCATGGCCTGATACGGACCTCAGGCCTTTGTTCCACAGCGTGAAGCAGTGACGAGTGATTATTTCAGGTAGTGAAGAATGGTAGGACGGTCTCTTTGTGTTTTACGGTGGAGGAGCAATTGAAGCAAGGGAGTCGTCTTTGGGGAATAGTGACATTCGTGATACGTTGCACCATGGACTGTCTCAGCTGAGATGGTGCCAACACTATTGGCTACCGACAATACGGAAAGTTGCCGCAGATCGATTGTTTTGAACCAGATCTTGGCGCTTGAAGGCGTTTGAAGGATGCAGCTGCAATTCTGGCCTGGTGACGCAGCGTTGCAACACGTCTGAGCAGGCACTATCGTGTAATTTATCGTCCTAGATTCACATTTTCGTTAATCTAGGTTGATCCAGATACGAATTCTCGCCCATCTAGAACTCTCATCGTATGTTCTTCTCTTTCCAAATATTTATGATACCTCACATATGCTGACCACACGAGAGAAGGGTCGACGTATGTAAACTCGGTGAGAGTCCTAGTTTTACATGATGGAAGGTTGAACAGGTTCAGCCCGACAACCACCAGAAAACATCGAAGATAAAACTGTTCTTCAACCTCATTCCTACTTTGACCACTCTCAAAATTAAGCTCACCTTTGTTCCTATTGCATACAACCTGGCCAACATGGCCGTTGCTCAGTGGAGTTGCGGTCTGGGCTTTTGATGTGGCTCTACAATCGTGCATCGTGGTGAGTTTCGTGTGCATTTTCATGTTCAATTGCATAGCTTGCGAACATTCATCCAGATGCCAGCTCCTTTGATCAAGAATTTGAAGAATGCCGAGAGAAGAATGCCGAGACTGCTGTTGGACGATCAGATCAAGATTCCCTGTGGGATCTCTTCCGCTGCAACGGTGATCGTACCGTCTCCTTTGTGAAGCATTGCGCGGGCAGGTGTCTCTACGGGGGAGCTGGACAGGATCGATGTGAAGGGGGAGCTTTCCTGAAGGGCACAGAGGCTTTGCTTGCTAACTAACTCTGGGGATCTTTGATTGACTTCTCCGAGCATCATGAGTGGAAGTATCACCACGTCTATAGGTGATTCTACTACTACCATTGGCTTGCTTCAGGCTCAGGTCCTTCGAAACGATCGAGTGCCCCGCATCTCCATTCCTTGAGCTTAGATACCTAGTAGTTGCTTGCCTATATAGGAAATTTCTGCCAATCTGGTTTAGATCCACTGCATTGACTCGTCTGTCTGACAGCTCGTGCCGTGACGATCATGTTTGCGATGGCATCAAAGGAGACATGACTCAACCGCCAACTCAGCCCCCGCTATCATTCAAACTGTTTCTCGTGTTCGCAATTTTATATATATGCGAAACCTTGAAACGAAGCAACGCAAATCGTTGGTAATCCTAGATACCTCGAGATAGCTGTGGACATTGATTCCATGTATCAATCATACGCACATAAGCGCACGTCATGCATTAGATCGGGAAGCGGCTTCGGTTAGGGCGCTTGTGTGATTAGCGGGCTGTGAGGCATCATGGCGATCGGCAGCAATTCCCGGAGTCGCTTGTCAAAGGACGGTCATGTCTGTCTCGTGGCTCTGCGAGTCTGCATGACCAAGTAGGATAGATTGGCATGTTACAGGTACTGCTCGTCTGCCGCCTTATCCAGTTGTACCATGCGTGCAACTGCAAATAGACGACGGATGCTGGAAGAGAGCCGCCATGTACGATGCACAGCTGTCGCATAGAATTCATTGATAAACGGATGCCATTTCGTATCCATGTTCCTCATCTGTTGAATTCCCGCTGCTTCCGTCAAGTATCATAATACCCGAAGCTGATATAATGGGCTCGACAGGTAAACAGACGACGGGAATTACCTAGTAGTACCTTGTCGTCAAGGGCTACATATATAGTACCTACCTTATATATACACGACGGGAATTTTGACGCAGAAATTACTCCCGATGAATCCATGCGTCCAATCTCACTGTGATCGGATCCTTCCACTCTGCTTCTTTGAACTGAAATACTAGGTAGATGATAGTTGATCGAACAGGCGAAGCGAAACCCGGACTCTATCGCCACGCCCTCCCGATGGTTCTTTGCGCATCTTTGGCTGCTGATCGGGATTTATTAGGGGTTCCAGGGTCCTTGGCTCGATCGGGTTATTTTAGCGTGACCAAAGAGAAAGCAAAGAAAAAAAAAAAAAGGTCCCCGGTTTCTCCGTCTCAGATAAGCCGAGCAAAGCGCCAGCTCGATATCGAACCAAAAACACCAACCAGCACCCGATACTTAAACTACCTACCTAACCCTCTTCACCACCCTGTCCGGCTGCAAAACAACGTCCACAGACAACTCCGCCATGCCTCTCCTCCGCCGCCCCTGAAGCCGAAGCCGAAACAAACCCTCTCCCGGCCGTGTCTCGTCTCATCCCATCTCGTCTCGTCATAGGAACAAACAGCAAAAAGGATCACCAAACAACAGCAAGCAAGCAAGCAACGATGGCCTCACCACCGCTATCGCAGGTGCTGCCTCCGCTGCTGCTGGGGACGGCCACCTTCAACCACCAGTACCACCCCGACCCGTCGCGCATGCCCTACGTCGACATCGTCCGCAGAGCCCTCGAGCACGGCATCACCGCCTTCGACACGTCGCCCTACTACGGGCCCTCCGAGGTGCTGCTGGGCCAGGCCCTGCGCCTCGTGACGCCGCCGCCGCCGCGCGAGGGATACTTCCTCGTCACAAAGGCCGGCCGCATCAAGGCCGACGAGTTCGACTACTCGCCCGCCTGGGTGCGCTACAGCGTCTGCCGCAGCCTCGAGCGCCTGGGCACGCGCTACCTGGACCTGGTGTACATGCACGACGTCGAGTTTGTGACGCCCGCCGAGGTGCTGCAGGCCGTGCGGGAGCTGCGCCGCCTGCGCGACCAGGGCCTGATCCGCTACGTCGGCATCAGCGGGTATCCCGTCGAGACGCTGGCCGCGCTGGCCGAGGCGGTGCTGCGCGAGACGGGCGAGCCGCTCGACGCCGTCCTGTCGTACGGCAACTTCTGCCTGCAAAACGGCCGCCTGGGGCGCCCCGACTTCCTGCAGCGCTTCCGCGCCGCCAGGGTCGAGTGCCTGCTCAATGCCAGCATCCTCAACATGGGCCTGCTCACCACCCGCGGCGTCGACAACGGGCCCATGGCCTCGTGGCACCCCTCGCCGCCCGAGCTGCGCAGGGCCTGCGCCACGCTGTCGCAGATTGCAAAGGACAACGGCGAGCACCTCGAGGGCGTCGCCATCCGCTGGGCGCTCGAGAACTGGGCCCGCGCCGGCAGCGACTTTGGCACCACGGCCTACGTCGGGGCCGGGCCTCGCATCGGCGCCAGCGTCATGGGCGTCACGGCCATTGCCGAGCTCGACGAGACGTGGCATCTGTGGCGGAGCGTCATCGGGCCCGTCATCGGCACCGAGGACGAGACGGCGACGGACAAGAGCGATAAGATTGCGAGGCTGGTCGAGGACAAGATGTGGCCTAGTCTGGGCTCATGGAAGGACTATGCGTGGGAGAGCGGCGGCGAGACGTTTGTCAATGCCAGGGCGACGCCTGGACAGATTCCGAATGACGAGGTGGCGGAGAGATGGGGGCTGGTTCCTTCAACAGCAGCAGAGGTGGTTTCCAAGTTATGATGCGCGACGCCTAATGTCATTAGATTAGCATGCCTTTGTTTATTCCTAACTGTATAAATTCGACGGTACATACCTTACGTTTACTTGGCTACATGTATTTGTGAAGTTGAGTGGTGATGGACTGAAGATTGGGCTGTGTTGGCATTCATGACGTTCACTTACACGATGGTCGAAGCTGAAGTGGCTACGGGCAGCATGTGATACACCAACAAGCGCCCATGGACCAGCATAAGCATGGGCATCATTGATCATTGCATCAAAAAGCTACGGATAAGTCGAGACTCTCGTCAATATTCGCTTCACTCTGGCGGAATATATGCTTGTATCGCGTCCATTTCACTACTGATGCCCTCGTACCACCGCTGCTACCGTCTCACATGCATGGTCGAGTAGCATAACGTAGGATTGCAGCTGCTTAGGTAGCCTGCCTGTGTAAGCTGCAGTACAAGGATGGCCATCCTCCAATCCTCCGATCCTCCGGCTATACATACTTGGGGCATGATGGGAGACGCAGCTCCAAAGCATCATCATGCGGACCCTCGGTCTGCTCACGCAAGATGTGCTTGTGAGGGCTCAGCTCAGCTCAGGCCCTGGCAGTTATTGAAATCCTCACGGATATGTCTCTCAAGCCGATTGACAGAGTGCGGCGTTCGAGACTTTACCACTTACAAGGACAAAGCGAAGTGAACCTCTTGGGCAAAGCAGCTATGGACATCTTCGTGACCCGGCAGCTGCAGACGCTTATACGCGGTCTCATCATCATAGCAGCCATCACCATCATCAGGTTTCTCTACAGCGGCTACAAAGTCAGGAGACATGTCCGACAACTCCAAGCCCAAGGCATTGTACACAGATCTCACACCCAACCAAAGACTCTCACAACAAACTACTAACCATTCTAAAGCCCACCCTCCCTCATTCCCTCCTCTTCGGCCATATCCCCATCCTCCTCCAGTTCCGCAAACACCACCCCGAAGACGTCCACTTCGGCATCATCATGAAATGGCTCGTCGACAACTGTCCGACCTGGATCCCAGACCTTCATCATCATCATCCTCCACCAGTCCTCTATCTCGACATCTGGCCCGTATTCCCAGATCTCATGATGATGGTCTTTGACGGCAGTCTCTCGGCGCAATTCACCCAGATCAGAAGTCTGCCCAAGCATCGCATCACACGCACCTTTCTAGAGCCCTTGACGGACAACCTCGACATGACTTCTGCTGACGGGAAGCAGTCCAAGGTTTGGCGGTCGCGGTTCAACCCGAGCTTCAGCCCACGGAACATCACAATGCTTATCCCTGAGCTCATTGATGAGATTGTTGTGTTTAGGGAGTTGTTGGCGGGCATGGCTGGGCCGCAAGGGCAGTGGGGAGATGTGTTCCAGCTGGAGGAACGCACAACAAATCTCACCTTTGACGTGATTCTCCGAGCAACCATGTACTTGAATCCCTCTCAACAATAACTCGTGCTGGACATCATGTACTAAGACAGCGTATAGGGATGAACGCCTCCACGAACAGACAAACCCCCAGGGCAGCCCCCTAAAACAAGCCCTCATCAGCCAAATCCGCCTCATGAGCAAAGTCCTCGGCCTCAACCACATCCTCGGCATCAAGCGCTGGCCCTGGGACTCTCTCACCCGAGCGCGCAACAACGGAGCCCTCCGCAAAGCCCTCATAGGCCATGTCCAACACGCCATCAACAAACCTCCTGACCGTCTCGCAGATACAAACACCGAGAACAACAAAAAGACAATCCTAAACATTGCTCTGAGCCGCACTCTCGCGGAAACGGGCGGTGCAGCGCCTGACAAGCGAGATATCGAGGCCATTCTGGCAAACTTGAAGTTGTTCTTGTTTGCTGGGCATGATACCACATCTTCGACGATCTGCTGGATGTTCAAGTTGCTGCAGGATAATCCAGGCTGTCTATCCAAGCTTCGCGCAGAGCTTGACGACGTCCTGGGAACAGATCCCAGCCAAGCTGCCAGCCTGCTACGAGAGTCGCCTCAGCTTCTCAACAACCTGGCATACACCAACGGCGTCGTCAAAGAAACGCTGCGCTTCTACCCCCTCGCATCCACCGTCCGCCAAGGCGAAAGGGACTTCTTCCTCACCCTCCCCGGCTCGAGCACGCGGTATCCGACAGAAGGCACCGCCATCCACGACGTCCCCTCCGTCATTCAACTCGACGAGTCCGTCTGGCCGCGCGCAAACAAGTTTCTCCCAGAGCGCTGGATGGCCCCTCTGGGCGATCCCTTGCATCCCAATAAGGACGCCTGGAGGCCCTTTTCCATGGGTCCGAGGAACTGCATTGGACAGGAACTTGCCATGGTGGAGATTAAGCTGGTGGCTGCGCTGGTGTGTAGGGACTTTGACGTTCGCGAGGCGTGGGACGAGTGGGATGAGAAGCGGGGAGGGATGGTGAAGAGGGAGATGGTTGGGGGGGAGAGGCTGTACGGGTGTGGTCAGACGGTTCAGCATCCCAAGGATGGGATGCCAGTGTGTGTAAGGCGGCTTGGATAAGCATTACGTGGATATATGTGCATTAAATCGTTAGCTTTAACGACGATTCGGGGTATATATCTCAAGGTTTTCGGACAGAGCATGATATCAACCCCCTTTACCCATGTCGATATACACGTCAGTATATATACCACAATAGCGTACAAGCAGCTACTAATACTCCCAAGATTCCCAGCCAAGCCATTGCCGTCTTCTTGAAAACATGCCGAGCAGTCTCCTCCACTGCCTTGGAATCATTCGCCCTCGGAAACGGACAGTCCGGAACAGGTTTGTCCAGGATCTTGCACAAGGGCTCCCATCCATCGCTGAGTTCGACCCAGTGCATGCGGTTCTCCGGGACGGCTTGTTCTACTTTGCTGTAGTAATGCTCGAGGATGCCTAAATTTCTCATTTGAGCCAACTCTTCTTCTTCGATGTCTCACAGAGTGTGTTGATGAGAGAGACTTACCAGGCCCTGGTCCTTTATCATATCCATCCTCCATCAACATCTCTCTCCCTCTATAGTATATCCAACGTTAGCCAACAAATCACCATAAGGCAAACACTTCACCCTCACTCACCTCTTACTCATCTCCCTCATGATAACAGGGAACCACCGCCACCCGGGCATGATAATCAAATACCACCGCAGCCACCCCGGCATCGCATGCTTGATCATCTGCTCCATGCTCTTCCACCACTTCTCCGGATCGCGCTTCCACCCAATGACTATGGCATCGGGATAGATCTCGCACAGCTCCTCGATGAAGTGCGTGCCTGGGGTATCTGTGATGGCGAGGAAGCCTCGCGTTACCTCACGAAGGGCGGCGAGGCGCTTTGACCTGTCGTTCTTGGCGGCGTAGACGGCGAGCCATTTCTGCACGTAGTCTTTTTTTTTTTTTTTTTTTCATACATGTAAGATAGAGTCTGGCTTAGATAAAATAAGAGGATAGAGAAAGGGAGTCTTTACCATCTTCGCGGCCGAGAAGTTGTGTGCCTCCATGACAGACTGGACCGTCGAGGATCTTTTCGAGGGCCAGGGCCATGGAAACTGTTCCGGTACGAGCGAAGCCGGCGCCAATGACTTGCAGAGACTTGTCTGGGTCTGTAGGAACGGATGGTACACCACCCATGATTTTTTCTCTTTCAGCCGAGCAGAGGGCGTTGTCGTTGTGTGCTTGCCTGAGAGGGTGTTGTACGAGGAGCGACGGCCCGTTTGGATCCTTCAGGCAGCAGAGAGCGATGGACCGCTTAAATACGTGTTCGGCGACGTAGACGGGGGATGGTATTGGCTCGATGACAACTTTCTTCGCGCCACAGGGTTGCATGCGTTTCTAGTGCTTTGGTCGTAGGATGCTTGAAACCAGGTTGTGATCCTTCTGGAGGGGAGCGTGAGGCTGAAAGGCGAGGAGGTGTGCTCTTTATGGGGGCTATCTCAACATGGTTTTTCTTATGTCACTTCATCCATCCTTCTGTGGCACTGAGGTAGCGTATTCTCTTTGAGCGAGGTGCAGAATCAAAATCAACGTAGCTGATGCCTACAAAGTTCAAAGTTCCCCATCTAGCTATCAAGAGTACGCTGATGATGCATGCAGCTATAACGGATTTCATATCCAATGCTTATGGTGTAAGAGTAAATTCTTCTTTCATCTCACATCCCTTCTTTGACTTGAAGAAGCATATGCTTCATAGATGCTCATATAGTCCGTTTACTCTATCTTGATGCAAATTCGAAAAAGAAATCAGTAGACTAGTTGAAGCCCTCAACTATAACTCCCTTCTCCTTTACTGCTTCCTCCTCCTTACAGACAGCTTGTAGCCAATTGGTGGCGGCGAGACGTAGCTGAACCACTATACCACATCCTTGTCAACTTACACTCAAGCCGAAATCGTAGAAAGCAAGATGCGTGTAACTCACAGGGTTCTGAGGCCGAGGCTCCGTGTCATGCTTAATGTCGTACCGCATCACAATCTGCGACAACAACAGCTTGAGCAGATGATTCGCAAAAAACCGCCCAGCACTGTCTAAATCAGCAAAATTATCCTCATCCATCCATTCATCAAACGACCTCAGAAAAAATCCCACTCACCAGGCATATCTGCCGTGACTAAAGGCGAGATACGTGTCACTCGTAGCCGCAAACTTCAGCCCCGTCGTCTGCGCCTCGGCCTTGTCATCCAAGAACCGGAACGGATCAAACGTAAAAGGTGACTCTCCTGGATAAACCTCCGCATCGTGATGCAAGCCGTAGCTGCCGATTCCAATCTTTGCCCCGTACGGAATGTGCTCTCCCGTGGGTAGATCAACGCCCTCTTTAGCAACGACGACCTTGATGATGCCGTGCGCGAAGCCCCAGAGGCGAAGGCTCTCCGTCATGACGCTGTCCATCCTCGGCAGCTTTGCAACCTCTGCGCGAGTCCAGCGCACAGCAGGGTCGGCGGCGTCAGCAGCGAGTGCTTCCTCTCGCAGCTTGTCCTGGATCTCGACGCTCTGAGGGGCATGGGCGATATCAATCAGAGCATTCTCAAGCGTGATGCCCTGGACCTGGATGGCCGCCCAGTTGAGAATGGCCAAGAGCTTGCTGCTGTGACTCTGCGACCTGCAGGGGTCGTCGTTGCGACGGTACGCTTCTTGCATCAGGCGAGACAGGAGATCACTAGGCTGATCAGGATCCTTGTTCTCGCCATCTTCCATCCTACCGAACCGCCTTGCGCGCTCCCTGATGATGGGATTCACGCATTTGTCCATGCGCTTGAACTGCATCCAGTCATACTGCGCCAAAAGAGGACCCAGCAGCGGCCGAAGCGGCTTCGGCGTCAGCTGTGCCAGAAGCGCCTCCACAAGAATGAACTTTGCAAAGTGCGTTGAACTGGAAAGATATGTCTGGTCTCGACAAAGCGGGAGTCCGACATACATGCGGCTGACGATACGACTCATGAGCTCCAGGCAGACATCCAGGAGCTCAACTTGCTTCCAGTTGGTGGTGTCGTTGCCCCAGAGGTCATCCAGGGCAGCTTGAATCTCTTCAATGACATCGTTGGTCTTGTTGTTGAGCTCTTTGGTTATGTCTTTGATGAGGTTGACTACAAAGACCCATTCGTTGTCGTCGGCGGCAACGCAATTGAGAAATGTGTGCTTGGCAGCGAGGAACTCGTTGTTGCTTTCTCTTTGGCTGAGGACGGTTGCTGGCTGCTTCATCAACCATTGGAGGTTCTCTGGGGGTAGGATGACTTGGTGGCCCGTGAAGATGTCAGGGAGGATATAAGGGCGTCCCTTCTTGGAGTGCTGTTGATCATCATGTCAGTCTTTGCTCGTGCGGAGGATACGGGTTAGAAAAAAACAATGGGGTCTCTCCTACGTCTCGGTGGCCAGCCCATAGAAGAGAGTTGACTTCAAAGACAGAGCCTAGAGAGGCCCGGCCGCGGGAGAAAAAGGAGCCATCCGAGTTGGCGAAAGCCAGGCTCTTTGGGATTCCTTGATAGGAGAATACGCGATACCATACGTAGTAGATGCCGCCAACAAGACTGACAACGGCCAGCCAGGGGAGAAGAGCTTGGACAGTAGCCATTATGATGTTCAATGAGTGTAGAGTCTTTTGTTTTGGTCTTGGATTCAGATCTCTGCCAAGATCAGGGGATATTTATTGTATATCATACTTCTACTACAGCTTTCCCGCTGAATGACCTCATTCCTCTCAACCTCATGCAACTGCTCTTACGCGCATAGATGGCAATCCATTCATGGCACCCTGTTATCGGACATGCTCGGAGCTACGAGGCAGATCTGAATGGTTCATGACAGAATCACTCCCATGAAGGATCACCATCCTCACTGAAGCTGCCCCCCTCCCCTTGAGACTCTATGTATAGGTCTTATGACGCTGACAAAAGAGAATCAAACCATTGTTTTTTGGCCCTCAAATCCTGAATCGTAACTAGTTTAGAAGCACACATATGCTGCCATCAAGTACTTTCTGGGCTCGAGTCCTGGAAAGGAGCAGAGGCATGGACCAGCAGCTGAGTTCACATGTCAATGCCTCCGAAACACCCTCGCCAATCAGGACTGTAGCCCACCATGCCTTCTATATCCCACGTCTCACAGGATTCACTTTGCTACTTTGGTTCCCCGCAGTAAAGGCCGTGGGATCTAGGAGCTGACAGCAGTGGGATCGGTAGGATCGGATTTCGTACACCTTACCCCAATTCAAGGCCCATGATCCGGCCGCAGCAAGGCCTAGCCTATCGCCGTCCAGCCCTACCCATCTCACACAGCCGATTGCCGTCCAGTCTCACACCATCAGACAGACATACCGGTGACTTGATCCTTCCTGATCCAGCACTAGCAAAGAGTTTCTGCGGCTCAGCACTCCGAGTGCGGGTAAAGGCTTCGGCTTCGTACCCGAGGAGTTGGCCGGTCACGGGCTGGGCAAGCCGAGTCTTTTTTCACATGATTATGAAATGCGACTCTGCAGTCTATTTCTCCTGGCTTGTTATTGAATGTTGATCTTTTTATTGTTTGTGCTTATGTGCAATTAGCCTGATAAGAATGTAGAATGCATGATGATTTGCTATGGGAGTTCATGCTTAACCACCATATTGAATGCATGCAACATGGCTTGGTAATCAGATATACGTCAAGTCAGAGACGAGTCGTCAGTTTTCATATTCATGCATTCCTCATATAAGCACTCAATAATCACCTGATTACCTCTATGCTGCTCTGGAAATAAGTCGCCATCAAGCCGCATTGCTGACGCAGGCTATAAGTCAAAGGGGGACTATAAGCCAAAGGAACAGACCGAAAGTTCCTCTAGGCTTCCATTCACTACCTAACAAGTGTCGATCCTACATCAAGCCAGAATAGCTGCATTTTTTATATCCTCATACCAACCATCCCCTCCACTATAGGCCAGCTGGATCAGAAGGATTCCATCAGGGATTTCAATCCAGGAACGTTAGTCCGAAGGAACGCCCGCAAACCATCAATAACAGACCGAGAATCGTAGAGGAGCATATCTAGCCCTATAGGATCGGGACCGGTGACGTACTGCTTCTGTGCTTCTGTTGGTGCATATCTCCTTTGCTGCAAGTCCTCATAATCGAGATGGAAGTGTCTGCCTTGGATGACTTATCATCAACGACTTGATAAGCGATTTGAGACTCGATCTTGACAGTCACTGAGACGCTGGCTAGGGCTTTGGATTGATATTGCATTGGGGATCAATAATCAATCAACTACGGAATGACTGATCAACTACGAGATAATTGATCAACCACGAGATGGACAACCCCATAACGCCAGGCCACTCATTGGCACCCTCTAAGCTTCATCTTGACAATCCAGCAACACCCGTCCTACAAACTACAGCCAGAAACCTACCACTACCTCCACCGCGGGTAAACAAATTGGTTCAAGATGTCATTGGAAATCAAGTCCTCAAACAGCCCGCAGCTACGGCTGTTGCCTCACCAGCCATGAGTCTCACCTACAAAGAACTCGACGAGAGCTCTTCGCGGCTGGCCACACAGATATCGTCTTCAGGTGTAAGCCCAGGCTCTATCGTACCAATCATTCATGAAAAGGTCAGACATTCGTCAATTGCTGGATACCCCCTATTTCCCGAACGACGCCAATGAGAAAGAGAAATTCTAAGCAATACTAACAAGCTTCACAGTCTGCCATTACCATCGTTGCCATGCTTGCGATTCTCAAGTCTGGATGCGCATTCACTGCTCTGGACGTATCCCACCCAACACAAAGACTGTTGGAGAACATCGAGGACACGAACGCCCCCATTCTGCTCCTCTCTACCAAACAAGCCGCACGCTTCAACGGCCTCATCGACATTCCCGCCATCAAACTATCCAACGACGTGTTTTCCGGCTCCAGCACTACCTTCACCGCTGCACCAGGCATATCTCCTAGTAACTTAATGTACACAATCTTCACCTCAGGCAGCACCGGCCGCCCCAAGGGCGTCATGATCGAACACGCAGCCTGGCTCACCAGCGCCGTCGCATACGGCGCCGACCAAGAGCTCAGCCCCAGCTCGCGCGTCCTGCAATTCGCCTCGTACGCCTTCGACATGTCCGTCATGGAGATATTCACGACCCTCGTCTTCGGCGGCTGCGTCTGCGTGCCGGCGGAGGAAGATCGTTACGGCAGGATCCAGGAGTTCGTCAATGAGACTGGCGTCAACACACTCATGTTGACGCCTTCTTACGCCAAGCTGTTGGACCCCACTGCAATGCCTGGTGTCAGGATGCTCGTTACGGGGGGCGAGGCTGTCCCGAGTGACTTGGTGCAGCTGTGGAATCGTCACGTCAAAGTCTACATTGCGTATGGTCCGACTGAAGCTTCGATACAAGCTGCAGGCGCGAAGCTCGATATCGGAACTCAATCAGTCCCATCCGGGCTGATTGGGCGTCCGACGGGCTGCAACCTGTGGATTGTCAAGGAAGACAACCACAACGAGTTGGTTCCCAGGGGCGAGATCGGCGAGCTGGTCATTGAAGGAAACACTCTCGCAAGGGGCTACTTAAATGACCAGGCAAAAACCTCAGCCTCCTTTGTGGACATGTCGATTGGCACGGACACCCGTCTCGTCTTCAAGACGGGCGACTTGGTTCGCCAGACGGACAACGGCGACATTGTCTTTGTTGGCCGCAAGGATACCCAGATCAAGATGCAGGGTCAACGCTTTGAGCTCGTTGAGATCGAAGCACGGCTTTCCCACACTCTGCCTGCGGGATCCAAGTGCTGCGTTGATAAAGCTGCTGAGGGTCCGCACTTTCAGAACGGAGGTGCTATTGTGGCCTTCCTCAGTGACTCGGTAAAAGTGTCAGACGGCGAGCGTTCAGAAATCCTCTGGGACCTAGCCGAAGCCACGTTGGAGAGATCTCTCGAGATTATCTCAAAGCTGGAGAAAGTGCTCCCAAAGCCAATGATCCCAACCCTCTATGTGCCGGTATCATTCATCCCCCTGACCAGCTCCCACAAGACAGACCGCAACGTCTTGCGACAGCTTATAACAGCCCTAAGCTCCAAGGAGATGCAACGACTCAGAAGGCTGGATCGATCCAGCGGCGAATCCCGGGCTTTGACTGCTGACGAGTCAACTCTGCGAGAGCTATGGGCATTTGCCCTCAACATGACGCCGGAAAGCATCAGGCCCGATGACAACTTCATTCAGCTCGGCGGCGACTCGGTCACCAGCATCAAACTGATTGCAGCGGCTCGCAGCCGCGGCATCTCGCTCACATCAGCCACCGTCCTGTCAAATCCAGTGCTGAGCGAGCAAGCCCGGATGGCAATCAACTCAGCCGCTGCCAAGCATGACGACGACATCCAGCCGTTTGGATTGCTGGGGGATCGTGCGCAGGAACTCCGCGCAACAGCAGCCGCCATATGCAGACTGCCCGTCGAGGAGATCGAGGACGTTCTTCCCATGACAATCAGTCAAATGCGGTGGTACGGCAAGACTTTGGTGAAGCCAGACGCGTGGATAGACCACTATCACTTTCAACTCCCCGACGACGTGGACCTCGTCAGATTCCGCGCGGCCCTCAGCTCTGTCGTGCAAGCGGTTGACCTCCTTCGAGCGCGAGTTTTCGCCACCAGAGACAAGAAGCTATTTCAGGCCATTGTCAGGTTCCATCCCATCGAGGTGGTCGATTCCAGTGACACATTGGAAGCGTACCTGAGCCAGGATCTCAAGACTCCCATGGGCCTCGGTGCGCCGTTGAGTCGCTATGCTATTCTTCACCATGACAGTTCCGCCCCAGTATTTGTCTGGACGATTCATCATGCCATCTATGACGGCTACTCTCTGCCCATGCTGCTTCAAACCATCCAGGACTTCTACCACGGCCTCCAACCAGCCCCCTTTACTCCATTCAACCGCTACCTAAAAGGACCCGACGACAAGGAACTAGAGGACGGAGAGGCGTTTTGGGAGAGATATCTTCACCAAGCGTCATGGACCAGGTTTCCCGTCTTGCTGCCTCCCCAGGAGATGCCATCACCGCACATGAGCAGACTGTTGAAGACGATAGAAGTTGCCTCCCGACAAGCACAGCTTCGTGACTCTGAAGATCTCCAGCCCGCCATCATGGCAAATGTGATCCGCGTCGCCTATGCCGCCTCACTTTCACACTATTCCGCAGACCATCCCAGCTCCGTCCTCTTCCTGGAATCCCTCGGCGGACGAAACGCAAGCCTACAAGGCATAGATCGCGTAGCAGGGCCGACTCTCGTCACCATTCCAACCAGGTTGGAGCTGCCCCGCGAAAAACCGTGCCGCGAAGTTGTTCTCGAGGCGCAAAGGTCGCTCGTGGATAGGATGCGATTCGAAAGCTTCCCCTTGCCGCGCCTTCTGCCTCTTGCACCTCCCTTGGAGCTGCGTAATGTGCTAATGATAGAGAACGAGGCCTTTCTGGTCAACGGGGATGGCCATGGCTTGTTTGGGCGTGGAAAGGAGGAGCTGAAGCTGGAGGAGACGGAGGGACTGCCCATGATATTCCGGTGCACAGTTGTTCGGGGCCAGTTGAATGTGGATGTTCGCTATGACAGCAACATAGTTACTGATGGAGAGATGGAATCTTTTTCGGAGACTTTTGCGAAGTTGTTTAGAGAGCTGTGGGAGGGAGATGGGACTCGACCTTTTGGTGTAGTTGCTTCGTTGTGATCTGGAGCAAAGGGGGGTTCTGGGAATCAATGCCTAGGTATATATATATTCTTTCAGCGTTGACCTTCAGCACGTAATTTCCTGTGTTACTTTGCTGATGTATAGTCATTCGTTAAAATGAGTGTTGAATAGTATATGTAGCATCAATTAAGAAAATTCCCGTAAATCATGCCATTTCTTGAACACCGTGGAAAAAAACATGGCACCTGGCCACACACAACGCGGCTCCAGGGTAGGCTCCTCTGCAGCTCCGGCAGCTCGCCCATCTTGATCCGAGGTCCTCCACTTCCCCGGCCGCCGCTTTTCGCACCTCCAACCCACAACCAGCGCCCTCCGATCTCCGGCCCCGACCTGTTCGCAAACGTCCACCTCCTCTCTCCTCCTCCTTCTTCTCCTCCTATCTTCTTCTCTTCTCCTCCTCCTCCTCCTCTCATGGCCGGCGGTCGCAAACAAAAGGCCGCAGCAGCCCCCTCCCGCCCGCAAACGACGCTCGTCCTCGACAACGGCGCCTGGACGCTCAAGGCCGGCCTCGTCCGCGACGGCGCCGTCCCCGAGCCGCGCGTGATCCCCAACTGCCTCGCGCGCGACCGCTCCAAGAAGATCTACGTCGCCTCCGAGCTCGAGCGCTGCCGCGACCTGAGCGAGATCCAGTTCCGGCGGCCCGTCGAGAAGGGCTACCTCGTCAACTGGGAGGCGCAGAAGGAGATTTGGGACCAGGAGCTGTTTGGCGATGGCGGCAAAGCAGGACCGCTGAAGTGCGACCCCGGCGACACGCGGCTGATCCTCACGGAGCAGCCCAACGCGCTGCCCGTCCTGCAGACCAACTGCGACCAGATTGTCTTTGAGGAGTACGGCTTCTCGAGCTACTACAGAGGAATCGGTATGTCGGAACCGAAGAGCCAACAACACCGAAACACAGTCCCTACATGTATATATACTGACCAAGGACCCTGCCCAGGCCCGACATTCAACGCCTACCACGACCTGCAAAGCCTCTTCCGCACCCCCAAAGACGCTCCCACCGCCGCAAACGTCCCCGCGGAAATCATGCTCGTCGTCGACGCCGGCTTCTCCCACACCACCGTCACGCCCCTCCTCGGCGGCCGCCCCCTACACTCGGCCATACGCCGCATCGACATCGGCGGCAAGTTCCTCACAAACTACATGGCGCGCCTCATCTCCCTGCGCCACTTCGACATGCGCAACGACCTGTACATTGTCAACGAGATGAAGGAGGCCGCGTGCTACGTCTCGGCCGACTTCAAGGCCGACCTCGAGCGCACGTGGAAGGGCACCAGGGGCGGCGACGACAGCAACAACAAAAGGCGCGACGACTACCTCTCGGGAGCGGGCGGCATCGTCAAGGACTACGTGCTGCCCGACTTCCACACGCGGCACAAGGGCATCCTGCGCGACTACGATCCCGCGCGGCACACCAAGGCGAAGAAGCTCGCTGCAGCAGCAGCAGCAGCGGGCGGCGGCGGCGGCGGCGGCGGCGTGGGCGCGGAAGAAGACGTCCTGACGCTGCGCAACGAGCGCTTCGCCGTCCCGGAACTCATCTTCCGCCCCTCAGACGTCGGCATGCGCCAGCCCGGCCTCGCAGACGCCATCCAGCAGTCGCTGCACGAGCTGCCTGTCGGCCTCTGGCCGGGCCTCCTCGCCAACATTGTCGTCGTCGGCGGCACCTCCCTGTTCGACGGCTTCATCCAGCGGCTGCAGAGGGAGCTCGTGCAGCTCGTGCCCGACGACTGCATCGTGCGCGTCGCGCGGCCTGCGGATCCCATTACGAATACGTGGTACGGCGCGGCCAACATGGCGAACCATGCGAACATCGAAAAGGTGGTTGTCACGAAGCAGGAGTACGAAGAGCATGGCAGTGCGTGGATAGCGCGCAGATTTGCTACGGGTCTCCTGACTTGAACCCAAGGGAGAAATTACTTGGCAACACTGCAAGTGTTTCTGATGCCTTGGCCTGTTTACGGTTCTTCATACTACTAGTAGTAGGAACAAGCTCGCAGCGACGTGAGATAAGAGGCGTTTCTGGGCACACGAGAGGACATGTGGCTGCTGCATCTTGCGAGGTGCCAAGAGAATGGCTACACAGCAAAGTCTTGCCCCTTGGGCATGAGTTGGAATGAGCTGGCGTTTTTTTTTTTTTTTTTTTTCACATGCGACAACACGAGGGACGTCTGCCAATGTGACAGATACCCAACTTCCGACAGACCACATTGAGGTAACTCGGCATGCATATGGGTACGCAAGCTGCAGGCTTCCGGTCGTGAAGCAGTCTACGTGGTCACCTTCGCCAAGCCTACTTGTCTCGGAGGGAAACCACACGACGTGGCCGAGCAAGTTTGTCCAATGTCAGGCTGCGACGCGTTGCCGTGTGTACCGACAAGGCAGCACTGCAGCAGGCAAGCGAGGCCAATGAGGGCATTGCCATGAGAACAGAGGACATATGCAAGCAAGAGGGGAAAGTGTCATTTGGAATGGTCTGATCTGATGCCCGAAAACCCAGGGCTAGGTGTATCCTGAAAGAAACAGAGTCCGTCGTCATCAAATTCTAAGCTATACGGACAGATTTCGCTTGTACGCGAGGGAGAGAAAAAAAAAAGGACACGCTCGATACTCCAAACGCCGTCATAAGCTGAGCATTGTGTGCCCAGAGGGTTAGGGGAGAGTTTCCATTCAGATATGGAGGCATTAGCAGAGAGAGGAGAGAGACCGGGAGCCAAAGCGAGTCGTGTCGCTCAGAGACGGCCCAGACCTCGTCCGCGAGACACGCACCCTGCGTCAATGGTTAGCAATTACTCTACAGTAGGATTGTTATTCAACGCTTCCCAAGAATGGGGCACCGTACAATCGCACTTTGGTCGTCGTGTTAGCTGACTCCGTGACTCTCCTCCTAAAGTGGTGGCTGGGCAGCTTACATGGTTCACCGAACATCCTTCATTGTGAATGAGGCAATATCCTGCGCAGCACTTCTTGCACACTCGCTGGGTACTGTTGATACAAGTTTCGCACTGCAGCATCATGGTTTTTCCTGTTTAGCAGCTCTCTCTTTTGTAAAAGAAGGGTTTATGGGTGAAGCAGGGGGGAATGCTCACGTTGCTACCGCATTCCCAGCAGCTCTTGGACAACAGTGACTGCGATGGGAACAGTTAGCAAGACTACTCTTCCCGTCAAGATAACGCAATTCAATGACAATGATGCCTCCGTTTCTGCAGTCGTAGCATCATCGGGGTGGGGCAGGGGAACAAACGCTGCGTACAAATTCGAGAGGTCTGTCTTCGAGACTGGCCTGATCGGCTGCTCCAATCCATCACCGGCTCGTTCTGTCGCAGGATTCTTGCGTCATCCTCCTCCTCTTGCTCTGTTTCTCAAAATCCCCCTCTTTCTTCAACTGCCTTTGTCCGTTTCCTTTTGGGATGAGACGCGGGAGCACAAGGGACAGAAACCGTTTCGTACCTTGAGTTTCATCGTCGGAGTCGCGAGATCCAGATCGCCGAGGCTGTCGACCGTGTCGTCGTCGACAATGGTGATCCCTGAGCTCTGGCCGGGGAGCTGATAGCACGACTCGCACCACCACCTGTCGCAACTGAGGCAATATCGCTCGCGGATGCAGTCCAAACACCTAGGCACAAAGGAGCTACATGGATCTCTGGGCTTGGTCGCAGCGCGGAGGGAGGAAGAAAGGATAGGCAGCGGGGCCAACAGTGGTAGGCTGGCCACGTTTCTGCTGTCTGGACGAGTGACGCCTTCTGGTGCGTCGTGGCAGCCCTCGCATCCGGCGAGAGAGTAGGTGGCTACGGCCGGAGCGCTGTCGAGATCCGATCCGCCCGTGTAGGCCGGCGAGTTGCGGTGGCGTGGCCCGTGGCAGAGGACGGCGTCGAAGGCAATGATGCCCTGGCAGGCCAGCATGCAGCTGGCCCAATCTTGAGTAACAGGTCGAGGGAGGATGCGGCCCTTGTGGTGCCACCAGACGTCGCCTTGGTGCTGCAGCGAGGATGCCAGAGCACTCTGGCTCCTCTTGTTCCATCCTGCGCTGATGGACATCCTGGATGGATTGGACTGCAGTTCGGAAGTCAACATGTCCCTGGTGCCGAAGACGTACAGTGCCTGGAGCTTGGGAGAACCCGCCCGCCGAGTAGGGCGACAGGCATACTGAAGCGTTTGGCGAAGCTTGCCGTGATTCAAATTCTTGACTTCGCGGATGGACAGGATGCGGACGTTGAAGCTGGCGTCATTGATAATCTCATGACAGAGCTCCGAAGTGACGGAGAGGCCGTCGAGGACCAGCGTCTGGACGTTCTGCAGGATGTTCTGTCGCCGAAGCGTTGAGAAGATGCCCCTCAACGGGCCGGAGTAGAAGCTGCGGGAATGGAGCTTAGCAACGCATGACATGGAGTGGCAAGGGGAAGTGGTCGTGCACTCACTCATCTTCGGTGAGGTTTTCATCTAGCTGCACGTTGCGCCAGATCTCGCCTCCATGATCGATCTTGGCAATCTCAAACTGGACCGCCTTGATGTGAGAGAGGGCAAGATGGCGAAAGACGCCGGGGGTCTCTAGGATGAGAGTTCGGAAAGCTCGGCTCGTAGCAGCAAGGCTCACGATACTCGATATGGGCAGATAGGATACTACGTGTCTCAAGACGAGCGAATTGTGAATAGTATCGTAGAGGGTAGTGCCTGAATCGTCTGGTCCCAATGGTGACAGTATCCGTATCTCGAATCGCGTTGGGTCGTTGATGGTACTAGCTAAGCTCATGTCAGGCCACCGAGACCTGAGAGGAACCGGATCTTTGCGGGCGATGGAGATTCGTCGCAAGTGAGCAAGGCAACCTCAAAATTACACGATAGAATGCTTTGCACGCTTTGGTCCTGAATGGTTTCGTTGTTCACTGCGCGAGGTTGGTGCAAGGATGGTGTGAGGCGTGGCCGAAGCTTATACAGCAAGAGAGAGACCTTGTCGGCGCCTGGGCTGTGGCTCTTGGCTAAGGCTCTTGGCTAAGACAGGGCAATCTCACAGCTACAACCATGGCGTCCTCCTTATCAAGCCATGGTGGCCAATCCAAACGCACGGCAGATTGGGGGTGTGCCGCAGAGCAAGATGGGGGGCCTTCACCGGCAGGCCGTACCGTCCAGCGTATGTACGTGAGCTGTTGGTGGGAGGCTTGCCAGCAGCGCCAGCGGCGGCTGCGTCGACCGGGACCGAGCCAGGCCAAACCAGGTGAAGTGAGGTGAGCCGAAGGGGAGAAGCGCCGAAGCACCGAAGCAACCTCCTACCGGGTGAGCATTGAACGATTTCGTAACGATTTGGGCGGATAAGGATCATCGGCTGGGATGGATGGACTGTTGGTGGCGAATGGGCGGCCAAGACGTAATGCGTTTATGTATCGCACCTTGCGTAGCACGCCCGTACTGTAGGTATGTAACGTCTCTCGAAGCCTGACAACCTGGCTCATCATTGCGGGAGCTGCCCCCATCTGGCAGGTTGGCATCATCTGGCGGGATCTTGGGAGACGAATCAGAGCGGACAACGATTAGCGCACCTTGACTTCCAGGAGCCGTCAAGTCAAGACAAACACAAGCACCTGCAGACCTCTCTGTGTCTTCGCCCTCGACATAGTAGATGCTTACCCCACAGTTTCTCAGCCCTCCCCCTCCCTTTGCTGGTGGTATGCAAAGCACAGCCAACACCACCAACAGCCATCCTCGCACTTGAATGTGCTGCGGGGGAGCTCCTTTGAAGAACCAAGGAGGAGCATGTTGTCGCCGTGAGATGCCTCTGCGATGACTACTCAAAGTCCTTTCGCTCTTCGGTATCCAACCGCTTCGACTGCGGCAGACTGCAAGCACCATCCCATCCTCGACAAGGTCACTAATTATACTGCCACTTTCGTTCCATCTCCAGGATCTGCATGCACCGGGGCCCTGCCGTCCATCGCCTAGACTTGATGCGCAAGATCCTGGGCGTGGGGGAGAGACGGCGGTTTGGTCGCACGATGGCTGGCTTGTTTGCGGGGCCCTGCGGCATCACTTCAGCGGTTCGTCTTTCAGGCGTGTTAGTCAGCAGCGGGCAAAGGACAGAATAACACACCCCGTGATTCTTTTCAATAGTAGTTTAGTGGTATTGATGGTGACGAGTTCAATGGCCGTCCGGATGATGCTTGATCCATCTGACACTTGGTAGGTAGGTATAGTATTCGTATCAAGCGGCCAAGTTTGGAAGAAGGAAGGTGTCAACGCAGAATGTTGTGTATCACGTGATCTCGCACGTGCGCGACCCAGCTCCAGAGCTCCATAGAAATGGACGGAAATGCTGACTTATCGCAATTGCCCCTCGAGGCGATTCTGGCCGCGTCTTGCTGCTGTCGCCTTCATACCAAACCGTGTAGGTAATCAGGCATGTCTGCATTTTGATATTGCGACAGTCACCTACCTAGAAATGGAACCTCTTTGCACTCCTTGTCAGTTCCGGTGCAATTGTGCCTCTTTGGCTGCCTCTCTTCCGTTGACACTACAACAACTTGAAGCTATAAATCACCATCTTTTCCTATAACCAACCATCTTCTGAGCTTGAGCGTCTCATACATACATACCTACAAAAGCATACCGGCATCATGGACGAGCCAACCCCCCTTCGCTGGTCCGACACCTTTGCCATCCTCCCTCCCTCTGATCCCGCTTGCAGCAGGCTCCCAGGCGACAAAATCATTCTGCCCCCTTCCGCGCTCCAGCAGCTGCTCTCAGCTTCGTCTTCACGAACCACAGCGTCTACCAACGGCAGCTACAATTACTTTGACTCCAGCTATCGGACGAGCCACTCATACGGACAGGAGACGCAGCAGCTGCCCAATCCCTTGATATTTCGACTCGTCAACCCAAAGAACCACAATGTTGTCTACGCCGGCATCAGAGAGTTTTCTGCCCCAGAGGGTACCATTGGCCTGAGTTCGCTGCTCCTCGAGGCTCTTGCCATCGGGCCCAACGATTGCCTTTCAGCGGCCCCCGATGTGATAGACGTTGAGGATCCCGACAGCCTAGCAAGCCAAAGTGCGGGCGCCGCGAGCAGCCGGATTACAGTGCATGCCGTAGAGCTCCACAAAGGAACGTATGTGCGGTTGCGACCCCTCGAGGCTGGTTATAATCCCGACGATTGGAAGCCACTGCTTGAGCGACAGCTCCGGCAAAACTTTACGACCTTGACCAAGAACACGGTCATCCCTGTCCAGGGGTCACAAGGAGAGCAGTTCAAGCTACTGGTGGACAAGTTTGCGCCTGATGATGATGGCATCTGTGTTATTGATACGGATCTGGAGGTTGATATCGAAGCCCTCAACGAAGAGCAAGCCCGAGAAACTCTGCGCCAGATCATGGCCCAAGGTCAAGCGGGCTCGGCTTCTGGCAGCTCTCAGGGCGGCGAGTTGAGTATCTGGAAAGACGCCGAAGGGCAAGTCATGCCTGGCCAGTACGTGGACTACACGCTTCCCTCCTGGGATCGATCGCAAGAATTGGTCATTACTCTCAGCGGCATCTCGGAAGCGGACAGCCTGGACCTCTTTGTCACACCGAGATCGCGCCAGCAGAGGGCATTGCCACGAGACTCGGTCCACGTCTTTGGAAATTTTGCGCCTGCTCAGGACGGCGTCAAGTCCATCACGATATCGCCGACTAATGTCGAACTTGAAGATGCTGAGAGCCTACTTATATCCGTTCATGCCTACCAGGCTCCTAACTCTGGCAAGGCACCGGCAACCTCGACTGCCTACACTTACACCATCCGAGCAAAGGCGGCGTCTTTCAAGGGGAAATCAGCAGACGAGGCTATGCAGCTCGACCAGGAAGAGCATTCCTCAGACGAAGAGCAATGTACGAATTGCTTACAGTGGGTTCCGAAGCGAACGATGGTCCTGCACCAAAACTTTTGCCTGAGGAACAATATCATCTGTCCCATGTGCAAGTCGGTTTTTAAAAAAGGCTCGCCCGAGTACGAAGCTCACTGGCACTGCGATCACGATGAGGCGCACGGAGATTCGCCCTTTGGCAAGGCCAAACACGACGATGTGTTTCACACCGACCGCGGATGTCCGGGCTGTGAGTTTTCCACCAACTCGCTGCCAGATCTCGCCCGCCACCGCACCAGCGTGTGCCCGGGGAAGATTATCCTCTGCCGCTTTTGTCATCTCGAAGTTCCCCAGGAAGGCGATCCCTTCAACCCGTCGCCAGAGGTGGTTCTCTCGGGAATGACAGCTCACGAATTGGCAGACGGGGCTCGTACGACAGAGTGCCATCTGTGCGACAAGATTATCCGTTTGCGAGACATGGAAACGCATCTCAAACACCATGAACTCGACAAGGTGAGCCGGGCCAAGCCCTTGGTCTGCCGGAACGTCAACTGCGGGAGGACGCTGTACGGCGTCGGCGCCAAAGGCCAGATTGGCACGGCGGGCTCTCCAGTCAAGCCTCCAGGCAACGACATTGGCCTCTGCGCATTGTGCTTCGGGCCTCTGTATGTCAGCATGCATGACCCTGATGGCAAAGCCCTGCGGCGGAGAATCGAGAGGCGATATCTCAGCCAGCTGATGGCGGGATGTGGGAAGCCGCATTGCGCCAACGAATGGTGCAAGACTGGACGGGCAAACCTTGGCCTCGAAGCCAAGGGGTCATCTGCCGCGGCAGCGCTGCCTCTTGTCAAGCCGTTCCTTGGCGGGGCGCTTGATGCCTCGCAGCCATGCTACTTTTGTGTTGATGAGACGAGCCAGAAGAGCCGCAAGCTGGCGGAGCTGGTGGCGGCCGAGAAGGGTTGGGATCTAGAATGGTGCGTTGCTGCTGCTGAGTTTGAAAAGGCCAATGTGGATAAGATGAGGGATTGGCTGCAAGCATGGGCGCCTAGAAGGTAGATTGGGCAAGATGATGGAGACTCATATAGAAGAGCATTGGAAAGGAGTTGGTTCGTATTGTATGGGCATGGTGTTTGTTTAGTCGAGATACCCCGGGGGCATTGTTACTTTAGACGCATCAACGGCACCAACTACCTAGTATCTTAGATAGCATATAGATTTGCGCTGGAATTACAGTAGCTTATTTGGCGGAAGCGTAGTGATCACATTGCCCTGCTATTTGGGGAAAAACATACATACGAGTGCGAATACAGGTATCTTGGAGTTGTCCCAACCGAACCACCCTTGACCGGCTAAATGCACGACTGGATGTTTTGCACGGCGGGATCGGAGCCGAGACGCAATTCTATCACATGCGCGCTGATGACGTTGACTCGCCGGCGTGCCGATCAATGATCTCATCATGAACGACTACAACTCAAGTATACACAGTGCTTCTTGAGCGTCTACAGAATCACGGTGAAATACCGAGGTATCGACTCCTTTGAAACAAAAAGACAAGGCATGCTGACAGGTTTTGGATCCTATGAACATCTGCAAGCCACACCGCTACATTCACGGCGCGTACATGTCGGCAAGCGAAGGATTGTTGGCTAACGGCCTTTGACCTCTTCCTTTAATTCCATGTGTATGGAAACAAAGCACGATAGTGATACTGCAAGTGGCCGGTTCCGGGAGTCTTTGGACGGTTAGTGCGTGCCTCGTAACCTAAAGTCAACGAGAGGAGTCAGCTCTAAGACATGAAAAGGCCGAATTCTGTCTACAAAATCCAATTGAAACTTGGAATGTACAGTGAGTTGCTTGCACTGTCATGGTCTATACGCAATTTCGTCGGGTGTAGTATTTGGATTTTACGCTCAGGTACATGTAAGCAATAAAGCCAGCCTTTGAACATCCATACTACCCTCACCTAGTAGTAAATACTACCCAAGGAGAACGGGCAAGCCCGTCATCACGAAGCTTGATTTCTCTGGAGCTGCTGTGCTTCTGTTTGGCTGGTTCACAAGCTGGGAGGGCTTAGAACGTACGCGTACGAGTTGGACGGGAGTCCGGCCGTCCCGAAGGTACCCCGAGGCTATGCGATACTTTGTCTGCTGACTGGATCGCTGGAATGACTTCTGTAGGTAGTTATGTATTCTGGAGGTCCAGATGATGAAGACCCCGAGGGAGAGTTTATCGTCTGATAATGATGGATTATTCGTTTGTATCTGAGGCCAAGTGTTTGACTGGATCAGTTGAGAGGATGGATTGCATGGTTGCTGTTCAGTTGAGGCGACATCAGTCCGCCTTGGGGCACTCCGCCGCTGTATTGACGGATCAATCCATCCCAGCACTCGCGGTCTGGTGGTCTCTGCCCGCACTCCAGCCGCCCTGAGCCGCTGTGGCTGCTACGGAGGAGGATGTGGGGACTCGAGTTACAGGGGATTGCCAGGTGGTTCAAGAGCATCAACCCGCATCCTGGAGACACATGACGGCTAATCCGTCTAAATAAACTGATGTTGTTTAGCAAGAAGTCGTATAGATATGTAGATACCTAATGACTAACAATTTACACATGAATGCAAATTTGAATGCACAATCTCGAAGAGTCATCATGTAAAGCCAAGTCAGTCAGTCAACGGGTGCTGGCTCAGCTCCTTGTACCTCGCCTGGCGGAGGTACTTGTTGCGTGCGAGTGGCCGGCCCGCCAACCAAGCCGGAGCTCCCCCATAGTACTACCTTAGTAAAGTATCTATTCCATCAAATGCTCTCTCTCCAGGGCTGGCAAAAGGTGGGGGAGATGCTGCTTCTGGATTCTGCCCGCACTGGCCGCTATCGTATCAGTCGTTTGCCTAGGTAGGTTGAGTTGTCCCGCTTTCAACCAGCCTCTGGAAACGAAACCAGCAAACGCCAGACTGTCGCAGTGCAGCGCATCGCATCGCATCGCATCGCCTTTCCTTTTCCCTCTTCCATCCGCCTCTCTTCTCCCTGCCTGTGCCTCTGCGACCGCAGCCAACGACTGGCCACCCGGCGCTTGTACATACCTTACAGCAGACGGTCTGGATTGAGCTGGAGCTGGAGCTGCACGTCCTCCCTCCCTCTGCCTGGCCAGCTGCTCCATCTTGTTCGCCACCCGCCATCGTCGAGTCGCCGAGCAACGAACGACAGCGCCTGGACAGTTGATCCCTGAATCAGCCGCACCGAAAGGCACTGGCTGCCGTCGAAAACTCAGTCGCGGACACCACTATGCGACTTCTGCCCTCGTCTGCTGCAGTCTGAAGCCGCGCCCCGCTGAGTCGAGCTCGCATCGTGTCCGGCGGATCGCAAGGAAGCCGAGACGCTCGTCTCTAGCTGTTGCTGTTTGTGTTGCCCAGTGACGAGTGCCGTACTTGGTGCAAAGACTCTCGACTCTCGAGAATAGGGACCAAGGCGCACCAGGTCTGATTAAGACGTTGCTCAACTCCAGGCAGTGCTGGCTCGCATCTCGACCAGCCAGCCGGCCGTTGTGTCACTACCTACTCTCTACCTGTGTCCCCTCTCGCTCAACATTATTGATATTCGTCCATCCATTTCTATCTTTCTTTCTATTCTTCTAGAGTCCGTCTTTACTGCGTTGCGAATCTCAGCATCATCACAATGGGTAACAACAACACAAGAGAATCTCGCCCCGACCGTCCCGAGGGCCACAACGATGGCCGGGACCGGCGCTTCGACTCGCATATTGCCCGCGGCATTTTGGCAGATCCGCGCTTCCAGATGGGCAGGACGGAGCGCAGCTTTCTGAGTATGGGCAGTTCTGCCTCTAGAAGCAGGGAGAATGCGGATGCTCCGTTTGAGCATCGTGAGACCAAGCAGGAACGCGAAGCTCGGAGGCTGGAGCGGGAGCGAATTCAGCGAGCCCAGGACCGCGAGCGAAGCATACGGGAAGAGCACGTTGATGGAGGCTACCTCGTCACCATGGGCGTCTACGTCGGGACTGAGGACTTCAACAAGGCGGTTGTTCGACAGCTGCAGGTGCGTTGACGCTGTTATTGACTGACTGCAGAGGAGCCGTTCTGACTTGCAGCTAGATCGAGCGAAAGCTGGCCCCCTTCTGGCGTGGCCTCCAGGACTGGTCCCCCAGCTGGGCCGAGCATCAGCTTATCGCGGCCGCTCGTGGCCTGCCCATCCCGGCGGCCGATGCTCCTCCAGATCCCGCTCTGCTGCCCCGGCCGCCGCCGCCCGACTCTCTCCCTACGCAGAATCTCAATAGCCTGACGGTGGAGATGGGACCTAGGACTCTCTCGACTGCCTCCGATCGTAGCGGATCAGGCAGTGGCTCCGCTCTGCCATCGCCATCCACGGCCGGGCCTTCCAAGGGCTCCATCAAGCCCAGGGCGAGGGCGTTGGCGGCTGCCTTGAGTGTGGGCTCCCGCAATGCGTCCTCGACCGACTTGACGCCCAGGGAGATCAATCTCCCCCACGACCCATTCGTCAACGGCCAGCCGCTCGAGGTGTATCTGTACAAGGACGCCACCGAATGCCCCATCTGTTTTTTGACCTATCCCCCGTACCTCAACCACACCAGGTGCTGTGACCAGCCGATATGCAGTGAATGCTTTGTGCAGATCAAGCGAGCCGACCCCCATCTTCCTGAGCACCACCCCGACGGCCAGGCACGAGATCCGAATCAAGGTCTCACGGCCGAGGACCCCCCGGAGATGCTTATATCGGAACCTTCCGCATGCCCGTACTGCCAACAACCCGAGTTTGGCGTCACGTACGAGCCACCACCTTTTCGACGCGGATTGGCCTTTGCTGCTTCTAACCTGGCTTCAAACACCGCCATGTCTTCTCAGAGCTCTCTCAACTCTACCTTGACGCCGGCGCCCGCGACAACGGGGCGGAGACGAGCACATAGTTTGTCGGTCAACGCACCCAATGTCATCACCACGGACCGCATCCGGCCGGACTGGGCGACCAAGCTGGCCACAGCGCGCGCTCACCAAGCACGACGTGCCGCCGCGGCGACTGCCCTCCACACTGCCGCCTTTTTGATTGGGGGCAACGAGTCTCGGTCTAGGATACGCACGAGTAGGTTCGGCAGAAGGAATGCCGGGACGAACAGCGGCGGCACCAACACCCCTGGCGGAGGACACAGCGGCGGGGCAACCGATACGGCGGAGGGCCATGAGCCCAACGAGGCGCGTTCGGGCCGGAACCCAGACGTCGGCCGTCGAACTCGAATGGACGAACTTGAGGATATGATGTTCATGGAAGCGGTACGGCTGTCACTCGCGGCTGAGGAGGAGCGAAAGCGCAAGGTGGAGAAGAACCTCCAGAAGGAAGCCAAGAAGCGCGAAAAGGAGCGCGAAAAGGCGGAGCGCAAAGCGCTCAAGAAGCAAGGCAAAGATCCCTATGGGGGCGGCGTCAGCGGAGCCAGCGGAAGTAGTCTCTCCTTGGGCCTGGGCCGCAAGCGAGGCAATAGCGCAGCCAGCAACCTGCGACTGGAGCTGACGTTGCCGGGGAGCTCGTCATCATCATCCAAGCTGGTGGATGCCCCAGAGCACAAGGCTGACGGTAGCAGAGCAGAGGGGAGCAAGGCAGAGAGCAGCGGCGACAAGGGCAAAGGAGTCGATCGCGGGCCCCAGCCAGGTGCATCAGAGACGTCCTCGACGGGGTCGCTGCCCATTGCTGCCTCGAGCAGCCGAGGAGGCTCTCACCTGCGGCATATGAGCAACGCATCGTCCCTTGGCTCGTCGGGGGCGGACAGTCCATCAGGCAGCCTTCGCGGGCAGGGGGCTGGCGACTCGGACGCGGCGGCCAAGCGACAGAGCATGGGTGGCCGCAGTGAAAGCGGCGACGGCGAGACGGAGAGCGAGCCCATGTTCAACTTTCGCAGCCTGGCCGAGATTGTCGGCGTCAACCTGGATGATGGCTCTTCCATGCAGCAAGGAGACGTGGGTGATGGCTCAGTCCGGCCGCTTTCTCAGGTGCCGGAGGAGGAGAAGGAGGAAGAGACGAGCGCTGAGCACGTAGAGAGGACTCTCAGGGTGGAAACGTCGGGCTTGAGCAACGAGTCGGCCTCGACTGCTGCCGAAACTACGTCCCAGACGGTGCTGCCCCCCTTTCTCGACACGCCCGAGCTGACGATTACCCCCGAGACGCCAACTGTGGAAGATGGCGGGGCTGAGGATAAGCGACTCGGAGAATCTCACGTGTTGGCGCACGAAACCACTCAGGCCACGCATTGAATGGGGAGAGGCGACGTGCAGGGTAGATGCTGATGATGCCGCCATGGCGGGCTGGCGTGTTACGGCAGGGGGGCATGGGAGTTTTCTTGTCCTTCTTTTCTTTGCTCTATCATGAAGTAAATGGCCTTTTTGTGTGTGAATGGATTGGGCTGGTTCTGGAAGCTGGCAGTTTGCTTTAGGTGCAGCGTAGGTATATAGTGTGCAGCGGATGGATTCAGCGGCTGATGATGTTTGCTATGAATACAATGGCATCACAAGATGAAGAAGACGAAGCTTCTTTTCCCCCTTTTGTTTTTCTTTTAAGAATGTCACGTTGGCACTAACACGATTGAGAGTCGTGGTCATATGAGCTTCTATGTCGCATGTCCAGAAGATTTGTCTATTCAGAATGCTCCTATACATTCACGCCTGGTTCAAACGTTGCTGTGCTTCACGCCTGGTTCAAATGTTGCCATGCTTCACACCTTGATAAACGCTTCTATGCTTTTTTTTTTTTTACGCCTTCTTAATCTCCGTCCGAAACTTGTCGGTCCACTCGGTAAACTCATCCCTCTTGCCATCCCACGCCTGAGCCAACAACTCGCTGACGGCAAACGCATCCAAGAAGCACTGGTCCATGGCCTCGTCGATTTCCCCGGGCCGCAGCTCGTAAAAGGCACATGCCAGGTCGCCGAATCGATCGGGCAATTTCTGCAGCAGGGCGGATAGTTCATCTAGTCTGCGGGGGACCTTGTCGCTTTCTGCAATGTTGTCCTTGTTGGTGCTTTGGGGAGGAGGAGGAGGAGGAGGAGGAGGAAAGGGAGGGAGTTTCTTCATGCGGCGCTTGGTGATGGCTTGGTAGAGGAGGATGACGAGGCGCAGACGGCGGAGGGAGGATTCGAGGCGTGGGCGGATGCGGTCTGGGTCTGTGGCGGGGATGGTGCGGTGGGAGTTCATGAGGTTGTCGAGCATGGATTGGGTGGAGATGTGTGTTGAGCCGACCTGGTCTGCGAGATCACTGACACCACCATCGTCGTCTTCCTCTTCATCGTCATCGTCATCGTCGTCCTCATCGGGCTCCTCGTCGCCCCATTCCTTCATCTCCTCCATGATATCGCTAAGCGTATCCTTCCACTCCCCCATCTTGTCCACAAAGAAGCCTCCCACGCCCCCGTTCGCCAGCCCGACGACCTTGTCGCACGCAGCCCAGAGCACTCCCGTCGACGCAATACTCCCCTTTCCCGAGCCTCCTCCCCCCGCGGCGCCACCACCACCACCAAACCCTTCCTTCTCCTTCTTCAGCACTTTGCCATCCTTGGGTATCCTCTGCAAGAGCTCGGCCAGCTCGGCCAGCACGCGCTGGCACCACCACGCGAGCTCGTTGCGGAAGACCAGAGTGTAGCCGTTGGGGTCGCAGGCCTGCACGGAGGCGACGAGGCCTGGGATGGGCCCGGCGATGAGTTCGCGCAGGACGGAGGAGATTGCGCTGGGGGTGAAGGGCTCGTTGATGAGGAGGAGGGAGACTTTGGTGGCGTGGGCGCGGATGAGGGTCGCGGAGTCGCGGGCGAGGGCGAGGGCGTCGAGGGGGGGAGTTGATACGGACGAGGTTGCTGTTGGTGTTGAGGAGGCTTGGGGGTTGTTGTTGTTGCGGATGGAGGCGAGGACGTCTTGGAGCTGCTTGAGGAGGGCGCAGGCGGTCTGGACGAGAGACTCGAGGCTCTCGAGAGCCGCGGCTTCAGGGGCCATGTTGTGCTGAAGTGATGAAAGATTGCGTCAAAGTGGTGAGGTTGGTGGTGTTGAGGCTGGATTTAATACTCTGTATCGCCAACTTTTTTTTTTTTTTTCCTTCTTTTTTTATATAACGTGGAGGGGTTCACTATCGCATCTCTGCAACCCCGCGCTGTGGGGGTTTTTCTCTATGAAGCTGGTAGTATTGCCGGTGTTCTGCCGGCCAGCAGTCAAGCTGCCATCCTTGGTGCTCCACCCGGGCCAGGCTCAGTGGGGGGGGGAAGGAGCAAGAGGGACAGACAGCTGCCACTTTGTCTACTACTACTTGTACCTCTTGGGGACAGCTTTGGCTTGGGCTTCTTCAAGCCACTCTCAGGGTCATCAGCCAATCCTCCTCTCGACTGCTGCTTTTGGGCACTTTGTTTGTTATTCTTTTCTTTTGCTGCTTTTTTCCCCATTCAAGATGCAGCGTCCGGCGTCATTGGCGCTGCTGGGCGCCGTGTGCTGGACTGTGGCTGCTGCTGGCAGCGTGCCGCGCGGAGTCGGGCCAGAGTGTGAGTTGATGCTATCCGGACGACATCACGGCAGTCGGGAGGCTCCAGCCCAGCCAGACTGTTCCTGAGAGCCTCTTTCAGCTCCAATTGATGCCAATTGGCGTTCACATGTCCAACCGCTAACCCCAAATCCCCAACAGTCGTCTCCTACTACCAGAACAAGGACTCCTTCACCTGCATCGCCAACCCCTCCATCACCATCCCCTGGGACCGCGTCAACGACAACACCTGCGACTGCCCCGACGGCTCCGACGAGCCCGGCACCGCGGCCTGCGCCTTCATCGACCCTCTCTCCCCCGAGCAGCCCCTGATTGGCAGCCCCTCGGGCACCACCAATGCCACCCGCTCCCTGCCCGGCTTCTGGTGCCAGAACAAGGGCCACATCGGGGCCTACATTCCCTTTTCCTACGTCAACGACGGCGTGTGTGACTACGACGTCTGCTGTGATGGCACGGACGAGCACAACCATCCCACCGGCATCAAGTGCGAGAACCGCTGTGGGCCGATTGGGAAGGAGCACCGGCGGCTGGCAGACGAGCGGAAGAAGAACGTGGCCAGGGCGATTGTCAAGAAGCAGGAGATGATCAAGGAGGCCAAGGGGCTACTTCGGCTGGCTGAGGCTCGCATCACGGCGCTGGAAAAGGACATTAAGGACCTCTCGGCCCAGAAGGAGGAGCTGCAGCGCAAATACGACCAGGTGCAGAGCGAAGAGCAAGGTAAGCTAGTCAAGAGTGAAGGCGGCGCCGGCGGCAAGCTCGGCGTGCTCGTCGGCCTCGCCAAGGAGCGCGTGGAGGAGCTGCGTGAGGCTCTCCGGCTGGTGACGGAGGACCGCGAGGTGCTGCGCGGCAAGAGGGACGAGCTCGAGGCGATCCTCAAGCAGCTCAAGGACGGCCACAACCCGGACATCAAGGATGAAGGAGTCAAGGCTGCGGTCCAGGCGTACGAAGACTACGCGGCGCGCGAGGCGTCGGCCGACCAGTTGGAGTTCCTCGAGTCGGACATTCGCGAGATCCTCAAGGAGGACGACGAGACCAACGGGGTCAACTGGAAGGCCTTTGACGAGCTCCATGATGACACTGACATTCGTAAGCACAATCAGCTTATATCTCAATTGTCGCTCTGCTGTCGCTTTTTCTCCTTTTTCTTTTTTTTCTTCATGGTGTATTGCACCTCTGTGTGTTTTGGCTGCCTGCTGACTTGATGTGTTTTCATCTTAGTTTACAACTTTGACGCCTACATCCCCCCGTTCATCCGCGGCGTCATTCACGACAAGATTCGGGTCATTCGCAAGTGGCTGATGGACAATGGCATGATTGCCGACGAGGCCAAGACCGGGTCGGAATCCAGCGCCGCCAGGGCTGCCAGGGAGGCGGTCGAGGCAGCCGACCAGGAGCTCGGCAACAAGGAGAGGGAGCTCCAGCAGGAGAAGACGGACCTCGACAAGGACTACGGACCGTCTGGCATCTTCCGGTCCCTCAAGGGCAAGTGCGCCGAGATTGACGCCGGCGAGTACACGTACGAGCTGTGCTGGCTGGACAAGACGATGCAAAAGTCCAAAAAGGGCCACGCGGCGACCAATATGGGCAACTTTGAGCGCATCGAGATTGCCATGGCGGACGAGGACGAGAGGGTCGACGGCAAGAGCCTCGGCAGCGGGCCGCGGATGGTGCTGCGGTACGAGAACGGGCAGACGTGCTGGAACGGCCCCCAGCGCAAGACCAACGTCTGGCTCGGGTGCGCGGAGAAGGAGGAGATTTGGAGGGTGACGGAGGCGGAGAAGTGCGTGTACAAGATGGAGGTGGGAACCCCGGCGGCGTGCGAGGACGAGGAGCCCGCTGCTCCCAAGGACTCGGGTAAGGACGAGCTGTGAGGCAGGGGGGAAAGGAGTGGGAGTGTATCACAGCGCTTGGCAAAGGTGGCTGAGACGGAGTGCTACAGATGAGATTGGGGGGGGAGCAGTTTGCGATGACGCGTCGGTTGCGGGCGACTTACTATTTACGGAGTATGGAAACTATAGAGCAAAGAACAAAAGAGGTTACCTATGGCGAAGGGATCCCAAGATGTTTGATGCTGAGTGCCGTGGAGAGGGATGACGAGCGTCTGAGGTTTTGCTATTTGAAGGGGTGCTCGTCTACGAGGGCGTTACTGGGAGACTGTGAGGCCCATAGTAGGTACAAGTGACTGGCTGCCGGTGCTTGGGGTTTTCCAAGAAGAAGAATCAGACGTGTCACGTTCCTCTTCGACGTCGATCTGGCTGCCACGGCTGCATGTGAGAAGAAAGAAGGTTGAGAAGAAAGGAGGTTGAGAAGGGGGGGGACCTCAAAGTTGCAAGCGGTGACACGGGGTGATGGATGACCTCTGCTCATTGACGCCCGTGCAAGCGTGCGTATGCTGGCATGACATGGTGTTGTTACATTGACGGTACCGACGGACGGATTACGGTTTATGTGAGTGTTCTTTTCGGGCAATTGGCACGACATGGATGCACAGACAGATCAGCCTGGGTAGGTAAGGAGAGAGTAAGGTAGTACTGTAAGTCTGTTGACAAGTGACAAGTGAGAGCTGAGAGATTGTTCAAACAACCTCGGTTCTTCAGACCCCCCCAAGCGGGAAAAAAAAAAAAGAAAGGCCACGACTCCAAAACAAACCAGACCACTTTTGATAGCAAAGCCGCCGCTCCATAGAGTAGTAGCTTGCTCAATATAAAATAGTAGATGGAGAAGAAAAGGTCAAGCCACCAGTGACGCCCAGGCACAAGCCGACTGGTCCATGGAGCTGCAAGCGGCGCAAAGCTGAAAAAAAGATAGGTAGGTGAAGCTCCTGTTTATTATGCATTTTCTCACTAACAAGTGTGAGCTTGGCAACGGAGTCGAGGAACTTTTTTAATTTTCTAAAGTCTTGACATTTTTGATGCCCTTGGGAACACTTGCTCCGGATTTATTCGGTCCAGGTGTTAGTGTCCGAGATTGGCGTCCCCCTTCTGAAGAAACAATAGAAGAGATATACATACTAGCTGTCTTAGCATGGACGGCTATAGGGAGAAGGATATAGTGAGTGATGCTAGTTGGAGTGTTAGTCTGTGATGGAGAGAAGGGGGAAGAAAGGGTTGGAGAAAGGTTGAATAGAAAAACAGAGCTTGACCGCATTGGAAGGCCGATGCAAGATTCCGCGCGTTGTCGCGCAGAATCCTGCCTGATTAGGTCACATTGGCTTTTTTTTTAATTTTTAATCCCTTTCGGCTCCGTGTCGGTCGGCGATTACATGGTTGGCTCCGGCCGCTTTTTTTTTCTTTTCTCCTTCACCTTTTCCTTTCTTTTTTTTTTCCCTTTTGATCTTCTATTTTTCTGATATTTTCATTTTCTAATTCTCCTTTTTGGAGATCAAATAATAGCTATATCACATACTCTATCTAAAAGCAGTTTGTTTGATAGAGTTGCCTTGACCGGAAACTGCTCTGTTCAGGTTGTCAGGGAGTAGGAAAGTAGGGAGTAATACAACTACTACTGCAGACTACGACTACATACCTACAACTCATGTCTATACGGGGTATGTACGGAGGTTTGCATAAAAGTCTAGAAGCTCCAATATGGAGCTCCAATATGGACACAAACGGCAACGATCCGATTTAGCAGAGAGACTGACTGACATGCCGTGTGGACCAGACTGACAAGCAACAACCCATCCCTAGCGGCCCAGCATCTCCCGAGATGCCCGCCAGATGGGACTCCTTCTCTCTCACTCTCTCACACATACACATACACACACGCAAACCATACACACAATCATCCCCCCCCCTGTCGCCCCAGTCTCCAACTCTTATCGACTCTCATCTCCATCAGCTCAACTTGGCCGTGTCACCACACACACACACACACACACACACACACACACAGAGAGAGAGAGAGAGAGAGAGAGAGAGAGACAGACAGACAGACGGACAGTACAAAGACGGACATGCTCAGACGAGCCCACAATCTCTCTTACATCTGACCCATCCATCACGTCTTACCTCGTTTCCGTTGGGGCGGCACCATCATAACAGCCTTATCTGATTCTGACTTGACAGCCCTCTGATCCCGTCACATCTTTCGGGGCCCTGTCTACTTCTTACGCCTCTTTTGCCTTCCTTTGAGTTTGCCCTTACCTCACTACCCTGGCCGAAACGGGATCCCGAGGCTGCGGTCAGACGGGCGTCTTTCGCTGATTCAAGTCCTTTTTGTTGGTATCTTGCGACCAACTCTTGAAAAAGCACAGACTCTTCGGGCCTAACATTAATACCAAACCGGGCCTTGTTCATATGTTGGCTTCTGCCACTGTCCTTTGCCAACAAGGCATATCAGTCTCCATATAAGACAACGCTCTTACTCTTCTTTCTTTCACAAACTCGGCCACTCCATCTCATCTCCTTTTCTCCGTCATAAGCCCCCTTTCCACTATAAATCATCACTGCTCTCATCATCACAAACACCATGGACAAAGCAGCAGCAGCAGCAGCAACCCCCCCAGCCCAAAACGCCGGCTCCTCCACATACACCCCCTTCCTCCTCAAGCTCTACGACCTCGTCGTCCTCAGCATCTCCAACTCGTACGCCTGGCACTGCTCCACCACGGCCGTCCAGCTGCCCCTGTTCCAGTCCTCCCTCGGCCGCCGGCATCTCGACGTCGGCGTCGGCACGGGCTACTATCCCGCCCACGCCCTCAAGTCCTCCAGCACCAACAACACCAGCACCAACGACAAGACGACGACGACGACGACGCCCTGCCGCGAAATCGTCCTCCTCGACCTCAACCCCCACACGCTCGACCTCGCCGCCGCCCGCATCGCCGCCGCCCAGCCCGCCGTCAAAATCCGCTCCGTCGTCGCCGACGTCACCGACCCCGCGACTCTCCTCCCAGCGCTGCCCCCCAGCGAGGAGAAGTTTGATTCCATCAGCGTCTTCTATCTACTGCATTGTCTAGCGGGCCCGCCAGAGAGCAAGAACCGCGTGTTTGACCTGTTGAGGGAGTATGTTGCCGATGAAGGCGTCCTGGTCGGGACGACCATCTTGGGGGAGGAGAGGCCGATGAACTGGCTGGCGAGACGGCTGATGACGATTTACAATTCAAAGGGCATCTTTGATAATTGGAAGGACACGAGGGCCGTGTTTGAGGAGGGGCTGAGGAGGAATTTCGGAGAGGTGGATGTGCAGATTATTGGGAGGACGATGGTGTTTACCGCGAGGAGACCTATCAGGGCTTCGTCATGATGAAAGCTGGTTTATCTTGGGGGAGATGCTCGAGCATGATGATTTGCTGCTTTACAGAGGAGAGGATATGCTAGGGTTTATTTTTTTTTTTTTTTTTTTTTAATTGGACCAGCACATACATACATTCAACATGGGGGGAAAAGACGACATGCATACTGCTTTGATAGGAAGCAACCGGTGGCGTTTGGTTGGGGAGACACGATACATGGAAAGTTTTTGATACCTCTTCTTAGAATTGACTCTGCCAGTCCTACAAGCAAAAAACATTTAGTAATTAATGGCATATACAATATCAAGAAATAAGCATCACCGTAACACAAAAAAAAAGTGCAAATATCAGTCTGACAGCCTAACTTCTCTTCCTCTCCCCCCCCCTTGACAATAACCACCCTACTCCCAAAACACACACACACCGCACCAATCACCCTAGATTCATGCCCAACCACTTTGTAGCAGTCCAATGAAAACAGCCTCTCTCTCGGAGCAAGACTCCCTTTTTCTTCTCTCATGCCCTTAGCTTCCCGCTGCCAAAAGCTGAAATGCATAGGGGCGGGGTCCGGGGTCCTCCCATGCAGCCCGACATTTCAGCTCTGAAACCGCCCTTTGCTAAATTTTCCGTCGTCCGTTGAACATTGTCATGTGTCAAGCCCTTTCGAATCTCCAGGACTACTCTTCTTTTCTGTTAAAAGGTAAAATAGATTCTTCAGATCCTAGTGATGGAAAGTGAACATGTCGTCCACTGCTGTTATCAAAGCCCAGAACACACCTGGACATGCGTCCGTTAACATACCCAGACAATCTATACCCCAGTTAAAAAAATACGAAACATAATACATACATTCCCGCCAATAACCGTGTTATCCATCCCATCTAGTCTGTCAAAAAAATCAAAATCAAAGTTACCCCAATACCTTGTATTACCTATAAAAGTATCAATCCGCGCCGCAACTCCTTTCCGTCCAACCCTCCCTTGCAGCATCCTCCCGTCACGGGGCAGTGTTGCGTCAGTGGACTTTCGAACACGGCTGGTGGACCTTTTTTGCTTATTTTCCTTCACCGTTCTTCTCATTCATTCTTTTGGAAAGGATGATGATGATGATGTGAATGTCACTGTTTGTCATGATGGTGAGCATATATCCCGTCTGATGTAAGAAACGCCGCTGGAGACATGCTGCCAATCCGTGCCCTCCTCTGTCTGGAGCTCTTGTGGCTTTCTGTTCATTCACATGTACAAAAAAAACCTCGCGAAACAAAGTCACAGAGACTGTGCAAGTAATAACACCGTAACAAGACACTGCTTATCACAGTAACCCATTCAAAAGCCCACGTCCCCTGAACCCGCCGTCTTGCCTCTCTCTGCCTCGGGACTTCTACAATCGTACCTAGTAAGCCATCATCAATTACTTCCCAACCGCCTAACCAAAAGACCCTTTCAATCACGAATCCCACATGATCCAGGAAAGGTGAAGAATATAATCTTCGTAGCTTTCATACCAACTCCATCCCACAAGCCCAAATCAGGGAGGTCAACTCGTTCCCAACAAAACATACTTCCCGCTCACGCTTATCACAATGACATTTTTTCCTTCCCGTGCCGTCTCTCTTTTACCATGCCCCATAATATGTAGGTTGCTTATCGCTTCTGTCTGATTTAATAAAACCTGCCAAGCGTTATAGAGGAGTCTCTCCGCTCCTTCTGGTGCCTGGTGAAAATAAATGCACAGCTCTTGAGACGCGGATAACAGCGGCCCTCACTCTCTCGATGACGAACAGATGTGACAACCTTTGGTTCAGAAAGACAATGATCAGGGGCTTGACCATAACCATTACCAAGTCTCTCGTTGAGGCAGGATACGGAACAGAGCATAAGCAAAGGCGCAAAAAGAGCAAAAGGAAAAGTTAAAATCTCATACCTCAGCACAGCCGAAACGGGCAACAGGAAACCCTGCAAGATCTGACCGGGCACAGAAAGCTTCAAAACAGACAACTCCCGTGCCCAATCAAATCCCAGCGTCAGAAACAAAAACAAACTTCAAGCGAGCAGTGCCCCTTGTTGGATATGGATATTTCCCGCCTTGCTTACTCCGTAAGCTAATTCCATAGGGCTGCTTACCAATTACGCATACATCAAGTGTGAATTCGAATTTGATACTCTCACTACTTTGATCATGCTAGTAGTTGAAAAAACCAAGAGCTTCGAATCACGAATTCTACTGTCCGATGATTGCCGGTTGCGGGACGGTTTTATACGTAGAATGTAACGTGGCTTCGTAGCTCGGGTGTGAACCCCTGGACCACGCTACACCCGTAACATTCAATACCTCCTCGTTGGGTGTCGAGGAGAAATCAAAGGCGGAGAAGATATGCTCATGCTTACCTGCTGTGAACAACCTAGTCAAGAAGCATCAAGGAGAGAAAACTCGCTCACCTTCTAGCAGACAATGCAATGACCTTCGCTGCCATAGTCCTCAAGTGAACCCTAACTCACACAGAGTGATAGCGGATAGAAGCAACTGCATTCAAGACTCATAGCGAAAAGAAAACAAAAAAAAAATACCCTGCTCGCTCATGACGATTACAATTATAACCCCAGGCCGGCCCAAACTGCCATAGCCAAAAGCACTATCCTCCTTCCAAACTCCCGTCATGCTCAAGCAAGAAGAAGAAGACGAGGCGCAGCCGTGTGCGCCCTCGTTGATCCCGCTGTCCAAATATTCCCCTCAAATCCCCCGAACCCTCATGTTGAAGCCCTGCCCTGCTCAGACGACGACAAGGCACACGCTGGCACCAACAATGGATCAAAATCCATGCTCGCTATCCGTTTCCACTCAGTTCCCATCCCTCCCACCTTGGCTGCGTCCTTTGGACTACCAGAAGCTACACCATCCAATATAGTGTTGACACAGATTCTCCAACTTGGTAGCCTCAATGATGAGCTTGTTCACCTGGTTGATGACGTCTAGTTCCTCATTAGGCTTGAAGTCGCGTCCCGTAAGCTTCTGAGATACTCGGTCGAGCACCTCAATCGCCCTGGCGTTTTGGCTCTCTCTCTCCTCCGCGCCGTTGGCCTGCGCGCCTTCTGGAACCGCCGAGCTGTTCGTGCGGGCCCTGTTCCTAGCCATGGGGGGCGCTGAAGCCTCGACGTTTGCCATGAGTTCAGAAGGAGCCACGTCGGCGTCCAGGATGGACTGGCGTCGCGCTCGCATGGCGTGCGGACCGGCCAGCGCCACTTCGCGTTCAGAACGGAAGTTGGGGCCAGTTGGAGAGGCCGCATTGGTAAGTCTCCAGGTGAGCAGAGGGTCGTGAATGAACTGTAAAAAAGATGATTAGCCAGGGGCCCCCTTTTTTTTTTTTCTTTTTTTTTTTTATGAGAGGTAAACCGCTGTGGTTTCACTTACCGCTTCCAACACAGCCATGACGCTCTCCTTGTTGTCTCGCAACACCCTCATGACGTGCTCGCATGTGATTCTGAAACTTCCCTCGATGTTGCTAACCTCCATAGCATACGTCAACATGCGAGTCAGTCGGAAAGGCACCCTCTCGGGATATTTTTCGCGCTTCGTGGCAACCTCGAAGCAGTCGCCAAAGTCAATGTGAATGATCTTGCCGGTCACGCGGTCCAGCATCAGATTCGAAGGGTGGCGATCTCCCAGACCCAGGATGTAGCCGACCATGGACATGACGCCCAAGGAGCGGGTGTAGTTTGTCCGCCGCTCCAGCCAGGCCTCGGATGACTTGGACTTGAGCCACAAGACTCGGTAAAGGTCCTGCCCGGTGGTGTTGTCCAGGGCATACCCAAACACCTCCACCTTTTGCATGAGCGTGAGGTTGTCGTAGTCGGGCGCCATCTGCAGCATGATCCGATGTTCAATGTTGAGCAGGATCTTGCGGCTTTCGCGGTACTCTCGGATGAGCACGTGCAAAGTGTCACTGTTCGGGACCCAGCCCAGCAATCCCGAGTTCTGCGACAGCGGAATGGCAGGGTAGCGCTGGATGTTGAGGTGCCGCTTGTAGCACTCCGAGTCGTTTGCCAGCAGCGTGTTGCAAAGGCCAAACAGCTGCATCACGCGCTCGTCCTGCCGGATATCCTCGTGGCCCTTGAGCAAAAAGGCGTACGAGACGCCATCGCTGCCGTTAATGTTAAGCTTTCTCGGCCTCTGCTTCGAGTTGATGACAGTAAAGGTCGAATCGAAGGACATTATCCTCACGATGGGCTGCCCACTCCTGTATGTTCCCGGAACGGCTAGATCGAGGTCCCTGGCGTTCAGCAGCTTAGGAGAGCAGTATGTAAGCTCAAGGCTTGTGACCTGAGGCAGCTGCCTGGTGATTCGGCGAAACACTTGATAATACAGATCCCAGGCTTGGTTCAGGTCATTGACATCTCTGCTCGTCTCGTACTGGTGGCACCAGTCTTGCGCCTCTTTGAGGTCGCGCCCAAAGGCCTGCGCGAATGATATCTCCCGAAGGGTCTCCGGCCCTCTCTCCAGCTGTTCGTGCAGCGGCTCCAGTGCCGCAAACATGCCCTCGATGTTGTGATCGCCAAAGTACAGGCGCGAGGCCTCCTCCAGACCCTCGTGCCAGAGCTCGTGCCACAGCACCGCCACTCGAATGAGCTCATGGCTGACCGTATCTGCCTGGGCGACGAGGTTGGCGCTGTGCTGGCGCATGCTGTCCATGATTTGCGCCGCCGACCTCGACCGTCGACTGTTCTGCCACGACTTCATGGCGACGGTGAGTGGATAGACCAACGCCTGCGGGTGCGCCCGACCCACGTCGGCCAGGAGATTGTGTACCGACTGCTGCACACGCTTGTTTGGCTGATTGATTCTAGCAATGAGTTGAGGTATCACCTCCAGCCAAGTGTCGATGCTGACGTTGGCGAAGCCCTCCGTCACAGCCGTGTTCACGTCCGAGTTGCCTCCGTGCGTGAACCACAGCGTCAACAGACGCAGCGTGTCTTGGAGCGAGCTGCCGGCGGATAGCGCGATGGACTTGAAGAAGCCCTGGATAGCCGGCACGACGTGCTCGATAATCATCGACTGGTCAGCCCTTGTGAGTTGCCCTTCGCCTCTAGCGGCCAAGGTCTGAACAATCTCAAAGTTGGCAAGCGCCCAGGCGTGCCAGGCCTTGTACCAGCGGGGGTTGTACTTGGTGGCCTGCGAGTACGAGGACAGAATGTCCTGGATCTTGGTGTATTGCCAGTCGTCCTTGTTGAGAGCAATCTGCCACTCGCCCTGCCGCAAGTAGCACTTGGCCAGCAGCACCGTCTGGTCGACCAAGGCGCGCTGGGTTTGTGGGCTCATGACGGATGGATCGACTGAATTCTGGAAGCCGTACTCGAGCGGCAAGTTCACTTCGCTTCCCGCTTGAGCAGTGAGGTGAGCCTTTGCGACGTCGAGACGATGGGCCGAGTCGTTGGTGAAGCGCTGCAGGCAGTACAGAGTCCTCTCGGCGGTCCCGGAGGCCTTCATGCTTGGCTGCTGGCCAAGCTCCCATTGGTACTTGAGCATGCCGTAAATGACCTGGGCGGGCGGGACGTTGCGTGGTGCTGCCGCTGCTTGCCTGTCACCCTTAGTGTCGTTCCAGTACGGAATCAAGGCTTCAAGCGGTGCATCAGAGCCAATAAGCTGCTTCAGCGACTTCTCGGCCAGTCCCATGCGGCCCGACTTGCGACAGAGGTTGGCGAACTTGATCCACATGCGAATGTTCTCTGCGGGAGAGATCACCAGGGCACGCAGCCGCAGCATGCGCTGCCAGACCTCCACGTTGCGTTGGCAGCCTTCCAGTCGGGTCTCCCAGGTCTTGCGCATGGTGGCCTGCTTCCTCTCGTCACACTGCTTGTACACAATCAACTCTTCCAGCTCGGCAAGCATCTGCACTCTGACGACGACCTGGTACGCTCGGTTGTACGATTCGCTGACGAGAGCACTGAGTTCGGTATCCAAGCCCTCTCGAGCCTGCTCGATGCAGGCAATAGCCTCCCTAAACTGATTGCGATGCAGGGCGAGGATGGCGCCAAAGAATGATCGATCCGGAGAGTATCTCTTAAGGGACGAGAGGTAGTTATCCATCGAATCCCACTTTCCGAGACCCCAAGCGGCCGCCGTGGCGAGCGGCGCAATCATTCTTTGCACTTCAGGGGCCGAGTTCGCCCATGTGCTGCCGGTCAAGCTGGCGAGCGCGTCCCACTCACCCAAGGCGTGGAGACAGCGCATCTTGCCCATGACAATATCAATGGGGATGGGCTGGTCAGCAGGCACCTCCTTCTCGCGCTTGTTGTACGACGCCAAGGCTTCCTCCCACCGCTCGAGCTTCTCGAACCACGTCTCGCGCAGCTGGATGCCTTCCTTGTACAGTTGAGCTTTCCGCAGAATACCAATGGCGGCGTCCGACTGCTGCAGCTGGTTGTTGATAACAATCAGGGCTTCAACAGCACCACTGCTCTGGTCCTGCAAGAATTCCAACTCCTTGTAGTGCAGGGCCTTTGCGTAGGCGTGACAGCGAGCAGCCTCTCTGCCCAGAACTCTGATGTCGATGGGCAGTGCCTTGTCGTCGTGCTCCATGAACTCGGCCAGGTTGAGCAAGAGGCCCAGCAAATCCGGCGGGACATTTTCCGACTTGATGGCGCTCTCGATATTCTGTATCAACTCGTCCTGGAATTGCTCATACAACTCGCTCCAACATGAGACAAACGCCGAGTTGAAGAGCTCTCGGGCCAAAGGCAGGTACACGCTCGCGAGGCTGGCGCACGCTCTCAGGGCGTGGTTGGGCGACTCCGTGAGAAGCGTAGTGCTGAAGCGTCGTAGCCACTCCTGCCAATCCTCCTTTGTTGACTTCCCCTTGGTGTCCCAGGCAGCCTTGAGGTGAATTGCGTTCATCTCCAGCTTCTTCGTGCCCAGATCCGCAAAGGGCGTCTCATCTCCAATGTCCAACAGTCGTGCGTCTGATGTCAAGTCCTGCGGCAGAACTTCTCCTTTCTGCAGCTTGCTGACAAGGAGATCATAGTTCTGATGTTGGATCTGGTGCTGGTTGATGACCTTATTCACAGTTCCCATAAAATGGATATAGTCCCTTCCAAGCTGCTGCACCAGGGCGCAGAGGGTATCGAGTGCAGCCAGCCTCAACGTCGGCTCTCCCATATCAAGCACTCTCGTCAGAGGATGGATAATCTTGGCCGCAAAATCGTTCAGGTTCACCTGGCGGGATATCTTGCCAATGGTGTCGATCGCTTGCTTCCTGATAAAGGTTGGCTGTCCCTGCTTTTCAAAGGTCCTGACAATCACGGGAATGATGAGGTGCATGTATTCTTCCGCACTCGCTCCAAAGACCAGAAATGCGTGCAATACCTTCTCAGAGGGTGTTCGCTTTGTGGACACATCCTTGTCCAGTACTCCAAGCATCAGAGGGAGGAGTGAAGCCAGGTAGATCTTGAACTCGCCCTCGAGAGATCGAGAGATGGCCTCGACCAGGGAAAGGATCGTAGTCTGCAATGAGCCGGACTTGTGCCAGTATTCCTGTAGTATGTCCACGATTTCAGGGAGGTAGTTCCGGATGTGCTGTCGTACAATGCTGACCAACGTCGCAAGCTGGTTAAAGTATGACTCTAAGCGTGTAGGAGGGCACGATCGAATGACAAGTAGAAATGCAGGGACGATTCTATCCAAGAACGACACGCATTCCAATCCCAGAGTTCGAAAGATGTTCATAATCGCCTCGATGACTGCAGCATGATGTTGCGCCAGGGAGTGGTCCTTGAGAATTTGGAGGAGCGCGTTGATGACAACGGTCGGGAAATACTCCTTGTTAGACGGGGTCAATCCAGTCATCATCAACGATATATCCGTCAACTGGTTAGACTCTGAGCGTCGTTGCGAATCGGGCGTCTTTTCCTCGACCTGCTGCATCCTGCAATTAGCCAACTCAACGTTCTTCTCTAGATGCTCTTTGGGAAAGGGGGTGGTTATGTAGGGAGAAAGGGGCCCGCTGTGCTCACCTGATGTTTGTACGGATCCAGCGCACCCAAGATACCCATCAGCTTGATGGTCTCTTGGCGCAAGGGCCCTCTCTGATCTTCTGTCCTAATGATGGCTTGTAGAATTTCCAACAATTGGGGATACTCTAAGTATGGTTGAATGACATATCCTGAATTGCTCGCCAGCTGGCCTAGGGAGTGGAGGGCCGCCTCTCGCTTGATGTTTGAGCTTTGATCTTGCAGAGCATCGATAACGAGCGGCATCAGACGATCTTTGTATGGCAGCATATCCTCGCCGCCGACAGTAGCCAGCTCTCCGATGGCCTTTAGGATGGTGGCAGCGACCGTTGGGCTAGGGTCACTGGCCTTGGGGAGAAGAACGGAGATCATCGGCTCGACATATGGCTTGATGAGCGACTGTGCGTTTTGAACCAAGAGGCTCAGGAGCTTAGCGCTCTCCTCCTTATTCCGGGCCACATCGGAGAACTCGAGTTCGGTAAGCATCTGGATGAGGGTCTTGCGCAGGGACGGAATAACATATGCCGGGTTGTATCTCGCAAGGCGACCGATGATTGAAATCGCTACCTCTCTGATGGAGAAGACCTCGTCGTTGAGCGCGAAGAACAGGATCCGAATGTTTTCCGCCTTGGCCAGGTGACGATCGAATCGTTCGTCGAGAGCGGCTAGCACCGTTCGCCGAATGTTTGGCTCCGGGTCGGAAATTCCCACGGTGAGCAGCTTTTCGATCACGTCTCCAACGACCTGCAGCGCATGATAACTAGTCTGGTTGACAATCGGATCCCGAACGTAGAGCTGACAGCAAGTGAGAGCCGCGGCCTCTCGAATTTCCGGATCTTCGTCCTCAACGTACTTGATAGCGACGTCTCGGACAAACTCGTTGAGAACGTGGCCGGAGAAGTCGAAGCTCCCCAGAGTGTTCAAGGCAAGCTTGATCTCCGTCTTGCGGTTTTCATATGCTTGCGGATCTTTGGCGTCTTTGGTGATTGTGGGCACCGCGGTCAGAGTGTTTGGCTGGGGCGCGCCGAGAGGCTTGAAGGGTTCGCCACAAAGGACGATGCTCAGCATGTCCAGTAGCCTCTCCTGGATAATGGGCTTGACGGGAGGGATATAGAACGCCATGTCGACCAAGGCTTGCGTCAATTTGGGCGTCAAGTCGCAGGCAAAGATGGGGTCAAGAAGGGCTTCCATGTATTTGCTGAGCGTCTGGCCGACGGCGACGGCAAGGCGGCTGATGCAGTCAAAGACCGGATCCACGGAGCCCCTCTTGCGAGACTGCACGCTGAGGCCTTCTCTCACGTAGATGAGAACGCCGTCCAGATAAGGGGCAATGGCGCTCTTGACGGAGTTTGCGATGTTTCCGATGGCGAGGAAAGCATCATTGCGCTCCTTGTCCTTCTTCAACATGCCAGAAAGATAGACCATGAACTTGTGGAGCCATGACTGGGCGAAGTCGGCTGGTGAGTAGCTAGCCAGGTCCGGTATCAGCAGCACCACCGTCTTTCGCGTGACCGGATCGCGGTGATCCTTGTGCTTGAAGACGATCTCGCAAGCCTCCTGGTAATGCTCCTGCATGAACATGCCTCCCTGTTCCAGGAGCTCCTTCAACACAAGCAATGAGGCGTGGATTGACTCGACCGTGTTGACTTTGAGACCCTGTCTCGCCTCGTTGTAGATCTTGCTCATCCATATCTGCTTCATCTCCTGGTCTCGCTCGCGAATGATGCGGAAGCAGGCGCTGACGGTCTCAGCAGAGGTTTCACGGATGAGCTGCCTCTGATCGCGAAGGCCAACCCAGATCCAGTCGAAAATGGTTGGGATATACTGATACATGAGGGTAGGGGCATTCCGCGCGAGCTCACGCAGGACGAGCACGGCGCTGTATCGACGCTCCTCGACTCGGTCGTTCTGCAGCCACTCGAGCGCGGTATTCACCTCGGAATCGACCAGCTCTGAGATCATGGCCCCTCCTGGGCGGCAAAGTTTCCCTAAAGCAATCGCAGCATGCCGCATAGGCATGGTGTCCTTGCCACGGAGGATGGTTTTAAGGTTCTGAGTGAATCGGGTGTACTTTGCCGCCACGTCGACGCCCTCGAAGTCGACGAGGGCGTCCAGGGCATAGATGCCGCCCAGCCTCTCCGCAGAGTCGCTGCCATGTGTGATGAGCTGGGTGATCTTGTTGTTGACGTTGTTGTAGAAGGTGAGGAACTGCTCGGGGCTGAGGTCTGCACGGCGGTTAATGGGACGGCTCTGGAGACGTCGGAGAAGGGGCTCGACACGGCCTTACCTCGGTGGCACACAGTCACCAGCTCTCGAAGTTGGATTGCGGCTCGTTTGCGCACGTCATCGTTGGCTCTGGGGGCGGGCATCTGGTCAGCGGCGTCATTCTTCCATCAACCACCATGGGCAAAGCATCCCCCTCCATCGTGCGGGCCCTCACCTTGACCGCAATCCCCTCGTGATGTAGTCGAGTCGCTCAAGGGCGACCTGCTGTGCCTGCGCCATCGTCCCCGAGTCGGCTGGAGCTTCAACAGAAGCACCGCATGTACCGCACCAGCGCTGGAGTCCGCAGAGGGGCGACTACGAGGTCGAGGTCGAGAGCGCAATCAAAAGCGCACTCAGGAAACGGAATGACGCGCGATAGACGTCGCTGCTGCGAAGGAGATAAAAGATTCGTAGAGGGTCGCCGTGGGGGGGGATAACGATAGAGGGTTGTGACACAAACGAAAGGAATGCCTCGCTGGCAACCCAAGGTCACGTTGTCATGATGCCCCCGACAAGCTGCCTTGTCGGATTAATGAAGGTTGGGTAGGACAAGGAAAGGCCCGTTAGCTTCAGAGCTTGGAGGATTGAATCACTGCGCGTTTGCCGGCACTATACAGGCACTGTATGCTGCGGGGAGCGTGTGGGGGAATTCTACAGTTTGTGAGACTGGGTGCTAGCACGGAGCTGGCACATGAGGCTCGGAAAGTGCTATCGATAACGGCAGAGGTGGGCCGCTAGCATCTCACCTGCACGGCTAGCTCAAGGCACCTCTTCAGTCCCAATCACAGCCTTTCTTCCGAGTTCCGCCACAAGCAAACGCATTTCTAAACATCGTTTCCAATTGCCGCCACCGCAAGCGACGATTCAGCACACAGACCTGATCCCGAAACCTGATTCATCGCATACAATCGTCACGGCCAGCAGCCATGGGTAACGACGGCGGCTCCATCCCCAAGCGCCGCGAGCTCGTCAAGAACGCGGCGCGTGCCCCTACAGTCTCAGAAATGAAGGCGACAGCCCTCGAGTCTCTCGCCCATGCGTGGGCTCACTGCGCCCTCAGCGACACGCCGCTCGACTTTGATTCTGTCGTTTCGGACTGGCGGGGGCGATTATACAACTACGAAGCCATCCTCAACGGACTGATGCCCTCCGATGACCCCAACGAAGTGACCCCGGCAGCCCTGGGCATCCGCTCGCTGCGCGATGTGGTGAAGCTCAAGTTTTCCAAGACTGGCGACAAATGGGCTTGCCCGATATCCATGAAGGAGATGGGACCGGCGACAAAGGCCGTCTATCTGGTGCCGTGTGGCCACGTATTTGCAGAGGTTGCCATTACAGAGATCAAAGCAGAGGCCTGCCCAGAGTGTGGAGAAGCCTTCACCCAGGAGAATGTGATTTCTATCCTGCCAACTGCTGAGAAAGAACTAGACAGGTTGCAGAAGCGCATAGAAGACTTGCAGGCAAACGGCCTGACTCATACGCTCAAGAAGGGCAAGTCGGAGAAGAAGAAGAAGCGGAAGGCCGGAGAGGCGGCAGAGGAGGAGGAGGGAAGCGCAGAGAAGAAGGACGAAAAGGCCAAGAAGAGCGATGCCAGCCGCGCGAAGAAAGAACCCGACGCGAGGATCAAAGGTATCAACAACTCGATGGCGGCGACGTTGACGGCTCGAGTACTAGCAGAGCAAGACGAAAGGAACAAGCGCAGAAAGCTAGCCCAGGCGGTTTCGTGAGTAGTTGGTAGCGGACTACTTGGACGGATCTGTTAGACCTTGTCGCATTACATACCATAGAGATTGATGAATGAATGATACCCCTTTTCTTTCAGACTACTTAGGTACTATAGTTGTGGCCTTGATGCTCGAGTCGAGTCCCTTGGTGAGTGTTGGTAGGCTAGCCACCAGCTTGCCCACACGTCACTCGCAGAGATAACAGAAGTTGAGGCTCAAGTGATTCTAGAACCCATTGTACATGCTAGAGTGCATCCAAGAATAGCAAGGAGCCCAGCAAACTCAAGAATGCGCCCGTCTGATAGCCAACCCAAGCAGCACGAGCCCGAAGCACCCTGCCTTAGTCTGCATCCTTCAAGAGCGCTGGCCAGCCAGCGTGTCATGACATTGGACGCTCAAAACCGAAGCCTAGGTATCAATCGTCAATATGTGTACAAACTAGTTGCTACCAAATAATGAAACATTCTGATTTTACAAGAAATCGACATCCATCCCGTATCTGCATGCATCTTATCGTACAAATATAGCTATCTATGCTTCGTATCCGTCCCCGGCTCGTTCGTCCCGACCTCACGCCCGCCTGGCTGTCGACCCGCTGCCTTGTACACCAGCGGAACTCTGCGACATGTACCGCTCCAGCTCAGCTGCATCGCCCTCAAATCCCGGGCCTGGAGTCGCCGCATTGTACGATCGCGCCACCAGGCGATCTGGGACGCCTGTCCTGTCGTAGAGAAACCTGGAGAGCATGGCTGTGCTGCGGACGATCAATGGCGTGCGTTAGCGGACGTAGCCGAGTTTATGCGGTTGCCAGTGAATGCTTGGGGGGGATGGAGCCCCGGGAGCTAGCGGTGGCTAGCGGCTGTAGGGGCATAGACTCACCTGGAGGGGGAGCGGCTTGAGGCTCCGGGTCCAGCTGAGTGCGTGGTGCCGTTGTGCTGGGTCTGGTTGGTCGGCTGCTGAGAGCTCATGGTTGAGTGGTTGTGAGATGGAGTTGTGAACTGTTCTATCTCGAAGACTTGACAACTCGAGAATGCCGTGATTGTGTCGATATTATGATTCTATCTCGGTTTAACTAGCTGCGTCGCAATATACATCTCTTGCTCGATAACAAGTCCCTTTCATCTCTTTATACTGAACATGCTGGAAGTTGAATTGATATTGTCTTAGCCGCTACCGACCTCCAGTACCTCTGCAAAGCAACCTGAAGCTGGAGCTTACAAGCCATGATACCCGCATCTACCTGCGCAAAGTTGAGCCCAAGGCAACAGACAGCAGAGTCTCAAGGCCTGAAAATCAAGGCCCATCCAAGGCCTCCGTGATTCTCCCGTTCGTCTCCATGAGCCAACAAGAAGACAGGAACCAAAAGAGATGCCAGATAAACAGGGCATCAAAATGGAGAGCAAGTCCACGGCAGCCGCCATCAGTCACCGACAAGGCAGGAGCTCTCGACTTGTCCCACGCTATTTCTATTTTCATCCCTCCTCATCTGCCCCGTCTGGCCATTATCAAGACTTCAACTGTTATCGTTCTTCCACCATCATCATCAGCAGCAACCATAACAGCGGCGACTCGAAATTGCGATGAGCACGCACTCCATCCGTCCTGCCTCCGTACGCGCTCAGCTAATGCGCGCCGTCCCGCTGGATCAGAGATTACGGCGCATCCTTCCCAGGGGAGCCATCGAAACAATGGGACGATGACGGACAGCGATCAGCTGGCGCTTACCGGCCAAGACCCCCCCAGCAGCCTCCTCCACACGACGAGATGAGGTGCTCTTCTGGCCTTCTAGGCCGTTCTTGTCCGGTTCCCTCTTGCCGCGTTTGGCTGCCCAGCCAGAGGCATCCCTGGACTGCGACGCCCCATCAGGAGGGCCCCAACAAGATCGATGACCCAGGACTCGGCCACTGACTGGCGTCTGTCAAGATGCGAACCATAGGGCTGCCTTGCCAGATCGTCTCTGCCTGGGTCAGCAGTGCTCCCCATGCAACAGCCGTCACCATGAGCGAATCAGAGGCGCAGCTCCGTGGCTCGTCCCCACGAAGGATGCCGTCGCATGCCCCGGCTGGGCAAAGGCATGGTCCAATGCAAGACACTAGAGCCAGTAGGCAATCGTCCAGGACTGCAGACTGGGGCCTGGCGAAGGCATCCAGGTTGGGGACTTTAGCGGTCCGCGAGGCATTCCCAGCGCCGCGATGTCGCGATACAAAGACGGACGAGGGCCGCCGATATAGTATTAGGCATGTCGCACCTATCGACGACAAGGCGTTCTGGAGAGGCAGCCTCTCTTTCATTTCTCTATTCTCTTCTCTTTCTTTCCTTTGAGTACGCATAAACTTCTGATCTGCATGTAAGTTGGTTTATTTTTCTTACCTCTTCTTTTTGTTTATTTCCCTTTTCTGCTGTCTGCCTTATTCGTCCATCATCGTCTTTCATTATGGCGCCGTGAGCAAAACACTGACACTTGGACAGAGTCTGGTGCTTTCCGCAAGCCAAAATTGCCCTTGTATAACAACAAATTACCGTCCTTAGCACTTCATGACACTACGAAGAGCCAGCTTCTCGGCGGCTCACTCCATGGCCGAAACCCCAATCGAACAGGGAGATCGCAGACCAGGCATCACTGTCAACCACATACCGTTACATTTGCAGCGGGATTCGCGAATCAAAGACTCGCTCAGCGACAAGCCCTTGGCCGCAACTCAGTCCGGAAACGAGAGCCAAAGTCTCTCCGTCACCTTTGGCCAACGGAAACACTTCCCTGAGAGCCTACACTTTCCGCCGAATACATTTCGCCTGCGCTCAAGAACGGCATCGACGAGGAGCAGCATCTCGTCTGCAAACGTGCCCGACTCTGCCACTACCTACTCGCACTCGACGCTGGCCAGCCCCATCAGCACGAGTTACGCCAGCGATCTCAGCGACATCTTCTGCGGCTACCCTGCCGACGCTTCGCGCCCCTCCAGCCGGGTATTTCATCGGCACCGATCCTCCACGGGATCTTGTTCAACTCACGTCAATGACGATGACGACGCCTTCGCTTTTGCAGGATACCCAGACCTCAGCGCGAAGCTAGGGGAGATTCACGTCGCCACGCCAGTCACTCCTGTTCCTGTAGGCGAGGGCGACTGCCTCAAGCAGTCTACAAGGCAAGCACAGAAGATCTGTAGAGGCAGCTCATGAGCTCATGATTATTGACTTGTGCCGTCAGCTCATCAAAGGTCTCTCCCATCAAGGAGGAAGAGGAGAGTCCGACACCCGAAGACTCTCACGAGTGGCCCCAGCTAGAGACGGCTACTCTTGAAACCTCTACCTCGTCCAGGTGGGACACGGCATCATCTGCATCAGATGACGTTTCCTTTCAGGACACTGAGGCCATTCTCGACTATACTCTGCAACTGGTATTTGGAATCGATCTTCAAGAGGAGGCGTCCAAGGTGACCCCGGCGGTGCGAAGCTTGGTTTGCAAGTTTGTCGGCGATGTGGGCAGCTGTTTCTGGACTGCACCGTCAGACGCCGATATGACGCAAGCCATGTCGACCTCAAGCAGCTCATCGACGCCGTCTCAGGGCGGTAGCGGCGCTGGCGACTCTCAGTCCGGAGGCAAGAGAAAGAAGCAAGGCCGAGGGGATGAGGATGAAGGCGAATTCAGCGACGGCGAGGGCCTGGGGTACAATCCTTCCAAGAAAATGCGACCGAACCCCAAGGATGAGGAGAATCTGCGCCTGAGCTGTCCTTATAGAAAGAGGAACCCTTCGCGTTTCAATGTCAGGGACCACCATAGCTGTGCCATGACATACTTTCCCAAGTTTGCTGAGCTGAGGTACGCAAAATCACTCGATAATTCTCTCGCATACGCAGCTCATATGCCTATCAAACGATGCTGACACTTTCCGCGCAGGCAGCACATTGTCAAACAGCACAAACGAGATGACCCGTCCGCGTTCGTTTGCGACAGATGCAACCGCGATTTCCACACCCGCAAAGAGCTTCGCGATCACCAGCGCCTGCCTAAGGAGATGATGTGCGACATTCTGGACCACGATCCCGAGTCTGGCGTGGACGGAACTACCTCGATCAAGCTGTTGTCTCGCAAAAGGGTCAGCGGCGCTTCTCCCGAGGCACAGTGGAAGGAGATTTGGAACATTCTCTTTCCAGACGATGAGGACCACCAGATCCATCAATACCGTAAGTTGTCAAGCCCTCGGTGAAGAGCCTTGGGAACGTGCAAACACACGCTAACGTCGGCTTGCAGATTTTACGCCCGTCATTGAGCACTTTGAGCTCTCCAATTACTACATGTCCTCGTTCGAGGCCTTGCATTCTTCGCTGCGCGACAAGATTTCGAATCCTCAGACGCTGGAGACGCTGACAACCAAGTTCCATCAGTGCTTCATAGAGGCCGTGGAACGATGCATCGGCGCCGCTCAGAGCATGCCCTACGCGAATCGCAGCAACAAGAGAAGCGAGCCACCTCGAGCACAGAACTTCCAGACCATGGTACCTCGAAAGGGGAGAGATATACTCCCCCGCCCCGATTCTGGGGTGGTCATGATGAGTGACGAGTGCTCGGAGGAAAGCAACAGCATCAGAAACTCTGCCCTCAGCGGCCCTCGAGACAATGTGCGGACCGTTATCAAGGAGGATATCCGAAGGCGCGGGAGCAACCTGGCCCTCGATCCCCCGGCACTGCCTACGCCGTCGGCAGTGGCAATGATGGACCATAGCTTCTCAAGTCACATGTCGTTTATGCCTCCGATGGGCGTCAGCGGCTCGATGAACCCTGTAGCTGTCCAGTCCTGGAACAACAACGTGGCGGACCCCAATGATGGAGACATTGGCAACAGCTTTCCGATGACGGACCACTTCTATGCCCCCGGGGAGCTCACACCACATGGAGACTTGGGGAACTGGGACGAAGGGTATTATCAGTCGTTTCAGGGCTTGGGCGATCGATTCCACGGCTTTGGCGGGGGGCTGAACTGATGCATCCTTGATTTACTGATGATTCATACATCAACCGGCATCTGACGACTTGTATCAATAACTGTACTATTAGCCATTTGCATTTACTCGCACAAGCAGACTACATATATAAGTAGCTAATTAATATCTTGCATAAGTTGAAATGAAGCATTCTACTGGCTTGATATTTTTCTCTGCTCAGTTGCAGCCCTGCTACCATGCTGCTTGGAACCAAGGCAAGGAACTGCATCGTAGCGTTGCGAAGCTGGAGAGGGGCAATGGGGTGAATGTGTCTGGCTCGCTACAACTTCACAGGGACTTTAGACTGTATCTCCTCTTCACTTGATGATCATTATCGTACAAATCCATGTCATTTACATCTTCAACTACAGATACAGATGTCAAGCCTAACTTATCCAAAGTCTTTATCAACGCATCTAATACCTCCACTGGAAAGCCGGATGCTTCCAGTCCAAGGCCTCAACCTGCTCCTGCGTCAAGCCTCTCAACTCAGCATCAACATCCTTGCTCCCCCTCTTCTTGTTGTCGCGCTTCATCCACAACAGCGTCACCGTGCTCAACACCAGAATGGTCCCAGACGTAGCCAGGTTGAGCCCGTTTCCAATGTGATAGTTCGGGGCGTCAAACGGGAGGAAAGCCCAGGAGCTGATCAGCCCCCCAATGTTCGCAGCCATGACATTGGTCGCAATGGCCGCGCTGCGCGCAGTATCGCCAACGACGTTTGCAGCAACTTGAGCGTTTGTCAGGGCGCCAAAGGAGAAAGCCGAGGAGGCGATGAGAAAGGTCGCGCCGTAGCGGACCTTTGGCTCCGTGGTGCCGAGGAACATTGCGTATCCGACCATGACCATGGGGGCGGAGGCGATGATGAAGATTTGCCGCCTGTCGAGGCGCCAGCTGAGCAGCGGGAGAAACACTGTGAAGAAGGCGCCGACGACGTAGGGCGGCACGGTGAGCAGCTGCTGGTGGACGGTGGTGGTGCCCCTGAAGAGGGTGGCGACGATGGTGGGCGCGAAGAAGGCGAGCCCCTGGACGGTGATGTTGTTGAGGAGGAAGATGAAGGCGGTGCTGAGGGTGACGGGGTTGAGGATGCCGCGGCGGATCTTGGTGCTGTCCATGCTGTCGAGGAACGAGGTGACGCCGACGCGCTCGGACTTGACGCGGGCGACGGCGAGGTCCCTTTCGGCCTGGGACAGCCAGCGCGCGGTCTCGGGGCGGTCGGTGAGGGTGAAGAAGCCGACGATGCCGAGGCCGATGGTGATGATGCCCTCGACGACGAAGATCATGCGCCAGGAGCGCACGCCGCCGACGTGGTCGAGCTTGAGGATGGCCGAGGCCAGGAGGCCCCCGAAGGCGCCGGCGAGGGGGGACATGACAATGTACAGCGACAGGCGGAAGGCGAGCTCCGAGCGGCGGTACCAGCGGGAGAGGTAGTACGCCGTTCCGGGCATCATGCCGGCCTCGAAGATGCCGAGCAGGAAGCGCACGCCCGCGGCCTGGCTCATGGTGTTGACGTAGGCCGTGGCGATGGAGCAGGCGCCGAAGAGGATGGTGGTCAGGGGCAGGAACCAGCCGGGGCCGACGGCCTTGCAGGCCAGCGTGGCGGGGATCTCAAAGACGATGTAGGAGATGAAGAAGATGGAGATGATGGCGTTGTAGTCGTTGCCCTGGAGGTGGAGGTCGCTTGCGAGGCCGGCGATTTTGGCATTGCCTGCGGGATGACAATTGTGAAGGGTTTCGTCAGAGGCCATGTTTTGTCTTGATGAAGATCTGATTTGATATGAAATACGAGAGAGAGAGCATTTTACCAATGTTGGAGCGGTCGATGAAGCAAAAGAGATAGAGCAGCGACACGGTTGGGACGATGAAGAGGTCGATTTTCAACCGCAGCTTGCGTTCGGCAACGGGGTCGTAGGCGACGAGGGCTTCGCCGTATCTTTAACGCATCATTCAAACTGATTAGCAATCTGTCAAAGTTGACCATGTGGCCCATTCGACTCATATAGAGTCTGCGAGCCTCTTGTCGAGGAGTTTAGAACCGCTTCTCACTGATCAGTAGCGGCTTGGCCCTTTTCCGCTGCCTGGTGGACGTCCCGCGTCATCATTTCGGCCTTGGTCTTGGTTTCGGGGGCCATCTTGACAATCATTCTGAGTAAGACAATCCCATCTGCTTGGTCCTTGCGAAGTCTACAACATTGAGGTTGAAATGAGTTGAAGAGAGCTCCCTTCCGCGTGTGAGGGATGGAGGGAAAAAATCTCACGAGCGAAGGAACTCCGACACTTATAAGAGAAAAATTGCACTAGTATGACCCAACTAACTGCATAGAAGCTGTATCTGCATCAAATCCAGAGTAACATGCAGATCGGTTCTGCTTCGCTCAGCCAAGAGAGCGTAATTCTCCCGGGATGTGACATGGCAGCTCTCATTCTGCTGCTCTACGCCTCCTATTCCATGTAAGCCAGGCAGGGGGGGGTGGTGGTTAGCTGGTTCTTGCATAGGACAGTATGTATGTTTTCATGAAGACGGCTTGGAAATGCAACCCAAAAGGAGGAATAGCCGCTATGAGCTGGGCCAACAACACCTTTCCCTGCATCTAGAACCCATCCACTACAGAGAATCACCACTCACGATTCCGCAAAGTTCGGTACTGGGACGCGGCTGTCAAGCATCCTCTCGGTATCAATCTCTAAAGAGCATTAGATCGAAAGACAAGGATAGGCAGCTAGAAGACTTGAGTAGCGTGCGCCATCTCCGCATCTCCCTCCGCATCGATCCCCATTGCCGTGCTCAACCACCGAAGCCTAAGGCGGATAAAGTCGCTGCTAAGACGGCCCGCGACGAATCAGGGCATGTTTTCCCCAGGTTTCTTCCAAACTAAGAGAAACAAGAGTATGACATGGGAGATGGAGATTGGGGGGCGGATGGCCAGGGGGGGCGAGCATTTGATCTGGAGAGTAGACTACTATTGAGCCATCACTGGCTTGGCGAACGAGGAGCAATTGCCTACATGTGCACACAGTCCGAGGCGGGGTTGGAGATTGCGAAGGTTTCGACGTTTGTAATTCCAAAGCAAGGCCGGCCATGCTCCGTGTTCAGTACTATGGACGCGTCGCGGAGGGTCAATGAAGACGGCGGATGGCTTCCGGGCTTACGCGGGATGCAGGGTCATGCGAGGCCCAGGTATGTCAAATTCGACGTCGATTCGTTGATACTACAACCACAGGTTCTGGGCATGAAGGACAACGTATCATGGCTAATGGAGATGGGAATAATGATAACCCAGACGCAAGCAAATGTATATGTATGTTGGTAGAGGCCTGTAATAGCAGCGATATACGACCCTGGGCGGAGTAGCGTCACCAGTTTCAGCAGCATATCCTTGTCCGGATGCATGGCGAGAGACGGATGCCTGCTAGCAGGCTTGAATCCCCTCATCGGCGATGTGACCCTTGCGGGTTGGCATCACGATAAGCTAAAGTGGAAGATATTGATTACATGTATCGCGCTGACGGAAAAGGTTCAGCACTATGGAGACATTATTTGATGATGGCATGGGAGTTGGTGAGACAAGGCATATGATGTTCTGCTGAACACATTTAGAAGTATTGTAATACCATTGATGTGTCCCTACCCGTCTTGGTATGGGGTAGAAGAAATAGGCCAGCCCTACGCATACACGAGACGATAGTACATAGTAGTATACGACAACTGCTCTCACTTTATAACACCCCAATCAGCAGTGCGCACAGGTACCTACATACCCTTTAGAGGTAGAATGACAGGTAGGAGTACTTTAGCCTGGGAGCTTAATTTCCGAGTGAGATAAAAGATGCCTCTCGATTATGCCAATCTGACCTACGTGTTTGACACACGACAAGGCGAAGAACATCACCCAATAATACATGTGTTAACCTGGTCTAGTTGTACTACCTTGGATTAACAACAGCTGTGTGTCAAACCGCAAAGACCAATCATAATTCAGCCCATCTAAACAAACTACAATAGTAGCTCGCAATCCAAATCAGCTAGCAGCCATGTTCTGCATCAGTTCATGCACCAGATGCAAAGGGCCCTTCTTCAGGGTAAGGTACATGTAGCTTCCGCATCTCACCATGGAACGTCTTGCAGACTCCGGACTCGCCACACCACAACTCATCCAATCCCGACGCCGCAAAAACACCAGCAGGCAAATCATGTGCGAGCTATCAATCCACGACTCAATGAAAACGAATGATTTGCAGCATCGATCCACGCCCGATAGTCTGATGGCGGAGGCCCATATTCAAGGCTGTGGCCACCTGCTTGGAAATGTCGCGGCGCTGATTGGTCAGCTGCCACACCGCGGTCTGCGAGCCAATCAGCATCGACGCAATCTGACCCAAGGCGAGTGTCATCCGCCAGATGCGGCGAGGCTGAATTGGGATGAGCTTCAGGTACAAAAGAGGTCATTGTCCGTCCCAGGTTGGCTGAATGGTTCTACCTAGAAAGGCATTAACCAAGCATCTCCATCAATTCGCAGTCCAGGAATCATCTTCAGCTTCCTCAGCAATCACCAACTCCTCCCTCATTCTCATCACACACACACAACACACACACAGACAAAATCAACACCACCAAAAATGACTACAGCCAAGGCCTCCACCTGCTGCCGCAAGGGCACCGACGCCGAATGCGCCTGTGGTAAGCCCTAGCAACCTCAAATTCAACCCTTTTCTCATGTCAACTCGCCAAACTAACAGCACAACAGCCCAAAAGGCCACCTGCTCGTGCGGCAAGCAATCCGCCCTTCACTGCACCTGCGCCAGCGCCTCCTCCGAGAATGCCGTCGATGGCCCGCGCTGCTCGTGCCGCGCTCGTCCCGCCGGCCAGTGCACCTGCGACCGGGCCGCGACCGAGAACGCGCCCGTTTCAGGCTCGACCTGCCAGTGCGGCGCTCGACCAGCCAGTGAGTGACATGCTTGTGAGGTTGGGTTCGGATGTCTCTTGTGAGCTGTATGCTGACTTTGGGGCCGTGTGAAGCTGCGTGTACCTGCGAAAAGGCTGCAGATGGCGGCTACAACCCTGCCAACGAGGTCGACTTTACCAACTACTCCAAATAAGAGGACAGTCTAATACCTCGAAGTGCACTGCTAGACACTCATAGCATCCTGCATGGTCATTCTTTCTTTTTTACTCTTTAATTCATGCGAGACTCGGGTCAAGGGCGGCGTTCAGGGCGGGTTACTGGAATGCAGGACTACTGCTGGTTCTTGATTTGGCTGCAGGCCTTTTTTGCAGCAATATATGGGGTTGCATGCATCTTACGCAGCATTTAGGCACGGGAGAACTGCCCGCTTCGTGCTTGACATGACAAGGAGATTGGCAGGTCGGCCGTCGCCTAATCTGCGGGCACACGGGCTATTTCGGGCTTGGGCTGTGCCATTGTTGTTGTTGTTGCTGTGCTGCATATCGTCATGGCACACTCGACTGATAATCCTGGGAAGGGCGTTTTGGTGGCACCACGTTCCGTCTGAGGCGCTGGATGCTGCGGTGTACGAATCATGTGGTTTCCTTTCTTGTAGCAATAGACAATCAGATCAAAGATCAATCACATCCATCAATAACAAGATGCAGAAACAACAACAATAATAACAATGACCAAGTGATCGTGCTACGTATTCTCAATTGGGAAGAGGCCCAACCCGATGAGTCGCTCGTGAGCACAAAGTGAGAAGCTTCTGAACCAAATCTCATTCATCTGTCAGCACAATCGTGTCCCTTGCTGGCTGAGTGTTGACGTCGGGCTGCGATTCACCGCCCGCGCAAGACTCCGGACGCGCCGCTGATTGGCTGCAGCCAGATTTACTGCCGGACAAACCAAAGGCGGTCATCCGCTTTGGGCAAGAGCTGTGGGAGAGTTCCTACCTTGTGTGGGGCCACTTCTCTGTGCCACCCACCAGGGCTGGGCAAAAAATCTCACCTTGTCGCGTCCTGCCATTGATGTGAGCCGCTGCTATAAGACACTGTAACTGCCATCCCACAGGCCATCGAGCAGCCTGCGCTTCTTTGCCTCCTTCATCATCACTTGCCCTGTTCGTTTCTGCAGCTTCGCACAGCTTCTGGCGCTGCAATTGAAGCCTCCTGGTCACTCACTGCGCGGCTTTTCAGCAGCGTCCCGCCCCCGTCATTTCCTGCCCCCTTCGCTTATCAAGCAACAACACCACCACCACCACCAGCCACAGACAAGCAGCGCGTCGCGATGCCTCCCAAAGCAGCAAAGGCCGCTGCCTCCAAGGCGGCTTCCGACGCCAAAAAGCCCGCCGCGACCAAGACTGGCGCAAAGGCGACTTCAAAGACCGCCGCCGCCGCCTCCAAGGCGACAACAGCCAAGGCCGCCAAGGCCGTCAAGAAGGAGCAGAAACCGGCCAAGGTGGACGCGAAACCCGCCGACAAGGACAACAAGACTGACGACAAGGTCGACGACAAGACCGAGGACGACAAGCCCGAGACGAACGGCGTCGCCACCAACAAGCGAAAGGCTTCAGAGACGGAGAGCGAGAACGAGCAGGACGTTGTCGTGGAGGAGCCCCAGCCCAAGAAGAGCAAGACGGAAAAGGCGCCTCGTGCCGCCGCCGTCCCAAAGGTCAAGAAGTCGGCCTACCCCGAGATTGGCAAGAAGATCAACGACGCTCCCACCCAGGTTCTGGACATTTATGTCTTCGGCGAGGGCACCTCGGGCGAGCTTGGACTGGGCAGCAAGCGCGTCGGCGGCAAGAAGCCCATCGATGTGAAGCGCCCTCGACTCAACGAGAACCTGTCGGCCAAGACCGTCGGCGTTGTGCAGATTGCTTGCGGCGGCATGCACGCCGTCGCCCTCACCCGCGACAACAAGATCCTCACCTGGGGCGTCAACGACCAGGGCGCTCTGGGTCGCGACACGACCTGGGAGGGCGGACTTCGCGATGCCGACAAGGCTGACGACTCCGACTCCGAGGATGAGGACGACACCGGCATCAACCCCAAGGAAAGCACGCCCATTGCCCTCTCCGAGGACAACTTTGCGCCCGGCACCAAGTTCGTCCAGGTCGTTGCCAGTGACAGCGCCTCCTTTGCGCTTACGGAAGACGGACGTGTGTATGGATGGGGCACTTTCCGCTCCAGCGACGGCATTCTGGGCTTCACGGAGAACGTCAGAGTGCAGACGCGGCCCGCGCTCATTGCCGGCCTCAAGAACATCAAGGCTCTCGCCTCCGGCGCCAACCACATCCTCGCCCTCGACCACAAGGGCAACGTCGTCGCCTGGGGCTGCGGCCAGCAGAACCAGCTCGGCCGCCGCATCATCGAGCGCAACAAGATGTCGTCTCTCGTCCCTCAGGGCGTCGGCCTGCCCCGAGGCAAGATTGCCAAGATTGCCTGCGGCTCATACCACAGCTTCGCCATCGACAAGGACGGCGCCGTCTGGGGCTGGGGCCTGAACAACTTTGGCGAGATTGGAGTCGAGAGCAACGCCGGCGAGGACGATGCCGTCATTCTCAAGCCCGTCAAGATCAGCTTCCTCGCCGACCACACCGTCACCAGCATCGAGGGTGGCATTCACCACTCTCTGGCCTGCACCGACAAGGGAGACCTCTTTACTTGGGGCCGTGTCGATGGCTACCAGGTTGGCTTCGAGCTCGAGGAGATTGACAAGGTGGACGAGGAGTATGTCATCCGCGACGAGCGAGGCGCTGCTCGAATCCTGGTCAAGCCCACCAAGCACGAAAGTACGTTGTTCCCCTCTACTTTGTTGACTTTAACTATGCACAGATACTAACCATCTTTCTAGAGCTCTCTGGCATTGTTGCCGTTGCCGCCGGTACCGACAACAGCTTTGCCATTAGCAAGGACGGCAAGGCCTACTCCTGGGGCTTTTCGAGCAACTACCAGACCGGCCAGGGCACCATCGACGACATCCACGTCCCTACCCTGATCGACAACACTGCCACGAGAGACAAGAAGATTATCGGTGCCGGCGCTGGTGGACAGTACTCCGTTCTCATTGGCCTGGCCGAGGACGTTCCCGCTACCAACGGCGAGGCGAATGGCGCCCACTAAACATCGGCCTCTGCTGTGAACAGACAACAACAGACACAAAACTCACAACAACAACAAAAAAAAAGAAAGAGCGTGAAGGGCATTTGAGACGATATTTGGCATCAGCTTGAAGCTATATGGCCTGCGATTCAGTATTCGCAAGATCCCACAAGGAGCGATAGGACTCTCACAAGAGTCACTCTATACGAAGGGAGGTTTTTCTTTTACATGCGTTTGGTTCCCCTCATCGTCTCACCCACCCGCAGAGATGTGTTTTCGAGGGTAAGAACCACTTTGACGGCTGGAGGCTTTTCCCTGTCTCTATATGGCATAGTGACGTGGTGGAATTTCAAGTCACGAACTTATATATAGATGTTTTGCATTGTATAGCTGCAGTCATGACCATTGCGTTTTGTTAGGCGTTGGTGCTGCCACTTTTGCTTTTTTTTTTTCTTCACTTGATTTCTCTGTTCACTGTCTGAGGAAGGGGCTTCTCATATAGTAATAATATTGCTGGTTCTTTCTCTGAGACTCGATGCTGGATGTAGGTTATGTGAAAGGCTGTAGGGTGGTTCCTGAATATCTCCCTACACAGGTATGTAGACAGATCGAGATGCGTGCAGATGATTGTCAGACAGGATTCAGCGCTTTTCGATCAAACGAAGGTTCGTGACCTTTTTTTTTTTCTCTCCCTCTCTCTCTCTATTTCCAACAGACTCTTGCAAGTCATGATCCTGTATTCGTGTCTTGGCAGGATCAAATTTGAAAGACATGCAGTAGGGTTGAGCTTTTGAAGAGATCGATCGACTGGCAGACCTCATGACAGTATCTTATGATACTGGGAATGACCTACCTGCAGATGCCTTATCTACAATTCACATGCAAGGTCACACGATAGCAAGCCTCAAATCGAGACTTGTCTCTTTCCAACCGGCCGTCGAAACTGGGATTGGCTGTATCATTTAGGTACGATACGCAACTAGAGGGACCACACACCAGCAGAGGACAAAACGTGTATAGGCCCTTTTGCTGCTGCTGCTACAAAGCTACAAAGCTACGAAGCTGCGAATGAACTACGGGGCGAGATGACTGAAATCTTGCCTGCCCTACCTTACTTACCCTGTCTTGCTATACAGAAAGCCATGACGGGGGTGAAAGAAGGACTTGGCATTGGTGTCGCGCTGGGCTTGGGGGACCTGAACTTTGAAGATTCGCTTTCGAGATCTTGGATCTCGCCCACGATGCGCCCATGTCATTCTACTTCTGGGCGATGGATCAGACTTGGGTACCTTGGAACGGAGATGAATGGAAAGGGGCTTGAGGCTCCCCCCCCTCCATCGACGGGAGCGCAAAATCCGAGATGTGTGGCCCAAAACTGAAAGCTGGAGTAGTAGTACTACTAGTACCAATCATTGCAGGCAGGGAGGATCGGATAAGACGAAGGGTGATGATGATGATGATGTGTTGTGTTGTGGTTTGGCTTGACCGCTTGCAAAAAAGTGGGAGAGAGAGAAAGAGAGGCGTGGGGATTGAGATTGCTGTTCGTGGGGAGGTTTGACCGCCTTGGGCCTTGGCGGTGGACAGCCTTGTGGGAGGACTGGAGCTTCGGAGCCAGCCTGTCTGTCTCGCTCGCTCGCTCGCTTGATGGGCGGGCAGTTCAAGGGGGTTGAGTGGTGGCGATTGGATCGTTCAGGGGGGGATTTGATGGCGAATGACTTGTGTGTGGAAGATAATCAAGTGAGTAGATGAGGCGGTAAGAGATTGAGAGGAAGAAAAGTCTCCTATCGAAGCCGTCCCTGCATGCAGTCTGCATCGCCAAACGGGATCAGCAGAAGAGACCCGATTCTTTTCAAAATGGTTCACAATGCCAACAAAAGACGGGGGAGAAAGAGAGAGAGAGAAGAAAAAAAAGGGAGCTTTGATCCTCCCCTCCCCACGGATTGCACACCGCTGCCCAGATTATTATTGAAGCGAAGCCGCGAAAAAAAAAAGAAGGAAAACATGGAGAAAAGGGAGCAAGGCAAGGAGAACCAAAGGTGGAGTTGGGAAGCGAAAGCGAAAACTGGAGCGAAATGTTCCAGATTCCAGAATCTTTTTTTCGGCTACTAGTAGAATGGAAGTATTGAGGCAAGGTATAGGGACAGCCAGGGGAGGGCCCAGAAAGAAGTAACGGAATGGAACGGTCAGGGAAAATAAAGGAAGCAGAAGTTTGTTATTTGATTGTTACAGCCGTAGACCCCAACTGCTTTGCTCGTCGTAACGATAAGGGGGGGGGGGGGGGCAACGTTTGGAATACGCTTCAAGGAGGGCTAGAACGTGAACGTTGTGGGAACATGCCATGATGGCTTCCATGGTTGGATGGCAAGATTGGATGGAGAGAAACTACATACTACAAAAGCAACGGTCGAGACAAGGGCAAATTACGGAGCACTCGCAACGGCACCACAAAAGCCAAGACGGACAACCGAGATTAGAACTGGAGAACCAAGGGAGCTGGGGAGGGGGGGGGGGTTGGGTTAGCCGTCTGCCGGCTTCTACGGGAGCCGGAAGACATGGAAGAACACGCTTGAACGAATTCATGAATTTCAATCAGTTGAAGTGCATGAGTGGCAAAAGCAAATCTTACAGGTCAAAGTCGACAGAAACGTGGATGCCTGTATGTATGTGCGGTAGTACCTGCATCAGCTCGAGGACGATCCAGGGGCTTTGGCCGTTCGATTGATCCTATAGGTCGACAAGATGTTTTGGATGGCTGGATCTCAGGTCGATTTCAGGGAAGCCGGACGGAGCCTTGTTTGACTGACGGCAAATGGCGGCTTGGTGTGGGCGCCATGGCCGTGCGTTTTGGGGGTTCCGTCCAAGGGGGGGAGCGTCCAGTGCGTTGTGTTGTTTCCGCGGTGGGTTCAATCCCCCGTCTTTGAGGCGGACGGTGGACGGTGGACGACGGTCACGGTGAAGGTGAGAGAGAGAGAGAGAGAGAGGGCGAGCAGATTTAGCGGCTGAGACGTTTGAGGATGGAGCTGGAAAGATGGAGATGGATGGAGATGGGAGCTGAAGCCGAGGCTGAGGCTGAGGCTGAGGCTGGTGGATGCCTTGTTTGACGCGGGAGAAGAAGGTACGCAGAAGAGACTGGGGGATCTCGATCCGATGGAAGTTCTTGGAAGGAGTCGCTTGCTTCACTCTTTTGTGAGGAGGAATCACGACAAGGAGAAAGAAACGAGGCACGACTCACAGACCTCCTTGCCTCCAGCTGAAGAGCCCTATCCGGCATACATGTACATACATACATACATACGAGTCCTCGAATCCAATAGAATATCATCTATCTCAAACTTCGTATCTATTTCCAGCATTTCCACCTGCAACTTTCCATCATTGCCCTTTGCATCCATGACCCATCCAAATCCAAATCCACAATCAACCATGAATCTTTGTCGGATCAGGCAATCCGTCCGTCGCGGTACAATCATCCTCACTGTTTCTCCTGCAATTTACGCGTCACACACACACACACACACACACACACACGACGCGGGCGCCCTTCACCTCGTACGAATATTACTGTCGTTACAGCGAAAACGTTAATGTGCCTGCCTGCATGCATGAGTTTTGCCACTCTCCTTTTCTTCTTCTTCTCCCGCGCAGATCTCGTTGCAGGCTGTGTGATACTCGTACTAGTAACGCTTTCGCCCAATAGTACACACGCCGCTTTTGGTTCCTGAAAATAGAAGCCCGCCCTTGACATCACCGGGCTGATCAACAGCCACCTCAAACGCTCTCTGTCGTACCTTGCATTGCCGGGTGGCGCGGAACAGGACTGGTGATCTCTCGGAGAATTGCCACGCATACTCCGTACCTACATACACACAGGTACAACACATAGACTGAGTCCTGCTCATGTACAGTGAGGTCTTCCCACTGTCTACACGGCCAAACTACTATCGCTTCCGTATCAGAACCGTTTGATCGTCTGGTCTGCTTGCGTATGCCCCAGGTCCAGTCGATATGTCACTGCCACCAAAAGCAGAAACAAAGGGAAAATGAGGAAAAAGAAAGATGCATGTTTCCGATGCAGTGCCCTGCCGATCTCCCAAAATCTCCCTCCAACCCCAACCTCCTCCTCCCCTATTTCCATGTTGTCCCGTTGTGGCCGGTTCGGCAGCGTTTCACACACACAATTGCCGGGGCACACACGCTGGCTGAGTCGTGTTTGCCGCTCGCTGTTGGCCGCATACCTTACAGTAATACTAGTATTTGATATTTGATATCTTGGGGTGTGCTGTGAGAACGGCGACGGTGGTTCATGGCAGATTGGCACTTTCGGCGATTTTCAGTCTTGCTTTGACTTGTCACAATTGATTGGAGCCCAGGAGCATCCTGCACAGCTCGAGATTGTGAGGTGCACAGTACGCAGTATGTAGAGGATACCTGTTTGGTGTGCCGGCATGATTGAGAGATCTACCGGCGTTCAGGGGAAACGACGGCGAATCCCTGGATCCAACAATGCTTACTGCGGTACTGTGCTGCATCCTGAACTCATCTCATCTGCCTCAATTTACTGTGTATGTATGTGCCTACCTCCCTAAAGGTAGTCATCCAGATGCCGCCCGCGTCACACAGAAAGCAACACGTCTAGTTATTTCTCGTCCCCGGTATTACTATCAATCACATACAGTATCTGTCCGTATGTATGTAGCTCCTCCAAGCTTCCTCCCCATAGTATCATCCCCATATCATCAAATCCCCCCCCCCCCATCAAAGGCCCATCGCCAATCCCAGCTTCCCCCCCCCTCCCAAGCGACAGCAAGCCGCCCAGTGTGAGGGATCAGAGACAAGCGTGTTAGTAGTACTATAGCGAACAAGCAACAGGCCAAGCTTTTTTCCCTCTTGCTTCCCATCCTCGATCGGCAGACGCACGCACGCGGTTTTGAGGGCGATCCACCGGGACGGAGCTTGGCTCCACTGCTAATCTTGCGTCTTTTTTTGCTTTTTTGCCTTGCCTTGCCTTGCCTTGCCTTGCCCTCGTCTCTTCTTTCTTTTTTTCTTTCCTTGATCGATACGCACACCCCCACCCACCTGTGCTGTTCTAGAGAAGAAGAGAAGAGCAGAGAAAATGACGGCGAAAGGGGAGGTGCGTGTTGTGTTTCAAGGGAATTGGGCGAATGACGATGAGCATCCGGGACACTGCCTATGTACCTTGATACTACCTCGATACCTTGTCTACCTCACCACTTCCACAGCAGTAACAAACGGCAAGCCGGGGAGAGAGACGAGACGACGGGGCCAAAGACGGGGGTGCGGGAAATGGAGAAGAGAGACCAGGCAAGACATCTAACCAAAGAAGAAGAAGAACAACAGGTGGACGGACAGCATGACGAGCAAAAGAAAACAAGACAAGTCAAGTGCAAGTCATGACTGACAAGTGTCACATTCATCCAAAGCCGCCGTCATGATACCAATACGAGCGAGGCGCGACATGTACATGTATGTAGGTAGACGACATGACATGTTACAATGCTGCACAACGGGGTTGCAATGCCGCCGTAGCGATGTGACGAGCGCGACGGGAGAGTACCTAGCACATTTGATGCTTGCTCTGGTTGATGCCGTGCTTCGGAAGTACCTACCTACTCTGCTTGTATCACCGTTACGCCCGTGCTTCATCATACTCAATAACAGAGAGCAGAACAGAAGGCAAAGGAAACACAACAGACAAGGCATCGGGTCCAGTCACGCCATTGCCAGGGCCCAATCGTTATCAGCGCACCAGCCACGAGCATACAGTAGGTATCTAAGGTACCTGGTATGTATCGAATCGGTGACCAGAGTACTAGGTACCTTAGGTACAGAGAGAGAGAGACACACACACAGAGAGAGAGCTGTGGAATGTACTGGGTTCCACTCCAGCCGCCCGCTTTTTCGTCCCTTTTTTTTTTTTTCTCCTTCGTCTTTTCTTTTTTCGTCGCCGTGCTGTTCCAAGTTTTTGTTTTGTTTTGCGAATGGCGTCTTTTTCTGTGCGAGTTTATCGAGTGCTACCACTTGAGGTGGCTATCTAAGTTCCTAGGTACCTACTAGGTAAGGTATTATCAAGGTAGTAGTATCTTGGCTACTACCTAGACGCCGTCTCCTTCGCTTGCGAGCAAAGCTGTGGCTCGTTTCTCATAATCCGTCTGCCTGATGACGCGTATGCCACACCCTCCCCATAAAAAGATCCAGAAGGAGGCCGGGGTTTGCGGGTTAGGATGTGTGCCAGACGACCAAGAAAGAGAGAGAAAAAAAAAGGTGTGAAAAACAACAGAAACAGGCGGAAATATACCATCAATGTCGCAGTGGTGGAGCAGAAAAAGCGTGAGTGGGCTCTGCTGTCTTTGCTGATCGGAAGTGGCTTGACTTGGACTTGGGGGGACCTGAAGGCGGACAGACGGGTGGCTTTTTTGCTCAGCTGCTCCCGCCCGCTGTGGGAAGCTTCTTGTTTTTTTGCGGGTTTGTTGTTTATCTGGTGATGGCCATAATGCATAATACTACTACATACTACATGAATTGATGAAAGCGGTGGGAGTTGGTGGTTGTCGTAGCAGTAGTAGATGCAACAAAGCTGGATGCGAGCGAACTGGACTAGGACTGAGCTGAGCCAGGGGCGGATAAGCAGGTCGACGAGATGGTCGACGCCCAGAGATAGCGCCAGGACGAAAGCAGAAGAGCAGAGATAAGGCTATCTTTTTTTGTGGTGGTGGTGGTGGTGGTGGTGTGTGATGTGGTGTGTGTGGTGTGTGATGGTGGTTGTGCCATGCAAGGTCGGCTGTTGGTGCATGTATCTTGGGATGTACCCTGTACAGCGCGAGTACCTTGGGCCCTCTTCGAAGTCTTGTGAGTCTGGGTATCTAGAGATCATGAGGTGCTCGGTTTGTTTTCGTCGCAGGCGCTGTTATCGCACGAAAAATAAACAGCACGGGGAATACCATGATGACGCACCCAATCCGGTCCAGGACGCTGGCTGCTGCCCTCGGTCATCGTGCAGCAGACAGACAGACAGACAGACAGAAACAGCAGATGAGAGACAAGAGATCCCGATGGGTTGCGTCCACAGCACTTGCTCGGGTTGCAAAGCACAACATACGATAGTCTGCTGGCATCATGCCTGTCTCAAAAATCGTTCTCGCGTCAATCTTCCGTTTCCGTAGGTACATAACGGCTTCGGTATTAAAAGCATGGTAAGGTTGTGATTCAACTCATCTTACAGACTGTCCAGCTCCTGACCTAATTGCATAAAAAGGTACACCTTACTTAAATTAGTAGGGATTTGCAGTATAAGAGCAGTAGAAAATACCTTAACCTGTAATATCCCTATAAGATCCTAGTTAATAATATACTATACTAGCAGGGGCTGCATAATTTTTTATAAAAGGCATAGTTACTAAAAGATTAAGTTTAATTTTACTAAATTTATTTAATAAACTATATAAAAAAAATCTATTTATATTTCTAGTTAAATAATATATAGACTATCCTTTTAATTTTTTATATACTAATTTAAGCTTTATACTATTATAAATTTAATTATAGGTAATATAATAAGTATAACTTAGTTAGTATTAAATGCTATTATTAACTATTAGAGGGCTAGGAATAACCTTAATATAGCTATTTTCTTATTAATATATATTATATTAATAGTTAAGTCTATTAACTTACTTAGCATTCTGCTAGCTAAGGAGGTAAGGCTAGCTGCTATTAATAATAATAGTAGTATATATATACAGGCTACCTTTATAGCCTTAAAGAAATACTATATATAGCTTATAGCCTTACTAAATTTATAGTTTATTACCCTCTTTTATATAATAAAAGCTATATTTTTAAACCTCTGCTAGTAGCTTAATATTAATATTACTACTTATAAAAACTAGCAGCAGTTACTTAAGTAAAAGGTTATAGTATTTTTATAAATTTATATATATAGTAAGCTATAAAAAAATACAGTATTATAATTTTAAATAAGCTAAGTAATTATATTATAAGTCTTTTATAAATTAAAAGATTTTATATAGTAGTTATATAATAACTTTATTTATTAGCTAAAATTAATATATTTATTACTAATTATTAAGCTTAATACTAAATTTATAGTATTTAATAGTATAATTAAGGCTATTAATAAAATATTAATTCTAGCTTATATTCTAATAGTAAAGTAGTAAAGATTTTAATTAAGAAAGAATAATATTATATAAAATATTTTTATTACTATTACTTTTAATAGCCTATTTTATTATATCCTAGCTAGTACTAAAGGATTTATTAATAACTTAACTCTTTTATATTATATATTAACTTTATTATTCTTAATTTTAAAAAGATAATTTTATTTTAGTAATACTAGCTTTAAACTGCAGTAAGGTATTATAATACCTTATAATTATAATATATATTATTATTTATAAAACTAGGGAATAGTAATATAGCAGCTATAAAATAAAAAAGAATTATATAACTTATAGCATGCTTAAAAAAGAATTATTATTAAGTATATCTTTAACTAGTATAAGTAAAAGTAGAAGATTATATATTATAATACTGCTAAATATAAATTCCTTAATTAAATTTATATTATATATATAGTAATAGGCTTATTTAACTTTATTAAGCTTAAAGGGAGGATATTAAAGCAGTACTATAAGGAAAAGAAGCTTATCCTTACTAACTTTAAATAAAATATTATAAATTTTATTTTAAAATATGCTAATATAGTTATTTTACTATTAAAGGCTGCAGATTTAAAAGAATATATTACTCTTTAAGCCTAGAGGTATTATTAATAATATTTAAATAAGTATAATAAGGAGGATACTAATAGTAATAGTAATAAAAGTAATAAAAGCTATAGTAATAATAACAGTAATAATAATAATAATAAGGATAAAAAAAAGGTTAAGGTAGGCATTTAAAGCTAAAGCTAGTTTAAGTTAGTATTATAAAGTAAAAGTATAGGCTAAGTAAATATATTTTACTAAGAAATTAATAATTTATAACTAAGTATTATATTTTAAAGCTATTTATAATTATATATAAAAATATTAAGAATCCTTAAAGAAATTAATTATTAGCTATATATCCTTTACCTTTTTAAATAGTATTATATTTTATATTAATAAATTTAGCAGATTTTTATAAATTTAATAAACTAAATAAGTAATAAAAAGCATCCCCTATTCCTTTATAAAAAGAAAGTAATTTTAAATAGCTTTTTTAAAGTCTTCTGCTTTAATAGCCTATTAATTATAAGTAATATAATAGTTTATTTACTATAATAAATTATATATTATTATTATAAAAGCTAGCTTATAAAAGCTATTAGCTATTTTATTAATTTATACTACTTTCTTTCTTTTTTTTACTACTATACTATTAGCTTAAAAAGCTGCTAATAGTATTAATAAAGGCATTTATAATAAAATAGCTATAACTGCTAGCAGTATTAATAGCTGCAGTATTAATAATAATAGCAGCATTAATAGTAGTAGTAGTATTAATACTAGTAAAGTTAACTATAGTAATATTAATAGTAGTAGTAATAGTATTAGCTAGTTAAGGTTATTTTTATTACTATTATTTAAAAATACTATAAGATTACTAGCAGCTTTATTACTAGTAATAAGCTAAGTTAAACCCTCCTCTTTATTATTAAAAGGTTTATAAATAACAGTACCTCCTAGGTTATTATTTTAGCTATTTATAATAAAGGCAGCCTTATTACTTACTTTTATAATATTTAGGCCTACTAGCAGCTTATTTAAGAAAATCTCCTGCTATTTATTAAGGTTAATCTTATTACTAATAAAAAGCTTATTTATAATAACCTAATGCCTTAATAAGCTATACTGCTAAATAATAAAATTCTTATTTTACTTACTTATTAATAGCTTCCTAGTCTTAAAGTTATATATAGTCCTTAATATCTTTTTAACTATTATAAATACCTTTTAAAACTTTTTTAAATACTAGTACTTATTTTTTATACTTTTAAATACTTAGGAATGCCTTAAAAAGCACTAAACTAGCTATAAAAGTAAAGTTAAAAGGCCTTCTTATAAGTACTGTTTTTTTAATAAATTTATAAGGCTAGCCTAATAAGCCTTAAAAAGTAAGGAGAGGAAAAAGAGGGTATATTTATTTAACTACCTAACTAAGCTAGCTATTAACCTAACTTATAATAATATAATAGCTAATATTTAGCTTATAGTAACTTTAAAAATAAGTGTTTTACTTTATAAATTAAGGTATTTATAAGTAAAGATAATAAGAAGGCATTAATTAAAGTTAAAATTAAGCTAAAGGCAGTAAGATAAGAAGACTAAACTATATCCTAATCTAGTCTAGACTTAATGCTAGGGGGCTTAAGGTATAAGATATACTAATCTGTAAAATTTACTAGTTAAATATATTATAATTAGGAGTCTTACTGGAAAGCTAAGCGAGTTGAATTATGACCTAAAGAGTAATACCAAGGCCAATCTGCCTCCCGTGCTTTGTTCCTACATGATGGCCATCGCTTCGGTACCTTACCTATCAATATCGACATCTCCGTCCTCCCGCGTAGGAGTGCAGACCAAATCTTGATGCGCCACGCACCAAAGAGAAACAATGAATTTCTTCTGGCTTCCAGTCGATTCACGGGCCCCTCCCACACCTACTATATCGATTGCTTCTTTCAGCTTCAGTGACCTTCCAAGTCGATACAAAGGACAAAAAGGTACTAGTACTATTACGAGTACCTACGTCTTGGGAGGTGGTGTACAGATGTAGGTAGCATTGGAATGCCGCCGCAAGAGGAATTCATTCATTCAGCCGGGGCCGGCACAACAACAACAATAACAACAAGAGCATCCAGGCATGCAATGTTACCATCTCAGAGCATGAAATTACTTTTCCTACGGAAATACTAAAGCACATACTAATAGCAGCACCAGACACAGTGACGGAAAAGGCAAACAGGAACTGGTCGGGGCTTCCGGCCGGCTTTCCTCAAGAGGCTTGCGTAAGACTCCCAGCATAGCATTTACTGTGCCGCTCGGTATTATTACTGCTGGCGCATGGACGAGACGGGCACTTGCGCTCCGAAGTACTACTAACAACTACAGCTACATACTTGTACATCCATACCGAGTACATACTGTAGGTACCTACGCATCAACCTCCGGCTCCGACATTTGTCTGCCAAAAGCATCATCATTATTGAACTTGACTTTGAATCTGCCCGTCCGGTAATTAAAAGTGCTTACCGTACATGCCGCTAGCGGTAGGTGCTCGACGAGGCGGGCTCAGGTGCTGGCACAAGCCGTGCAGTTGCAGTACTGTAATCTGCCCTTTGTTCTATATATATCGACTCAAAATGGTTGGATGCGGCAGTAGTACAGTAGTATGACATGACATGGGGGGGAGGCTATGCTGCATGTACAAGTAATATCCAGCCAGCGTCAATGAGCATGCAATTTGTACGGATAGTACTACAGTACGACGTTTTGCACCTCATGCTCGGTGCCGTTGGCTTGTATCATTAGTATTGCCTTTTCGAATCAAATTCGCTCGCTCGCAGTGGCAACGAGGGAACATGAGGGACCCATGGATGCTTAAGCGTAGCCCCCCGGCAAACGGACGAGACCAGCAATGCTCGCCGTTGCTTGCGGATTGGAATGCACGAGTACTGTACCGGCCCAGGTACTGTAGACGCTACCGTCGCCGTATCTTTGCTGGCGAGTCTCGTCAAAGTACTCCCTTGGGCAGAGTGACAAACGACGATACCAAGCTCGGGTAGCACACACTCAACTCACTCACACACCACACAGCCGCAACGGGCAAGGTGGCGACATGACGCGATAACCAGCCTCCAGCACAGCAGCAGACTCAGTACCTACAATATGTACTGTATGACCAGAAGCAGACTGAAGCAGCAGCAGCAGCAGCAGCAACAGCAAGCGGCAAAGCAACATGACTAAGGCGGTGATCTGCTTGGGAACAAGTCATGGAGCCAATGCCCAGCGGGCGGCCAATCCCCTGAACCCCTGCTTCGTCAGGGGTGCGGTGGGCAGGGTGGGTTGCTCTCAGGATGGGCAGGATAGACAGGGGCGTGCGCGTTTGCATGAGCCTTGGTGGGTGTGTGGGTGGGCTCCTTTTTCCCTCGCTCGCCGCTTCTGCTGCCCATGGCCATGGCATGGCATGGCATGGGCCAGTTCTCTCTGTCTCTGTCTCTCTCTCTCTCTCGCTATCATCCCATCCCTCCCCCCCCCCCGGCCCATCCCCCAGCAGCCCCGAGATATAAAGCGAGCCCGACGTTCGTTGTCAGCTGGAGCCTCTTTCTCTTCTTCTTTTTTCTTTTCCCATCAACCCACGCACTATCCAACTGAAGTCTACACTCGTTCAAACTTCCAAACTTCAACCTCTCAACCCCAACCAAACAACCAAACCACCACCCCCAAAACAAACCACCAAAAACCATCAAAATGCGTGCCGCCGCTGTTGTCGCTATCTTCGCTGCCTCCGCCATGGCCCAGACCGGCGGCTCTGCCTCTCCCACCAACGGCACCAGCGTCACCCACACCGGTGCTCCCACCACCGCCCCTACCAGCGGTGCCAACTCCCTGTCCCAGAACATCCTCCTCGGTGTCGGTGCTGCTGCCGTCCTCGCTGCCAGCCTCTAAGCAACTTCAACTTTTTTTTATTCGAAACCTTTCTCTCTCTTCCCTGATAATTTGAGGGGCTTTCGGGGATGTCTAGCTCAAGTTTGCTAGGCTTCCTGTGAAGCTCCTTACCGACTTCTTGGGGAGGGGACCGGAGGAAAAGAATATATCATGGATCTGGACGGGATGGGGATGGAGGGGGAAAAGAAGGTCAATTTAGTTTGCCGGCATTAGAAGTCTTGGGAGGAAGAGAGAAGAGCGGTACTTTTTTTTCGTGCTTTATTACGACCACAGCAAATGGGATAAAGGATATACCTATCGCTTCTTTTCTTCGAGTCAATCAAACACTCCCAACCCAGATCTCTCGTCTTTCCCTTCCCGGAGCCGGACTGTCCGGGGCCGCAAAAGCAACCATGAACCGGGGTTCCTTTTTTTTTTCGACAACTCAATTATACCAAACGGACTGGCTTCGGCGGGAAAGGAAAGGGATTTGGCGCGGCAAACTTATTTTGGTGCATTTTTGCTTTGCTTCTTTTCTCGCGACCTTCTTCTCTTTACCCTTTCTTTCTTAATTTTTTTTGCCTTCTCGACTTCTGCATAAAGTGCGAACATCTAGAGATGTTTTCGCCAACGGGAAAGATGGCGTTTTTCTCTACTTTATTCTATTGGATATGGAAATAATTATGTGCTCTTTTTTTCTCTTTTTACAACCTTTGTTCCTTTTTGGACTTTTATTGTGTGATGCGCTGGCAAGATGTGATACGAAATTCAAGTTTCTGACTGGACTGTTTTTGCAGTCATTTTTAGGGAAGAGATGGCACAGGTGGTTGGGATATTTTTTTTCCTTTTGGATCCGCCGAGAATTTTCGTTCACCCAGATAATAGTAATTTCCAAATGCAACAAGACAATTCCCTTTAAACAAAACCGGTTTCTTCTACTTTGGTGTGAAACGAAGCAAAGTGTGACCGCGCGTGTTGCTGTTATCAGTGCTTCTCTTTTTTGTTCTGCTACGTCTTGAGTGGAAGGAGCTGGAATCTGATCACTTGTGATAATACCTAGCTGCTGTTGTATCCATGGCATGACGGTAGGACAAGGGGGGTGTGAGATGATTGCGATGCTGATGACCCCTTAGTTCAACGTGCGTCTCGATTGAACGAACGCAGCGGCTGAGAGCTGGAAGCAATCTCGCACCATCTTTTCCCTTGATAAGCTCGTTCCTTTCTTTCATTCTGTAGTCTTTGGCAGAAGGTGCACACGGTAACATTACTATTGTATATCTCGTTGGAAGCGTCCTACTCCGCATCTTGCTCGTCTGAATGACACATTGATTAAGGGTTTATTTTACCGCCTTTAATTCATTTTGTGTTTCCTTGTTTCTTGGTTTGAAGATGATGAATCTATAGATGTCCTACCGCTATTGAGGCCCTTTGCCATACCGCATCGCTGTGATCCGTGTACAGTCGACAAACTTGTCAAAATCGCGCACCAGCGACGGAAAGTCCTGGACCAGCTCCAGCGTCCGGGTCCTGAGCTCGGCGGCCTTGATGCTACTGGCCTCTTGGGCTTGAGCTTCGACGCCGAGATCGGCAGCAGCGGCAACAGAGATAGTAGAGGTAGTGGTAGTAGTGGTGGTGCCATCTTCAGCTGCCGTACAAATCGTCTCGCCATCGGCGGTGTGTTGGCTGCTCCTGCTGGCGAACCAGTGCTTGTTGAGGGCCGACAGGCGGACTTGGAACTCGTCCCAGTCTACTTTGCGAAGCGTCTCCTGTTTGCCGGGGCGGGCCTCATCAGTCTATTTCTACGATGCTGTGCTTTATGGGGAGATGTTACACGGGAGATTAACGATACGGGGGAGGCCATCGCTTGATGCCTTTTGGGGGGGAAGGCGAATGACGATGATGGGGTCTGCTGGGTTGTGCGAGGGAGGCCAATGCGGGATTGGCAGAACCTTGTAATGGACGGTTAGGATATTTTACATCACATGTTGGAACTGGATGTAGAAGAAAGAGGGGACCGATCTTGTGCACGTAGCCGAGTCTGTTTACGACTTCAAGGCAACATGAAGTGGCATGACCATCACCATATGCACAGCAATCAACATCCATCCAGCCCTGAAAGCGGCAGAAAACGAGCCCGACATGTCAGAATAGAAGCGTCAGGTCAAGTGTCTTTGCCCGTCTTGCATTTGTTGGAGGGACCAGGTGAGGGAGATATTTCATGAATAACGGCAAGGAAGAAAGAAAGAAAGAAAGAAAGAGAAAGAAGAGACGAAGAGTGAAATATAACGGGGGAAATTGTGGTGTGAAAAGAAACGAGACATGAAAAGAGACATACGTACTCGTGCCGTTGACCCGTACCGCATCATGAAGAGCATCGTGTCGTCAGCGTAGCCTGGCACGCTGAGCATGGCGCTGGTGATTTCTGCTGCGCGCTGCGAGGACCCGGTGGACTTCATCTTGCGGTGCTGTTCCCTGCGTGTGTCGGGGTACTCTTACTCGAAGCTGATTGACGAATCTTGGTTTTAGAAGAAGAGATGAGCTATTTCTGGGTTGCTTTGTTTGTAGGGCGGTCTGTCAGCCTGGGCAAGGAGCAAAGAAGCACAGGTTGAAATCAAATGGATGGATGAGGAACCGGCGCCTGGCACTAGAAGCGATTCTCAGTACATAGCCGTGGATTCCTCCCCCGTCTCTGGTCAGCCGCATTGAGCCCTACAAGGCGCGGATGGGGTCGGTGAGCGGGAAGTGGTTGACTTGGGCTGTGTTTTGGAGGTGGTAAGATTGATGTAGGTTAAGCTGTATACACGCTTGACCCACGGTAAGGTGATGATGGATGGTTGGAGTCGTGCTTTCAGCTGGGGCGCAGCCTCGTGGACGCCACCAGGGGCTGTGCTATGCTGTGTTTATGTTTGTGCTTTGGTGGGAAGTTGGTTCGTGCTGGTGTTATCGTTGCCTGTACTCTTGACTGCTGCAAGTGACTTGATGGCTTGAGTTTGTACGTGCATGGTTCGACATTGACTCCCTCGTCACTTGAAGCATCACTCCATCCATCTCAGCTGCAGTCTATGGGTCGACAACACCAACACCATCTCATCCCACACCCCGACTCAGCCCAGACACCCACTCCAAGTCAGCCAGCATTCAATCTCACAGGCCGCCTCGCGCGTGCTGACGGCTAATGCAAAGCCTGCAGATGACCTCTCGCACCTCACCAACCCTAGAGACAAGGCACTCTCTCTCTGCTGCCCCTTGTTCTCCGAGACAGGGGACTCTGTGTTGTTGTGAGGAGTGATGGGCAAACAAACAGTTGATATCCGTGTGCCTTGATCTAAGGCTTGTATCGACGTAGGTTTACGAGCTCGGCTCTGGGGTAGTGATACCTGAGACCTCGAGTGTATCAGGTGTTGAGGCCGCGTCGACTGTATGTAGATGAGATGTGACGTGTAATTGTCGACAGCTTCACCACCATGTTCAGCTCATGCCATTGCGCCGTCGTAACACCTCATACTGATCATACAATTGCAAGAAAAAAAAAAAAAAAAACATGACTATCCTCATTGAAAACTAAAAACAACCCGTATTCTTATGTGTCCTACCCATGATACGCTTTGAAAACACAAAAGGCCAAACCCCCCCATCATTTCTTTTGTACATACAGTTCCATTATACTCGTCAATCCTCGCTTTCATACATGCCATTGCATTACAATCATAGAAAAAAAAACCCCTAGTACCTTACCTACGCATTCAGAGGCTTCCTCCCAATGATGAACCGGTACGAGGTAATCAGCCGCAGGTCGCGGCTGCGAAACTCCCGCTTGACGCCCTCCATCAGCACGTCGGCCTGGTCCTTGGAGTAGTTGAGCACCCGCGTGAAGAGCGCGGGCGTGTGCGAGTCGACCGACATTTGCATGTGCGTCAGCTCAAACTTGCCGAGCTCCTTGAGCGTGGGGTCTTTTGCCCATGGGCCGATGGGTATCTTGCAACAGGAACGAAATGTTAGCTCTTTGCTTTGCTGTTGCCTTTGGTGTGTGTGTCTGGGACTTGGGGGAAGAGTGTAGTAGTAGTAGAACGCACCCTGTATACCCTCTCCTCGACATCCTCAAACCCGGCATCCATGATCCACTGCTTCTGATATCGCGCCACGTTGATCTGCTTCCCGTACAGCCTGCTCGCGGCATCCAGCTTGTCAACCCACTCCATGGTCCACGGCGCGCGGTCGCAGCTATCGTCGTCGCTGAAGATCCACGCGTCGTACTCCTGCATCTCGAGCCAGCCCCCCGGCTTCAGGTTGTTCATGACCTGGCGGTAGAAGCGCGGCCAGTCCGCCGACGTGCCGCTGAGCGCGCGCCCGTGGATGTAGTCAAACCTCTCGTCCTCCTGGTACGTCCACTCGTCCTCGTAGTCGTCGACGTGGAAGCGGCAGTTGTTGGGCACCCACTCGGGCTGGATCGGCGACAGGTCGACGCCGAAGACGGACGCCGACGGGAACTCGTCGGCCATGTCGATGGCCCAGATGCCCGTGCCCGTGCCGAGGTCGAGGATGCGCAGCGCCGCCGCGTCGCTGTCGGGCGGCGGGAGCGGCGCCGTGTACAGGCGGCCGCCGATGAGGAGGCGCCAGATGTGGTGCTGCAGGTCGAGGCGCTCCTGTTCCTGCGTGTCGTTGGGCAGCACGTACTGGCCCTCGCGGTAGGCGTGGTAGCGGCGCCCGTTCTCGTACTGGTAGTTGTAGATGGAGGACGTGATGGAGCCGGTGTAGGCCGAGTCCTGGTCGGAGCCGTATGTCGAGTCGACGTCGGCCGGGTCGTCGGGATACGCATCGGTCTGGGCCCCCGGGGTTTCAGTAAGCGACTGTATCGACGTGATGGTTCATATACATCTTGCCAAGGCATCGTCGTCTCTGCTGCTTCATCCGCTGTCTCGCCGCCTCCGGTCTACTACTAGGACCTCCGACTCCATGACAGTCCCGGGTTACACCAAACGCACTACACGCCGGTTTGCACATGTAGGTAGACATCGACAGATGCTCGCTCGCGGCATCTCGGATCCTCGTGACAGACACTCACATCGACTTGGACGGGCACCGGATTGTCTGCATCGCCAGCCACCAGCCCGGCCAGCGGAGTCGCAGCCCCGGCAGACTGGGATGGCGAATGCCGCGGCGACCCGGACGCCGACGCCGACTGCTCCTTGGCCCTGGGCGAAGTGGACGGCGACTTGCCCCTTGCTACGGGCGATGCCATGGTTTCGAACGAACGCGGGAGAGCTGACGCCTTTGATCTGGGCTCGTTAATTGCGCCCCTTGATTTTGTCTTCGTTTCGTTTGGGTGTAGTCGCAAACGCTCCTCCTCTGTTCGCGATGCGCGCGCAAATCCGGCGGCTGATGGACCAGAGCTCGCTACCGATTCGTATACTTCAGTTGGACTCTCCTTCTCCCCTTCCTGCGACCGCGAGAAAACTTAAAGTCTTGAATCCTCTCGTGGACACGAGCGTGCCTGGAAGAAAGAAAAAGAGTCCAAGGTTGGGGGCGGGGAGCCGCTTGCGGGAGAGGGCGAAGCTTACAGCTCCGGGCCTTTTCGGCCTCGGGAGGACTAAGACATATGCGAGCTAGCAAGCGGCGCATCTGTTTGAAAAAGAATCTGATGGGCGTTTTTTTTGTATATCCGGTCATGAGGTGTCTGATGGCGTTATGTTTTTGGTGTGCTCATAATAGACGTCTTTCCATTGTTACTGCTATTAAGGGTTGGACTTCGTCCGTGCTGTGCCGATGATGTGGCTTCATGTTTCAAGGGACCTACATTGCTCCAGAGGGTCAATGTCGTGTGCGCTCCTCATCGTCGGTCATTATCATTTCTTACACTGATTCACGTATTGCTACAAAGAAACATTGAAGAGTTTCCGGACCCGGCGCATCCCGTATATCCGGCCGGCTCTCCCTCTGCGACGCGTCAGCCCTTGAATCTGCAAGTCGTTACCGTTGCTGTTCGGGTCTATCAAGACAGGCATTCACTGTAATACATACAAGTAGTACCGGGATCTGGCCAACATCTTCAACATCTAATATCACCTCTCAACGACTCACAAGCATCTCAAGCCCCCCCAAGCACGGGCTCATCCATCGCCCTCTCTCCTCGCCGTCGCATCCCGCCCTCACGCCACTGCTCACAAAACTTTTGGCTCGCCGACCAAAGAATGCAAGTGGGCTGCCAGGACCGTGATTGAGGCTCGTGATAGGCCGACTGGGCCATGCAGTTCATCTCGGCCGTCTCCACACGATTTCTTCAGCGGCCCCCCCCTTGACCTCTTGACCCGGCTGCCTTTCCTGCATGCGGTCTGTTTAGCCGTCGCTTGGGGAGGAACTGGTCCATGGTACTGGGACGGGGACCACGCGAGATTTGGGACCGATTCGCCTCTGTCAAGTGCCCCATACCTTAGGAGGAACATGCATGACTGTCGTCTAGCTGCTTGGTACTACTAATAGTACTACTCGTCAGACATGACCGGCTAGGAACAAATGCTTCCGCGGGCTCCATTCCCTTGTTTCTTCTTTGCTCTTGTAGCCTGGAATAAGCAGAGGCTTTGCCATTGTGCTGCTCTCAAGGTCTTTGTCGCTCTTATTCCCCTTTTGTCCAGTTGGCCGGGCCTACACCTGTGTGATTACAGAGAGTTTCAACAGCACCATCATTTGCTGGTAGTAATACCATGTTTCCCTTTTCTGCAGCTGATGACGCTTCGACTGCTTGGGCCTTGTCAAATCTAGTGCCTGCTACTATGATGACTATTGATTGATCAAAGTTGACCGTCGCAAGGGTTTTGGGACGGCTGGGGGAGCTGGTGAGGGGCTACGGGCCTGGATATTAATCCAAGCGATGCTGGGCCCGCGAGGTTCCTCTGCCGTGTGAATGAATTCCCATCTTTGACTTGTTCCCATTTATTTCTTTTCTTTCGTCTCTGCAGTGGAGACAAAGCAAGTTTCTAGATTGAGCGCCTCCCGGGAATTCAACGCCAGACGACAAAGCCTCCGCGAGCACTCTTCACCCGTCGGACTGCAGCTCGTCGGCCACTCAGCCTTTACAAACAGCAACAATGGGCTCCCAAGGAGAGAAGCTGATTTGCGTCGTTGGAGCCACCGGAAACCAGGGCGGCTCCGTGGCCCGCCGATTCCTCGCAGCCGGCTTCCGTGTCCGCGGCCTCACCCGCAATCCCACCTCTCCCAGAGCCCAGGAACTCGTCTCTCGCGGCGCCGAGGTGGTCCAGGCCAACCTCGACGACCCGGCCAGCCTGGACCGGGCCTTTGCCGGAGCAAACGTCATCTTCAGCGTCACCGATTACTGGGAGCCCTTTTTCCACCCAGAATGCCGCAAGCAAGCCGAGGCCAAGGGCATCTCGTACCGTCGCTTTGCCTACGAGACCGAGTATCGCCATGGCAAGAACATTGCCGATGCCGCGGCCAAGGTCGTGGACTCGCTTGATGTAAACGGCTTCCTCGTTTCGACGCTGAGCCACGCGGGGAAGTGCAGTGGCGGCAAGTTCAAGGAGCTGTATCACTTTGACTCCAAGGCGGACGTTTTCCCGGCCTATGTCGAGGAGCACTATCCTGAGCTGGCGGCCAAGATGTCGTGCATTCATACGGGGTTCTTTTACACAAGCTTCAATATCCTGCCTAATTCGTATTTTGGTAAAGTAAGTCGTCCGATGAGATCTCGTCTTTCTCTTCCTCACTTCATGGATTTCTGATAAACAATCATAAATCTTTCGTCATTTCCTCCACAATCTCAATCTAACCCTGATGGAAAGCTTCCCGACGGCCGAGTCGAAATGGCATTCGCTACAGATCCTACAAAAGTAGTCCCCCAGCTTGCTCCGGTCGACGACATGGGATCGTTCACATATGCCGTCTGGCAGATGCCCCCCGGAAAGTCCTACATGGCCGCCGGGACAAATTGCACCTGGCCCGAGACTATCGAGACATGGAGCAAGATCACTGGCATCCCGGCGAGTTACAGGCAGGTTTCACCTGAGGAGATGATTGCGGCCTGTGGAGAGCCACAGCTGGGAGGGGAAATCACCGACATGTTTCTGTATACTTCACATCCTGGCTATGACGGTGGCATGAAACTCTTGCAAGCAGAGGATATCAGAAAGGTTTGTCTAGTTGATTCCTCACTATGTTCCGTCTGTGTTAAAGGGCTTATAACTTACACTGACGGTGATTCTAGGCTGGCATCGACTGCCCGATGACAACATGGGAAGAGTGGGCAAGGAAGCAGGACTGGGTAGCAATTCTAGCTCGCCTACACGGGAATTCTCAGTAAATATAAATAGACAACTCTTCTTTCTTTGAGTTTTCCTAGTCTTTTGCTTGAGGAATTAATGTTGTGCCCACCAGTCCAAGAGCATACTAGGTCTTGCTGGTGGTGGACTTTATTCACACAGTCCTCAACTTTGTACTCAATTTTTATTGGCATAACAAGACGCCCCTATACACACACCCTCAAACGCTCAAAAACACCAACTGACAACCGATGCAGAAGTGATTTCAGTCCCATCCCTTTTGGACCGTGGATTGTGAGATTAAAGACATTGATTTCTATAGCACCTGAAGCTTTATAAGCCTCGTTAGACTCAAGTTGTGGAATAGGATGTGGATCATATGCAAGTAGCGGGCGTCTTTATCGCTAAAATCTACGTCCGATAAGCGATAAGTGCAACCACATTTTAACCCGGCAGCCCGACTTCATATCGCGTCAATACCTCATCAACGCCCCTCGATCTGGTCAAGGAGTGCAACGTTCCGCATCTCCATTCCGTCGCGTGATTACGGCGGCTTCAAGGAGCCTCAACTGCTGCCGTCCTGAACAGGCGAATCGCGGCGCGCAGACATGGTGCGCAACAAGCCACAGCGGCGGAACGAGGACCGCTCGCAAAACAGCTACGGCAATGACAGGAATCGCCATGCTCCCCGACGCTCACCCCCGCGATTCTCGCAGCCGCGCGACAGGCCCTATCACGACTCCTACAACAGGCGCAATGGTGACAGGCCGGGCGACCGGCGGCCAGAGGCGCGCTCACGGCCGTACGGCGACGACCGCGCAGGCGGCGGCGATTCGTATCGCCCAAATGTCCCCCAGGGCGACTTTACGTTTCGCGTACAGAAGCCAGCTGGCATTGCCAACTCCGCACCTGCCGGCCAGCCGCCGTACCCACGGGGCCAAAGGCGAGACGGACGAGGCGGCAGGGGAGATGGCGGCTTCCGAAGGGGGGGCAGGCCGCGCTGGCAGCCACCGCCCCATCACTCGGAGCGCGCCCTGATAGCCGGCAATGCCACTAACCTGCCGGAAGAGAGCCTGTACAACGGCGAGGGTGCCAAGTACCGCGACCTGGACGAGCTGTCGGACGACGACGAGCGGGAGATGGACATTTCGTCATCGTCGGAGACGGAAGAACCCGCGAAAAAGAGGACGCGCACCGCTGCGGCCACCGACGAGTCTGGCGACGCAGCTCCCAAGTGGTCCAACCCAGACCCGTACACGGCGCTTCCCTGCCCGGACGAGACCACCCGCAAGAAGCGCGACGTGGTGAAGCTCATCCGCAAGGCTAGGCTGGAAGACAACGCAGCCAAGCCGGCCGCGCCCACGGAGGCTGAGGATTTCCTCTCTTTTGACTTTAGCGACGACGAAGACGCCCAGAGCCAGCAGGGAAAGGACGAGAACAAGGCTGCTGCGGCGCCGCAGCCACCACCCCCGCCGCCTGATAAAGTTGAGCTTGCCAGTAAAGTTTTGGGCAAACTACCACCACTGCCGCCGCCTCCCCCAACATCTGCCTCTGCCTCTGCCTCTGCCTCTGCATCGAACAGCAGACCTTGGGCTGCAGGTATTAATACGCACTCTCTACCGCCCAAGCCCGCCGCACCCCAAGGCTCTCAGGACGCTCGCGATACTTCTGGTCCCCTAGGCTCCCGCAAGCGAACTTTTGACGACGAAATCATCGAACCGCCCGACTACAAGCTGAACAAGGGCAACATGGGGCCGTCGAGAGGGCACATCGTCCCCGAGTGGGAAGTCAAGGACGGCGAGGAGCCCTGCCCATGGGCCACCACCGACCATTCTGCGACCACGGATATGGCTTTTCGGTAAGAAGCCGTCGGGTTTCCCTCTCGTTTTTGTTGTCTTTGGTGGGGGAGGGGAAGGACCATGCATAGCGCATGCTAACCACACAGCGTCAGGTTGCACAAGGAGATTGTTGACTTCTACGAGTTTGTCAAGCCCCGTGACTTTGAGGAGAAGATCCGCGGCAAGCTGGTGGAAAACCTGCGACTGGCCTTGAAGAGGGATGGTCGAAACTTTGCCAACGCCCAGCTTTTCCCGTTTGGCTCTTTTGTCTCCGGCCTCTATCTGCCAACCGCCGACATGGACGTGGTGGTATGCTCGGAGAGCTTCATGAAGGGCGGCGATGCCACGTACCTCAGCGCCAAGAACTGGCTGTACAAGTTTCGCAAGCTCCTCACGTCTCAGCGCATCGCCAATTTCGATTCGATCGAGGTTATTGCCCACGCCCGAATCCCACTGGTCAAGTACGTCGACAAGGCTACGGGGCTGCGAGTGGACGTGTCCTTTGAGAACCTTGGCGGAGTCAGGGCGGTTGAGACGTTCCAGCGCTGGAAGAAGGAATACCCAGCAATGCCTGCGCTCGTCACCGTCATCAAGCATTACCTGCTCATGCGCGGTCTGAACGAGCCCGTCAACGGAGGCTTGGGCGGCTTCACCGTCATCTGCCTAGTCGTCAGCATGCTTCAGCTCATGCCCGAGGTTCAGAGCGGTTCACTCGTCCCGGAGCACCATCTTGGCGAGATGCTCCTCGAGTTTCTCAGGCTGTACGGCCGCGACTTTAGCTACAGGACGAATGCAATTTCCCTTGTCAACCCCGTTGGCTACATCCCCAAGGTAAGGCTTCACCAGCATATAGCACCCATGTGCACACCCCTTTTACTAAACCCCGTCGCAGAACTCGGTAGAGTCTTTTGTCTACAGAAACAAGGAACGCCTCTCCATCATCGATCCCAACAACCCTACAAACGATATTGCCGGCTCTTCGTCCAATATGGCGGTCGTCCAGCGTTCCTTCGACAAGGCATTCGAAAATTTGAAGTCTCGGATGTATCAGGTTGCCAAGGATCCTTCGTGCGGCAACATTCTAGAGGGACTTTTCGCAGGCGACTACTCTTCGTTCAGAAAGCAACGAGCCTATCTCCAACTCATTCATGAGCGGCAAACCCGAGGTCGCCGCCGCTAGCTGCCATCCTTGTGTGGCCCTTTGATGAACGACTAATGAAGCACTTGGCGTTTTTCGGATACCCTTTGTTACGAATGCGCGCATTGGCTATCATGGAGGCATGTCTGAATCATGCCTTTTCACACCTTGGGAGGGACTGGGCGGAGGACCAAAGACTTGTTGTTTGTTTTCTTGTCGCTTTTATCTCTTCTTCTGACCATTTTTCTGTAACATGCTTGGGAAGTAGACCCTGTGGTGAGAAGATGTGTTCATACGGAATACTCTTGCTTTTTTCTTTTCTTCTTCTTTCGGGACTCGGTCAGGGGAGTTGGAGGTTGCCGGCTAATGAACCCTCAGGATTGCGACTATTTGAGACTATCTCTTTGCGCTATTCGACGGAATAGATCGATATATCAACCACGCTGTTTGACTAACGCATCGCACAGTGACATGCAGACTTGGGGAGGCGACGCTGACTACGATGCAGAGACTTGAAAGATCAGTTTTCGAGCGTTTCTTCTCTACGGCTGTCATTGATGGCGGCTTTCCTGCAGCTTTGCGGCCGGAGTTGATGGTGCTCGATGGAAAACGTGATGCTGGTCGCTTCTTTTTCTCACTGCAGGGCTGCTATATGCAGAGCTGCGGAGAGGACTGTCGATGCTGAATCCGCTGTCTTGAACGGCATTGGCAGCAGCGAGGAGTTTGTTCGAATTCTTTGGCATCTCCTGGGCAACGGCTTGAAGCTGGACAAAGTTGTTCTTTCCTTGTGCTGCGATCGAGGCTGCCTCAAGTATGGTGTTTATCACGTGCGCCTCATCTAGGTAGACTTATGATAAAGACACAAAGACATCGTCAGCAGTTCTTCTTCTTCTTCTCTCCATAGTCATCTTGGCAGCAGCAGCTTCTCCCCGTGCGTATATCTGGATACATGTAACTTTAATCATTTGGTAGCTTCATTGCCGATCCCATCATCATCATCATCATCATCATCATCATCATGATGTTTGGCCTCTGCTCTAACCGTCATGACCATATCCGATCAGGATCGGCTATATCGGTTGTTGGGGCCTTGAGTGAGTTGTCCCAATCCATCTCCAAGCTACGTCCTCACGAATTACCATCTGCATCACCGTCCTTCTTCGTCTGCTTCTTCTTCTTCTTCTTCTGCTCCTCTGACAGGGCAATCGCGCAGGCGGCATCATCATCGGCCTCAACCTGTCGTCAATGTCCGGCAAGCTCGATGTCATGGCCTTCTCCGACGATTGGGGCCAGCTCATGCCCTTTGCGCGAGAGCTCACGACCGCCATGATGCCCACCGGCTCCGTTATGGGAGCGCTCCTGTCGTGGACGTTGGTTGACATGGCACAGCCGCGGCTGGTGACGGCATATGCGACTCTTCTGTGGATATTGGGGAGCCTGGTCCAGATGATCGCGCCGAGCATTGGGGTGGTGCGCTCCGGGAGGCTGATTTGCGGGCTCGCGGCTGGAATCATCAGCGCCGTTGTGCCGCCGTACTTGGTGAGTATGTTCACTTGGCTCTGGTATTGAGAGTTGAGGTTGCTGAATTTCGGGACAGGCTGAGATTGCCGGACGGTCGAGTCGAGGCAAGTTTGCCAGGTACGCATACACTTCGATGCTGTCGATGATTGTCGCCCCCTCGACAAGGAGATGCTGACGCAGAGGGCGTCTCTTTCATGGCAGCATTCTGTCCCTCGGCATTGCCATTGGCTTCATATAGCAGAGTGTAGGCCAGATGGCTGGAGTGTCGGAGTCAGACCGCATGCGATACAGCGCCTCACAATCCGATTCGGAGATGCGTGTCATTGTCGTTAATCTCCTTCGGTGCTCGTTTGCTGTGCAGATGGTGCCCGGCTTTATGCTGCTGCTCCTTTGCGACCTTGTCCCCCCAAGCCCGCGCCAGCTTGCCGCAGAGGGTCGCTGGCCCGAGGCAAAGAGTCTGCTGGCCGACTTGCACGCATCTGGAGATGGAGAAGATGCCCGCGTCCTGGCGCATATTCAGGAGCTGCAAGGCGATATCCTGAGCCAACCGCAAGTGCCGCATCCGTCCGGAGAACTGCTGACGCGGAGGGTGCGAGCAAGACTCGTGCTGGGCATGCTGGTCGCCGCATGGAGCCAGCTGTGTGGCGTGCACCTGGTCCTGCGTCTGTCTGCCCCGAGGCTCGTTGGATCGAAACCGTGGTGGCGCCGAGCTCAGCTGATGGTTTGTAGATACGATTATGCTTCCCACGGCTGGAGCTGGATTTGACTCGGTGGATCTAGTTGTTGGCCTTCAATATGTTCTCTACATCTCCATTACTCTGCTGGCTATGAGTTTGCTAGACTTCTGGGGTCGGCGGTTGATGCTGAAGCTTGGCTGCCTCGCTATGATCATTAGCCTTTGCGGCATGGGTGACTATTTGCCTTCTGCTCGACTACAAAACACAGAGAATGCCGGCTGACTTGTCGACAGGATTTTTCCAATCGAAGCGGATTGAGGAGGCGGCCAAAGATGACAATGGGCTGAACATGACTTATGTCCCCTGGGTCATCAAGAGCTATCATGGCCCTTCACTTGGCGTGATACTCTTCTGCTATCTGTTTATAATCACGTATGCGGTGTCTTGGGGCCCAATCGCCTGGGTGTACCCTGCAGAGATATTCCCGGGTTGGCTTCGGACGAGAGGATTCAGCTTTTGTATGGCCGCGTACTGGACATGCAATGCTGTCATGGCCTGGGGGTTGCCGAGCCTAGGCAAGTTGTCCGTCTGATGTTGCTGTGAGGCGCGACGACTGACATGTCGAGATTGACAGTGCGGGCTGTTGGGTAGGCATGGTCACTGACCTTGGCATCTCTCGCCTCTCGCCCCCGCCCGCTTCTTGTCCGCCATTCTGTGTCAACGTGGGATTAGATATGCTGACTCGAGGACTTGTAGCGGCTGGACGTTTATCATATTCGGCTCCCGTAGGTGATCTGTTGTTTGAAAAGGACTCTACTGCAGCACAACTAATCATTGCCTAGTGAACTGGATTGTGTTGCTGTACGTCTTCTATGCCGTCCACGAGACCAAGGGATACACGCTGGAAGAGATGAATCACGTCTTCCTTTCGGGCCGCCGGGCATGGCAGCCTGTCTCTGGGCAACGCATTTTTGACTTGCTGGTGGCACGAATCGAGCGTCGACGGAATTTGAACGGGACTGATGGCGCTGCCGGGGGGCCAGGGGATGAGATTGAACTGAGTGAATGGGCGTCTCGACAAGCTGGCCATCCTGATTCATCTCCATCATGAGGCCATGCCTCTCGGACTGCTCGATGGCATGAGGGCTCATTGGCCACTCGGCGTAACAGGATTTGTGCTATCTTTGGGTTCGTGATGAGATTGTGCATAAAGGAAGTGCTGGTCGCCAGGCTTGGAATCATATCAAAGGAGCCATGCATGATTGGGGTAGGCAACAAGGGGCGACTAATTCGGCATCTGCATTGAGTCTATTGCAATACTCTGTACAAAGACAGTGTGTAGGCTGAGAGAGGCATCGTGTATTAAGCTGTACAAGCCATTCTGAGGGTTGAAGTGAGTCTGACTGAGTGTGAGTGAGTTTATTCGTGTGAGACGCAGACCCCCACTGATTACGGGACAGTTCTCCTCATGCTGTCTTTAGTGGACGAGAGCCACCTTTGCTCCGTGGGGGAGAGTTGAGACTTTTGGTTATCTCGGCGTGTAATAAGCAGCAGCCTGAAGCTAGCAGCACAAGATGGAGAATGAGGGGCAACGTGGGCGAGGAGAGAGACTTGGGTGAGGTGAACCGCAGCTATCCGATGTCGCAAGAAGCTGCGGCACGATTCCTCTATTTTACATTGTTTCTCGACTATCATTTACAAGTATCGTATCTGGTCTTCAGGGCATTGTGACGTTGACAACAGCTTTGTCACTTGGCATTCCTTCCCCTTTGATTTTTCTTTTTCTTCTCTTGAATTATATTCACAAGTCCTTGCTGTGTGAATACCTACCTACCTTACCTTACTTACAATTTGAGAGGAGCTACCTTGGTATTCCAGAGAGTTGGTGTTTCTTTCAACACAGCTTGTTTCCCCTTGAAGAAAAAAGCAACTGCAGGAGGGACACAAAAAAGAATGTCGTCGCTCACCTTTTACCCGCCGTCGCCCAAGGAGGCGCTGGCCAAGGAGTTTGTGGGCAAGTCGCTCCGGGAGGTGCCGACGCCGGGGGCGGTGCTGAATGTCGCTGCTGCGAGGCGCAATTGCGGGAGGATGCTGGAGGCGGTTGGGACGTTGGGGTTGGGGTGGAGGGCGCATGTCAAGACGCACAAGGTGAGTTTTTTTTTTTCTTTTCTTCTTCTTTCTTCTTTTTTGTCATGGAACAGGAGTTTTCTTTACTTGTGTATGGTGTTCATATCTGTAAGGGAGGAAAGAAACAGAGATGGTCTCTACTCTGTTGCGGGTTGTGGTTAGAAGGGGAGGGACAATATGGAAATGTTGGAGGCTAATGGATTGATGAGGGCTAATGGATTGACATAGACTATCGAGTTGACGAGGCTGCAAGTTGGTGAGGATGTGAGCAGGCCGGCGAACTTGATTGTTTCGACGCTTTCCGAGGCCGAGTTTATTCTGCCCCTGTTGGAGGAGTACAAGAGCAAGGGGAGGCAGGTCAACGTGAGTACCTACCTACCCTCTTATATGTTTCTCTCACAGAACGTCGACTTTGGAAACACAAAAAGCAGGTAAGGGGCAAAGATTACGGAAAAAGAGGGCTGACACGCGTCCTTTCTAAATAGATTGTGTATGGCCTGCCCATCTCACAAGGCGCCGTCCCTCGCCTTGCGGCCATCGCCAAGGTGCTCGGCGAGGGCAGCATCTCGGTGCTGCTCGACGACCCGGCGCAGCTGGCGGCCGCGGCGGAGCTGCAGAGGGCCTCGGGCGTGAAGCCGCTGGCGCACATCAAGATTGACATGGGCGGGAAGCGCGCGGGCGTCGTCGAGAGCAGCGAGCGGTTCGTCGAGGTGGCCGAGGCGGCGCTGGAGGCGCACCAGGCAGGCCAGGTGGTGCTCTCGGGCCTGTACTCGCATGCCGGGCACTCGTACGGGGGCGACAGCCGGGTTGCGGCGGTGAGGATGCTCAAGGCGGAGATTGAGGCCATGCTCAGCGGCGCCGAGAGGCTCGTGGTTCTGGCCAAGGACAAGGGCGGCGTCGCGCTGCCGACGCTGGTCGTCTCTGCGGGAGCGTCTCCCACGGCGCTGGCGGTGCAGAACCTGGTGGGGGCCGGTAAGGAGGAGGAGGAGGAGGAGGAGGCCGGACCGCCGGAGCTCCGGCAGGCGGCGACGGAGCTGGCGGCGCTGCTGGGCGCGGTCAAGGACAAGGGCCACGCGGTCGAGATCCACGCGGGCGTGTACCCGACGCTGGACCTGCAGCAGCTGGCGGCGCACAGCACGGCGGCGTCGCGGCTGTCGTGGCGCGACATTGCGCTGACGGTGGTGGCCGAGGTGCACGGGGTGTATCCCGGCCGGGGCGCCCACGGGACGGACGAGGCGCTCGTCGGGGCGGGCGGGCTGGCGCTGGGGAGGGAGTTTTGCAAGGCGTACGACGGCATGGCGGTGGTGACGCCGTGGGGGAGAGGGGGGCAAGGGGCGAGGATGCCGGAGGGGGACGTGGAGGACTTTGAGGGCTGGACGGTGGGCAGGTTTGCGCAGGAGCACGGGATATTGACGTGGGCTGGGGGCAAGAGGAGGACGGAGCTGGGGCCTCAGGGGGACAGGCTGCAGGCGGGACAGAGGGTGAGGCTGTGGCCGAATCACGCGTGCATTACGAGCAGTCACTTTGGGTGGTATTTTGTGGTGGATGAGGATCTGGAGGGGAGGGAGGATGAGGTTGTTGATGTTTGGGTCAAGGCCAGGGGGTGGTGATGATGATGGGATGATGTTGTTGTTGGTGCGGGATGTATTATTGTGTTGATGATTTCACTGAATAGGCTTGATGCTTTCTCTGAGAGCTTGATGGAGGCTCTGATGCTATGTCTCGATGTTATGGAGTCATGTCCCAAGTCTGGAGTTGAACAAAGTTGAGAGAGCTCGGTAGGCGAGACCCCCCCCGACTGTGAACAAGGGTGGGGGGGGGGGGGGAGGTTCTGGCCTGTTTCTGTATGCCTTGCGAGTACTATATATGATACTGAACAAGCATAACATTATGTATGCGAGTAGTACTGACAAAAAAAGAAGCTGATGAATAAATCCCGTCCGACTGTCCGAGTCAGTCTGCAAGCTGCAGGTACGGGATTCAGAAAACCTCCGTCTGTCCATTACTGTACTGTACTCTTACATACGCTCACGCTCACGACAACAACTCGGTGGAGTCTGGCGGAATCCCCCACACTCCTTCGGACCCCCCCAAAAGACGGGGAAGCTCCAGTGTGGCGCTCCTCTTTTGATTCGAGCGGAACAATCACCCAGACCATAAGAAGGGAGAGAAAACGAGGTATCAAGCTTGGACTAGTTGTGAAAGCGGCATACTGTAGAATCAAAGAGGAGCATCCCTGGGGGAGTGAACAAGGGGAAAAGACGGCGAATGCCCGGACTAATCCTGGGGGATTTCCTTTGCCGTGCCTCCTCTCTCACCCTTCTGAAGGTGACACTGCATATTCTTACTCCATACTTGTTTACTTGCATCAGCAGATCGTCCGGTCATGGATCACAAACTATGGGGAGCGTGGGGGTCCCGCTCTTCCTTCTTGTCCTCTGACCCTTTTCCCCTCTTGCGTTTCTCTCCGGGGGGCTCAATGTTTTCTTTTCGTCCCCGTGGAGCACGACATTGTCGTTCAGAACCTAGTACTAGCATTTTCGAATTTGGAGACGCCTCGGTAAAGAGACGTAGCACAGCCATGGGGTCATGGAGGCGAGGATGACTTTGCTAATGTAGGTTCCGGGCGTGGCCATCTTGCCTCTGGTTCCTTTTCTCCTTTTTCCTTTTTCTCTTTTTTTCTCATTTCTCTCTCGTTATCTCTTCCTCCGTGTCTCTTGTTTCATTCTTGAGTGAGTGACTTCGTGTGCTTGTTGGAGGCCTTGCTCTGTGAGACAGTCTGCAGTTGTCCTTCTCTTTTTGACTTTGAGGCTTGACAGTCTTACCTTGCTGTACTTTTCTCTGCATCTTCATCTTCATCTTCACCCAACTTGACGACGCCCAGACAAGGCCGTTTGCTATAACAAATCACCATCAACACCATGTCTCCCTCAGCCTACACCGAGGCCGCCGCCCCCGGCGAGCGTCCCTCTCGCCCCCTAGCCCGCGGCATCTACGTCCCGACGGTGGCCTTTTTCGACCCCGAGACGGACGAGCTGGACGTCAAGACGGTCTCGCGGCACGCCGTCCGCCTGGCCAAAGCGGGCGTTGCCGGGCTCGCCGTGCAGGGCTCCAACGGCGAGGCCGCGCACCTGCTGCACGACGAGCGCAACGCCATCACCAAGGCGACGCGCGCCGCCCTCGACGCCGCGGGCTTCGCGGCCATGCCGCTCATTGTCGGCTGCGGCGCGCAGTCCGTCGTCGAGGCCGTCAGCCTGTGTCGCCAGGCGGCCGCCAACGGGGGCGACTACGCGCTGGTGCTGCCGCCGAGCTACTACGCGGGCCTCTTTGACGCGGCGACGACGGTCGAGGGCTTCTTCACGGCCGTGGCGGACGCCTCGCCGGTGCCCGTCATCATCTACAACTACCCGGGCGCGACGCCCGGCATCGACATCAACTCGGACGTGCTGGTCCGGCTGAGCCGCCACGCCAACATTGTCGGCTGCAAGTTCACCTGCGGCAACACGGGCAAGCTGGGCCGCGTGGCCGCCGCCGTGCGCAAGTCCGGAGAGAGCTTCGTCTGCTTCGCCGGCAGCGCGGACTTTACCCTGTCGGCGCACACGAGCGGCGCGGCGGGCGTCATTGGCGGGCTGGCGAATGTCTCGCCGCGGGCCAACGTCAGGCTGTGGCAGCTTGCCGAGGCTGGCAGCGACAAGGCCAAGGAGGCGGCGGAGCTGCAGGCCGTGCTGGCGGCGGGCGACTGGGTGGCGATCCAGACGGGCGTCGTGGGCGTCAAGGCGGCGATGCAGGCGTTCTTTGGGTACGGCGGGTGGGCGAGGAGGCCCTTGCCGAGGCCGGACGAGGTCAAGGTCAAGGGGATTCAGGAGGGCATGAGGGAGATGATGGAGGTTGAGGAGTCGCTGGCTGATGTTGCGTAGGTAGATGGGGAGGGGAGGGGAGGGAGGATGGTGATGGACTGAACTGGTTGGCATCTGGAATGCATTACAACGAGGCGTATATATACGGGAACCATGAAGAATATATGATTTTGTTCGACGGCAGCATTTACTCGAGTGGGCTTGCTTGACTTGAGACCTGAGCCGTCATGTTCACTTACACGGAACTTTTCGGTCTATGAGAGGGCGGGTGTTGTAGCACACATCATCACTTGGTTATACAGCAGGTCACTGAAGGAATCAACTAAGATACGGAAGCTCAAGTTCATATACATTGGTCTATATTCATTTGTTAATCTTTTTTTATCCCCGTTGTGCCTTATGTTTTAATCTACATATTCATGTTCTTGCCCCTCTACAGGACAGCAGTGCACTCAATCTCGACGTCGGTGTTCAGGGGCAGCGTCTTGACAGCCACGCATCTGTTCAACCACACTGTCAGCCTTGGATCTTTGTCTTCACCCAGTAAAAATAGTCTGGCTCTATCGTTGTCCTTGAATCAAACACACAGCCCTCTCTGCACCCTCTCTCTCTCGGACCCCCACCACAAAGGTCGCATTGCATCCGATGGCGGGGCGCCCTTTTTCCCCAACATGGAGGGGTAAATAGGCAACAAAGTCTCGTCAATCGAGAGAGAAGAGAAGAAATTGGAAGTGTGAGAGATGTAGGAATCGAAGGGGGGGAAATAAGGAAAGGAAAAAAAAAAAGAGAAAACTCACGTCCGGCAGGGCTTGACATCGCCCCAGTACGTGCTGTACACCTCGTTCATCTTGGCAAAGTCGCCCATGTCGGCCAGGAAGACGTTGACCTTGACGACCTTTTCCAGGCTGGAGCCGGCGGCCTCGAGGATGGCGGAGAGGTTCTTGATGCATTGGTGCTGTTGGGAAAAATCAGTCATTTTTGCTCTATAAAACGAGTGAGGAGAGGAGAAGGAGAGAGAGGGAGATAGAGAACTGACCGTGTGAGCCTGAATGTCGCCGTCAATGAGCTGCATGGTGACGGGATCCATGGGCACGGCGCCCGAGACAAAGACCATGCCATTGGCCTTGATGGCCTGGCTGTAGATGCCGGGCAGCGGCTTGGGGGCGTTGGAGGTGAGGACGGCTTCTTTTCCGGACATTTTGCCTTGAGCTGATGGCTGATAGTGTTGATGAGAAAGAGAAAGAATCGAAGAGAGAGAGAGAGGTGTCAGAGATGGAAGGGGGAGAAAGAAAAGAAGGTCGGGATTCAACGGACTACAAGGTTCACGTGCGGAGAAGGCAGAAGCTCATACTAGTACTCTTCACGGGATTCAAGCTATGATTCCCAATTTTCCACTCTTACTACTTACTACTGGCTGCGTCTGGAGCTCCATAACTGTTTGTCACTCGAACTGATGCTGCTAGTATGCACTACCTTATGGATCTCATGCTGCGGGCTATGTATGTACGGAATTCGTTATTGTTAGTGACGTCGGGTAGCTTGGCTTGAGCGGAGTCAGTTCATGCTGGTCAGCAGCGGGAGAGACGATGGGTATAATAAGCTCCTCGTCTGAGAGAGGAGGACAAGGCCAACACCGTAAGCGTCTTTTCTTCATGAATATCTCCATATAAGCCTTGTCCATCTTCTAGAAAGCGGTGACATTCCACCACAGAACGCCTGAGCTCAGTTCGTGACAACACAAGCTTACAGACAGAGAAGAAGCTAGAGCTAAAGCTCCCAGCTCTCCATCGCCATCGCCATCCTCCCTCTCCCCCCCCTCCATTCCCTTTCCCCTCATCTGACCCCCTCCCTGACCCCCAACCAGCAACTGATACATACCCTCCGTCTCTGGCCCCCCCCCAAGCGCCACGCCAATCGAATTCGGTTCGTCGCCCCCCCCAGAACTAGGACGAAAGAGCAGGGAGTTTCCGATGGCTGCGAGCCCGCTGTTGGCTTTTGAACGCGCTTGACCCCCGTCTACGGCGATATGCTTCCTGTCTATCCGTACACTCCATCCTTTCCTCGTATCAGAAGTACTACGGAATATCGGGCGCTGAGTTGGGAGAGAACCCATGCTGTTTGTTCCCCCACTGAATGGCGGGTAGATTGGTTGTATTTGGCCGAGAATGGGCGTTCTGTGGCGGGCGAGGGGGGATTGACAATGATGATAGAGACGACAACAGAGAGAGAGAGTGTGTGTGTATCAAGACCCCCATTGAAAGCTCCACTGATTGCACAAGATAGCCCATCATGAAGACGATAGCAACTCGTATCAAAATGAAGCAGATATTACAATCAAGATAGTATTCAAAGTGAAGGCGTCAATCAATCCGGATACACGGAGCAACTCGTGATACCAGCCTCACCTTGGCTCCCACGCAAACGGTCTTTCATGTAGTATCAGTTTCTTCGTCTAATCAGGTCCGCTTCGGATAGCCAACCCCCTCTTCCCTTTCTTCCCCACCGACCAAAAAGTCCGGAATGGATCGCTCGAGGCTGCTGCCAGGATTGATTGTTTGCCTCTGACGCTTGGACCCTCCCTCCTCCCCCTTCTCCCGCCTCTCCATGTGTGTCACAGTTAGTCAAAGCATTTGCACTTCGCTCGCTCACACGCACTTGACTCGGGGAACCGCAAATGACAGACAAGAAAAGGCAGAGAGGGACAGACAGACAAAAGTGTGGGGTAAGCTGGGTCACTTCTCCAGGTTTTTGAACTCTGGGGGGGGCGCTTTTGCGTCGTCTCTTCCCCACGGAAAGGATCTCGCCGGTTTTTCTGGGGGAGGGGGGGCCCGTTCCGCTGGCTGTCATTCTTGTCTTTCTGTTTTCGTCTCTTTTCGCGAGTCATTTCGAAGAGAACCAGGTGATAACCGTGTCATCCATCGTTCTCTGATATGGCTATCAAAGATAGATTAGAGAGAGAGAGATAGCATCGTTTTCCTTCCTGTTGCTGCGCGCATCATCGGCCTTGCGTGGGCGTGGATCTCAGAAGCGCAAGAACAGCGTGTGAGAGTGAGCAAGGAACAAGAGAGATAAGAGATTTGGGGGGGTTGGGTCGGTGGATACAAGGGATCCCGGCTTGTTGTCTTTTGCCTGGTTCCTGTGCCTCGCCTGGCTCTTGTCTGGGCTGTTTTGGGGGACGAGGCAGTCACACGCATACACACACACACACACACACACACATACGCGCGACGCAACCATTTTTGGCTTTCGTTTCGTTCAGATCTGTAAAGAAACTTTGGCCGGTGGCCCAATCTTTTCCACTTCTCCGAGGCTTGTCTAGTCCGGGTCTCTGGACTACTAGTTCGACGGAGGTTCTACTTCTATTGTAAGTCGTGTTGTTCGAGAATTCCGTTTGTTTGGTTGGGGGGCCGTGTGGTGAAGGGGGGTCACTTGGGATTCTCTCTCTCACTCTCTCTTTCAAGAGGGCATATGCAGAGAAGAGGTCACTTCCTCAACGCGGCTGGAATGGGCCGTTGGTTTCCCTTCTTTCCATCTCCACCCCTGATGACCGGCTGGACGGATCGCCTATCTATCTACCTACCTACCTATCTTTACATCAAGCGAGAAACACGTATAACTAACCAGCTGCATCTGCTTCGTCTTTGCTAGTATCCAGAGTTACATTTCCTCCCCCGTCATAAGAAGCGGCAGCTTCCCTCCTTTTCCCCCCTCCAGCAAACACCGCCCCCCCCTGCTTGCCTCGTGTCCCATCTACCAGGGAAACCCGTCGCCTGTCTCCCGAGGATCCTGGGGCTGCTGCTGCTGCTGCTGCTGCCAACATTATCATTTCTTCTGGGTTGCCTTGCCTGTCAGCCACATCAGCCTCTGGGTGTGTCCCAACCGATACGGCACGACTCTTTACTTAGCCTGGCAGGTCGGTGTGCATCGAGCCAAGACAAAGCTCTGACCTTGGTATATAAAAGGACTTCCAGCTGGCTTTCCCCCAACTTTCATCCAACGCACCTCGACCTCGCTTCCCCCCCCCCCCCCCCCCCCCTTTTTGCTTTTTCTCGCCTCTATCACTTGTGCAAGTGAAAGCACACGCAGGTCGTCGCCATGGCTGCTCCTCAAATCGTCGACAGCGGCGTGTCCAAGGACATGGGCACCAACGACCACCTCGACAAGATCGAGAGCCAGAAGGAGGGCTTCGTGGAGGAGACGGCGCGTGTCGTCGACCATCCCGCCGAGCGAGCCTTGTGCTTCAAGTTTGACATTCGCATCCTGCCCGTGCTGGCCATCATGTGTAAGTCACTTGTTACGTGTTGACAAAAGTCACACAGAACCAGCTTCTGACAAGTTGATCTATAGACCTCTTCAACGCCCTCGACAAGGGAAACCTAGGTAACGCCCAGACAAAGGGCCTCAGCGACGGTATGTTGCCCCCTCCCTCTCTTTCTCTCCCCCCTATTGCGACCATCATCAGCAGAACATCTCCATTCTAAACAAACACAAAAAAAACCACAGACCTCCACTTCAAGTCCAACCAGTACAACCTCGTCATCTCCATCTTCTTCGTCCCCTATGTCGTCTTCGCGCCCCCCTTTGCCATGCTGGCCAAAAAGTTCGGCGCCTCGCGCGCCCTGCCGCTCATGATGCTCACCTTTGGCACCATGACGCTCTGCACCGCCGCCACGCAAAACTTCAGCGGCATCTTCGCCGTCCGCTGGTTCCTCGGCATGGCCGAGTCCGCCTTCTTCCCGACCGTCATCTACTACCTCACCACCTTTTACCGCCGCGGCGAGCTGGCCCGCCGCCTGGCCATCTTCTACGCCGCGTCCAACATTGCAAACGCCTTCTCGGGCCTCCTCGCCTTTGGCGTCTTCCACATCAAGAGCAGCAGGATCTTTGTCTGGCGCTACCTCTTCATCATCGAGGGCGGCGTCACCTTTCTCTTTGCCATCTTCGCCTACTTTTACCTCCCGCGCAGCGCCTCCGAGGCAAAGTTCCTCACCGAGGACGAGCGCTCCCTGGCCTTCCACCGCATCCAGGTCGACTCGTCGTCCGACGTGGCCGAAAAGTTCAACTTCCGCGACGCCCTCAAGATCTTCACCTACCCCTGGGCCTACGGCTTCCTGCTCATCGAAATCTGCCTCGGCGTCCCCATCCAGTCCGTCTCGCTGTTCCTGCCCCAGATCATCGCCCGCCTGCAGTACTCGACCGTCAAGACCAACCTCTACACCGTCGCCCCCAACGTCACCGGCGCCGTCATGCTGCTCGTCCTCGCCTTCTGCTCCGACTACACCCGCCTGCGCTTCCCCTTCATCGTCCTCGGCTACGTCTTCACCTTCACCGGCTTCATCATCTACGCCGCCATCGACGACGTCACCAAGCAGCTGCACGTCGCTTACTTTGCCACCTTTATGATGTGCTGGGGCACCTCGGCGCCCTCCGTCCTGCTCTCCACCTGGTACAACAACAACATTGCCCACGAGGGCCGCCGTATCACTCTCACCTCCGTCGGCGTGCCCCTGGCCAACGTCATGGGCCTCGTGTCGAGCAACATCTTCCGCACCCAGGACGCGCCCCGATACGAGCCTGCGCTTATCACGACTGCCTGCTTTGGCGCGGCGGGCGCCCTGATCACGTTGTGCATGGGCACGTTTATGATTTGGGACAACAGGAGGCGTGATCGTCGCTCGGGAGTCAAGATTGATCCTCGGGATATTCCTACTTCGCGTCTGAGGGACGGTCCTAGCTCCCCTGAGTTTAGGTGGTTCTTGTAGAGTTTTTTTTTTTGGCTTTTTGTTTTTTGTTCTTGTGTTTTCAATGTTTTGTTGAATTGCCTCTATTTGGGCAGCCTGAGACGAGTATGATGAATCTTTTATTTGAAATCTATAACCTGTATATCGAGAGTAGCGAGTAATGTACCTAACTGGATGATGAATCTCAAAATCTTCAATCATTCAAAGACTTACAATGACCTTTCCAACACATTGAATCCACTCCCTGTCTGCGAAAAGTCCTCGCCCTGCAGTAACAGGTCCCAATCACCCAGCACGTCGTCACCCTGACTAACAAGGCCGAGGTACTGCTCTCGAAACTCTTCCTGCGCAAGATAATGTCCCGGCCCGAGATTGGGAATGGAGAGGTCCAGTGCTGGTGCCGCTGCCGCGTCATATTCGACGCGAGGATATGACATGGAGCTTGAATTAGCGTCCAAAGGGACTGCGTCAACTACGGTATTGGATTTCGCGTCGTTTGCTTTTGCTTCTCTTCCGGCTCCTCGGCTCGGAGGAGGCGGAGCATCGGACTGCATGCCGTGCAATCGCGCGGCGATGGAGCGGTCTAGATACTGCAGGAAGAAGTCCAGAACATTGATATTGATGCGCCAGTACTTTTGCACCTCTTTTAGGCAGAGGAGACACGTCTCGGCGCGGTGTTCGGCGAGGCGTCTGGTGAGCCCTGAGCCGCGGCGGATGGTGATGGTGTGGATGCAGAGCGCGGAGAAGATGCTCGTGATACTGTTCCTTTGTCAGAAGACTATGAGCGAAAGAGAAAGAGGTCCAAGCCTACAGATGCATTTGTCCGTACCGGAGGGTCCCTTGCGTCGACATGTCTTCGGCGATGCGGCTGATGCGGCACGCGGCCTTGATCACGACCTGGGACCCTGGAGTGGTAGATTCGAGCCGGAGGAAGCTATTCCTGTGTATCAAGATTTTGAGATGGCTTTATGTGCTCGTTCACATGTTTGAGTTTTGGTGTTGTAATTAGTCAAAGGACATGCAAGTGAGGAAATTGTTTCTTCTCTCGGGAAATTAGTAGAGTAATTCAAGGGCTGGACGCTTACTTGTATGCGAGGTGGAGGAGACACGCCCAGACGGAATCCGTGCCGTGATCTGGAGAGTACTTCATGTCTTCGGGGAGGCTGGCCATCCAGGCTTCGAGAGAGGCGTTGAGGTCGTGGACAGTGTCTGAGGAGGTTGATTTGAGGGAGGCGTGGCCTGGGACGAAGTGGAGGTCGATGATCCTGCCGACTAATACAAATGTCAACGAGTACCAAACAGCAGCGAAGATATACTACATCGGAAAGGGGGAGGGGATAAGTGACAGAATTCGGAAGAGGGTGGAGATTCAAGTAGACATGTGAATATCTTACGTAGCTTGGCAATTTCCACCATCTTGATTGCATATGTGACGTGCTCTGGTTGGCACGAGCCAAACGACGAGTCGACGGGGCTTGCTTCCGACTCCAGGTCCATCGGCGTAAGAGGTTCAATGTCGCAGTCTTCGTCTCTGATTCTGCTGGGAAGGCCTAGAGATGCAGATGCCTGTCGTTCTCTCACCTACATTGACGGAGTTTTTGTGAGTCTAAATGAATACCGGGCAGCAAAGTGCATCAAGAAGAGACGGCACTTACATAAATGGACCACCATATTCTCCGTCTCATGCAAGCTGTATACGAATCCTTGGACATGGATCGAGACCTGGGAACACAACGTCAACATCACAGCCACCACCACCGCCACGAGATTCAAAGAAACAGGAGACGCACGAGCGATGCAAGCCATACGACTCGGCAAGCGTAATCACCACCCCCAGCCAATACCGCACATCGCGCACATCCGCCGGCGCGCCCCTCCAGAAGCTCATGAGAAACAGCGACTGGATGAGCACCGTCTCGTCCTTTTCCCAGTCGGCATGGAACAGCAGCCGCGCGCGCGTGTAAAACGCCGTCTTGGCCTGCGACCGGTCCTGGAAGCCCATGGCCCGGATCGTCGCCGCGTCGCAGTATGTCGCCCCAATCAGGAGCATCGCCTGCAGCAGCATCCGCGACATGTCGACGCTGGAGAAGGACGTGGCCGAGGCCAGGCGGCGGGCGATCTGCGCCCGGTCGAGGATGGGGTAGCTGGGATGGAACCAGGCAAAGTACGCCTGCAGCGCGGGCAGGCAGCTCTCGAGGTCGGGCAGCGTCAGGGCGCCTTCGTCGGCGAGGTAGCGCATCAGGCCGGTGCTGAGGCCGTGGGTGCCGCCTTGGGCCGTCTGTGAGGTTGACTGGGGCGTTGGCGGCATGGGAAACGTGAATCGCGGCTTTTGGCTGTTTCTGCCGCTGTCGCCTGGGGCGTTGGACTGGGTAGAGGTGCCCTCGTCCTCGCCGGGAACGAGGGTGAGGAAGCTGGACTCGCCGAAGAAGCGGGTTCCGGGGGTGGCCGTGGGGGTGGGAGAGGACGGGGAAGAGGCAGCCGGGAGATGGCCTGGCTGGTGGTCCGGCACTTGGTCCTGCGTGTCCGACGAGGCCATCTGGTGAGATGATACCGCAGTTGCGTGAGAGACGGAGTCGAGCGGCGTGGACTGGCCGGTGTCGCTCGAGGCCTGCGTGACGCTCTCACTGCGCACCTGCTGCAGCAGCCGCCGGGACCTGCGAGGGTATCTAGAGGACAAGAGACCGGCCGGGTCAGCCTCATTCATATTCAGTTAATGAGTCTTACGATCATCACAACAGTTCTTACCGCCCCCTGCGCGACGGCAGCACCTGGCAGCTCGCCCCGGCGGCTCGGCAGTTGGAGCACGGCTGCTTCTCCATGACGTCGCAGCGAACTCGGCGCGTGTTGCACTCGCGACAGGCGTGCTTGGCCCGCGACTTCTTGCCGTCGCCGTCGCCTGGCGCTGGCGATGCTGTTTTGGACGCCTTCATTTGCGGCGAGACGACACGATGCTGAGAACTCGGAGGGCTTGAAAGACCAAATCTGGTGCTGAGATGGTGTTGATGCTGAGATGACAAACAAAGAGGCTCCGGTTCGGACTACGGACATGTGGTGGGGGGGCTTTGCCTCCGGCTTCGATTGCTGCAGCATTGATTATGACATGAGGACGCCCTTTGAGTGCCTCATCTCTACTTCTATTTTATCCATCCTCTATCATCAGATTGTTCATTTTTGAGGATTGATGGTACTTATTATAGTTGAGAGCTTAGCAGTTCAGGTGCATCTGCAATTCTCATCATGTTCATCGACTCACTTATAAGCCATCGACTCGTCTACAGCACCACCTCCCTCACTTGCAATTGAACTCTCACCATATGTCATCACAAGCATCTTCAACCTCAACTCAGTAACTCTTTGGCAGCCCCAGCGCCTTCTCTCCCACGTAGTTCAAGATCATCTCCCTGCTCACCGGTGCAATCCGCGGCACCAGACACTCCCTGAACCACCTCTCGACGTCGTACTCGGCCGCATATCCCATCCCCCCATGCGTCAAAACAGCCCTCTCGCACGCCGCAAACGCCGCCTCGGCCGCGAGATACTTTGCGCTGTTGGCTGCCACGCCAATGGCCTTTTGCGTGATGCCGCCAACGTCCGTCTTGCTGGCGCCGTCGTCGTAGAGCCTCGCCGCGTGGTACGTCGCCAGCTTGGCTGCCTCAAGGTGCATGTAGGCGTCGGCCAGGGGGTGCGCGACGCCCTGGTTCATGCCAATGGGCCGCTGGAAGACGATCCTCTCGCGGGCGTACGATGCCGCTCTGGCGAGGGCCGCGTAGCCCAGCCCCAGAGCCTCGCCGGCCAGGAGGCATCGCTCGGCGTTCATGCCGTGCAGCACAATCTCGAAGCCTCTGCCCTCCTCGCCAATGAGCGCGCTGGAGGGGATGCGGTAGCCGTCAAAGAAGACCTCGTTGGCATCCACCGCCCGGCCGCCCATCTTGCGGATCTTGCGCATCGCCAGCCCCGGCTGCGAGCGATCCAAGTCGATGCAGAACAAGCTCAGCCCCTGACTCGGCCTCTGCGCCTCCTCGTACGCCGTCGTCCGCGCCAGCAGCATCATCTTGGACGCCACCTGGCCACACGTCGTCCAAATCTTCTGCCCCGAGACGACATACTCGTCGCCCTCGCGCCTCGCCGTCGTCGCCAGCCGCAGCGTGTCCAGCCCGGCGTTTGGCTCCGTGACCCCGAAGCACGTCCGCCACCGCCCCGAGATGATGCCCGGGATCGTCTCCCGCAGCTGCTCCTGCGTGCCGAACTTGGCCAGCGGTTGCGTGGCGTAGACGTTTGCGTGGACGGCCTGCGCGCCCGCCATGCCGGCCCCTGACTCGGCAATCGTCTGCATCATGACGGTCGCCTCGGAGATGCCCAGGCCGGAGCCGCCGAGGGATTCCGGGAGGGCGATGCCCAGCCAGCCGTCGCGGGCGAGGGCCGCGTGGAAGTCTGCCGGGTCTTGCTCGTCTTGGTCGAGGCGTTGCCAGTAGGTGTTGGGGAAGCGGGAGCAGACTTGGCTGACGGCTTGGCGGACGGTGAGCTGGGTTTCGGTGAAGCCTGTCGTGTCCATGATGCGGCGATGTGCGCTGCAGGAGAAGCTTCTGTGACCTGATGCCATTATGTGGCATATTCGCTTATAAGAAGCGGTTGGCTGCCATGGCTGGCGGTTGAGAAGACGAGACATGGCGTGAGTTTGTGTAAATCTAACACTATCTGGTATATGTATCTTCCTTCTTGGAACGCTCCTGTCGTAGCGAAGATTGACTTGAATATATTGTTGATTCAGCCAGGACATGCATCGTCACAACATCTCGAGATGGTCATGGTGTTGATTCTCGGTTAATTGGACAGCTTCTGGTGGAGTCGAGATGTCCCATATAGCCGAATGGACTGTGACGTCAAATCAAGCGCGTATACGTAGTAGGTACATGTAGATATAGATGAATTGATATCTATCAAAGCGTCAACTCATACAACTCTCACAATGGTCATATTCAGTCAAGCAATTGTCAAGGTTGTTCAATTTGATTCATGCCCAAACCTATCGTACTGACATCATCTCGAGCACACAGGCACAAACAACACCCCCCATCCTCCTACCCACCAGCTGGTCCATCATCAAGCAATGGGCTCAGCAAGACTCTTCCTCCTCTGCATCTGCCCCTCAAACACCTTCTTGAACCGCCCACTACACAGATCCGCCACCGTCTCCTTCACGCCAGCCCAATTCTCCCGCACAATGTCCCCAGTCGGCCGTGAAAACACGGCGTCGATTTCCTCGAGCGTCTTGTCCTTGGTCTCGGGCATGAACAAGATCTGGTATATCTCGCCGACAAAGGCGATGCCGCCGTAGAAGCCGAGCGTCAGGCCGGTGCGCGTCATGGCGTCTTCCATGGCGGTGAAGTTGTACGTGACGATGAAGGAGGCGAGGAAGAGGAGGGCGTCGGACGTGGTCATGCCGTAGCTGCGGAGATAGGTGGGATATACTTCTGATGGGACAACTGGAAAGAAAGCGTCAGTAAGCCAGCGAGCGTAACAAATGAATGGTGGGATAGTGCGACATACCCCATGTTAAACAGGCATAGGACCCAAAGAACATCATGTAGACGATGAGGCCGCTGAGATACAGACCCTCTGCCGCGGGCAAGTTGCTCTCCGGGGGAATCAGATAAGCCACTCCAATCATTATCAAGCCAATGAAGAAGCCCGGAAGCATCGTAATGGCCCAAAACCGTCTGCCACAGGTTTCCATGAGGAAAATGGCTGGGATCGTGCCGATGAGCAGGGATCCGCCTCCGACAAGGGACATGTAAGTGGCCTTTTCGTCGTCAAAGCCAATCTGGTTCATCAGCACGGACATGTAGTACATGATGGCATTGACACCCGTCAGCTGTCCAAGGAGGATCATGATGTTGGCGTAGACGAGAGCTCGACGGGCACGAGGGACGCTTTTTTTCTCTCGTGTTAGCGATGGAGCACGCAGGAAAGACGCAAAGTTGCCACCACTTACGTGAAGAAATCCATCCAGGGGAAACGCTGGTTCTTTGCCCCTTCGGTAACGGCAACGTTCTCGTGCTGCACGGAGTTGGCCATGATGTAGAACTCTTCTCGGGACTCGGGAGACTCTGTGCCGCGGATGCGCTTCCAGACTTTGTACGAGTCCAGTCTTCTGTTCTTGTGCATGAGCCACCGAGGGCTTTCAGGCAGAAACAGCATGCTGTTCGAAGGGGCATTATTAGTTTTATCACATGAAAGTCTTACATTGGAAGCAGGTGTAGGTATGTAGGCTTACCCAGCAAACATGATGGTCGAGAACAACAGCGATGAGCCCAGGATGTAGCGCCAGTTGCCGGGGACCTTGAGGAAGATGGCTGCCACGGCATACCCGAGGACTTCTCCAAGCGCAATGTTGAACTGATACAGCGAGACGAGGTTGCCTCGAATTCGACGCTCGACCGTCTCAGCCACGTAGACCGGGACCGTGCCGCCCTCCAGCCCAACACCAAGACCGAGAATAACACGCCCAGAGACAATCATCCCTAGAGCCATCAAATGTTAGCAGACTTTTTGGTTCCCAGCACAAATAAGCCGCACGTATATAGGACAGCATATTACCAAAGTTGATGGATCCTGCTTCCAGCGCAGCACCCACAGTGTACAGCAGAATCGACAGAAGAATCGCCCACTTCCTCCCCCCGTACTCATTCGCCGGCGACAGCAGCAACGCGCCCCCGACGGCCCCCAGCGGCATGCCCGCGTTGACAAGGCTGTTCTGCCTGGCGCTCAAGTGCAGGTCCTTTGGCAAGAACAGGTTTGCGCCCGAGATCAGGCTCTGGTCCAGGCCCGAGAGCAGGCCGCCCATGCTGGCAAAGGCGACGAGCAGCCACGTAAAGTGCCGGGGGTCGCTGAACTGCACCTGGAAGAAGCCCGTCTCGAGACCGCCCGCGGCCGCGAGCTCGTCCTCCATGGAGGCGATGAGGGCGTCGACGGAGGCGGCGTCGGGGGAGGAAGGGTCTATGCGAGACTTGGTCTCGGTCATTTCCTTGCCGTCGTCTGACATGGTGACGGTGTTGTTATTGTTGGTGTTGCTGTGATTGTTGTTGGTGGTGTTGGTGTTGTTGTTGTTGTTGTTGTTGTTGTTGTCGTCGTCGTCGTCGTCGTCGTCGTTGTTTTTATTAGACCATGTACAACTTCTCAGTGTGGTGGATGAGAAGAGAAAAGGGTTTCCTCCGACAAGTGAGACACAGCCTTGAGGAGCACAGATGCCCGATATGCATTACAAGGGAACACAAACCGCCAATCCCATCACAAGGTCTCTCACACACACGCCGAGACTGTGTCCTATATATATATACATATATCTATATCTCCATATGAAAATGCCCCGGCGTCCGTACAGTATCATCGCCGCAAACAAAGGCCACTTACACGTCCCACATTGCCTCCGCTTTCAGCCAAATACCACCATGACGGGCAGACCCCATGGGCCAGTGAGCATAACGCAGAAGCTTCTCCTCGTCTCCCCCAACCGTTCATGCCCATCGGAATGGAGCAGTGGAGGGGCAAAAGAAGAAGAAAATGTCTCTCCCCATGTCGATCAAAGTTGGAGGGGTCGGGGCAATTCCGCGTACTACAAGTACTTCCCACATCAAGTCTTTTCAGATGGGGAGACGACCGCCGCCGTCATGCCATTCCAGGTATTGCATACAAGTACTGTACCAGTCTTCAACAATGTGAACTTGCTCCGAAAGTTGCTCATAAGCGGACTTGGTTGTCCGGCGAGTTTTGTCCTCGTTTATGACATCCTGGCTGCCGAAGTCGCAGGGATTCCTCATGCTTGAGAGGCTGTGATTTGTTAATGGCGTAGCTGTCGCTCGGCCTTATAAAGGGCCAACACCAGCCGGACCACACCATCACCACGAGCTCCTTATCTGCAATAACACCCTCTCAGGCCTAGCCCAGACGCCACTTGCTTCTAGAAGATACAACAGCAATATCATTCGCATCAACCTCGAAATATCTCACCCTCATCATGCACGACTTATTGTCGTCGTCGTCGTCGTCGTGGCCCTTCCTCAGATGGCCATCAACAAGGACGGGGTAATACTACTAGTACTACTACATACAGCCAGTACCCCATACCCCATACAAAGCCCCAGTCTCCTCACTCTCTTCTCCAAAGGCCCGATCCTGAATCATGACACTCGTAGCTGAAAACACCCATGATATCATTCGCACCTCTCGACAAAATTTCATCTCCACTTCATCTCCCGGACTACTTCTCCCTAGCTCAACGGCAGATGAAGCACACGGAGAAAATATGATCACCAAAACCGTGCCAATGCTAGTGATTTAGTATCCGTGCCAAAGGCACACAGAGACACAAGAGGTGTGACCCCCATGCATGGAAAATTTTGCTGCAGAAAGTGCCGGTTCTAGCCCGAACGCTGGAGTAGTACTTCGCACCTTGGAATAGCGTCACATTTCGGGAGTCCGTCACGGCACCCGGTCCAACTAGAACCAACCCAGCGAGTCAATCAATTCCTTGAAGCGGATCGCGGTCCGGCTGTCCGTCTTGGGCGACTTGCATCCTTCTTCCATTGTCACGGAGCCAAAGAACCGGTTCGTGCCACGTTTGAGCCATTTTTCTTGTTGTTCCTGAACGTGGTTGAATCCTCTCTGTCCACCTTACTCGCTTGACCCTCTCGTCCAGAGCCTTCTCTTCACCTAATTCTCCTGGTGGAGATGGCGAGGGTTGATCGGCTGCTGCCTGTTTTACCCCTGTTAGTGAGACGAGACAAGCTCCGGGGAGAGTTACCTAATAAGTCCACCGGCATTGGATTGCTTCTTCTGGGCTTCTATTATTATGGAGTGAGGTATTCCAGAAGTGTATTAATCAAGTCGAATGACCGAGGTATCTAGGTATTCTATGTCCATTTGTCCGAATTCAAGTCAACGCCATGCCCCGTCTATAAGCCCATTCTATATACATATGTAGTATCAACATCTTGCTCATCCTCAATATGCAGACCGGCGGCCCCAGTCTGTCATTTCGTTATACAGATGAACCGGAAACCGACTTTGCTCCTAGGGACTCGGTTTGCGTGCGAAGCTCTTCGTCGTCTCGTTGCTGGATCTCGATGGTAAGCTGCTTCTTCCTCTCTTTCCCGTCAAACAGATACGCCAGCTCCTCCAGCGTCGGCCCCGACGTCTCGACGAAGAAAAAGTACACAATGACAAAGATGAACGCCACCCAGATGCAATAGTAAATGTAAAACTTCCACCCAATGTTTTGCAGCGCAATCGGGTTCACATAGTTGCCAAAAATGGTGGCCACCTGCACGGTCAGCAGGACAAAGGCCCACGTCTTGGCCCGCATCTGATACGTGACCAGCTCCAGTGGATAGGTCACCACCAAGTTGGTCCAGGCCATTGTGTAAAAGGCCTGGAAGATGAAGATGCAGGCGAGGACGAGCCGGCCAGCAGCGAGAGAACCGTGCTGGAGATATTGCTGAGCGCCAATCGTCCAGGCAATGAATGTGAGCGAAACACCTCCAGAGCCGATGAGGAAGAAGGTGCGCCGTCGAAACTTGTTGATGCAGGCCGTGACGGCGAGCGCCACCATGTACTGCCAGAGCGTCACCATGCCGTTGACGAGGGTTATGTCCTTTTCGGACTTGACGCCGGTGTCTTTGAGGATTTGCGTGAGATAGTTTGACACGAGCAGGTTACCCGAGCTTTGGCTGAAGACGGCCGTGGCAAAGCAGAGAGATATCCTCTTGAGATTTGGTATCGATGAGAAAAAGTCCACCCAAGTCATGTTCTGGCCCGCTTCCTTTGCGAGGACCTGCCGAATCTCGAGGCATTCAAGGTTGACGATTTCGGAGTTTGGATCGCATTCGCCATGATATTTGACCAATATCTCGCGCGCTTCTCTCATCCGGCCCTTGGCAATGAGCCACCGAGGCGATTCGGGACAGAAGAATATGAGGCTGAGCTGATACGCCGAAGGGATGATTTGGATAAGCGTCGGTAGTTTCCATGACCATGATCCAGGGATGCGAAAGCATCCATAGGTCGCCCATGCGCCAATCACGTATCCTAGCACAATGGACGTATTGTAAAACGTGGTGATTTGCACGCGCTCCTTGGGATGGCTCAGCTCCGTCACCAGAACCGGCGCGCCCATCTGAATCAGCGAGGACCCAACCCCAAGCACAATCTTGCCTCCGATATACATGGCCAGCGAGGTGGCAAAGAACTCGATCAGGACGCCGGCGATGATGACAACCGAGCCCAGGGCGGTCGGGACGCGGCGGCCGCATCTGTCGCTGATCCAGCCGAGGAATATAAAGGGAATCACGCCGCCAATGGCACTCGATGCGCCGAAGAAGCCAAGGGTTGCGCCTTGGGGGTGTCCGAACTGGTCCTGCCACGTCGGGAGAACTTGCATGCCATTGGTCATCGACTACAGTTGTTGCTGCCCGTTAGCCTGGTTATGCGTATGAAGATCAAGACCAATCACAAAACAAGACTCACCCCGTCAATTCCCAACGCAGCGCTGGCAAGCAGCGAAGACGTGAGCAGAAAGTACAGCAGGATGCCATTCTTGCGCCGCCAAAACGGGGGTACCCGCGCCAGCTCGATTGGCGACGAGATGCCGTCAGCTGTGCGCGCCGCAGAGGGAGCCATCGTACATTGTCGGAATCGCCTCTTCCAGGAGCTGCGACAGGAGTTGTAGAGGGCCAGAGTTTGGAACGCATCAAGGGCCCTTCTTCAGCTCATCTGCTGCTTGTCACGCCACGCACGCAAAAGAAGGTTCACCGAGCGCAAAAAAATTGCGCCGGTCGGCGGTTGCTTAGTCACTGGGCAATCCATTCTCGGTCAGGGCGCAGCAGCCACAGGCCAGCAGTGGACGGTCGCCATTTGTTCAAACAACTTCAACAACAGAATCAAATCCATCATTTCATCGCATATCTCGAGCATCTTGAAGGCATCACGGATCAAGACGATCGACAGCTCAAGTACACACGTACCTGGAGATTGAGATCAGGCTAGGCATGCAACAGAAATTAGGTAATCGCGCAGCCAGGCAACCAGGGGGCGTCCTCTTCCCCACGGGGGGGCAACCGATCGAATTTTTGATCTCAGCCGGCGAATCGGAGAAATCAGCGGCCAGCGCTACCAGCTGCGAGGCTTCGAAGAAGGGCGGATAATTCGACAGACGCCGGCTAAGCACGCGCAGCCAATCACGGATCCTCGCCGGCTTCTCGATGGCGCACGACGCCCGTCCTTATTTCCCCATTAGGGCTCCCCGTATCACGGCCACGGGGTATCGGGGACCCTGGGGGCGAATCTGCTGCATCTCTGGGGAGGGCGGATTGGCTCTGAAGCACCTCGAGATAAGGTAGGCGCAAGATGCATGTCTGGGCAGGGAACAGGCGCACAGTTGACGGATGAGCGGGACCAGAGACCACAAGGGACGAGGATCCATCCAGCAACTTGTCGACTCCTCCTTACGTACAGTCCCCACGACTCGAACCGTTTCTCGACGGAGTAAATGGGCTCCACACGGCAATGAGCGGAGGAGACAAGCAGGCGGAGAGACAAGCAGCGAGAGGCGAGGACCAAGGCAACCGCCTGGGCTCTCACGTGTGGGTATAAAGCCGTTCCCCCTGGCACGACGAGAGAGCCTCATCGGGGTCGGTCCGTTTCGAGAACGGGCTGTTGTCACCTGTGCCTGATTAGCCTGAGTTGAGCTATTATCCCTGATTCCTACCGTCCCTGGGCGAGGCAGGACACATACTTCGTACTCTGTACGCACCTCCAGCAAACTCTGTCAGCTTGACGAGAAAAGGAGAGGGATCAGCCAGGTCGCAACCAGCAGCAGCAGCAGCAGTACAGAGAAATCAACCCAGATAGCTCAAAATGCCCGAGTCGCTAGCTCTGCCCAACGACTTTGAATGGGGCTTCGCAACGGCCGCCTACCAGATCGAAGGCGCCGTCAAAGAAGGTGGCCGCGGCCCGTCCATCTGGGACACGTACTGCCACCTGGAGCCATCGCGCACCAACGGCGCCAACGGCGATGTGGCTTGCGATCACTACCACCGCTACGATGAGGACTTTGATCTCTTGACCAAGTACGGCGCAAAGGCCTACCGCTTCTCCTTGTCGTGGTCGCGGATCATTCCCCTCGGCGGCAGGCTGGATCCCGTCAACGAGGAGGGAATTGAGTTTTACAGCAAACTGATTGACGCCCTGTTGAGGCGGGGTATCACGCCTTGGGTGACTTTGTACCACTGGGATCTGCCTCAGGCGCTTCACGATCGCTATGGAGGCTGGCTCAACGTGGAAGAGGTCCAGCTGGACTTTGAGCGGTATGCGAGGTTGTGCTTTGAACGTTTTGGGGACCGAGTCCAGAACTGGATCACCATCAACGAACCCTGGATTCAGGCCATCTATGTGAGTCTTTTAGCAGTGCTTCGTCTCCGGCAACCCTTCTTCATCTCACTCTCGAGTACACCATGATACTAATCCAAGTCCAGGGATATGCCACCGGCAGCAACGCCCCGGGCAGGAGCAGCATTAACAAGCACTCCACCGAGGGCAACACTGCCACTGAGCCGTGGCTCGCTGGAAAGGCCCAGATCATGAGCCATGCCCGCGCCGTGGCCGTCTACAGCAGGGACTTTCGCCCCTCGCAAAAGGGCCAGATCGGCATCTCGCTCAACGGCGACTACTATGAGCCCTGGGACAGCAATGAGCCTCGGGACAAGGAGGCTGCTGAGCGACGGATGGAATTTCACATTGGCTGGTTTGCCAATCCCATCTTGTGAGTCTGCCATTCACGGCCGGATCTGAACTGTAACTGAAACTGACACTCATGCCCCAATAGCTTGAAGAAGGACTATCCAGAGAGCATGAAGAAGCAGCTGGGCGAGAGGCTTCCAGCCCTCACTCCCGCGGACTTTGCCATCCTCAATGCCGGAGAGACCGACTTCTACGGCATGAATTACTACACATCCCAGTTCGCGCGCCACCTAGACGGTCCCGTCCCCGAGACGGACTATCTCGGCGCCATCCATGAGCACCAGGAGAATAAGGACGGCAGCCCCGTTGGCGAGGAGAGCGGCCTCGCCTGGCTGCGCTCCTGCCCGGACATGTTCCGGAAGCATCTCGCCCGGGTGTACGGCCTGTACGGCAAGCCCATCTACATCACCGAGAACGGATGCCCGTGCCCTGGAGAGGAGAACATGACGTGCGAGGAGGCCGTCAACGACCCCTTCCGCATCCGCTACTTTGACTCGCACTTGGACTCGATTTCCAAGGCCATTACCCAGGACGGCGTCGTCGTCAAGGGGTACTTTGCGTGGGCGTTGCTCGATAACTTGGGTAAGTCATCCATAAGCTCTCACTCTCCCCTCCCTTCTCTGGCAACCCGTTCTCTCAGACCCCGGACCCTCTCTTTTCGCCTAATACAACCTCAAAACTAACCTTACATTTTTTTTTCCCACCAAACTAGAATGGTCAGATGGCTACGGACCCAGATTCGGCGTCACGTTCACAGACTACACCACCCTCAAGCGCACGCCCAAGAAGTCTGCCCTGGTCCTCAAGGACATGTTTGCGGCCCGGCAGAGGGTTAAAGTGGCGGCATAAAGAAAGGGAAATTTCTTCTTGCATTCAGCCTCTATGCATCTTCCTCTCTCTTTTTCCCTCCCTCCCCTTGTCCCTCTCTCTCTACCTCTCATATTCCCTCTATACCCCCCGCTTCTTCTCATGACCCCATGCTCCTTGCCCTTGGCCCCTCTCTGTCGAATTCTGCCTCTTATCACGTCTTATGCGTCTGTTTACTTGCCTTTTTTTTTTTTGTCTCTTTCTGTCTGTCTGTCTGCCTGTCTATGTGTACCTATCTGGCCCTTCGCTCATTGGCAACAGATACTAGCACAAGTTCAAGCAAGCAAGCACGCAAGCAAGCAAGCAAGCCAGCCATCAACGGCATCAAAGCCCCATGTTTAGCCTCATGTTCACATTGCTATGTTATCTACATCAGCCATTCACTACCAGGCGAAGAGGCCACAGAGAGTCTCATCGTCTTACCTGTATATACGCTTTTTTAAAACATGTTATTCATACATACTTACATATGACTTTCCTTAAGAAAGACAATATACCAACACTCACTCACACATTCGAGTCAAGCATATACCTAAGTATATACCTTACTCACACTTCAATATTCAAGCATATATATATATATACACTCGGACCTTCGATTCAAGCCTATATATAAGAATAGAAACAAGGTAGGTTATGCGAGCAACATTGCACGAAACGGAGAAAACCAACAGCGTTACGTCGAGCGTTTCTCCGCCATTTCCCCGACCGCTTCATTTCATGCTCACCCATAGGTAGCCAGTTCGTATCCTATTCAGACTTCATCCTTCGCTTATTTTGGTCCTTCGCAAAAGGCGTCACTGCATTGCAACCCAACTCCAGGTTTCAAAGCCAACCACGGATATATACACCAACGTGATGAATATCCGGAATGACGGGAGATCTCCATAAGCTCATTAAGTACCTAGTAATGTAGGGAAGATGTACACTCAAATGCTAAATCGGACAACCCCTGGCATAGGGGAAAGAAACGCCTTTTGTTCCCCCCACTGCTGGAAAAACAAGTGCTGGAAAAAACAGAAAAGAGTAAACAAAGGGGAAATACCCAGCAACGCTGAAGGGGGAATAACACAAAGATCCTGGCCATATTTACACCGACTTTGACATTTTTTGTTGTTCCAACACACATTTAGCCAACAACGGTAGTGGACGTATTCCTCAGTTGGTCCGACGCCTTCGAGTCCAGCCGCGTGAGAATATCCAAAAGCACGGAAAAGTCGCTCCTGGCTCGCGTAGCCAAGGGTGAATCCTGGTTGCGATGGATGATGGCCAGCAAACTAGCTCCGATAAGGCGAATCTTTTCAACCTGCAGCATCCAGACAACATAATCAGGACAGATTAGCAACAAGTGCCGAGGCTTGATGATATACATATCCGCAGGGATATAAAGAGAGAGGGGGGGTCGTCGAAGAAAAGGGTGTGCAGAAAAGAGAAGAGACAAGGAAACGACTCACGTTTGGCTCGCCATTGGCCTGCAGGCCCCAAAAGGGCGCCTCGTTCATCACCCTCAGCATGTCTCGCACAATCTCCGACTTTCTGAGATCAGCCTGCTCAACGCCAGGAGCAAAATAAGAGAGGTCTTCGAATTTCTGCGTAATTACCATGCGCAGACAGTGAAACGTCACCTGCAGGTTGATGCACTGTATCACGTACTGCTTGGACTCGGCAGACCCGTTGCCTTCTGCCATCGCTGCCATCGCCAGAGTGCACGACTGGAGGTACGGCGGGAGATCGTCCAAGCAGGTGATGAAGCGGACATAGAGAGAATCGAGATGCTGCCTGTCGGCGGAGGGCAGCACATGGTTCGGGGGCATGGTCCCTCGAAAGTGCTGCATCATCTGATCTTGCAGCACGCGGATTTCCAGCAGCAAATCAGCCGCGGACTGCCAGAGCCGCACATTTGCGTTGAAGCCGGATATGAAGCTCTTCCGGGGCGGCTCGGACGCCGTGCTCAGGAACTCGTCCTCGATACCCGACGGGTATAGCGTGGTGATGCCGGCGTCGAAGCAGTACTTGTGGATGGTGATGGGCCGATTGTTGAGTATAGCGGCTGACTTGTCGCCCAAGTACAGGATCCAAAAGCAGCGACGGCGGAACTCTGCCTCGATGGGGACGAGCCCCTCGAGGGCAGCCTCCTCGTGCAGCTGCATGACCTGCGCCAGGCGGATGGCCTCGCCAAATATGTGCCACGAGTACTTGGGCTTCCCCGCAGCGTGGAGGCAGTTGGAGTGGAAGTAGCGAATGGCAATCGAGTTGGCCGTCGGATTCTCCAGGTCGGCCTCGAGGTGCTGGTGCAGGCAGTCCCGAGAGGCTTCGAGCAAGATCTCAGAGACGGATTCTCCTTCGGGGAAAATGTCCTTGGGTAGCATGAATGCTGCCTCTGCGCAGACGGCCGTGACCAGGGTGAAGGTCGAGTCGGCCCAGGGAGCCAGCCTGCTGCCGACGGTTCGCGAGCCGCTGGGCTGGCCAAAGCCGGCCCACGACTCGGCAGCGTTGAGGGGGGTGGTGCCGGTGGTCGGGTCTGGCGTGAGCTGTGACAGCGGCGATGGTTGGTTGACGCCAGGCAAGGGCTGGGAGAAGATGTATGCGAGCACGTCCCGGAGGGCCGGCTCGTACACCAGGGGGGTGAGGGGGTAGAGGTAGTCGAAGAAGAGGTCGATACATCGCTTCGAGACGCGCTCTAGCGTCGTGTTGCGCAGCGTCATGGCGTTGGCCAGGTGTATCCATCGCTGGCGCGTCGAGATGTTCTGGATGGTGGAGAGGCCGGGCAGGTCGCCCAGCGGCTGCCGGGGCAGGCCGTTGTCAATGCTGAGCGGCTCGACGGGCTCCCAGGCCGCGTCGGGCGACAGCGACGACGAGGCGAAGGGCTGCAGCGCGGCTACTGCGGGGCCGGAGAAGGTCAGCGGCGGCGGCATCTGGCCGGGTCGAGCCGCGGTGGAGAGCGAGCTCGGATCAGGAGGCGGCTGGCCGGGCTGGTCGCTCTTCTTCCTCGCTTTGGGGCCGCGTCGCGCCAGGGGCAGGTCGAAAGTGCACTGCACGTGGGCATCGCGGCAGTGCGTGCAGCTATCGACAGCGCTGAGGTACTCGCACTTTGGGCGGGGAAGAGCATTGGTCAGTGGTGGCAAGGAGAGAGTATCCAGGTGTAAGACGGGGGAGTAGCGCAGCATGGAAGACGAGGTCGGTGTTGGGGTGAGGCTGCAGCAGTATGAACGAGTTGTGAAGGCAGTGCAATACAATACACACAACTCTCAACACAACACAACGCTTGCCATGTATGCTGATGTATTGTATGTATGCTTTGTACGCATGACAGACACGCAGGAGAAGAGGACGGGAGGAGGGGGAACGGGAACGGGGAGAGGAGACACGGGCAGTAAGGACATATGAAGAGCAGGGACCAGGGACCAGGAGACGGGGAGGAGGAGGAGGAGGAGGAGCAGCAGCATCAGCAGCAGCAGGAGGAGGAGCAATGACAACAGAGATGCAAGCAACAGCAAAGGGGCTAGACTGACCTTGGCCTTGCGCCGGCGGCAGCGGTCGCAGGCTCTGCTCACCAGACGGCCTCTGGGATGGTGGTGGAACGAGGTTGCAGCCGACACGAGTGAGTTCTGCGGCGGCGTGGTTGAGGCGGTTGGCGAGCCGGGCTGCGAGGCCGAGGCAGACTCGGGCGAGGTGGTGAGGGCGTGGACAGCGCCAGCGCCAGCGCCAGCAGCTGGAGGGCCGCCTGCAGCTGCAGCTACAGAGCCCTGGGCCGGAGCTGCTGAGCCCATCGCCACGGAGCCTGTCCGGGTGCCTGGAAGCCCTGGAAGGCCTGGAGGGCCTGTAGAGCTGGAGCCTGCAGCGCCTGTGTGGCCGAGGAGCCACGGGGGGCAGCGTTAGTTGGGGGGGCCGCACTGCACTGATTGCGCTGCACTGCGTTCCAGTGCCACCCACGCGGGCTGGCAGCTGGGAGGGAACGCGAGCGGACGGGACGGGACTCAACGCACCTGTGTCTGCACCCGCAGCAACCGCCGCGCCGCCAGCTGCTGCCGCGGCCGCTGTGGCCATGGCTCTGGGGGCTGCCGATCGCTGTAAGGGCCTGTGCCTGTGCCTGTGCCCGTGGCCTTGGGGATCGGAGAAACGCAGGCAGAGTCGCGTCTTCCGGAGGCTCGAGGCGAGACGGGGATTTATCAACGGTCAAATACAGGGAGGAAAAGTGGGCAGAGGCTTGCATTTTTGTTGTCTGTTTGGCCCCTCCACTTTTATTTCTCTGGGGGAGCAGGAGGAGCCGTTTCTCCGCATGGGGCTCGGCCGATTAGCTAAGGCAAGGCTGCGAGGCCATCCCATCCTGTGCCGTACTCGTACCTACACTCATTCCATCCATCTTTCTACCAGACCTTACCTTAGGTATGGGATGGAAAGAAAACCTCCGCGGCTGCCACTAGCCTCCCCCCCAGAAAAGCCTGGGGAAACGGGCATGGGGTCGGAACGGGGGACGGGCTGGATGCAATGCTACGCTTCATCGCGCTGCCCTCACGGACGCAGACGGATCCCAGGCGCTGCGCTCAGGCGAGTCTTGCGTTCGAGAACCAGCCCTCATGAACCATGACCGACTCTGCCGCAGCGACTCATTCATCAATCACCACTCACCAGTCGAATCACAAGGCGCTCTCGACCCCCTTTTCCCCTTTTCCCCTTCTCCCACCTCGCCTTTCCCTTTTCCCTTTTTCCCATCCATCCGACCATCCATCGCCCGCCCTGCTAATGGCCGCAATAGCTTCCTAATGGGCAATTTCCTCGACATGCGAATGCGGGGTTTGCATGGCAACCCTGTCCGCGCGCCGTGTACCCTGCGGTAGTCGGCTCACCACGCGTGGCTGCGGGCGCTATCTGCTGGTACCTGGCGGCTATGGACATGGGATGGAACCCATCGCAGGATGCGACCTCAGACGGGTAGGTCCCTAGCTTTTGATGCTCGATATGAGATTTTCAACCGTCAGTGTGCTCGAGGGACTCATATTGAGAAGCTGGATAATATTGGTGAAGCTGCATGTGTCGTGTCACATCGGCCCATGGACCAACGCCAGCCGAGGTCCTGAATGCGAGGGCCAGCACGAGAATATAGCCTGAGAACGTTGATGGACAGCCATGACGAAGCCAATGGAGGCTCAGGGAGAGGCCAGCAGTTCGCTTCGACTCCAGCCGCCGGCTGTGGCTGTCTCGGCTCCTCGCCATCGTCGTCAATAGCCGGCGCTGCGACTTTGGCTGCGAATAAAACCAGCGCCGGCACCTCCTTGCGGCTTTCGCCACTCGATTGCCTCTGCGATGCGATGATCTCAGCAACTCCGATAATACATACCTGGTGAATGAAAACGGCCAAGAGCAGCGTGTTTGGCGTGTGTCAGAGACGCCACGACATCATGGAGGTCCGGAGAACGTACGAAAGCCAGGCAGTAAGTCCAAGTTATCTCTTGCTCAAACTGTGCCACAAGATCCAGGATTCGCCTCTCGTCACCTTTCGCGGTCGAGGGACGCACACGGTTACATGGACTACGGAGCCCGAGGCGCAGAAAACGTACATAGAAGGTCATAGTAACGAGGCAGTCGACATGGATGCGAGCATTCGTCTCGTCCATGGTTCGTTGGCTGCACCCACGCGACCTTCTGTCCTACCGCATACCCTCGCCCCCCACTCGAACTCGCCCCTGTCAGCATACCGTCTTCGATATTGCGAGAGGAGCGGGAGGAGAATATCCGCTGCAATGGCTCAGATGCTAGTCTCGCGGGGTTTCGAGCCTTGAGTCACGAGTGAGAGCAGAAGCAGCTGTGCGGTCCTGATTTAGATGATTCCAGACGCGAGTCGACCAGCTCTTTTGCTCAGCTGTGTTTTTGGCGGATACCCACACCTATCCTCTCCGAGTCTCTCCAACGGCACCTATACTCGATCGAGCAGGTCATGATGGGCCTCCGCAGTCTTCAAGACAGCCGACTCCTCAGCAATTGTCCACATCGAGATGCCGAGCGATCAGCAGTCTGGGGAAGACTCAATACCCCGGGAGCGGAGAGCGGAGCAGCTCCACGGTCACTGTCAACATATGTATACGCTTACTACCAGTAATACCTAGGTACTCGTACGCCAATTGCTATTTACCTGCACAAGAGGGATGACACTGTGACGAAGACATACAGCAAACGGGAGTGCTACTCTATTTGTGGGTAGGGTGTCGAGTATCGTCGCACAGCTACTCACGGGTCCTGGCATGCCGTATCACAAGATGAACATTGTGAGTCGTTACAAGCTTGCTTTCACCGGTTACCTTCTAGGAAGTTTCCTGGTCGCGGAGCACTTTTTCCTCGAGAACCCGCGGCACATGGCGCGCGCAGCGCAATAAAGAGCTGCCCTCATTGAACACTACTCTCGACTGAGAAACGAAGCAAAACACATCTCGACATTGTGGGAGCATCATACCTTTTCTCGCCAAGTCCGCTGTTGACGAGCGCTGTACGTTCGCTTTCGCACATGGCAAGCATGTATTCTCCGACTTATTTGCCGAGAATGCTCCTCTTCCCACTGAGACTCTCGGCTAGTCTCGTACGACCTGCCGAGTTGAATTTGACGAACAACGAACGTTTGATATGTTTGCATGAAGCAGGTTTGCCCACCTCGACGGCTTGGTGGCACAGTGAAAACATGCGACCAACGAGATGGAAACAGATGGCATCTGCAAACACAGATTGTGCAAGAGCGTGAAGGCGCGTTCTTGCCTGCAGTGATACACTGCGGGTGACTTGTAGGATCATATTGCCAATCAGCGTGAAGACATGAGCCGTGTTGTAAATCTGCAGAGGTGTGATTTTTCCCAGACGTCCAATCCCCTGACTTACAGTAGTCGAATTGCTCAGAACCAGCACGATTACCACATTCTGGTTGGACATCTCCTGCTTCTTGGTCACTGTAATCAAGCGGGTAGCTTGAGGCCAGATCTTCCTTTGAATGCGCGTAAATTAGGATGCATTACCAAGGGGGTTGGTCGTTTACAGGGTAGCACTCATCCCCAATCATGGCCAGACACCCATCGCGACCACAAAACAGCAACAGCCGCATCCCTAGCAGAACCATGAAACTCGGCCACTCGCGTCTTGTCTCCAGCATGGTTGCTTTCATCTCAAGACAATTTCTGTAATACAATCTTCTGAGAGTATTTAACGGAATGTTACCCCGGCACATTTCTATGAACTGCCGCTCAAGCAGTCCGTAAAGCGCAGGCTCGAACCGTGAGTACATGTAAACACTTACCTATATGCCTAGAGACAGCCAACGCCCTGAGTCTTCTCGCTCTATCAATATGTCACGTCAATTACCTAGTACTTGGGACATTCCCGCTTATATCGAATCTCTTTGTGAATTTTCATATCTCTCTTAATTTGTCGAGATGGGGTGTAATACATGACATGTCTGACTACATGTATATGTCTTGGCGTGGTACAGTGATCCATGATCCAGCTACGCCAATGAAAAAGGCAAGAAAGAGAGGTAGATACCTACCTAGACAGAGTGATGGTGAGCTTCCATTCAACGTCTCTTATACTTCGTCTAGGGCATCAAAGACGGGAGAGATGGAGAATGTTCATTGTGGAGACATGACAAAAGCTGTATAGTCCTGTATAGCGGCCCTGATTCTCATCTAGAAGCCCGCTTGGCTAAGCGGTATAGCGTGTCACTAGTAAACTACTTGACATGACAAGGTGATCAGTTCGACTCTGATAGTGGGCAGTTTCTTTTTTGTTTCTTTTTCGCAGGATTTCTGTTTCTTTATCGATCCAATTCTCCTTTTTTTTTTGTGCATTCAAACGTGGTTCATTCATAGGTGACATGACCCTATCTCGGATAATGACAAAAGAGATCTGCTGGCAAAGTTCGATCCAACCACACATCTCTTCATCACGTCTCAACCAGGGGCATTTCCTGCTCCCGACCACCCAAATTCTCCACGATACTATTCATGCGTAGCTTTACTCCCCCAATTGCCAGATGGTAAGACAAGTAGAAGCTTAGGTCCTGATGGTCAGGGCCAGGTCGGCGTGGATGTTGCTCAGTTGGGCCTGGGCCTGATCGGCATAAGCCGGGATACGGGCAATGGTAGCACCGGCCAGGTTCACAATGGTCCGCTCAATCAGGTTGAGAACGATGCCGATGGGGCCGCGGAGGAGGGAGTTGCTAACAATGCCGGTGGGGCCGAGGAAGGTCTTGATGAATTGATCGTTGGCCTTGGTGAGCTGTATATGACTGTCAGAGGGATTCTTTGACGGCTTTCTATTGGGTATGCCAAGTCAAGAGATACGCACGTTGATGAAGGTGTTGTAAATGTTGAGCTGGTCGGTCTGGTTAAAGGTCGATGTGACGGGGGTGGTGACGAGGTTGCCAGCGTTGGTAACGAGGCTACCAGCCAAAGTGCTCAGGGTGTTGACTATGTTCTGGAGGCTCATTTCATCAGTATTGCTCTACTACTAGTACTACGCGCGGCCGCCAGAGTAAACTTACGGGGAATTGCTGAGCAAGAGTGGTGGAAGTGATGTTGCTGACGGAGTTTCCAGCAACGGCGAGCGCATCGCTGACGCTGTTCAGCGTGGCTGTGACGGCGGTAGCGTTGAGGCCAGCACCGCCAATGTCGAGCTGGTGAATCTCCGCTGCCTGCTGAGTCTGGATGTCTTGGGCAAGCTGCTCGAGCTGGTGAACCTGCTGGCTCTGCTCGCTCTGCTGAATGGCCTTGCCTTGCTGAGACGAGGACATGCCATAGGCGCTCTGGACCGTCAGAGCGGCGGCGAAGACGGAGAGAAGCTTGAACTGCATCTTGACGGCTCGGGGATGGAATTGTGAGAATTGAGAGATATGAACCGGGCCTGACGAGACGAGAATGTCGGTATGGATCTTGACTTGTCTTTTATATCCCACTGAACTGCGTCGTGTGAGGCTCAAGGGATACAGTGCCCATGGTGACGATAGACCGCCACAGCCATATCCTCGGACTCAGAGACTCTGCGTTGAGACATTCGGTATGGCGGTCCATTCCTATAGACTGACGTTTCCAAGACACAAAGGGGGTGCTCCGAGGAGAGCAACGGCTAATGGCTTCAACACCTACTTGACGGCAGTACTAATCGACAGGCAAAGTCTGGAGACTGCGAGACTCGTTCCATGGTTGCTACTTGGCTCAAAGCTAGCTTCACATTTGACATAAACCGGAGAGTCTCTAACGAGCTTGAGACTCTATTGCCTAATTTTAGCTGGCTCTAGATCATGAATACTCCCTGGGTAGGCGAATAGCCAATAACACTTCACATAGCGTCATGGTGCCATTTGTTTCCATTCCATCGTGTCTTAGGCCATCCGAGGCCATCCGAAGCCATCTGGAATGTTGTTGGTTTCATGTTGCGGCCCGCCCAAATGACCGCAATATCTTCCCTTCTCCTTGAGGGAGAGTCGAAAGAGCGGCAACTCCCGCTCTGAAACATTGTTTTCTGTCAGTTTTGATGCGGCGGCGGTGAGTGAAAGCTCCTTGCATTGTTATATGCAGTATCTATCATCAATTTGAGAGGCTCAATGATGAAATCGGGCTCGTGAGAATCCAGCCTCGATTAAGAGGATCTGGGCCAGATCAAGATTTGTGTTGCGTCTGCCGCGGTCTCTCAGGCCGACCTTTCCACCGAAAGGAAGCGAATAGAGCCTCTTTACAGGACCACATATTCACAGAGGCCAGGAATACACATCCTTTCTCTGGATTGATGGAAAATGTGGTCGTTGGAGTGACATCTGAAGCTTCTGGCATACAACGTCAACCGTCATGCTACCTATCTCCTTCTTAATAGGCGTCGACCACGGCAGACAATGTTGTGATGAACTTCAGCAGGTTCGGGCTCCTCTCAGCGTCGTAGAAGCTCGAGAGCGGCAGCCCACGCAGAGTAGATCTCGATCCTCGGATGATCCTCCGTGGAAGCCCCCTTTCTCCCATCCCCCGCGAAAAGAAAAGATGAAGGAGTCGGGAGACCCGCAGATAATGACAGGCATCAAATTCTGCACGACGTGAAGAGGGGCTCAACAGAATCAGAACATGCCGAAATAACGCCCCCTGGTTGACTGCCATGGGGATCTGACAGGGAAGCACAGTTGGTTTCGTCCCCCCCCATGTCCGAAGGCACGAGTAGCCGGATTGGCGCCGAACCTGTCCAGGCACTGAATACAAGGCGTCTAGAATGCTTCGAAGAAAAGACGTCCAAAGGCGCTTAGAGGCGCCAATGAGTTAGTCTTAGCAGCCGCTGTCCATTGGAGCCAAAGGAATCTGGGGAAAGCAATTGGCCAGCAGCGCAAGCGGCGTGAGCCGCCGGACCGCGCGGATCCAATACCAAGGGTTCGAAGAGGATAGCTGCACTCCGTACTCGTTGCAGAGAGAACAACGACGGCAGCTCCAGCAGGTAATTGCCGAGTCAAAAACTTTCCAGAGGCCTCTTGCGGAACAATCGGGACTGAAGCCGAGCCTGCGATTGATTGTGCATGGTGCTAGCACTCGTCTAGGCAGGATACGCGATGCTTGTCCATGTCGCCCTCTGGCCGTGACCGGGACTGTCTATTGGAGTTTGGTAGCGAACGAGAACCCCCGCCGGGAGCGGCACGCCATCTTACACCTGCTGGGCAAGGAGAAGATTGCGATTGCGATTGACCGTCCCAATCCTCTGGCTCCTTTCCGCTCGATTGCATTTCGTCTAGAAGGCCGACCGAATGTTCTGGATAGGAGGAAATTGGGCCCCTAGAATTGGGGATCTTGCTTGACGAGATTGCCAGCGGATGCCAATGATCAAGGCCACAGGGAAGCTGGCGTCGCGCTCGTCCCTTGCATGATGGGACGCTGAGGGAACCCTGCTCCTGCTCCTGCTCCTGCTCCGGCAGCGTTTTTTGTGCCCTTGTCCCATGTTCTGGTCCGGGGCTGGATGATGCAAGGTTCAAGCAAGGCCAGGGGAAAAGCGTCCCTAGGCAAGGCAAGTCATCCAGGTCGCAGGAGGTGGAGGAAGAGAAAGCGGAAGTACCCTGGCGCCATGATTAGGTGCGAAGATACATTGCCTGGCAGGCACTGCAGCTTGCTTGTAGGGAGCGCACGCGGTTGGCAGCTTGGCAGAAGCTCTAGGGCCAGTACAGGGACCACTGACTCAGTCGCCGGGAAACAGAATTGTTCATGACGAGTGTGTCCATGAAGTCAGGTTGGAGTTGTTCGCGGAAAATACTGCATGTGGTCAGTCTGTTGTCAAACCCCAACTTCCATCTTCTGCCCCGTACGGAGAAGCCCGAATGAGGACCAATGTACATGTATGCAATTGCACTTTCACATGCAATCTTATACCGACGTATCGTACTCGTACAGTATCACCCCGCGCCTTCCTCAGAATGCAGCCTGGAGACAATGAGAGGAGACAGAACAACAAAGAAGGAGCGGGTGAGAGAGCGAAGAAGGCACCATCGTGGCCGAGACCATCCTGGTTGGGCGTGGCTGCTGCTTGTCTCAGTTTCACCGCTTCCTGCTGTGGCAGTCACGAGGTCTGTCCAGCTTGCCTCTCGCTTGCCTTTGGATGTTGGGCTGTCACTTGTGCAACTGCAGCTGTTGCACCTGCTGTTGCACCTGCTGGCGCCAATGGCAAGAGCTGCAATGCGAGTTGCTGTGCCTGAGACCATCCGGGAAGGAAACTGTGACTGTCGCTGTTTCTCATGGCATGTGAAAAATCGATCGGCTGGCTCGTGCTGGTTCTTTTGTCTCGTCCGTCTGCTCCTTGTAATTGTGCCTGATGCGTGTGATTCTCGAGCTTCAATCTAAACAAAGTACAAGACAAGCGCGCACTAACGGCTGCTCCGTGCACAGTCTAGCATTCTCAGCTGAGGCGCCTCTGCCTCATGATGCTGGCACGGCTGAGAAGACAGCTCTGGCACGTTCATCCAAGGTAAGTATTATTGCTTGCTATGTATCGTAACAGAAGGCCTCGCACCCAGCGCTGCCCGCCAGACAACATGCGCAATGCCAAACCAGAGCACAGAACCCAATCCAGACGCTTCCAAGTTTCAGCGCACCTCCAAGAGCCGAATTTTGTCCCGTTCGAGACACCCACTCCTCTCGCCCCCCCGGAGATAATGGTGGTGGTCTTGTTCCCTCAACCTGCTTCAGTTCCCTCGTGGCCACCATCGGCTACGGCTACAGAAGCCGCCACAGCGCTGGGCTAGAAGAAAAGCAGCCTGATGATCACCAGAAGCCAAGTTCAATCCCGCAACCTTCTTTTTACCCGTGGCCAATGGCGACGCTGGCGAGGCGTCACCTCCAGCGACATCGGATGCCGCCGTCCAACCATGACGCTGTAGCCGACCACATTCTGTCTTGACTCGCCCTGCTTGTGGCTCGCTGCGCATGACCCCCTCCCTCTCGACGCTACCGACAAGCTTTTGCAAATGCTGCACACACTGCGTCTGCATATGTGCGAGTCCCTTCCTGTAAGAGAAGGCTGCAGCCTATCAGTGCGTCTGCATCCTGGCATGGTGTTGCACAGCCTCCACCTGGCCTGCAGCAAGCAAGGTACCAAGAACAGACAGCGGCACGTTTGGAACGCTCTCGTCGGTCGAACGCCCGAAAAGCCACGCAGAACCGACCGCAAAAGCGCAAGACTGTGCCGTGATTTGCTGGCGAGGGTGGCATGTGCACAGGCTGGGCCTTGGACAGACCAAATGGCCAAGGTATGCACTTTCAGTATGGACCACCTAAACTTGGACGCAGGCGATGTCATGACGATCTCGCGATGCTGATCCGTGCACATGACAGGTTACTGGTACTCTGTTTGCACTGGCGGGCACATGCACGGCTTCGACATCTTTCACTGATAATCCCTCGGCTGTGATTCTGCCATTCGACAGCTTGACCTGCTCTTGCAGATACGTGCATCATCATACCTGATCCGCACCCAGTACGACCTGCAAGTGTTATATCATCCACCTATCGTCCCCCCATTGGCGACGCAAGACGCTCTGCAGAAGGTCCTTGTCGGACTTGGCTCTGCAATAGCGCCCTTGTAGCCCCTTGCCAATCCTCGTCGTCAACCCACTCTGTTGGTGGTTTAAGCGTTCAAGAGGGACCAAGAAGCGAGAGGAGCCTGCGCAGCTCTCCACTTGGCACCTATTTAACGGACTGGACCTCAGCTTCCGCTGCCTGGCGATGGGCCCTTGCCAACCGCCAAACCATCCTGGACATTGGGTTTTGGGTCCAGGCGATTAGCCACGCGACGCCGTCTCTGCACAGAGCGCCCTTGACCACAGCCGTCTAATACTCATTACGAGACTGGTTGCTTTCTCAACAAGCACATCGACGCCCTCTTGACGACGCTGGGTTGACTCACCAGGAACCTTTGCTCTCTTCTGATAAGCCGGTTTTCTCGGGCCTCAACCGCCTGTAGGCGTTCGTCTGTAGTCCATCGCCGCTGTTCTCGCTGAAGGAGACGAGAACAAGAGAAGACACAGGAGGGAGCGAAATACGTTGCCGCCCATAGGCAACACATCACAGTACTGTACATGGCAGAAAGATAGTCGCCCATCAAATCAGTCGGAATCTCGTCATCGCCAACCGACCCCTGCTGCCGTGGTCGTGCAAGCTGCTGCTCACCGCTGACTGGTGATTCGACCCCGTCGGCCCCAAACTCCACAGCCGGCTTCAACCATCCCCGGCCCTGCATATACTCGGGCAAGGATCGGCTCACCAGCAGCGGATCCCTACTGAATGCCCCTTGGCTTTTTTATTTTTTCTCTCTTGTCCCCGCCTGGCGTGGGCCCTGCATCGGACGCCATAAACCGGACCAATCGAAGTCTCTGCCGTCGCCAGTCGCAATCCCGCTTGTCGCCCTCTTCGATTCGAGAGAAACGGGCGCCTCCGCGAGAGCTGTGTTTTATAACTCTTGCCTGACGGTCCTCCTGTGTGGTTCCTTGCGGCCGGTAACCCAGACCACACATCATTTTCGTCTTTTGATATTTGGAGCCGCTCGTAATCTCACGAGCGCATATACAAGTCCATGACTTGCTGGTGACCTATTCTCCCGCCTTGCAGATAAATACTTTCTTCATCCTATCTGGATACAGTCGATATCTTACCTCCAGAATACTCCATCCTTTGATAGCTTGGCGTCTTCGAGCTGGCCGTGACGACTCCCTTCAAAACCAACTTCTGTTGATCACTTGTATGGGTACTGTCCAACATACCCATCACTTACATCGCGCTGGACGCAACCGTGTCGAGTCTCTACCAACATGGCTTCCTCACGAAGGACATCCATAACCTCCCAACGCAGCTGGAAAGACCCTCTTTCTTCGCCTTCTCCCACCTCACGCGGACGCCAGCCCGTTCGGTCTCCTAGGTCCCCGAGAGAGCAGTCTCCCACGATTGTCAGGGTTCAGCGAAAGGATTCTGGTTACGAGTCGCATGCTTCCTCGCCACGTACGTCGGCGACTTACATTCGGCCCAAGCCTTTGTCACGGCGTATGTCGGGAATGTCCAAGTACGGCACCGCATCAGCTCAGTCTCTGCGAGCCCGTATGCGCCCCCCGATCCGCCGGCCCGCCACCACTCAAACATCCATCTCGTACCTGCCGCGGACTGTCGATGCCACTTTTCCAACGGTATACTACCCGTTCCAGGCCCCTGAACTTGCCGAAGTCACGGAAACAAGCCAGGAAGCCCAGAATGTCTTTGTGCCGCCCCAGACGACACATTACTGGACCAGTGACCGAACCCGTCGACTGGAGTACGCCGCCATTGATGCTGCAGGCAAGGGTGTCAAGGGCTGGATCCGAAAGAATCTTCTCCCAGATTGCTTTGCCGGCAAGAACAGGCACGTTGCCTTTGACGATGACACCGGCAGTGTTCGTCGTTACAGGCTAGACCTGGAGGACGAACCGGAGGAGAAGTGTGTGTCTACCTGCAACACCTCTTCGTCGCGCAAGAGCCGGTTCTCCATCCGCATCCACCGCAAAAGCGTTGCCGTTTAGCCATTCTCATCTTCTGATACCCCATTTTGGATCATTTTCTTCATCTGCATTCCGGCGCAACACATCATTACATTTACTCGGCGTTATATACCCGATTGCTTTTTTATTTTCTTTTTCCTTCACCGTCTTTCAGGTTCTCGTGTGGGTCTGCACGAGATGAGATACCAAGCATGCGCATATACCAGGAGAGCGATTGCATTTTCTTGCCTTTTACACCTTACTTTGTTTTAAACTCGCAGAGACACGGGGAGTATGAAGATTGATTCGAGGCTTTTCCCTTGAGCCCTTCGTCTCCCCCCTTTTCTTTCATGTTTTGGGCATACCCTTTCTTGAGCGGAGGGACTGGTTGCACTCGACCAGGTTGAACAGTGCGGCGCCCAACGATGTGGATGAGATGAATGACCATTATACCATAGAGCTGGTGGATAGAATAAAGGAGCATGGCCCTTGAGACTGGAATGCAACAAAAGGACCGGGGCGGCGAGGGGCCTGCGAGAGGTCCGTGATGTCAACTCAAGCCCGGCTCTTTGTTGCTCAATTCCGGCTTTAGATAGGAAGCAATCAAAGCACATTTCATTTCGAATCCAACATGAATCGGTATCGTCCAATGAAGCTAAATAGATGTTGTGTCCCTCATGGAAAAGGATGCGGAAACTCTAAGATGTTGGAATGCGCAACCAGCCGCCCGTCCACTACGATGCGACATTTCCTTTGAACGATATACAAGCAATGGCACATTGCAGCCATGGGCCAACCACAGAAGCAAAGAGCTCATCAGCTCACCGACACATATCCCCAAGGCACTCCAAACTCCTCGAGCCCCCCAGTGATCACTCATAGACACCGACCGGATCCGTCCGCCTTCCAGACCGGCTCTCCGCGTCCGGCCCCGAAACGAGTTCCTCGAGACGCGGCTCCACCCAGCGGCGGCACGGCATCATCCCGTCCTCAAGGACCCCGTCTACGCACCGGACCGGCTAGAAACCAAATTCCGTCTACCCTCCGAGGAAACGGCCCTATACCCAAGATGATGAAGAAGAAGAAGAGTAGTCCCAGCGGGATCAAGAAGCCTGAAAGTGACAAGGTTAAGGGGAAAAATAGCAGCAGGAGGAGGAGGAGGGTTGGTGGTGGTGGTGGATCTGATGTGGTGGCAAAGTGGCTTGAGTGTGTCCCGAGGGAGGTGATGGCTGTGTTTGTGAACATGCATGAGCAATATGCTTCGAGCGTGAATGACCTTAGAGCGGAGATGAGGTTTTTGATGGAGAGGCTGGAAGGGTTGGAGAGGGTGGGGGAGAGGTTGGATGTGCATGAGGGGTTGTTGGGAAGTGTGATGGGGAGGTTGTGGAAGGGAGAGGGTGATGATGGTGTAGGTGTAGGTGAAGGTGAAGACGAAGTCATGGAAGAAAGAGGTGGCGACGAAGCCGTGGCAGCGACAAGCCCTCTCAACATGGACGTTCCCCCCACCCCCATCGGCGAAAGACAGCCCATACGAAGCACCGGCCTGGGGGTTGCCAGAAGAAGGAGGAGGCCCGGCACGACAGCGCCCTTGGCCCTTCGACAACAAAGCGCAGACAGGCCTGCCAAGCCGGGGTTTCCGAGGCCACGCTCGGACGAAGAGACTGCCCCTCAGCAAGGCAGTGGTGGCAGTGGGACGGGAGATGGTAGAGCTCACAATAACGATGGGGATGACGACGACGACGATGACGATGATGATGAGGGCCTCAGGATACTTGACGGCGCACCGCGGCTTAGGGCCTTGCTTCGTCGACAACATGGCATTGCGTCGCCGCCGCCGCAAATGGAGAGTCCTCCGCGGCGAGCACATGTCGAGCCGGATTTGGATTCGGATTCAGGCTCAGATAAAGATGTGGACGTGGAGGACGCCGAGTACATGCCTGGTTCGCCATCGTGTTCGTCTGAATCTTCATCCCTGAGCACGGCCTCGGGCGCGTCCTGGGCTCCAGAGGGCTCGGCTTCGCCTACTTCAAGGGGTGTCCGGAGGACCGAATCCACAAAGGGATCGCGTTCCGCAGGAATGACGAAACAAACAGGTCAATCATCGTCAACACCAAAAAGGACAACAAGACCAAGGACACCCAGAGAAACAGCAGCAACAACATCTCCGGCGTCACAACAACCACCACCGTCACGACCAACACCACCAGAAACAACAGCAGCATCACCATCACCAGCAGCCCCCTCCTCCAAACCCCGCTACTCAACCCCTCGCCGCACCACCCTCAAGCGCACCAACTCGGGCCCCCAGTACGCCGGCAAATTCACCTTCCGCCGCAGGGGCCGCACCGTCCTGTCCGTCTGGAACGAGTACAAGGTCGACGGCGACGGCGGCGGCATCGTCGGCACTGGCAAGCCGTTCCGCTGCATCGAGAGCCTGGAAAAGGAGTACGGCACGTGTTGGCGCACGGGGAGTGTGGGCGACATCAAGTACGCCAGCAACTACGTCGGTGTGCGCAAGAAGATTGTCGACTTTGTGGAGGGCATGTGCGAGCACGGAAAGATGACGCCGGAGGAGGCGTGTGCCAAGTTAGATGAGAGGGTGGATGGGAGGTTGCAGGAGCTGATCACGGTGCTGAGGAAGGGGCTGGATCCCTTCAAGGCGATCCCCGTGCGTGCAGGTAAGAGTGTGTCGACCTGAAGAAGGCGGAGGAGATGGAGCACAGAATCTATATATCAGTCAAAGCAAAGCGATAGTATTCCATTTCAGGCCGAAACCAAACTATCGCCCTTATTACATACCATCATCTCGCCATGAGGAAAACGACGTGAAGTAAATTTCCAGACACACATCTCTCCACCTAAGTCGCCCTTGGCTTCACCTTGACGTAAAAGTCAATCGGCCGAATGTTGAACCATCCATCCAGCGCCAGCTCATACTCTGGATCCGCCATCTCGAAATCAAACTCCCGAATCATCTTGGCCAGCACCACCAGGCTCCACTGCAGAGCATAGTATCTGCCGATACACACTCTCTTGCCATTCCCGAACCACTTCTTGGCTGCAGCAGGCAGGTTCTCAAAGGCCTCGCCAACCATGCGCTCGGGCTTGAATGCCAGCGGGTCGTCGAACACGGCTGGATCCCGGTTCACGCCGTGCAGAACAATGATCATGGCCTGGTTGTGAGCGACCTGGTACTTGCCTCCACCCAGCAGCACGGGGCTCTTGTCGCCCTCCTTGGGCAGCGGCTCAATGTTGAATCCTGGCGCCGCGGAGGACAGGCGGAGCGACTCGCGCACAATCCCTTGGACGTACTCTAGTTGCTCCAGGTGCTCCAGCTCAAATTCTCGGTCGCCGAGAACCCGGTCCAGCTCTTCGCGGGCCTTGACAATCGTCTCCGGGTTCTTCAGAAGGAAATAGATTGCCCACACTAGCAAGCAAGGCGCCGTGCTGCTGCCAATGGGCATTGTGACAATCTCGTCAATGACTTGTGAGTCAGTCAACTTCTTGCCTGTCTCAGGGTCGGGCGTGTTCATTATGGCGGCCAATACATCCTGCCTGTCTGTCGGGTTCTCCTGGCGGTACTTGACCAGATCTGCGGCATAGTCTCTCATGACCTTGATGGACGACTTGAACTTGCGGCCGTACAACAGCGAGTTGAGCACGCCTGGCCGGGTAGGGCGCTTCATCGCCTCAGAAGTCGAGTCTTCCATTGCCTGAAGCTCCGGGTGGGGAGGGCCGATGAGTGTATTGAGCCGCTTGCCATACAAGACATAGGTGGTGGCCTCGAGATTGAGTCTGTTGAGCTGCTCCAAGGGCGAAATGGTATTCTTGTCACCGAGGCCTCTCCAGGTGTTGAACAGCTCCGTCGCCAGATCCCGCATTTCTCCAAAGTGGAGCTTCATAGCTTCGGGGCTGAGCTTGGGATAGATGATTCGGTGAGCAACGCCCCAGCTTGGCTCGTGATCATATGCAGTGAAGAGCGAGTCGTGGACTGCCGCGCGGATCTCGACAACGGGCCCGCCGACATACTTGCGGAATCGCTTCTCATCGCAGAGCTCCTCGGCCAGGGCTGCGCTGGCAACGAAGACAATGGTTTGGCCAAGGACTTTAATCTGAAAGATTTCGCCGTACTTTTCTGCGAGCTTGCGTAATGAGTCCCATGTGTTGCCGGGCTTCACGTCAAAGATGTTGCCAAGCAGGGGGACGCCAGGCGGCTTTGGAATCGGGGTCGTCATGATGAATAAGGCGATATATGAAGAGTGCGTGTGTGAGAAGCAGTGAGGTGTAAATATAGTAGTAGGTCAAGGAGCAGAGTATGGGAAGATGAGGACGAAGAGAGGGAAAACAAAGTCAGGGAGGCGTCGTCCGGCTGCTCCTTGTAAGTCAAATGGACGTAATACATGGACAAACAAGTACTAATGTAGTGATCCCGATGTCGTCCGCCGATGAAGCGTAGCATTGGCTGGTTGGGCTACCTGGATCTGTAGTGAGACATTCACTGCTTGGCCACGCTCTACCGATCACGAATAGCAAATGCTTCGTGCTCATTGCTTGCTCGCGGTGCCAGCTCATCCATGCAGCAGCCGCTAAGTCTGCACGCTCATCTCAGGAGCAAGCATCGGATGTCGAAATGGGTTTGCCTCTGCCGCAGGTCAATTTGTTCAGCGAATTGTGAGCTGCAGAGTGAGACACTCCCCCCGCCGTCGTCTGCCGTCAATTGGTCTGTACGCCGTATCGGGAATCAAGCTGTCTCACAAGGGGGCAGCTCCTTGCCTCATCAATGCAAAGGCCCATGCCCGCGCAGGTTGGCACCGGACAGCAGTGCTACCCTGATGCTGCGGCTCCTCTCGCACAAGCACGCGTACTTGTGGCATAAAGTACAGAGAAGGAGTTGAAGCAGTAGCAACAGCAGCACGAACCAGTAGCCCGCAGAGCAGAGCATCACCAACCGGCCGGCACCTCGCAAAAGCTTGCATTAGCGCCCGGGCCTTGGATGGACGGACCGGCGATTAGGACGGCCGTGGAGAGGCCAATTGCCCATCAGCCAGCGGCCAGCTTGCCAGGCGAACCCGCTCCCGAGGGCCAATCTCATCTCGGATGGAACCTGCACTGATGCGGGCCATCACCGAAGGGAGCCGTGACTGGACGCCACGCCTGCGAGAGGATAGCTGAAGACCAGGGTCACCGGCGGGAGCTTCATGGTGCTGTTAGCACGGGCGAGGTGTTGGCTGAAGCGACTTTCACTCGAGGATATGCGTCGGCGTTCTTGATCTTTGTTGATCCTTGTTGGGCTTGATGAAGCCGGGCTGCGGAATGACTGTCCTGGATGGAAGCATCTCTGCGGTTCGGGGTCAGTGAAGGGCAAACTGATACTAGTATCTGCCTGCTTGCTTGAGCTGTACGACCAGTGCGTGACCCATGTCATCCTCGGTAGAGCATCAAGAGCGGCATCGTTCCGCAAGATGCGAGTGTCAATCCATAGAAAAAATGCCCAAGCTCACGCCTACCTGGGTAAGATGGCATCGTGGAGAAATGATGTCTGATACCTTATAAAATCAGTACCGTGATGGAAACAAGTCCAAGTTCAAGTCGCAGTCCGGGCAAGAGCGCACACACACACACACAAACAAAAGTGGAGAAATCAATCCATCATCATCGCAGCTTCCCATCATAAACGTCCACACTTGCCCGTCCCCTCTGCTTAGTCACCCCCTCCCAATGCCACACACACACACACGCAAACGCGTTGCCACAGCCTCTCTCTCCCCTGATAAAGCTACTACTACTACTAAACTCAGCTGCTTGAGGCGCCACCTGGCTGGTTAAAGATCGCGGAAACCTTCCAAACTTGCAACTGCAACTCCAGGCCCTCACGACCAAATCTGTGCGATACGCAACACCACGCTCCTTTTTTCTTTTAAATACACATCTCAAGTCATCTACACACACATTCTCTCCTTCAATACGATCCCTCGAAATACAACTCCGTCAGCATGACGCGCGCGCAACAGACAATTTCCATTGGCCTCTTGGTCTCTTCCGTACGAAAACCCATCCCATCTCGCCATATCTTGCACATGTCATGGCTACCGGCCGCAATCGCATGAGAACAAGACGTCGCTAATCGCTCGATGATTCAATACAGCTCTACTTTGCTCTCTTCCTAGAGCTCATCCCTCTTCCTCCCCTCGTCCAGCAAGAAATCGTCCCAGTCGTACGTTCTAATCCTCTTCCCTTCATAACTGCCGCCTTGAGGGGTGGCCCTTTCTTCAGCGCGATACGGCAGACTGACCGAGCGCAAAACAAAATCTACAGCTTCCCTTTTGGGCTCTCATCTCCTTCGGCGCGTTCCTGCTCTTCCGCCTCGGCTGGGGCGTCTTCACGTTCAACGATGTTCCGGATGCGCACAAGGAGCTGATGGCGGAGATTGAAATGGCCAAGGTCGATCTGAGTAAGCTGGGCGTTGACGTGGACTAGATGTTTCGTGGCGGAGGTGATCTATACCGTGGCGCAATTGGGAGAGGGACAAAAAACAGCATGGAAAAAATAATGGTGTGCAATATCACTGTGGGATCAATACACGTAGTCTTTGTGTCGCTTGTTCGCATCTACGATTGAATTCTGGCCCTTGATAATGGATTGTAGCACCAAGTCAAGCGCCTGGTTTGGATTGAGGTGATGTATGTTTCGCTGAGGCCAGCACAAGAGCCTCCCTTGACATGGGACGTAGCAGCGATGCCCAGTTACTGTTCTCCTACAACCAACGCTACAATCGTCTTGACAGCGAGAGACGGGTCCTGCCCTCCCTCTACAAGATCTTCGAACAGCTTCGGAAGCTTTCCCAGCACGCCGCGCTGGTCAGCCTTGCGCCCTGTACGCAGATCCTGTTAGCATCACATTCCGAGGTAGAAAAGGGGGCTACACCGGCAGTACTTACACTTTCCCGGAACACCAATCATGACAGTCACCTTGTTCTGTGCCTCCCCAATCCAATCAAAGTCAATCTTCCACTCCAGCCGAACAGACGACGTCGCCTCCGACCCTGTTTTGGAGGGTATGTTGAACTCGAAAGCTTGCTGGCCCATGAAGTGAACCAGCTCAGCCTTCTTGAACGACAAGGCGGGAGCCAGCTGCTTCTTCGTTTCACCTTCCATCTCCTCGGCCGTCCTTCGCAATGGCTTTTTTCTCCGCGCCTCCGCGACGGCCTGCAAGAACTCGCCCTTGGAAGCCAGCTCCCGGTCCAGCTTGGACCAGAGCTGCGCTCTGTGAACTGCCGACTGGTACCATTCTCCCATAGCCCATGACAGAATGCCTATGTTGCGCTGCATGCTCCTGTTGCAGTCGCCCTCGCATATTCTGGTGACGAACGGCCCCAGCTCGGTCCTGGCCGCGGGCTCCAGCGATTGTATCTTGAGCTCCATGATGCTCGAATTAGTGGCATTGACCATCATCTCAACCTTGGATGTGAAGAGCCCCGGTGCATCTTTTGATCGGAAAGTCATGACACGTCGCTGTCGTAGGGGTTGGTCTCCATCCGCATGCAAGACGGCCATTGTTGAAGTGACCTCAAATGGGCTAAACAGTTGTAGGTATGGCAACTCTTCTTCTGCCGTCATCTTTACGGGATGGTGAGACTTGATGTCTGCGACGTTGACCTGATCGTCTGTCGTGGCGACGACCGGCATTGTCCTTCCAAATGGTAACAGGGCCGAGGGATTTAATGCCGCTTTCAACAACTGCTGCGATGGTGGCGGCAGGGGTTTTGCCTCTGACTCGATGAGGTGCCGCCGCACCACGTCGAACACCTCTTCTTCATCTGCAAAGCTCAGGATGCGGCCGGATGACTGCATCAGCCGTATCCGATCGTTCTCCTTGCTAACTATCTGCAGGTCCTGCTTCAACCTTGCAATTTCTTCGTCGAGAGCCTCAATTTGCTTCTTCTTGGCTCCATTCGGGTCAAACGCGCTGACTTGTCGAGCCGGGTGGGCCTTATCGTGCAGAGGACGCTCTTCCGAGGGGCTATCGGTCTCCCCGGGAGGAAGCGTAAAGCTATGCATTGGCAGTACGGGTTTGCTGCCGGGCTTTCTGGGAGGCTGGCTTGCATTTGACGGCTTCAAAGGCGAGCTTTTCTTCGGCCTCGGTTTGTCTCTCCATCGCGATGGACTGCTGTGTATGCCTTTCGGGGGCTTGAAGGAGGCGGAATCGGGGACAGAAGGCGGCAGCTCAGGTTCTGGGAAGGCGATGGGCCGGCCAGTATTTGGCGATCTCCGCTGTCTCCTCCCCAAGAACGAATCTGCCTCGTCGTCTCCTTCGGGCGCGGGCGGGGGTAAAGGTCGTGGCCTCGGCTTGAAAGGCGATCTAATGGGCAACCCAACCGAGCTCCCCTCGGCTGGTCCCGACGATGGCAGTGACCCAAGGCTCTGCGCAGCCTCATCGTTCCCTCGCGCCGACGCATTCGCTGCTGCTGTAGGCGCGTCGGTAGCTTCGTCGACAGCTTCTCGTGCTGATCCGTCGGTCGTTGGCGGCGGCGCAGATTGTTCTTCGTCTAGCGAATGCGGCTGGCTGCGCGCTCCTCCAGCCCTCGTCTGCCTGGATTTGGGAGGGCGACTCGCTGCAGGAATGGGAGAGTGCTGGGACGACAGTATCGCGTCGTCGCTGCTGGAGCTGCCAATGTTCATGGAGGAAGTGCGAGGCGAGACCCGGCGTCTCTTTGACGCGGGCCCGTCCATTGTGGAAAAATCTCAGAGAGATTTGTACGGGGAAACCATCCGGAAAAAAAGGAAACTATACTGCGACAATAACGGAACGTAAGAAAAAGAGACACGGGAGCTGTGCAGGATTGGCGACTGCTGAGGATGGACAGCTTTGACGGTGCGGGATGTGTGATTTTGGTGTTTTGAGACCGAACGGAGCGCGTCACAGCAAGCTGCAGCTAGACAAGGCGGGCTTGGACCAAAGCGGTAGGCGGTAGCACTTTGGATGCGGCGCATAAGTACTACCTAGTAGTAGTACTATGTATGTCCTAGACAGTGAAGGACGGGAACAACATGGAGGGCTCTCAGTCAGTGCTTCAATGGTTGTAGATTCATTGCGTCAAGTGATATCTCTTATTTGAAATTCTTTTAGATTTACCCGTGCATGTTTCCATCTATTTACTTCTCCTGAAAATACCACAGACTTGCGAGCTGAAGTTGAGGTCAAAGTCAAGAAACCATCACGTGCAGCTGAGAGCTTCCTTCTCGTCTGAACTGCCGGTTTCGCCGATGACGTCCGACTTGCCACCCCACAAAAGCTCTTGCGAAGCCGAAGTGCGAATTCCGGGCCAGTTCCTCGTTCATCCGATCTCTTTCCGCGCGCGCTTCTGTGCACCTATTACTTGTATACTATCATAAATCGCCCTTGCGCATCGCATCGCATCGCATTCTTTCGCATCATGAATCTTCCAAGCAGCTAAACAGAAACAAGAAATCGCAATGTCGCTCTCAAGGAACGCCATATCGCGGCTAGGCCCCGTGCGGCGCAGCACAGCTCTGTCACAGGCAAACTGCTGTCGACGATGTTTCGCCAGCCTCACCAGATCTACCTCCACAACAACAACACCTCAAGACGACCAGTGGCCGCAAAAAACACCCCTAGGATCCTACTACGAAACAATCCACGACCACCCCACCGCCTACACGCCTGCCAAACCGCCAAAGAAGACATCCAGCCACAGCCCCAGCCCCAGCCCAGCCGATCAAAAGAAAGCCCAAGACAAAAGTCCCGCAAAGACCTTTTCCACGCAACAGCCGCCGTCGACATCCCCCGAATCAAGAGCCCGCGTCATCTTCGGCTCCCGCCTCCTCGGTCCCGCCGAAGAAGCCGACCGCCTTGCCCTCAAGAAGGCGAAATCCACATACGTTGCCGGCGTGCTGATACCTCCGCGCCCGGAAGAGCCCGACAACTGCTGCATGAGCGGGTGCGTCAACTGCGTGTGGGATCGCTACAGGGAGGACCTCGAGGAGTGGACGGCGAAGAAGGCTGAGGCGAATGCGAGGCTGAGGGCTAGGAGCGGCACCATGGATGCTGACGGAGGCGGGTCGGAGACGGCTTGGACGGCCAACATTTCGAAAGATTTGTGGGACGAGGAGGCGTTGAAGAAGGTCCCCGTTGGCATCCGCGAGTTCATGAAGCAGGAGAAGCGGTTAAAGGAGCGGCACCAGAGAGAAGGGACAATGGGCGGTTGAGACCTGATGAAAGAATAAAATTCGATATAGAGCTCCACGGGTGGCGTTTTGGGAGCAGCAGCGTACTGCCAGAATCGAGCACTTCCCTGATAAGGCATCAGATTATATAGACTCCATTTTGTAGCATTACAATAGACGGCAGAGAACAGATTTAGAACAGGGCGAGGAGATATCAATGGTAGTTTGTGTTTGTATGATTTGTCATGTTTTCATTACATTGTTTTTTTTTTTCCTCTTCTAGTTCTAGCTTTTACAGATTTGCAGGCTTAAATGACAAGGTGGTGCGAGCATTACAACTTCTTCTGGGCGGCAAGGCGGTCGTGCTCGTCAATGTCAATGGCCTCCCAGGGGTAGTTGATCCATTCGTCGCCGCAGGTGACGGCAGCCAGGTAGCGGTTCTTGATCATGTCCTCGGGCAGCTGGCCCTTCTTGGGCTTGTCCTTGTTCTGGATACAGAGTCAGCAAAACCGTCGCTTTTCCAGGAGAGAACAGAGGTCATGGACATACGTGGAGAACAAAGATGCTAAACTCGGCCTTGGGCGCATCGGGACCCAGCCTCTGGCGCGCAAGCTCGACGTCCTTCTCAAGCTCCTTGACGGCGTACTCGAGCGTCGTCCGGGTGTCGTCGACCTCGTCGACAATGAGCACGCGCTTGCCGACCAGGTTCGCCATCTCGCCCAGGGCGCTGAGGTCGAGCCACTGGGTGCGGGTGACCTTTGTGCCAATCTCCTCGACCTGGCTGTCGCCGCCCAGGGACTCGTACAGCGAGAGGCCGATGGCCTGGATGGGGATGTTGGGCGAGCCGGGCTGCTTGAGGAACGAGCGGAGGATGCGCGCGGGCACGTAGCCGCCGCCGCCGATGGCGATTATGAGCTGCGGCTTGAACTCATCGAGGATCTTGGTCGCGGCCTGCTGGCACAGCTTGTGGACCTGGATTTGCTGGTGTTAGTGACTTGGGGGGGTGGACTTGTTGCCCGTGTGTGTGTGTGTGGAAGATGCGGCGTACGTCGTTGTAGGTAACGTAGAGCTTCTCAACCATCTTGACTGAGTTTTGAATAGAGATTTTTTTTGTGTCGTCTTGGTTTCGACTTTAACGAGGGGTATCACGAAGGAATAGCTGTAAAGAAATGGCTTGTAACGTTGGAATGGTGTAAGAATGACAAGTAAAAGAGATGCTGTTGACGAGGTCGGCGACCACGGGAGCTCGAGATGATGCGCAGAATGCCCAAGAGGAAGAGAAGAGGAGAAGAAGAAGGGAATAGAAAGAAAAGAGGAGGAAGCGCAAAATAAGTCCCGTCTCTCGCTCACACACACACGCACACACAATTCCTCTTTGCACCTTCTCACTCTCTCTCGGCGGCTTCCGATGGCTCGAAACCTTTTTTTTTTTTTTTTTTTTTTTCTGGGTCAGCCCAAATAAGCGCCTCTTCCCCCACCACTGATGCTGCGTCATTGTCTGTGATTAAACGAACAGCTTCACGTCTCACTTATAGAGCAAGGGCGCATCAGGCATACTCTTTTCGGTTAGACGATGATCTCTAAATCGGCTCTGCCTGGATCGTGAGAGCAGTGAAGTACTGACGAGTCTGTATCTTAGACACACACGTCGCCGTTGGTCATACGATGGTTAACATGGAAATCGTATACAATGTCACCAGATGCCTACCGAGATACGATACGATACGATACGATACGATACGATACGATAGGCTTGATTGTTGTGAACAGAGCCTCATGAACTACCTATCTAAGTACTTCTGAGACAAGCAAAGTACATCCCGGGCTGTAGGCAGAATCCATCCAAGGAACAAAGCTGAGGCGTGACTCAATCACAACCTCAAGTACCTTGCGATCTAGCCGATTCCAGAATGGCCGTCTTTGCTTTGCCGAGGTCGAGCATCACTGACAGCTTCGTCTTTAATGGGAATAGCTTCATCCATACGTTCGCTGCCATAAAATGGGTACCTATCTAAGCAGGCACTTTGCAAAGATGACGGGAGTGCAGAGTAATTATACGCATACATTATGCTAATACGAGCATCGTTTAGGTGTAGAGGGTGGTGGTCAACGTCGGACTTGTGTGCGCATTGTTGGTTTTTCATGTAGGCTCATATTTGCTTTGTTCCCTGTTTTTCTGCGAACCACTTGGTAAAGTGGTTTGGGTAGTGAATATTGCCATTCAACGAACAATAATCAAATAAAATCGTTTGACTGCCGGGCTCTCTGATTAATTTACTTGGCTAGCCTTGTTTAAAGCAATGACTTACATCTGAAGATCGATAATCATGACTTATAAGTAGCATAAGGACGAGAGTGTATGATTTCAATTTACGACATCCACCTTTGAAGTTTCCTAGATATATGAAACTACCTCAATGTGGTACAGTATATGAGTATGAGAAAGTGGGATAGATGCTGTGATGCGTGTCCTCGCCTGATTAAAACCTGACCAGTCGCAGGAAAATACCAAGGGTTGGCATGAGGGCAAACCTTGTAAGTGTATTGAAGACTGCGTACAGGACAACAAGCGAATACTAGAATATCCCCCATAGTTGTTCAGCCTCAACCAAACAATCATTGGCACAAGAAGAGCAGAAATGTCAAGTAAGGAACAAAGGAGAAGGTAGAGGTAACTTGCTACAACTCTCTCAGATCAAGCCCAATTAACCAGGCGATTCAGCCCAGATACCCGCCATATCAGCACACTTATTGCCAACAACCAGCAGTTGAGTCTCGTCAGGGAAGATGAGTATCTGCACCCAACAAACTCAATTGAAATACCACCTACTCGGTCACATTTCAGTTAGCCTTCGCAAGCCATGAAGCAAAACCCTACAAGTATTGAACAAGATAGCTTATGGTAAACGCCCCTTTTCTCGCGCAAAAACAATCCCAAGGGCCAACTACAGACCCGGACGTAAAATGCCAGTACAGATTCCTCCTCGATATCCCTGACCCTCGTCCGCAGGAACAGTCGAGAATGGACGGATCAGGGTTCAAGGGTCTCATCGCCATGGCAGTTTATCACTCCAGAGAGCTATAGAATACACGAATACAACCTCAGAGGCAAGGATGTCCCATAGGTATAGTGCGGCAAGGAGGCGCGTTTGCCGGCCCAAACCCGGCCTCAACCTTGTCTTCAACCTTGTTCGTCCTGTCTACTCCTTTCTTGTCGATGGGCCTCGAGTCTTAATCCCAACAATATTTACGCCATCTCAAAGCAATCTTGGATTGAGGAGAGAACTTAACAGACTTTACAAGTTCGAGAATCATCGCCAGTTCTCTGCAATAGGCTCGGAGACTGAGCATCACTGTCATTTGAACCCTGCTTAAAAATGTACATCGTACCTTTCACAGCGGTGGAAGAACACTCACCTCACTCCCATTTACGCTCCTTTATAGACTCTGGCAACAATCTCTGCAGATGAGATTGTTGGACCGCGCCACCCTTTGTGTGTCCTTATCGTACTCGCCGCACAGGCTCCAAATAAGCTTCGTGGAAGCTCATGAAACCAGTCAGCCTTATTTTAAGCTTCAGTTTGTTGAGTGTTGAGCGAAAGACTTAAATATAGATCCCCGTGTATGTAAGGTTCTTCAGCAAAGAGTGGTCTGCCCAGGAAAGCTTCCCCCATTGCTATATAAAGCCCCCTTCTCCCCCTTCCATCTCTCAGCCCATTCAATTCCTACACATCCGTCTCCATCATTTCCTACTTCAACCATTGTTGAGCAACCTACGACCTTGATATTCATGTCTGATATCAATATCTATATATACATATATATATACACTCGACAATGGACACCATAAAGATGGACACGGACGCGAACGCTTCTGCCGCCACCACGGATGCCCCAGTCATCGGGGCGGGCGGCACGACCAGGGACAGGATCCAGAATTTCCTGTCCCCCAACCAAATCGAGGTCTTCAGTGACCAGTCCCTCGTCTGGGACTTTGACGACTGCGAGACCCTTGAAGAACAGTTTGACTGCGGACTCAAGGGTCTCGAACAACTCCGCAGCGAGGTGGTGGAGGCGACCCGGGAGGGCAACCAGCGTGCCCTCATGGACACCGTCACTGCATCCAAGGAGCTGCAGGACCTGATGGCGGGTCTGGCGGGCGAGGCTGAGCAGACAGCCATCGACATGCTCGCGCTCAAGGTCCAGGAGTCAAGAATAAGACTTGAGCCCTGGAAGGACGCCGTCGCCGTCGCGGACAAGTGGGAGGGTGTCGCCTGGAAAGTCGCCAAGCGCCACGACGACATGTTGGCGCAGCTGGACGCGGCGCTGCTGCTCATGGAGAAGCAGTGCGTCTTCGCCAAGCTCTGCTGGAGCTCCTTGTCGTGGGATGCCAGACGCGTCTTCTGCGCCGAACTCGGTGGCCTGCCGCAGGGAGCGCTGTGGTCTGACGGCTTCAAGGCCGAACACTTTCAGAAGCTGCGCTCGGACGACAACATGTGGTCTGTTCGGATGAAGTGGACGGCCTATAAAGGAGCGACTAGACTGCCCCGGTATATCTTCCTGGATAGTAGACGCAGCGGCGGCAAAGAGCAGACGCTGGTCCTGTGGGCCAAGGTTGATCCTGCGGCCTCGGGCGATGTGGAGCGTGTGCTTGAGGTCGAGGTTCGGCTACGGAATAGACTCTTATCGAATCTCCGGGTTGATGCTGCTTGGTTGTTTAGGATGATGACTTATTGAGACTGGGGTATGGTATTGTATGATGATTTGGATATACGGACGGCGTTCATTGGACTGGGTATTTGATTACCACTGATCTATCTTGATACCCTAAAAATGTCTGGTTCTATGGCTGGTTATATACTCATACGTGTTGAGACTAGACAAGGATCTCAATCAACTTTAATTTCTTATTCAGTATTACAATATGAGTAAAGTAAACGCCGTGATTCCCTAGTAGCAGGAGAAGAAGAAGTCACGACATCGCCAACACCTCCTAAGCCCTTGTAAGACTGACATGCACTCCATCTTTACACGTCGTCGCCAGAGCATAAAGCTCAACCCACTCCGCATCGTCGTCACTCGCCCTCATCGTCTCAAACGTCTGCACCATCCTCGACACCAGATAATGCGTCTCCAAGAGAGCAAACTTCTCTATAAGCGGGAAGAGTCAGTACGTATTCAAAGTCCTCTACCTAACAAACAGGTCTAGGATTTGGGGACTTGCTTACGGCCAATACAGATTCTCGGTCCGCCATTGAAGGGCAGATACCCCCAACCCGGTCTCAACCCGTTCCACCTCTCGGGCACGAACTCTTCGGGATCGGGGCCGAAGACGTGAGCGTCGCGGTGCATGGCGTATATGTTGTACATGACGAGGTTGCCCTTCTTGATGAGGAGAGGCGAGTTCCCGTCTTCGCCGCCGCCATATGGGAGGACGGTGTCTTTGGAGGCCTCGCGAGCATTTGTCGGGATTACGGGATGGAGTCGCAACGCTTTGTTTAGGGGTCAATCAGAGAACAAGAACAGATCAAATAAACGGTTGAAGTTGCAGAGGTTGACTTACACTCCTGGACACACCATTTCAGATACTCCATGTTGTTCAGCTGCATGCTTGTCGCGGGCTCAACCCCCGCAATGGAAGTAACCTCTCGCCTCAACTTGTTGTAAATGTGTGGCTTTCTCGCCAGGACAAAGAACAAGTTACTCAGCAAGCAAGCCGTCGTATCGCGGCTCGCAACCAAGATGTGGAGGATTTGGTCGCGGAGCTGCTTCCGATCCGTTGCCACGGCTGCGAGCCCCTGAAGCACATTGCAGGCCGTGTTCAAGGACTCGTCGTCCCCCTTTCCGCTGTCCAGAGATGCGCTGATGAAGTTGTCAATGTACTGAAAGACACGACTCCGCGCTCTCATGGCGGCAAAGTTGATGGAGAACATTTGGAGCGGACCGAGCTGCATCTTGCGCACAATCTCCGTCGAGCACGTCAAGTAGTCATTGACAAACTGCTTCTCTTTGGCATGGCTCGAGGCTCGATTGAGCACATGCGTGGAGTGGCCCATGAGGAAGTCCGTCGCAAAGTCCATGGTAAGCCAGAAGAAGAGCGGCTGCAGGTCGATGGTCGTCCCGGCTTCTGTTGGGATTCTCCCGAGCAGAGCCTGGAAGTGCCTCTCCAGCATGGCGACAATGGACTCCTTGTTCTGCTTCGCAAAGCACGGCCGCAGGACGCCGCGAGCGTGAGACCACGAGTGTCCGTTGAGCGTAAAGATGCCGCTTCCTAGCATACCCGTCATGGCGTTGACTCGCAGACGGGGGAGCTTGAAGTCGTCAAAGCCCGTGGCGAGGACGTGCTTGATGTTGCGGCTGTCGCACGTGTACACGGCCTCCCATGTCCATCGTCTGCAGATATATGTATTGCCCAGTTGCTGAAAGGTTCTGTATGTCGAATCGAGATACTTTTCGACGGGCTTTGCAAACAGGCAGTCCCATATGAAATCGAGTCCGATAAAGGGGTCCTTGACGGGGGCCTTGGATTGGGCATCCTTGCACCCCCTTGTGCGTGAAACGCGGTACTGTTGGACTTGGGAGTATATACTGCAAAGTATGTAAGAGATGGGGAGAAGAGGAATGACGAAGTAGAGTATCAAGTATTGGCTCTCAACAGTAGGAGACATGGCTCATAAGCTGCCCACGGTCATTGACAAAGGGAGTAAATGGTATCAGATTTGCTATGGCAGGGGAAGTTTCAGAATAGGTATCAACAGCAAGGAGAGAGAAAAGCCATGACAACTCTTATTCCATCGCCCAGCCCAATGAAGCCTCCCCAGTTCTCCAGGTCAGGGGGACGCCTGGTGACACGTCCAGGTCATTGACTGATTTGACTGTCTGGCATATATACATGCCTCATGCCTGCAGGTACACGCAATTCTGCATGAGGATGCATGGAAACGAATACGTACAGGCCGACCTATGGGCGGCACACGCCTCGCATCATGCGGACAAGACAATGCCAGATCCAAGGCAGAGGGAGGGCAGGGGGGGGCCTGCCATAAAGCCATTTCATGAACGTCACATCACTTCTGGGCAAGGGGGGGGAGGGCGTTTCACAGGGTCAATCTATTTAACATGCCTTGCTTCCATAGGACCGAATAATATCGATAGTTTCTGCTCCTTTGTGTTCCTCTTCTCTGCTGTGCAACTCTTGGGCGCAGCGGCCGGGGCCTGATGGAAGCTCTCATTGACTGGAAGAGGGTTGGCTGTTGGTTTCTGATTACGAAGGGAGCGTATAATAATAGAACTTTTGGCATCACAGGAGAGAGACGCTTTCTCCTGATGAGCTTTTGGCCAGTCTCGTGATGGAGTTCTTCTGCTTCTGCTTCTCCTTCTTCTCCTTCTTCTCAGGAGGTAAAGACTCTGTTAAGTGACGAATCGGCTTTTCTGTAGATCATGAACGTGCTCGAGGATGGTCGAGGCCATGGTGATTCTCTCCATCCTTCACCGCGGCCTCCCCTTGGCAACATGCGGTCACACACCAACACGCCCACATGCCCTGCTGCCTCCAGCATCTTACATAGGATGGGAAGCAACGCTGACAGCTGTATGTCTCGCAACCGTACAGGATCGTGCTTCTACGATGGCTCAACCGCCGATCGGACAAGTGCCTTCTTGGCGTAGCCCCGACGCAGAAACATTGAATTGTGTGGAGGAGAGGACAAAGGCAGACATCCGACACGCTTTGGGCAAAGAAAACAAGAGGCCCCTTTCCCCTTTCCTGACCGGGAAATACCGCGCCGGCGAGGGTTAGCTGCAGCACGCCTCGAGCCAATGGGCAACGGCATTCTTGAGTAACTCATGCTTGGAGGGCATTGCGGATATGCAAGCACTCGAGACAGCGGCCTTGGGACCAGCTGAATCTGGGCTGGCGGCTTTCTCAATGACATGGCACACACGTCGTATTCGCAGATCAAAGGGATCCAAGGATTTGGCGTGGAATGGGTTTCGTTACTCTGCCCGACGTGTTCTCGTGGCTTCCATGTCACTGCTCCTGAAGAAGGTGGACGATGACGAAAGGAGGAAGTGACACGGCGCATGTTCTCAGCCGACCAACGTGGTCAAGATGTGTGGAGGGAGCCTCTTGGTCCCCTTGATCCTGATTGACTGGAGAGAGAGTGGACGAATTCTCTTGGCTCCTCCCTGAGGCCTGTTCAAGTGACCATGTTGCTAATACCGAAGATACCTGGCGCAACCTTTATTGATGTCATGAGTCTCTTTGAAGTCGTCGCGTCCGAGCACACACACACACACACACACACACCAAAAGGCAAGCAAGCCGGGCGACGACGACTTGCATGGAAGATCCTGGCAGTGACGGTTATCCAATGAAATAGATTGGACACCAAGCGAACAATGACTTTGCCATCGAGCGGCAAAGCACGTCAGCATCGTCCGTCTAGACTCTTTGTGCCTTTCAGATGGGCCTCCAAAGGTCTCAGACAACGTCTTAGATGTGTGTAACTCCGGACCAACAAATTCCTGATGCTGCTCGAGAGCTTATTTCCTACCTTGTGCGAAGCAATGCCGTATCCCCCCTTGTCCCCCTGTGCCCCTATCCGGCTTCCCGTGAGAGATTCAGCAGCACGCCGTGTTTTGGATCCGAGTCCTATGTCTTGGATGGGGGGAAACATACGTGTACGCCGCCTGTCGGATAACTCTCTCTAACTCTCTCTCTCTCTCACACACACAGAGCAATATTGATGGTGTGACAAGACACGAACCAGAGAAATGGAGTTTCCTTCTATCTGGCTCGCTGGCAGGGCGAGGTGGCGTTTTCCTGGCCACGTTATTGGGGAGGGACGCTGGGTCGTTTTGGTGACACAAGGAGGAGGGAAACGACTGGGTTTCAACCAACAGCTGCACGGGTGATCGGACGTGCTTTAGGCCTGCAGGACAACTGGGATGATGTGAAACTTGGGCTTCGCGTGTCGTGCGTGTGTGCGTGTGTGTTGTTTTGGCGCACAAGAAAATGGCTTGAAGGAAGATGAGTTTTGTTCTACGGAACCGGGGTGAGCGATGGGTGGATGACGGGGCTTAGAAGGCGCTGTGCTGGGCTGTGTTTAGTGAGAGAAAGATGCGGGAGATAGGGGGGAAGAGACGTGATGTGATATGCTGGAGAACACGAGGCGAGGTCACAGGAGCATGATTTATATACTCGGCGTCGGATGAAGAAGAGCCTCATGCCGGACTATAACATCTTGTTGCTCCCATCGGTGTTTCTTACTAAAAGCACTGAGGACTGATTATTTTCTTACCCCTTTTCAACAATCAGAGTTCTTACCACTGAGACTAAGAAGAACCCTCGAGGTTGAGAAGCACAGTGACAGGATCAAGATTTACAACAACTCAGAAAGAGACAAGATGGCCCCTCAAGAAGACAAAGCAGCCACCGCTCTTGCAGAGATCCACGGGGACCCCCTTACGGACCTCGATCAGAATCTATGGGACCTCTTTGCAGCCTCTGCCGCCGCCCACCCCGACCGAGAAGCCATCGTCTCGCTCTGGCAGCCTGCAGACGCCATCCTCGTATTGGAAGACGACAAGGAGAAGAAGGAGGAGGAGGACGACGACGACGGCGACGGCGACGACGATGTACCCGCACCTGCATCTGCATCTGTACCCTCCACCTCGACTGCGGGATCGGAATGTCTCAGATGCTCGTACGGAAACCTCCGGCGCGGCGCTGAGCGGCTGGCTGACAATCTGGAGAAGATGCTGGGGGGCGTCGTCAACACCCAGCAAGGGCCTGGTCCTGGTCCTGGTCCTGGAAACAACAACAACAACAACAGCAAGCAAGGGCCTGCTGCTGGGCACCGCGGCATGCACGTCGCCGCCGTGCTCTGGAACTGCGCGGAATGGGGCTTTTTGCTCTGGGCCTGCGTCAGGATCGGGGCCGTCTTCATACCCCTGGATCCTCGTGTCACGGACGACGACGTGCCGCTGATGCTCGAGGCCGCGGCGCCGCGGGTGCTGGTCGTCCAGGATGCCGAGGCCGCGCTGCGTCTGGACGCGGACCTTGCCGGGCTCGAGCTTCCACGGCCTCTTCTGCGCGTCTTCTGCGGCCAGGGGGCGGTCGAGGGCTGGATCAGCTTTGGGCAGCTCATGGACGGGGGTGGAGATGCGTCGATCTCGCCTTCTCAGGGGCTGGACCTGAAGGAGGAGGAGGAGAAGAAGGAGGAGGAGAAGGAGAAGGAGGTGGAGGAGGAGGAGGCTCAGGGTGACACAGACACATACACAGACACAGACACAACCGACGATCAACAAGGACCGCCCCGGGCCAGCGGCAGCAACAGCGGCAGTGACAACCACGCCCACGACCGTCCCGCCCTCGTCGTCTTCACCAGCGGCACCACCGGCCGCCCCAAGGGATGCCCGCACACGAACCGCAACCTGGTGTCTCAGACGAGCAACTACGACGCCAACGCCGACCCGGACTTTGTCGACCGCTGGCTGGTTCACACGCCCGTGTGCCACGTCTTCGCCATCAACAACGCGCTGCGGGCCTGGCGCCACGGCGGCGTCGTCGTCTTCGCCTCGCCGTCCTTCCACATCGACGCCACGCTCAGGGCCCTGGTCGACGAGAAGTGCACCGTCATGTCGGCCACGCCCACGCTCGTCAGGGCGCTGCTGTCCCACGCGGCGTTTCCGAGCCCCGGCGCGCTGAGCCTGTCGATTGTGTCCGTCTCGGGGACCATGATTGGGGCGGAGCACATCCGGCTCTGTAGGGAAGGGGGGTTGGGGGCTCGGGACGCCATTCAGGCGTATGGGATGAGCGAGGGGGCGCCCATTGTGAGCTGGTCGAGGCGGGATGAGATGCTGGTGGATGGGTATCATGCGGGCGTGGGAAAGGTGCTGCCGGGGGCGGCGGTGCGGGTTTGTCGCTGGGGGAGTCGGGAGGTGCTTAGGAGGATGGAGGTGGGAGAGCTGCACATCTCGGGGACTTCGGTGATACGCAACTACTTTGGTGAGGATGAGGATGAGGATGAGGATGGTGATGGTGATGATGGCAGGTTTTACGATGATGAGGCCGGACGGTGGTTGAGAACGGGGGACCAGGCCATGATAGATGAAAAGGGGGTTGTCTATATCCTTGGGCGATACAACGACCTGATTATCCGGGGAGGAGAAAACATTGACCCCCTGAAGATTGAGTCTGCTCTATCAGACATTCCAGGCCTTTTACAGGTAAGAGTTGTCTCCTTTCCTCGAAATGCGTCGAGGTGACTCCCAGTCTAATAGGCGGATATCAGGCATTTGTCGTGGGAGTGCCGGACGAGATTGCAGGCCAGATCCCAGTCGCCGTGGTCAAGCTCACGCAAAAAGCATCCAAGTCAAGCATCATGGCGAGATCAAGGCTGCTGGGCCCTCACTACGCACTCGATGCCGTCTACACCCTCGAAGATCTGGGCCTCGACAGCGTCCCAACCACTGCCATCGGAAAGCCCAAGAGGGCAATGCTCGCCGACATTGTCACCAAAAAGAGACAAACATCAGACCAAGCCAAGACGTCTCCGATTCGCAACAGGAGAGACCAACTCTTGCTGCTGGAAGAGCAGCTGGGGGAAATATGGGACCAGCTGGTGGGAGTCCGTCCCGGCAAGGCAGACGACTTCTTCTCGCTGGCCGACAGCATCACGCTGCTTCGGTACTGCGATGCCATCCTTCGAGGGCTAGGGAAGCGCCTCTATCTCCAGGACCTGAGCCGGTGTGCTACGATTGAGGCCCAGGCTCGACTGTTGGCTACGAGAGACTCCTCGCGCCCTGGGGCAGACGCGGAAATGAGCAGGAGGGAGAGCATCCCGCAATTCCATCCGAGAGCAGACGATGACTTGAATTCTGTCTATCCACGGGACCGCTTCTTCGACTCGAGACAGCGTCAACAGCAATACCCGAGCTTCTCAAACACCTCTGCTGACGAGATACTCTCGGCCGCCCGAGAACAAGCCGCAAGGGTCGGCCTGGATGGATCCGACATCCAAGATGTCATCCCCGTCAGGGGCTCCATGTACCGCACCATCGTCGGCCAACGACCCCAATCCTACCGGATCAGAGTCGTCTTCCGCATCCACGACGCCTCCATCGCGCAGATATACGACGGCCTGTTCCAATGGCTCGCATTCAGACCCCTTCTCCGAACCGTCCTCCTGGGAACTCAGGGGGCGCTCTACCATATCGTCGTGCGGCACAGCCAGGTCTTCTTCCAGAAGCTGGTCCGCGAAGCCGAGGCCGCAACCGAGGAGCAGGCGAGGGACATTTACGAGGACAGTTCCGCCGAGAGCCACTCGCTCGTGTACATGTTCGGCGCCGTCATCGTCAAGGTCAAGGAGACGGGGCAGAAGCTCCTCAGCCTGACGTACAGCCACTCGATCGCCGACGCCTTGACTCTCCTGCCCTGGCATCGGGACCTGGACCGCCTGATCCACGACAACGACACCATCATCCCTCTGCAGACGTCGTACCGCCTCTTTGCAGACTTGTTCTCCGAGTATCAGGACAGCCTGCCGGCGCAGAGGGCCGTCTCGTTCCACGTCCAGCGACTGCGAGGCATTTCTCGCTACAAGGCCGCGCTCTGGCCGAGGCAGCTCTCCCCAGGGATGATGATTGCAAGCGACGCAGGCTCCTTCTTCACGGCCGAGCGTGACGCCGTCAGGGACCAGATATGGGACGGGGACTGGCAAGACAGGGCAGAGGAGTTCCGCTTCCCTCGCCGCAGCCGAATCGTCCGCTTGCCCGCCCTGGCCAAGCTCCGCGAGGTATACCGCCTCGAGCCGGTCCTCTTCACAAAGTGCGCCCTCATCCTCTTCAACGTCCTCCAGACAAAGTCCCCCGTCGCCATCTTCAACTCGTGGGAAAGCGCTCGCTCGTGGCCGTTTGTGCCCGACTGGGTGTCTGATGCCCTCCAGCCGGCCATGAGCATCGACGGGCCTACCGTCGAATGGATCCTCAACATGTACGAAGCCAACCGCGAGGAGACGCTCGAGGACCTGATGCAGCGCATGGTGCGTGAGCAAGAGCAGATCCGCAGGCACGAGCACGTTTCCTGGGAAAAGGTCGTGCAGGAGCTCCGCGAGGAGGGCAGCGTCGCCATGGATGCGTCTTTCAGGCAGTCGTTTGTGTGGGACGTGAGCATGGGCGTTGCTGCGTCGAGGGGGTTCCGCAGCGATTACGAGAGTCTGGAGCCTGTGGCTCGGTATGACTGGCCAGATTGGTGAGCTTTTGATATATATCCCTCCAGGTTTTTTTTTCCTTCTTATGAGCTTGATGATGGTGAAAACGGAACTGACATATGCCCCTTGTGTTGTTCTATAGTGGACTGTTTTGGAGCGCCTTTATGGTGGATAGGGAGAATCTCCTGTTCATCGCTTCGTGGGACACGGCGCAGCTGAACGCGGAGCAGGTCGACGGGTACTGCGATGACTTGGCGGATGTGATGAGGAGGCTTGCTAATGAAGATAACTTGGGGCTCAAGATGGGAGAAGTGTTTCCCGAGTACTGAAGTATAAAAAGGGGGGGGGGGGGGCCAAGGATGGACAAGCATGGCCTCGTGTTGCTGTTTGCTAGTGGTTTAATGTCGCCCTTGAGAACTGCTCTGGAAATGCTACTGTTTCTTCATCCAGACGAGTCAATGCTGCTCTGAATAGTCTCTGCAACTGGGTATATCTGTCCCCCCCATCATCCAGATTCACCTCCCCGGAAAAAAAGTCGCATACCCCTGAACCTCCTCGCCACTCCCCTCTCCCTCCTCCCCTCCACCTCCACCTTCGCCTTCGCCTTCAGCCTCGCCCAAGCTCGTCACCTTCCACACCACCGCCGCCCTGAGAAACGCAATCCCACACGTCACCCAAAGCAACATCCCGCAGCTCATCAAGACGCACTTGACCATGCCGTTCTCCTCCTGAACGCACTTCATCCACATGCTCGTCGCGGCAACGGTGGCGAGTGCAAGGATAGCCGCTTGCAGATAGAGCAGCACGACCGGAGAGAGGAGATGGATTTCGTGAAAGGCGAGGGTGGTGAAGCAGAGGATGAGGACGGAGGTTGTCGTCAGGGAGGGCATGCTGCGTAGTCTAAGGTAGGCAAGGTAATACTTCATCAGCATCCGAGTAAATCTCAACAAAGGGCATATCACAAGAGTCGTCGTCGTCACTCACATTCCACCAGAAGCACCGCCGAAGCCGCCATCGTCGTCCATCCACATGCCCATCCACGCAAACACCGTCAACACACCCGCCGCAACACCGCTCTGCATCGCCAGCACAACCCCATGCACAACCGCATGAACAAGCCACCTCGCATCACTCCGCTGAATCTCTCCCCCTACAGCAGCAGCAGCACCACCACCACCCAGCATCAAACCCGCCCTCTCGCCAGCTCCCCCAACTCCATCCCCATCACCATGTCGAGGCAAATCCGCCGTCGACCCATCCATCCACCAAAACGGCATCCCTCCTCCCCCCGCAACCGGAGCACCCCCTCCTCGTCCTCCTCGTCCTCCTCCTCCCCCAAGGACATACTGCTGATAATTCTGCCTCTGTCGCTGCTGAGCCTGGTAATCATAATACGCAGTAACATTCGCCGTCGAAGACGTCTCCGAACCGACCGTCCCCTCACTCACCATCCTCCCCAGAGGCGACGACCAGCCCCCAGAAGGAAACACCGCCGCCACAGAGGACGCCGCTCCAGGAGAAACAATCTGCACCGTTCCCGACGACGACACGCGATGGTTTGGAAGGGAAGTATGCGGCGGCGTAATCGTTCGCGAGGACGACGACGAAGATGCCGATGGTGATGATGAAGACAGTGGTGGTGGTGGTGGTGGTGGCAGAGCAGGCGAAAAGACAGTCATTGTTGAAGCCGGTACACTTTGATGCTCAACCTGCTGGACATGAGAAGCTTGACGTAGTTTGAGGCCCTGGGCCTTTCCAATGGAATGAAGAAGAGTGCGGTCTCCTGGAGAAGGACGCTGGGAATTTAGTCTTCTGGCAACTTCTTCTTGTTCGTCATTGCCCCTTGTCCTTTGTCGAGACTGGTCCTCGTCTGCTTCGATGGTGCTGCTGCTGCTCGAGGAACCTTCTTCAATGTCCGAGAGTTGAGGCATGTCTTTGTTCATCGGGACACCTAATCTCGCATTCACGCTGTGAAAGCCTCTCCTTTTTCAGGCCTCTGATCGCGTATATGGCTAGAGTTGAACGAGAGCTATTCGATGCAGGGGGGCGAGACCCGACAGGAAGACGAGCTGACTGAAGAACAAATCTCTTCTTGGAACGCAAAGGGAAGTATTTGTTGGGGGGGAAGAAGAAAAAGAAAAGAGAGTGATGTTGTATGGAGAAGAAGAGAATGAGAACAAAGGTGAAAAATCGCAGCGGTGCAAACGGATTCCGTTTGGTCAAGGCATGGGACTCCCGCGCCAGCTGTAGATTTCGACTGCCAGCTGGCTCGAGGTGACGCATCACCAACTTGCCCCTATGGTCCTTCAGCACAGGGCAAGTCTTCTCTCGCTGCAACCCCCTCAGCAACATCCAACTGCAAAGCGCTATAGCATGGCCATCTTTATACAGCAATAATAATTCATGATATATCCCAATGCCCACCATGACTCCCGCCAATGCCAATCAACTTGCTAATCAATGCTACATACTACGATAATATATGGTGTTGTTACAAGAAATTTCAAGACGAATACTCCAGCCATGGTCGAGGCAGGCATGCCACAAGTGAATGCGAGGGCAGCCCCGAAAACTTGCTTCCAAATCACTCCAGACTCATGCGTGCTTCATCTCCAATCCCCCACTCTCCGCCCTCTTTGCCCTGCTTCTGCAGCTCAAGCGCGACGGCAAGGTTGAGTGAACTGTCGTCCTCTCCGGCAATGTCGCTAGCCACGTCGCTCGTTCTCCTCGGCCTCTGGCTGCCGCTTCGTCGCTTCTCTTGTCGTTGACTGTCCAGGCGGAGACTATCCCCGGAACGGTCAGTAGTTCGCCTCCTCAGCGTCGGCCAGAATCGTGACGACGTCGAATGCAGAGAGGCCGTGTCATCTGCGGCCTTGGCGCTCAAGGCATCCGAGACCTGGTCTTGGTCCTCGTCTGGTGTGGGATCCGGGGGTTCGGCCCGCATCTTCTCGTTGGCGGTCGAGTATGATGTTGTGTGCGGCGTAGGAGTAGACTCGGTCGCGTCCAGCTCGTGAGCAAGCTGAGACTCGTCCACCTCCACCAGTTCGGCATCGCGATACCATTTCCTGCGCCGCGTCCACCGGCCCCAGCCGTCAAGTCCCCGACGACCATTTTGCCACTGATAGATCCGTATTAGCTCGCGGCTAAGCGTCAAGTCAGGAGAGGGTCAATTACCTTGTTGTCATAGTATATCCATCCATTCTTGCCCTCGGGGCCGTCGTAATCTACCGTGCCATCCTCGGGCTCCGGTACGCCATCCACCCGCCATCGGCTTCCCTCAACCCATCGCCACCTCATCCGGCTTCCATCCTCGACTTCGGGGAGCTCAAACTCATCTCGCGGTGGCACCGGATTGTTGTGCTCGTCTGTCCATGCAGGCCGTTCGTATGCAAAGAGGTTGGACGTCCACCCCAGGCCGATCCACCGTCGCTGGTTCTCGTAGATGATGAAAGTAAACTTGACACCGGCGCTCTTACCGCCGTTAGCGGCTCCGTTTCGTCGTCGATTCACTTGCAAGCTAGAGGAGCCCAAGAAAGACGCCTTGCTCATCTGCGATTCATTTACATCCGTCTCCTCCCTGGGAGGATGCGACTTGGGCGGGCTATCGAAATGGAGACCGGTAATGGCCGAAGCAAGCTTGCGGACGGCTTTGCTCCTCCAGATGATGGTCCTCGTAACCCGCATCACCCTCGCATGCCATGTTAGCATGATTGTTCCTGCCAGTAGCACAACCCGTCGAGTCGTAATGATCCTAAACGGTGACATGGTCAGGACAATCCAAAAGGGCGTCATGATGAGAAGCCGCATAAACATGGCTGTGAGTGCTGGTCTCGTCGTTGCGCTAGTCGGAGTTCGCTGGGTGCTCAGAAAGTCGGTCATCTCGAGAAGAGGATCCATGAGAACGTTACATCTGCCGGTAAACTCCTTGAGGGTATCGACGATTTCGTCCAGTGTCTTCTGGTGTTTGGTGCTTGTGATTTCAGACTTGGCCCGGGCGTGGCCAGACTGCTTCCCGTTGGGCGTCTCCTGCAGACTGGCGCCCCCATTGGCCGCAGCCTTCTTGGAGGAGGCAGCATCTTTCGTTACTTGTGCAGGCTCCGTCCAACCACTGCTGCTCAAGGGACTATATCGCCGTCCGTACATGCCCGCTATTAGCCCCATGGAGACGACGATGGGGCCGGCTCGCATGAGCACCACGTCGCCATAGAGGACGATGGCCCAAAAGGAGCACAGCAGGAGGAAGCTCTGCCAGGGGTCGCCCGTGCTCCATGTGAGCAGCCCGACAAAGGTATTGAGGGGGAGTAGGAAAGGATGGCTATATGCGAGCGCGCGCGTGATCTGGGGAGGGGTGGCAAGGAGCAGCGGGCTCTTCTGGTGAACAAGGACGGTCGATCGACGACTGTTCCTCGAGGGCGTCGTGGCCGAGAGCGTGACGGGGGAGAAGGCGGCGTAAGTCGGGGGAGGAGCAGCGCCGAGCGTCGTGCTCGAGTCGAAGGCTGGCGGCGACGCGCCGAGGGACGAGTCGTCGCGGGAAGACATTGGCCGGCCGAGCTGTGAGATCCACGGAAGATCCTGCGGTTCGAGGCGCGCCGCGGAGGGCAGATGGTCAGCAGAGATGTCGCTGCAGGCGGCGCATCAACAGCCAGCGCAAGCACTAGCACGCGGGCCGGTCAAGGGGGTGATGGCAGAGTTGTGTGTGCAGGAGCAACAGCGGTAGATGGACGACGTAACGAGACGGAGGCATCTGGCCTGAGCTCGGATCGTGGCGTCGGGGAAAGGCTGACGAGAGACGAGCACGACGACGAGCCAACGCAGGGCCGAGGTGCGTGTCTACATGACATCACCCTACCAAGCCCCAAGCCCTGTGTGCGCTTGCGGGCAACGTCGATCCAATAGCAGGGCGTCGTCGTCCTTGTTCTCGAAACCGGCAAACGCGCAATGGAAAACGCTATCAGATGGTCGCGTGTGTTCAAGGTGTGATGGACGTGGGCAGCAAAGGATGATCAAGCTGAAGACTCGCAGGGAGAGCGCAAAGCAAACACACGGGATACGGGGTATCAAAGCAGAAGCAATGCGCAAACATGAACCAGGGGAAGCAACTCACAATGGCAGCCATCTAAGGCAGCGGTTCGGTTCCGTCGTCTCCGCCAGCCCAAAACGTCATTGGTTGAGCCGCAGGGCTTTAGGCTGCAAATAGGCGACTTTTGCTTGTTGGATTCACATGAAGCTGCGCCAGAAACAAGAGCGGGAAATGGCTTCGAGAAGAGAGAGAGAAGCAAGAAGAAGAGGAAGCAGAAGAGAAGGAAGAATTGGAGTTGGCGATGATTAACACATAATAGAATTAAAAAAAAGGGTCAGCTGGCTGCATTCATCCCCCCCAGTTGTTGATGCTGTTCTGGCAGGAGCCGAGGGCAGGGCACCTGCTGGCAGAACAGATGACGGCGTCTGGCCACGTGAGACTCCGGGTTGCTGGATTTCACATGCAAATCCGGTGGGAGTTTGGTCGTAGCCGCTACTTGATCTGCGGTGGGATGACGCAGCCAAAAGGGGTACTGGATACTTCGGACCTGCTCCAGATTCAGAAATGCCCTCCACGGGTCAGTACCTGTACCTGTACCTTGTCTTGACGTCTGCAGCGGTGCCTGATTCTCCGTACCTGATGTACATGAAGCCGGTAGCTGTAAATGTCACTCAACTCGATGTCTTGCAGCTCTCCATAATTGAGCTGGCGAGGCAGTGCTATTATATTATATCACATCACAAGAAGCTCATAGACCACAGGTTGTTATAACAGATCCAAAGTCAGGTATACGGGGCACTCCAAGGAGACTTTTCACCTGCACAGGGATCCCCAGTCCTCCCTTTGTCGACAACGCAGAACAAGCTCCCAAGCTCCATATTACCGCAGCTGACAGATCCGGGGAAGTTTTTTTCGCAGGGGCTGCATATATTGGCAATGGTATGGATATCATAGGTAGGTCGGGCCTCACACGCAGATAATGCGGGTATTATTTCACCGTTACACGTCATGCACAAGGTCAAGGCAAGATCAAATGTTTTTGAGTGTCAAATAAGATGTTTATTGTGAAATCGTGATACGAGCTACTACCCGACTCAAGCTGAATTGTCGTGATGTCCTGCGGCAGGTAGGTAGGCAGTAGGTATCCCCAGCAGAATGAAAAGAGAGAGGCATTGTAATTGCCGAATGATTTGTGAAAAATATATCGAAATGCATCGTCATGTTGATTGGATGCCTCAATCAATTGTTGAATGACATGATGCTCTTGCTAGAACCCAAGAGCCAGAGAAATATCTGTATAATAATCTCAAACAATCAGCGACTCAACAGTCCTGCAACGACAGCTCTCCAGAGGGGAGAAACTCTGATGCTATTCATACCTGTGCGACAATGCCATTGTCGTAGAGGACTTATCGGCCGCAGCCGCAGCCGCAATAACTGCACGAGGCCGCCTGATCGACGAGAGGCTCCATGATCGAGGGCCTGCGGCGACCACAGCCACACCATGTTCCAGGGCACGAGGCCTCGTTGGTTGCAGTTCCGGTGATGATGCCAGCCATGGTGAAGACGAGTGTTGCTTTGTTTTGCAAACGTTGCAGTGCTGAGTTGAATCTTTGTTCGAAAGTTGTCGAGAGAAGAAACAAAACGACTTGATGGTTGCGGTTTGGTAGTGAGAAGAGGAGACTGTATTGCTTGTTGTGTGGGTGAGGATGAAGAGAGAAGAGACTCATTTGAAGGAGGATTTCCGAGTCTTATATATCCAGAGCACTACGTACTCGAGGCCGAGTCTTTTGTAGAATGTGTCTGGTTTGTCTTGTGTTGTGGCAACTCAATAGAGGTCCTATTTCAGGAGTCAAACACCCAAGAATATCGGGCAAACACCAAAACTCGTGAGCAAACACTATCATGACAGGCAGACACCGAGACGATGAATGAGAACATCAAGAAGTTGAACAAACAGTGCATTTATAGAAACACCCAAGAATATCGAGTGACAACCAAGTTATCAAGCAACCACTAGAGAGGCAGAACACGCTCCCCCAAGAGTATCAAGCAATCGGTGGGAACCTGCATGCATGAGTCAAACAGCAAGAGTCTCGATCATCAATGACACTCGAAGCAAACGCATCAAGCAAACTGTGGCTCAAATCGATGAATTTAGCATCGTCATAACTCATCCCCTCTAAACTTTTATGCTACACACACAAATCAACACCATTCAAAGCACAAATCAATGACCATGTCCCTCATGCCCATCCTCCTCATCATCCCCCGGCCAATCGGGAAACCCATCCTCAAACAACTCCTCCAGCAACTCCCTCCTCTCCTCCTCCTTCAACCCTTCCTTCCTCATCACCCCCTTCCAAGCCTCATACTCCTCATCCGTGAGCAGACACTCATCAAGCAAGCCCTCGAGCGCCTTGTGATCAAGCCCCTCCCCGATGAACACCAGTTCCTGCCGCCGGTCCCCCCACTCGCCGCCCTTGGCAATGTCGTGCTTCACCATCTTGTCCACCTCCTCGTTGCCCGTCGTGTACTCCTCCGGCTGCAGCGTGCAGAACCAGGACCGGCCGCCGGTGAGGGTCAGCATCGCGCCGGCCTGAGACCACTCGCCGCAGCGGTGGGGGCGCGTCGCCATGAAGATTTCGCCCTTGGAGCGGAAGAGCCGCGCAAAGGTCGGGTGGGCGCGCTTGTTGGCCAGGATCACGTCGTTTTCGGGCGGCGTCATGCCGTCCTCCTCCATGTCCTCGTCTTCTTCTACTTTGTCGTCTTCATGATTGGGAGACGCCGCGGTTGCGGGAGTCGAGGGGGGATGAGCAGGGGACGATGCGCTGGTCTTGTCTCCTGCGGACGAGCCAACACTTTCGACGTCTGGGTAGTCGACCATTTCAGCATCCTCTTCTCCATCTTCTTCTTCTTCATCTTCTTCTCCATCGTCATCATCCTCATCAGGCTGTTCCATTTGCAAGATAAACTTGTCATAGATGAGTGCCCAGAGCCGTTTGGGATGAAAAGGCCGCAGTCGAGAATAGATAAAGTTCTGCACGTTGTACTCCTCCGTCTCCGGCTTGGGAGTCACCACATTGCGGCCATTCACCTGTATTCACAAGACCTTTGTCAGCCTTTGCCACGCCATAGCTTTTACGTCGTGAGGGTAGATAAGATGTAGAAGGCACATACCTCTCGCACAGTCATGGCATGCAAGTCCTGCAACCAGCCATACCCAGACTGCGCCCTTTCGAGGTCAAAAAGCCCCGTGTTAACCAGCTCCTTGACGTCCACCTTGCTGTACTTGGCCTCAAGGATCTTGGCCCGGTGGTTCAGCTTCTTGACAAGGTCAATCACTCGAGTCTTGGTCTCGTCATTGACCTTGATTTATCACCAGCCGTTAGCCTCTACTCAGTCAATACCTATCCACTCAAGTCAACTTACCATGTCAATCTTGTTGAGGATAATCACATCCGCAAACTCAATCTGGTCAACCATGAGATCCGAGACCGTCCGCTCATCCTCGGGGGTAACATCGTCCCTCCGAGCAGACAGCAGATCCACGGTATCGAAGTCATGCATCATCGTAAAGGCATCAATGACCGTGACCGTCGTATCTAGGCGAGCAAACTTCTGCAGCCCGCCAGCCTTTTTCCTACACAAGAGTTAGCCCCTTGATTTGAGCACCCAAAAATAGCAGCGACAACGTCATTTGAAGCTTACAGTTTCATCAAGACCTTGACCATGTCTTCGTCAAGGCCAGCCATGCCATCGCCTTCAGTCATGAGACTCATCTGATCCGCAAGGCGCGCATCAAACGTCTCGGCAACCTGCTCCGGCTCGCTGATGCCGCTGCTCTCGATGATGATGTAGTCAAACTGCTGGAGCTGGGAGATCCGCACGAGCTCCTCGAGCAGATCTCCTCTGAGGGTGCAGCAGATGCATCCATTTTGCAGCGCAATGACTTTTTCATTCGTCTTTGTAAGTTGATGGGTCTGCTTGATGAGAGAGGCATCGACATTGATGCTACAGAACCTCAGTACAACTGTCCTCATACTTCAACAGCAGTGGAAGAATCAACAAATACATACGCTCCAATGTCATTCACCACAACGGCAATGCGAAGTCCATGGTTACTTCGCAGGATGTGCTGCAACAGAGTCGTCTTGCCTGAACCCTGTATTCCCAACCTCAGTCAGGACAAACCAACCAGAACAGGGATAAAAGGACAGCAAACTCACGAGGAAGCCGGACAAGAGCGTCACGGGCACCGGCTTAGACGGCACCAAGATGTTCGTCTTGTTTGCCTTCTTGGCCTTCGACCTTGTTGTTCGTCTTAGTGGTGCCATTGTGATGAAGCAGCCCTTTTTGAGGTTGAAAAGCAACTTAATGACACAGAAATCAACAAAATGAAGTTTGTGATTTAGAAAAAGTTTGCACACTCTCAAAATTCCATTTTATAGGCACTTCACAAAGTCACGAACGGCACAATGTCACCAAGGCATCCGATCCGAGGCCATCAAGGTGGCCAGGAATGGTCCATCAAGGTGCATGTTGGATATCGCCTCACTCTATGCACGTCAACACGGATCGGAAGCTAGCGTTTGTGTCAGCGCTTGGATCGAATAATCCCAGACCAGACCAGAGGGGATTTGCTTTGGACCTCTCATCATTCGTCAGTCCTGTCGCCGATCCGCTCATCCCAAGCCCAATGATAGACGGCTGATATGATATGAATAGGTAATGGATGAAATAGTCCTGTATGCCTACCTAGACATGCGTGGATCCTCGTCGTGCTAACATGCCTAGGTACGATACCCAGGGCCATGTATGCAACCCGGCCAGACGGACATGAATCAGAACAAACAGAAAAGAAACCCTAACTCCTTGTCATGCACGCCTGCCCAACGTGTCTGATAATGTGCGCCACAAACTCAATGCGTTCACGAAATTCGTCGCTTCGACAGCCGGTCATCAACAGAATTCACATGACACAGCAGCTTCCCATGTTCAGGCCGTATCCTGCCTGGCACTGCTCCAAGTAGCCTGCTTCGTCAGATGTGCCCTCGGGGAGATTGTACTTTCGTACCACGCCTTTGGCTGTCAGTGTCTGTTCTCCCTCGGGATGCCACCAGCGTAGGATCTGGACGAGTGTTCCCTCGCTGTTATCGAGGCTAATCTCCCATCTGCCATCCGAAACGGTAACCTCACACTCTGACTTCGGAAAGTGGTACTCTGGAAGGAATATGACCGTCGGTGTATCGTCAGCTGCTGCTTGGGGGGCTGAAACCTTGATGTTAAACGTGCATTTACGTAGATCAAAGCCCGAAGAGACAAGTTTCCCCGCCACAACTGTTGGTGTTGGGCGAATAAAGGCCTCTGCGGCACGGTAGCCCGGGGTATTCGCCAGCTCGGGGTCCTTGTCAGAGGGGGCAGAGCTGATGGATGGGTTCGTGAGTGTGCGCTGTAGATTTCCAGGGTTGACGCCTGCATCATCCAGAGCTTCCGCAGTAGCGACAGTGGTGCCGTTCTTCACGAGACTCGTCGTTGATTGGTCCAACGCAGGCTCACTCATGATGGCTGACGTCTCGGGGAGCTTATCATCCACCGAGATGATGGATAAATCCTCCCCGTTCCACTGGTCCCCCCTCTCGTGATCGTTGGTTGTGGAGTACACCCATAGACAGTACCCTTCCATGCCTGATCCCTCCGCCGCAAAATAGTTGGCATCCAGTGCTGCAGACTGGCTCGAATAGTCTCCCGTCTTGTATGCTTTCTTGTCATCCATGTCATATGGGATGCCAAACTCTGTCATCAGGCAAGGATGATTGCCCATCCTATCAAGGCCTTCTTGTCGGAGGGTTGCCAGCTGATCCCGCAAGCAGTTTCGAATAGCCGTCTCGCCGACTCGAATGGCAAAAGCAGGGTGCCAGTACTTGCCGCGCAGCACGCCGACGACGTCGACGTTCCAAGTGCTGTTCCAATGCTTCGTCATGAGGGTAATGCCGTCGTAGAAGTGAGGCGTAAAGGCCAGCTTTGGGTCATCGTCTTCTGTGCCCTTAATCTGGGGCGGGAGCTCCAGGGTCGGATACTGCATAAGCATGATGCAATCCTTATGGTGGCTGCGGCAAGCCTTGATCGTCTTCCTCCAAAAGTCCATAAAGTAGGTGTTTGTGAACTCTGGATAGTCAATCTTCTTGCCAGTGTTGGGGTTCTTTGCAAAGTAATCCTTCTTCAAGAGGGTATCTGTTGCGATGTCCCACACGCCGTGTTGGGCCCAGACACATTCGCCCAGCTTCCACCCAGCATCGCGCTTCCACCCATACCTCGAGTCGTCGTAGTCTTCAGGCAGCCAAGCAATCTCGCCGTGGGGGTCCACAAGCTTCGTCCCTGTCTTGTAGGGGCCGAGACCACCCATTTCCCAGGTATCAATCTCGCAAGCTCGGCCCATGCCTGTGAGGAACGTCTGCCACATGGTGGGGCACGTGCCCTTCTTGAGAGGGTGTTCCTTGGGGATGACGGTCAGGTCAGCATAGCCAGTCATGCCTCTGTTTGGCTCGTTCATGCTCTCCCAGCCAATGACGACTTCGTTTTCGAGATCCCCCGCCTCGTGGATGCGCTTCGCTAGATGGGCACAGGCGTTGATGAAGTGGTCCTGCAGGTAATCCTGGATATTGACGCCGTCGATGATGCATTTCGGGGCAAAATCCCTGCCGGCAAAGAAGAAAGTGAAGATGGTGCCCGCAGCGAGTCGGTAGTAGTTGGTCGACCAGATCATCTTGGGGAAGTTGTCGGGATCGGGGTATGTGTTGTGCACGATGGCCGCCTCGGTGGCAGCAAAGCTCTGGGGATTCAGCCCACAGGCATAGATCGTCCACATCGGAGCTCCAGAACCGCCGGTGAACCTGGACCAGACGTCCTGGTGAGGATCCATGAAGACATAGAAGCCATACGACTTGGCAATCCTCAGGACCTCGATGGTGTGCTGGATGTATTCCTCATCGTAGATGCCCGGCCCAGCTGCTTCCAGAGCCTCCCATGTAAACAGATATCGAATCGTGTTGAAACCGAACCGCTTGATCCTCGCAAAGTGAATCGGGGCGTCTTCCTTGGTGAACGGCCGCTGGTGAAACGTCACATTGTCGCCGTCGAAGAAGTCGTCACCGACGTGCGAGGGCTGGTTGGGTTCGCTGGGCAGCTTCGTGTCTCCGGCGACGTTGATGCCGCGAAGAACGACCTGGCGGCCGTGGGCATCGCGGAACTGGCCGTCTTCGATGGTGAGGCGGAAGGACGCCATGCTTCTCGCCTGGCAGCAGAACCGAGCTGGATGGGGGCTGATTGAACCGTCTCGGTCAAGTATGCGGCCAGGAGATGGAAGGGGGAGGAGGGTAGAGGAGTGATGACGGAGGATCAATGCAGATGGTCCGTCTCGCTACTACCTGACCGACTACCTCCAGCTGAGAGATGGATGCATGGATGTCACCAGTTCAGCGGTTTCAGCGCCCGACTCCTCTGGCGGACAGCGGTCTCAGCACCTGAAGCCGGCTAAGCGGTGCACCTGGGCTGTTTCCCCACAGCGGGAGACGCTTGACTCGATCTCACTCCTTGATCTCGTTCGTTTCCCCGATTTCTCCAAACTCGGCAGATCCGGGTGGCGACAGCGAGTGCGAATACGAAAGTATGTATGTGGTATGCCGGAATTTCGGAGGATCAAGGGACCTCGTGTGAGCAGATGTAAACATCAACATTAACCCAGGCCGTAACATCACCACATTTGAAGTCAGGTTTGTCTCAGACGATCGGGATCCATCATCTGCGGCGAATTCGTCATTCCTAAAAATGCAGGGTAGCTGATAATGATGACAAGGTACATGTAACGATCAAGAACGACAGCCTCCATATCCCAATTACGATATTATACAAAGCTCAAACAAGAAGCCCAACCAAACCCACGTATTACCTACCATCCATTACCTTCACCTACTACTCCCAGTCTGCTATTACCATTATACGTGTGGCAGAGGCCATGTCTCACATCTGTCAAAATCGAATCGTTTCCCATCACGCTCATTCCTTCATCATACAAATCTCACTTCAGTAACGGATACTCACCGGCCCGTCATTGTTTGTCGCCTGCATCTCCGAATCATCGCCGGGGTCTGCTGCGACTTTAGCCCCCAGCTCTTTGGATCGAACTGATCCATACTGATCCCCGGCCTGAGGAACATCTCGGGAGCGAGAGTGTGCCAGTTCCACCGGCTCCGGAACAGACGGCTCACTGTAATATCCAACCAGATCAACCGCTCTGAACGTGGCAAGGTCTTCGCCTTCTGATGGACCCCAGATGAGATCCTCATACAGCTCCGGCCGAGGCTTCTTGCTTCCAAAGATGTAGTATCGGACCAGCCATGGCAGATACTCAAACAGCTGGAAGCGCATAAACTTCCTCTTGGACACGGCGAAGATGTGGTCCAGCTCTTCGAGGGTGCGACGCTTTGTCTCCTCCACAAGCAGGAAGACCATGACTAGAGCGACGACGTTGAGGCCGGAGAAGAGGCCCAGGGCGCCGGTTTCTGTGAGGCCCGAGTTGATGCTTTGCAGTTGTTAGCCAGGGGCAGCCGATGATGTTGGGAGCATCGGATACAGTCATACCTTGGAAAGACGATGGACAAGAGGCCGGCAAAGCCCAGGTTGATTGAAATAGCCCAAGCGGTGCCCTGACAACGCCGTTAGACTAGCAAGAGACTGAAGGCTTGTCATGGATGACCTACCGCTTCTCTATGAGACAGAGGAAAGCTTTCTGACGCAAGCGTAAAGGGAATCGGCCCCAGGCCGGGCGAGTACACGGCAGCAAAGACTGGCTGGGTGTCAGACGGTTTCTCATGAGGAAACAATTGGACGCTTCACTCACTGAAAAGGAAAAAGGCAGCAACACCGACTCTGATATTTCGGGGCTCGATCGTAAAGGCCAGGGCGGCACCAAACATGAAGAGCGCCATGAATGGCAGAGTGGCCAACAGCCATTTTCGCCGACCCAGTGTGTCGATGCTCCTCACAGCTGGCAGGGCACACAGAAAGTTGATGGCGCCTGTCGAGCGGTTAGTACCTTGTCAAGGAACAGCGAAGACAGAGGGTATACTTACCGAAGCCCAGACTGTATGCCATTGGAATGACTTTGGAGTGCACATCACTGCCGGCGCCGTTGAAGAGGTATCCTAGATTCCATGAGCTCAGGACCTGTTACTCCGTGTTGATACCGGGCTTACCCGAATAGAACGCGAGAACATTAACTGCAAGAGTGTCAGGAGGTGTCATACAGAAGATGTGTTAGAAGGGTTGACTTACTTCCGCAGAGTTGCTGGGCCAGATTGACGGTTGACGTTGAAATGACAGCGTTATACAGACGCCTCTGTTGAAACAGCTGCGCGTACTGTCTGAAAAAGTCCCGGATAACCCACACAAACCCCGGTGATCGAAACGCATGCGCGTCCAGGTTACCCAAGGCCATTGATTCCTGTTCGAGCGACTTGTAGATGAGGTACATGTCTCGCAATGCTTGCAACTATCATCATGTTAGCTGTAAGTGACCTGTTCAGTGATAACAAAAGGGACGACGCACCTCTGTGTTTCGAAGCTTCACCATACTGATGAAGGCCTTTTGGACATTGTAGTTGGGGCCTCTTGTAAGATGATATCGCGGTGACTCTGGACAGAGGAACAGTGTGATCATGAAGAGGAAGAAGCTGGGGACCATCGGTGCGGCGTTGATGAGGGAGAGCGTTGTCAAGCTCGACTGCGCCTTTGTAAAGACGAGGTTGAAGGCGAAGCCAAGCATGATGCCAAATGCCACCCTTTCATCGTAAGTTACTGAACCACATCAGTAAGAGGCCGACGAATATCACGTACCACAATTGCCAGGCCAGGATGGCAGAGCCTCGCCAAAACCCAACAGCAGTCTCTCCGGCAAGAATCGGCGTGCTGACGGCCTTGATGCCCATTCCTACACCAAATCAGCGTTTTGTCCATGAAGAAGATGCATCTGTTGTCAAGACATACCGACGCCATTAATAGCCCGAATCCCGAGTAGATGATACCACGTCCTTGCATATGCCGCACCCAAGGAACTGGCGAAGATCAGGAGCGCAGCAACACAGATGCCGCCCCGTCTGCCAAACCAGTAATTGATGGGCAGCGCAAGGGGACATCCGATGAGCGCGGCAAAGAAGAAGGGCGCTGCGTTGGCAGCCCCGAGCTTCCAGTTGTCGGCGCTCGTGTCATCGGGTCCGAGATCCCGGCGAAGCCCCCATTCCTCTCTATACAGCGAAGCGCCGTTGAAGGAGGACTGAACAAAGCCTGTTACGAGTGAAGAGTGTCAGAATTAGACGGAGAGAGGGTGGAAGAGATTGTATGTAAGCATCTTACCTTGCAACAAGGCGGCAATGGAAACCGTGAGAATGACAATCCGCATGCCCTTCTCACTAAAGGGGACATCTCTCTCTCGACGCAAGGCATATTTCTCTTCTTTCGTCAGTTGCACCGGCAGAGTGGACTCAAAGTTGTACCCTTTCTGTCTTGCAACTTCATCATATACACGAATGTCTTTTGCAACTCGAGCAGCACGCAGGAGATCCTCGTATCTGACAGACGGCAGGTGATTCTCGACAAAGGACTGAACATCCCTTTCCAGTTCTTCATCCGTAAGGTGTGCTGGTTCCGTCAGCTTCTGCCCATCTCTCACTCACTTTGCTTGCAATCATACCTAGAGCGTTTTCAATGACGACATTGCCATTGCCGTTGGCCCGTCTGCCGCGGCTGTGAGCCTCGTTGCGGGTTGACGTCCGCGTTATCCGTCCTGTTGAAGCCATCACCAAGGCCAGGGATAAGAAATGGTCATCAATGGTTTGTAAGAAAGAAAAAGAAATTATGAAGCCGACATAGACGATATTATACCATTAAAAAAAGGAAAAACTGCGCATCAGTCCATATAGCGGGCAAAAGTGCCGGCAACTGCGAGACGCTCGAGGCACCATGTATACCGGGCGCCTCATATGGCTGCATTCCTAACAGCCTCAACACCGCCTGTTTGATGCATCACATATCTACTCGTATGCATAGAGAGGCGTCGGAAGAGGGATCCCTATCTCAGCATCACATTCTTGACTGATCGTGGTTTGATTACAGTTGCCGTACGAAGCATTGCCGCATGCTCGCGATGCCAGGCACCGATATTTCACGATTCTATTTTTATAGAGGGAAGAAAGAAAAAAGAATTGTGATGTCTATGTACAAAGGTCACTGCCAAGGAAAAAGGGACAATGGGCTGTTCGAGTCCAGGTCTGATGCAATTCGATGCTTCAGTATCCGGTCAGGCTGTGGCTGTCCGTGGAAGAAGAAGCTTGTTCAAAGAACGACATAGAAGAGACGAGGCTGCGGCACTTGGACTGTGGAATGAAACTGGGGTAAAGCTTTGTTGGTTGGGGGGAAAAAAGAGTACCGAGCTTGGACGAAAGCTGGAGTGTCCCAGTGCTCTCCCTCTGAGATTGTGCAGACGCCTTCGGGCCTGGGACCATGAAGTGTGATGGTTGTGTAAATGGACAGCCTTCAGACTCGCCATGAATCTCATTTCATTGGCGGACCACGAGGACCATGGACTGTTAGTCGAAGCAATAGGAAGAACCTCTAGAGGTTGGGGATTTGCACCAGGATGACCACGAGGCAAGTCACCCGCATGTTACATGTAATCGTTTGTCTGCTTTACGTTGTTTGTGCAGCCCACTTATCGAATGTCATCGAGACGTGGTAGAGCAACGGTTGGCCCTGGCTAGTTGATCTGTCACGACGAGCTGCCGAATCCGGTAACACGTTGCTCTCGTGTTGTCTGGGTGGCAACAGTTCTGCTCGTAGTCCATGGAGACAGTTGTTGTCTCTGTAGTAGCGCCGAGAGGGCGTGGAGGATGAAAGCATCACGCGCCGTCTGCTGTCTTTTGTTAGGAGTTGTTCATCGACATGAAAGGTGCCCCGACGTCTTTTGAGTGGCTCGTTGCATGAGAAACCCAAACAGTTTGCATTTTGACAGCTGTGGTCCTCATGTTGTTTCCTTCGTCATTGACGCTGCTGCTGGCGATCCTGCTAGGAGGGGTCTTTGCTGTTCCGGCATCTGAACTGCTGCCCCGTCAGCAGCCTCTTCTCAAAACGCAATTTGCCCAATTATGTAGATTGACATCTCGTTGAAGACTATGGATCATATTAGATCGACAGATCTCGCGAAGCCGTTGGACGATTGTGCGAATAGTAGCTGAAAATGAGGTGTTGATTCATGGTGACTTTCAAGTTGAGTCTTTGGCGTCATCTGCGAGTCCTCAGTACTCGGAAAATCTTCGGCCCAGCGCGTTGACTGCTAGCACAGCTCATGGGTCGCTTGCCTCACTGAAGCTCAGGCCCGCATCGTCCATCACCAGTCATTCGCTCGAGATCCACCAGATACGTCAGCCTTGCTTCAAGATAAGGTATCTTGTCTGCTGATGAAAGAGGGCTCAGTCTATCATGACATAGAATCCTTTCCCAGAGCGTTTTCCTCCTCCATTCTGTTCTACCTTCGACGTTTACGGTGCTCTCCGCACGCTCCCTCTCGCTGTAGGGTTTCCCCGGGGCATCAGGCAGCATGTCTACCAAGGCAGCTCTCAAAAGCATCAATGATGCCGTGCGCGAGAAGAACTATGATGATGCCATTCAGAAAGCCCGGGAGTTGTTGAAAAAGGACCCTAAGCATTACCAGGCGTATGTTGGTTGTTGGATGCATCTCAGGTGCAACTCGTCATGTGCAGAAAGCTGACCTGGTGTTGCAGGCATATCTTCCTGGGTTTCGCGTTGGATCAGAAGAACAAACTGGATGAGGCTGAGGCCATCTACGAAGCAGCAGCCAAGCTGCGTCCTGAAGACGCACCGGCTTGGCAGGGCCTCATCAAGCTGTATGAGAAGCAAGGTGCCAAGAAGCTGCAGGAGTATCACCGAGCCGCGGTCAGCCTGGCCCAAGTCTTTCACAAGGCGGAAGACATGTACAAGTGCCAAGATGTTGTTGACAAGTTTGTCGACTTTGCCCGAGCCCATGGAGATCAGTTACAGTACGCCGATGCCTTGCGCATCAGGCTCCCTGAGAGCCCCTTGTTTCCGATACTCGAGGGCCGCTTCCCGCACCCCGCCAAGACGTACGAAAGCATCGTTCTCATCCTCGAGGCGTATGAGAAGAAGACCATCAACACGCTCATTGGAGAGCGGCGGACGAGGCTGGGCGCAACGTTGACCGACGTCACCCTGGAGGTGAAGCGCGAGGTCTACCAAAAGAGCAACCTAGAGCACTTTTACCGGCAACTCATCAACTGGACGACTGACGATGATGCGAGGAGAAACTACGAGGAAAAGTTGATCCAGTACTGCTACGACCATGTCGCCGTGGCGCCTGCGGGGCCGCAAAAGACAGCTGAACAGCAAAAGGTTCTCGGATTGGCGAACGACATGGTCATCATCAAGCACCCCTTCCGATTGGCCTGGGAAATTGCCATCAACTGGCAGGATAAGAAGGAGATTCGTGACTACGACGTGGATCTGCTGAGGAACTACTGCAGCTTCTTCCCGGAAACCGATTTGTACAAGATCATCACCGGGTTTTTGACAAGCCACTTTTCTCCTTTCCCATCACCGCCGCCAGAACCCAAAACGGCCGCCTCCCCCGATAATGAGACATCGGAGGATAGCGACGAGGAGGACGGTGGCGCGCCAACCTTTGTGGTCCCCCTGACCGAGGAAGATCGGCTAATCATGATGACTGACGGCATCTCAACCTCGGAATCCGTCTTTGGCTACAGACTCGTGGGGGAATACTTACTGCGATCCGGGGAGTACGAGTCCACGGTGGAGTTGATGCGCAAGGCCATGCCTTTCCTTGCCAAGGAAAAGCAAAGGATTGGCATGTCATACCAGAACACGGAAGATGCGTATTCCATCTCTCTTGCGACCGCGCTCATCTACTATCAGTCACCGAGACACCACCAAGAGGCCAAACGTCTGTTTGACAAAGTTTTGGAGCATGATGCAACGTCAACGCCTGCCATGATTGGCGTAGGCCTGATCTTTGAGGAGGAGGAGGACTACGAAGAGGCGATTGACTTCCTCACGCGCGCATTGGCCCGAGACCGTTCAAATCTGCGTGTCAAATCCGAGGCTGCCTGGGTCAAGGCGCTTAGGGGAGATTGGCAAACCGCTCTAGGAGAGTTGCAGGAGTGTGTGGAGCCGTTGGAAAAGCAAGGGGAAGCGGCCAAAGAGCTGTTGGCCGACACCCAGTACCGCATCGGAATGTGCATCTGGAACCTGGAGACGGACCGCCAGTCTCGGAAGCGGAAGAAGGGCGAGTGTGCCTATGCTTACTGGCTCAAGGCGCTGAACAACTCGCTGAACCATGCCCCGACGTACACCAGCCTGGGCATCTTCTACGCCGACTACGCATCGGACAAGAAGCGGTCGAGGCGGTGCTTCACAAAAGCTCTGGAGCTGTCGTCGTCGGAAGTGACTGCGGCCGAACGGTTGGCCCGCTCCTTTGCAGACGATGGCGACTGGGATCGAGTGGAGCTGGTTGCTCAGCGCATCATCGACTCGGGCAAGGTGAAGCCTCCGCCGGGGTCTAAGCGGAAGGGTATCAGCTGGCCATTTGCGGCCCTTGGTGTTGCGGAACTGAACAAGCAAGACTTCCACAGGTCCATTGTGTCGTTTCAAGCCGCCCTCAGAATCTCCCCGAATGACTACCACTCCTGGGTTGGACTCGGCGAGAGCTACCACAGCTCTGGACGCTACATTGCAGCGACCAAGGCCATCCTCAATGCCAAGAAGTTGGAGGAGGAGTCCAAGGTGGACGTGTCTGCAGACACTTGGTTTACCAACTACATGCTTGCTAACATCAAGCGGGAACTGGGCGAGTTTGATGAGGCTATCACACTCTATCAGACGGTTCTGGAGACCCATGCCGAAGAGGAAGGAGTGATTCTCGCGTTGATGCAGACTATGGTGGACAATGCCGTCACGAGCGTGGATAGAGGCCTGTTTGGGAAGGCGGTTCATCTAGCCATGGATGCCATTGACTTTGCCACAAAGAGAAGTGGCAGCGTTCTGGAAACCTTCAACTTCTGGAAGAGCATCGCCGAGGCTTGCTCTATATTCAGTACGGTTCAGAGCCGAACGGCAGACTTTCCTCTCGACTCCATCAAGCCGCTGCTGGAGTCTCGGCCACAAGAGGCTTTTGATATCCTCGCCAATGTTGACAAGGTTGGCACCGATGTCGTCTATCAAAAAGTCGAGACAAACGAGCATTTCAGCCTTGAGATTGCGGCATGCATACACGCAACGATCTTGAGCTACAAGCAGGCCATCCACGTATCGAGCGGCGATATTCACGCACAGGCCGTTGCGTACTATAACCTGGGATGGGCCGAATATCGGGCTCATACATGCCTGCCATCACAGCTACGGAAGAAGCCGAGCCCCTACCTAAGGGCTGCTGTAAGAGCTTTCAAGCGATCCATTGAACTAGAGGCCAGCAATGCGGATTTCTGGAACTCCCTAGGAGTGGTGACGAGCGAAATCAACCCTGCCATTGCCCAGCACGCCTTTGTCAGAAGTCTGCACTTGAACGAGCGTAGTCCAGTGACTTGGACGAACTTGGGGACATTGGCATTGCTGTCAGGAGACTTGAAGCTCGCCAACGAAGCCTTTACGAGGGCCCAGTCAAACGACCCGGATTATGCGCATGCCTGGCTCGGCCAGGGCTTTGTGGCACTCTTGCTCGGCGAGGCCAAGGAGGCCAGGAGCCTCTTTACACACGCCATGGAGATTTCGGAATCGTCATCGCTGCCTGCACGCCGTCATTACTCGTCTTCGCTTTTTGATCACATCTTGACGGCACCGCTCAATCTGAACGTGGCGTCGCTGATCCAGCCGCTCTTTGCCGTGAACCAGGTGCAGAGCCTGCGGCCCGATGATTTGACCTTTGTGCACCTCGGAACCCTCCTGCAAGAGCGCACGGGCGAAAGTTCCCGCGCCGTCGCCACTCTGGAGAGGATTTGCGAGAAGCTCGAGGCCAACTACGAAAAGACCGAGTCCGCTGATGACCTCGCCAGGTTCACGCTGGCTCGGACAGACCTTGCGCGGGCATACCTCGCCTCTGGATCGTACGAGCAGGCCGTCGAGTGCGGCGAGATGGCGCTAGGATTGAGCGGCGACGAGAGCGAGAGCGAGCTGACGAGTGACCAGCGCAAGAAGGCCCGGCTGTCGGCGCACTTGACCGTTGGGCTTGCGCAGTACTATCTCAAGGCGTATGACGATGCAGAGAAGTGCTTCGAGTCAGCGTTGGAAGAGTCCGACAACAATCCTGACGCGACATGCTTGCTCGCTCAGGTCCTATGGGCCCAGGGCACCGAAGCCGCAAGAGAACGGGCGCGCAATGCCCTGTTTGAGGTCATTGAGAAGCAGCCCGATCACGTACAGAGCGTGCTGCTCCTGGGCGTCATCGCCCTGTTGGACCAGGACGAGGCAAGCCTGGAAGCCGTAGTCGAAGAGCTCCAAGGGCTGCGAACAAACGACAAGGTGACGGCCAAAGAGCAGTCCCGCATCGGCCAAGTCCTGCGAGCCGTGGCCGCCCTCGGCGAAGGCAAGACACAGCAGGACATGATTTCGCAGGTGCAGACGGACATTATGCTCTATCCTTACCTCCCACACGGCTGGTCATCCCTTGCTGAAACAGCGGGAGAAGACGGCGACTATCCGGCCGAGGTGTCGCTCATGGTGGCGGCCAGGGGCATTCCGCCGCGGGGGACGCTGGAAGCGCATGACTTGGCCAAGGCGTATGCCGGCACGGGCAGAGTTGCGGATGCGCAGAGAGCGGCATTCTTGGCTCCTTGGGAGGGAGCTGGTTGGAGTGCTTTGGAAATTAGCGTTGAGGGCATGTGAGGGTAGGATAGATATGTTGAGAAAGACTTCATGACCTGTGTATGGAGACGGAGGAGGTCACTGACGATGATAAAGAGATATCAAAGAAATGTTACGAGCATACAAAAGACTTACCGTGTCCGTCTCTCTATTCCATGACGAAGAGTGTATCGGGACGTCTAGGTAGAATACAACGAAAAGACAACTAAAGTACACACATGAAAATGCCAACGCAAAAAGGGGGGGTATCACGACACACCTCACAAACTCACCCCCAGAACCACCATCAATCACCTCGGCCGGTCCGCGCCCACACTCTCCCTCAACCTCGCCAGCCTCCCCTCGGCCCAAGCCTCATGCCACGCATCTACCTTGCCCCCCAGCAACACACACGTCTCCGGCGCCAGCAGCACCGTGCCCCGGGCCACCACCGCGCCCGCCCTCAGCATCATCTTCTCCCCGATGAGCGTCTTGCCAACCGCAATGCCATTGATGCGCTTCAGCTCGACCGCGTACACTCGTTTCCCCCGTCTATCCTGCAGGACCAATCGATGAACGGCGTTGGCTCCCCCCGAAGACGTCCCGCTACCACCACCACCTCCTCCACCACCACCAGTAGCAGCAGCAGTAGCAGCACGAGTAGTGGAAGAAGAAGCTTGTGTCGTAGTAGAAGAGCCATCAGCCTCATTAGACTCATCCTCCTCCTCCTCAGCCGTAACCCGTATCACCTGCCTCCCCCTCGTCCTCTCCCCCCTCTCAATGGCCTCCAGCTCCTCAACCTGCTCCCACCGACTCGCACTCAGATTCTCCACATCCAAGACCTGCACGTGAATGTTCTGCGTCAGTTTCGTCTCCGCCACGTTTGCCGAATCAATGTCGGGCGGAAACGTCGCTATAGAAGAAGAGTCGACGAGGGACGTGCTCGTCAGGTCGGAGGCGAGCAGGCGGGCCTTTGCCGTGGCGACGAGGGACTGGATCGGGGGAGGCGGCGAGCGGGATGTCGTGAGGGTTGTCAGGAGGGTTTGGGAAGGCGGAGGGAGGGAGAGGGAGAGGATGGAGTGGCGGAGTTGGGATATGAGGTCCATTTGTGCTGGCGATTTCATCTGACGTTGAAGTTGAAGCTTGTATCGAGCTCTCTTTTCTTCAATCTTGTCGGCAGAAATGACGTACTGTAGCCTGCCCACTACTGGCGATAAACAGCGATAAGCTCAGGGGACCAGGGGCACTGTAATTTAGCGGCCGCAGCTCCGAAACCCCCCCAGGCCCCCTGTAGCCTCACCTCACAAGGCTGTCAGCTCAGCCCAGCCCCATATCTCAAGCTGTCACCATCTCATTACACCCTCCCCATCTCCAACCCTCATCCTCCCATCCTCAACCCATCACCACAACCCATCACCATGTCCACCATCTCCTCCCCCCGCAACCCCCCCGCGCCCCTCCGCCGCACCCCCTCCGGCACACCGACATCCTCCGCCCGGCCCTCGTTCGACGTCTCCCGCTCCGCAGTCACCTCCCCCGTGCTCTCCGCCTCCCAGCCCTCAACAACATCAGCAACAGCAGCAGCAACAACAACAGGCTCCTCCAAGCGCTCCAACAACCGCGCCGCTCTCCGCGAATACTACAACCTCCGCGCCGCCGCCGCCGCCACGTCCGCCTCGACGCCATCGACGCCGCGCATCGTCGAGGTGCCCGACTCAGAGGTCCCCGCGAGCGAGATTGACGCGCCGGACTTCAACCTCGATGACTACCTACAAAAGATTGTGGCGGAGAGCAGCTTGCAGGAGCTGCTGAAGCTGTATACGAGGGTGCTGGGCGAAGTCAGAGCTCTGGATGCGGAGAAGAAGGCCCTTGTGTACGACAACTACAGCAAGCTCATTACCGCGACGGAGACGATTCGCAAAGTAGGGAAGCTCTGACACGTGCCTGGAATCGGTGACACGAATGGTTTACAGCTGCTAATCGTGATGCTCTCTTTGATTTTTTTCTCTCTCTCTAGATGCGAGCAAATATGGACCCCTTGAACCCCATGGCCACGACGCTCGATCCGGCCATTGCGCACATCTACAGCCAGGCTTCCGCCATACAGGAGTCTTTGCGGAAATCAGTTCCCGCTCCAGATTCAGACGAGGGCAAAGCCCGGGAAGCGCAACAGCGACGCCAACGCACCAGGCAGCTGGCAATTGAGGTGCTGGCGACACCGGAGCGGCTGCAGGCTCTTGTCAAGGAGGGGAGATATGAAGAGGCGAGGAGACAGTGGGAGATGCCCAGGAAGCTGCTGGAGGTCTGGAAACAAAAGGGACTGGGCGGAGACGACGTGCAGGCGTGCATCGACCAAGGCGACGCAGCCATTGCCCTGACGCGAAGCAGGTCACCGGCACCTGAAGCCGCGAGGAACGGGCGATACGGCGCATTGGCCTCACCGACACCGCATGCCATGAAGCAATGACCGCCCCGGCCCCGTTCGTATATATGCAACGAGTCGGCGTCCGCCTGAGGCCGCGTATCGCCCTCAGTCCTCCTGCAAGGTACTCACGTCCAGTATCTTAAACGGATCGGAGTCGTACTCGCTCAAAATCACCTCTGCGTCCGGCTGGGCCTCCCTGAGCAGCTTCTCCAGACTGGGCCTCAGCACCTCTCGCAGGTAGCCTCTCTCCGAGTTGCTGTGGAACACTTGGATAAGCGTCCTGCCCTGCTGGATGGCCCTCAGGGCAGAGTGATGGCTCGTCTCGCCCGTGACGAGCAGGTCCACGTCGGCCGACTTGAGAACGTCATACCCGCTTCCCGCGCAGACACCAAAGCTGCGCACCATTGTGGTCCTGATGTCGGCGCCCACGGGAGAGGCGATCATGATGTGTTTCAGCCCGCCCAGCTTGAGAGCTAATCGCTTGATGATCTCGGCCAACGGCACGGCAGCGCCGTTGGTGAAGCGCCCGATGGTGCCGTAACCGGCCGGCGAGTGGGATTCAGGAGCCGAGGCGCACGGGATGGCGACCGACTGGGTGTTCTTGTGCGGGCCTGCGACGATGTTGGCGAGCCATGTGTTGAGGCCCTCGGGAGCCGCGTCGACGGCTGTGTGCGGGCAGTAGACGGCGATGCCGGCCTTGGCCAGCTGCAGGAGCGTGGCTTGCTGGGGGTCGTCGTTTGTCACGGACTTGAAGCCGGAGAAGATGAAGGGATCTGGAAAAAGGGGTGGGACGACATGGTCAGAATGCAAGCGATGAGGAGGTGTAAGATGTGTGCCAATGAATAAATCACCCACGGTAGCTGACAATGACACTGACGCCCTGGCCGATGGCATCGACGGCGACCTGAAAGGTGAGGTCGTTTGTCACCATGACGACTGGCTGCAGCTTCTTGGCGTCGCTCTCGGAATTGCCAACGAGCAGTCCGACATTGTCCCATTTCCGATCGGCGAGTTCTTCAGGGTAACTGTATTTCGCAAGACTTTAGTCAGCCAGAATCGAAAGCAATCGATGTGTGATGCTTGCGCCCAAGATGCGAGCGAGTGAAGGGCACAACAACGTACAGCGACCGCATAGAGTCGACGACGAGCTGCGTAAACTTGGACGGCTCGACCTGCCACGCGCCCCAAGCGCCCACGCCATCCAGGTATTCAGCCATATCGCTGGTGCTCTTGTCGTCGTCGCTGAGCCGTTGGCTCGTCGTAGAAATGCCCTGTCGCGATGGAGGGCGAAGAGGGAGGGGAGGAGGACCGCGAATCGGGCGCGAAGACCCAGGACGCAAAGACGCTGCTGCTGCTGCTGCTGCTGCTGCTCTGCGTGCCGACGGAAGAAGAAGACCTCTATCTAGCAGACGTCTTGCCAGTAGCATGTCAATCTGCCTAGGGCAAAACGCAGACAAAAGCAGATTGGTCAACTACCTTATACAGAATCAAACTGATGGTAAAATAAAGTAGTAGATAAGTTCGATCTTGATCTGAGTTATGCAGTTCAGCCTCAAGCTAAAAGCCAAGCTTTCTTCTTCTTCTTCCAACCTCTCCACCAATCCCCATTCCCCCAATGAGCTCATACCGTGCATACACACGCACCAAAACTGTGTGATTAAGCACTGTGTGTGTGTGTGTCCCGCCCCCACGATCTATCTAATCAATCAATCAATCAATCAATCAGATCGACCTTCCATCATTCTTTTAACATCACATTTGTCATACTACTTCTTGCGAAACCCGCCCGTCTTCTCTTACACAGGGCTCCTAAACAAACAGAGAGCACCTCTGTATAGCCACCATTCAAATGGCTTCAATAACGGAAGCCTCCCTCCGCGAGGCAATCACCCAGCGCCTCGGCGCAATCCACGTCCAAGTCACAGACATGTCCGGTAAACCGCCCTCATTATCCACAACTCCTCCTCCCAAAACCAAATCACTCCCTCTACAAACCCCCCCCCCCCCCTTCCTCTCTCAACGCACACACTCCTCCTCCAAAAGTCGCTAACCTATGTGTGTTTTCTTCCCGGGTCAAACAGGAGGCTGCGGCCAAGCCTTCACAGCCCTCATCGTATCCCCCCAGTTCCAAGACCTCAAGGCCCTCAAGCGGCACCGCCTCGTCAACACGGCCCTCAAGGACGAAATCGCCGCCATCCACGCCTGGACCGCAAAATGCCAGACGCCGCAGGAGTGGGAGGCCGAAGGCGGCGGCAGCACGCCGGCGGGCGGCGCCGATGCCGTCGGCCCGTCGATGGAGGGCACCGTGGAGGGGCACGTTGAGGGGACGAGGGGGTAAAAAACAAAGCAAAAACAATTGGCTTGATGATACAACATAACCTCCCCGGGGGGGGAGTTGCTGAGGTCAGTGGGTGGTGATACACAGACAGAAGAGAGGAGCAAGAACCATCTCGGGCAGGGGACAAAGAGGAGAAGACCGAGTTTGGGCGGGATTGGGGCTGGGTTTGGAGTGGCCAAGGGACGATATGCAAACAAACCGGACGCAGAGACAAGAACCACACCGCAAGGCGTGCCAAGACGGATATCAAACAAAAGAGATACGACGAGTGGAAACGCTTACGAGCCGAAGCCGATGCTGCTGGCATCAACTCGAAAAAAGTCTAAAAGGGTATAGACAACTCAAATTATATCTTCATAACATGTATATATCTCACAGGACATCAAATACCTATGCATCACTTATTAACTATATTTTCCAGCCTCCCAAGAACCCCCCCCCTCCCTTGCCTCCTCCTCCAGTCTCTCTTGTCGATTCTTCTCCCCTTCTGGCTTGCTGCTTGCATGCATATACGCTCCTCCAACATTTACAACAAACCCAAAAGATCATCGCTATCCTTCTTCGGCTGAGAGCCGCCTTGCGCATTGTGCAGCTGCATCGCCGCCGGCAACGGCTGATTTGTACTCGTGGCCCCAAAGTTGAGCCCCTCAAATCCGTTCATCAAGTCGTTCATGCCGCCGGACGGAGCACCTCCAGAGCTGCCAGCCGGAGGCGCATCAAACATGCTCATCATGTCGGCCATGCCACCCGTGGCCGGGCTCGACACCCGGTCAGGTGTTCCCGCCGCGCTGTTCTGCTCCTGAGAGGCCGGTGCTGCGCCGTCAAAGTCAATGTCCAGCAGGTTCTCAATGTTGTTTTGCGAGACCGACGAGGAGCCATTGGCGGCGGCGGCAGCCACGGATGCGGCGATGGGGTTTTCCGCGGCGTTCTGGCGCTGCTCCTGGATGGCGGCTCGCTGGATCTCGTCGGCACCGAACCGGCCCTTGCCGACAAAGGCTTCCGGGGGCTTGTGGTATACCGACGCCAGAGTTGACAGCTCCGACAGCAGCTGCTCCAGTAGCGCAGTCGGCAGGCTTGTCATTGTTGTTGAAATGGTCGGCTTCTGTGACAGGACAATGTTCTTGAGATCCGTCAGTATGCGCAGCTCTCATCAAAGGACGCCAACGACTCCTACCTTGGCCACCTCCAAATCTCCCGATAACAATCGCCAGTAGACGTATGCTCTGTCGCGGATATCGGGGTTGTCGTTGTTGGTTGTTGCCTCCTGCAGCACCTTCTGAACCAGGCCCTGCGCGCCACTCGGCTTCTTCAAAAACAGCTTAACAACAGCTGTAAGGATCTGGAGTTGTGTCTGCAGTTCGATTAGCCAAAATCCCCGACTTTTCCACAGCTCTCCACATACCTGAGTGAACTCCTCCAAAAAGGTGTCTACAAAACCCTCCAGAATCTCCTCAGCGTTGCTAATCTTCTCGGCGTACTCTCCCACAATCCAGATGAGGGATCCACGAGCATTGGCCTCGTCGAGCTCGTCAATGTAGTTGCAGAGCGAGGGGATCACGCCCTCGTAACCGGGGTACTTTCGCAGGATATCTTTGATGACCACGACAACCTCTTGCACCACGTAGTTGACCTTGGTAGCGAGAAGATCTTCCAGCGCCTGCACGCACTTGCCACTGGCCTCCTCAATCTTGATGGCCACCTGGCCGATGGCCTTGATGGCTCGGCGCACAAAGTCCATGTCCACTTCCAGGGCGTATTCCTTGAGCTCAGACAGGAGCTGCTCGTAGTTCTTTTCGTTTGCTATCCTGACCATGATTTCCAGCTTTTGCATCTTGACGTACGGCGGGTCGTTGTATTTGCAAAAGAAGACTCTTAACTCTTTGCTCAGGATGTCGGGCTTGGCTTGAAGGAGCAGATCAATGTTTCTGAGAGCGACGTATTGGACCTCGGGGGCAGAAGCAACCAGTGTGACTGTATACAAGCTGCAGTGTTAGCATAGTCACGTCATGTCTTCTCAGATGTCAAATCGGGGACATGATCGGAACGCACCGAGTGGAGGCGCCATCTTCTTAAGATATGACCGCACGAGCTCCGGGTTAATCGACTTCATATGAATAAAGACCACCTTGACAGCAGCCAGGACCACGCTAGGGTTGACGTGCTGGAACTGCGGAATGACCCTCTCGCAGATGTGCTCCGACTCCTTGACGTCGGTGGCAGCGTAGTCTGCCAGCACGGTCAGAATGGTGATTCTACCCCATTCGGTGCATTCGTTCATGGCCATAAGCAGCTTCTTGAGCACCGGGGGCGTCACCAGCAGCGCCCGCGTCTCGGGCGCCGTCTCGCTAATCTCGGCCAGCGCCTGGACCGAGTTTGCGACCACCATGGGGTTCGGGTCGCCAATCATCTCCTGCAGCGTCTCGATGAAGCCGTTCTCGATGCACATGGCCGGGTTCAGGTCGAACAGCTTGGCCACGCAGATGGCGGCCGTCTTGCGCACGTACGGCGACTCGTCCCGCAGCGTCTTCCGCAGCGGCTCCTCCATGTAGTCGACCATCTTGTCCACCCGGATGCAGCCCATTGTGCGGATGGCCAGCGCTCGCACCAGCGGGTTCGGGTCTTCCGAGTCTTGCACGAACGTGTTGACGGCGAGAATGCAGAGGTCTGGGTGTGTCTTTGCGTAGTTCCTGGGGTCACACTCCACGTTAGCACCGCATCGCCACGTCAGGCAGTATCTCGTCCTTCGCTCCGTGTGTGTGATCATGGTCGGCCATTGTCTGCAGCCACATACATGAGGTAGAGGTAGACCAGCTTCTTCTGGTCCAGGTCGGACGTGGCAATGTTCTTCAAGACGTCTGGGAACAGGGCGGACACGTCCTTGCCCAGCGTCATGGCCATGATGGTCTTCTGGATGGACTCCTTCCGCTCGTAGGCATACTGCGACACCAGGCCGGCCCGCAGCTCGAATGTCTCTCCCTTCCGAGGCGCGGCAAAGGCGCCCCGGATGCGATTCACCGCCATCGTCGAGGAGTTGGTGGGAGGAGGAGGAGGAGGAGGGGCACGAAGGTGTTGGTCCCGTGTCTGGGGGTGACGCTGTCTCGGGTGTTCGAAGGCGTCTGCGAGTGTAGTCGACAACAGCGGTGTTGGAAGGACAGCCGAGAAGGAATAGCAGAGGCTGTCGAGGAAATCGCTAGCGGCAGAGCCTCCAGCAACGGCTGCGTGTCGTGGCCTCTGGAATGGCGAGTCAGGCTGTCGAGGGGTTGAAGAGTTGCAGCTTATGTTGCGGATTCATACAGTACAGGCCAGGCATGAGCTTAGCAGGCGGGTTTGGTTGCTCGACAGCCTCCCTACATGTACCGTAGGCCAACCGACGCTGAGTCATCATCCAACAGCGAGCGAATCAGTTAGACGGAACAGAGGATATGGAGATGAAGTTGTCGGCAGTGGTATGTCTATAAGTAATGTATTGTTTTTTTATCAGACACCTCATAGAACTCGCAAGATGCTGCCTGTTCTCTCAGTATAGATTCAATGCAATACTCATTGCTAAAGAGCAAGTCAAGTAGGTATAGTATCACACATAGAGCACGATCCACATCCACCTGCAGCGCTTCCATTTTAGGACCTTCACGAGCCTCACTTTCTGCACTTAGTCATCCAACCTCCGACTCACACGATATCAACAGTTCCCAGCCATCACGTCCAACTATATCACAATCGTCATATAGAGGACACTGAAAAACGCCACTCATCAACTCCATTCAGAAACAGGACCAAAGCCACTCCAATCCCACCCGCACGGACCTCCTCTTTCTCCAGGCCAAAAACCACAGCCATCGACGACGCCATAAACTTAATTCTTTAGCTCGCCTCTTCTTATTCTTCTCACCTCTCCACGCCTCTAAGCCTTCTCTCTACTCTTCCCTCCTTTTGTTGCGCCGACATGGTAATCTATCCCACGCCAAACAGCAATCATCAAGCAATGGTTCTACGAGCGCTTCTTGTCTGCTAAGTCAACATGTCGCAGGCAAGCTTTCCCAACCTCAGGAGGCTGTTCATCGAGGCCCGGACAGAAGATGAAGAGAGGAACATCTCCCGAAAAGCCGTATGTACCCTCACAAGCCATTGCTCAATGGGTTGTATCTGATCGATGCCAGTTCTATCATGCTGTTCTCTTCATGGGTTCCGTGGCCGTCTTTAGCCTGATTGCACAAAGACTGAATGCTAGGAAATGAAGCATCATGGCATATAACCACAAGTTGATTCAAGACTATTGCTCAAGCCGGCCTTATCACTATCATTACGACTCATGAAAACCGCTATATCTATCTGGATTCAATCCTCTTCCTCAACATCTGCAGCATCCTCCACCTCAACCTCATCCTTTGCCGTTGACGCCGCCTTAGCTTCCTGCTTCCTCCATAGATTAGCAAGAAACTCATTCGTACTGGCTTCTTCAATGCTCTTGTCGTCTCTCTTCTTCAAAAACCGCGGAAACCGCAAACTCAGGCCTCGCTCGTCGCTCACAAGCCCAATGGCAGCCGTATACACCGGGCTGAGCGTAATGTCCGCAAACGCCATTTCCCACACCTCCTGCGGCTCGAACCAAACATCCGGAGCCGGACCGTGGTATTCTATAAAACTCGGCTTCTGCAGCTTGGTGTTTTTGGGCTCTCCGCTCTCTTCGCCGTCGTCATAAAACGCCTTGTTCGCCTTGTAGAATGAGTCTGTAAAGCCCGAGATGCATTTGCACACCACCTCGAGCATACCGCTTTCCTCGTTCCGCACCGCCATCAGGATGGGAGACCACCACTTGGCCTTTCGGCCCTGCCCATGCCATCCAGCAACGGGAATCATGTCCAATGTGTCGAAACTCGAGTTATAGTCCTTCTTCACCTTGAGCCAGGAATCAAGCCGCTTATCTGGTTCGTAAGTCGCTAAGAGCGGCTTCCTTCGAGATTTTGTTGCTTTCTCTTCACCGTCGGCCTTTGCAGAAGTTTTCGGCTTCGCCTTGCCCTTTGATCGAGTCTTTGGTAGTGACAGTTTCTCCGTGTCTTCCAGGGGCTGCGGCTGCTCAACATCGCCCTCCGCCGCCTCCGCCAAAGGTGGGTCGGGTATGTTGTCCAAGATCTTTACCATGATGCCTTCGCATTTGTTCTCCAACGCCGACTTGAAGAAGTCAAGAACTGCTTCGGAGTCTCCAGACGTAGCATCCAGGCTCTTGACCCAGGTAAAGTGATGCGGCACCTCGGTGAAGAGCGATCGAAGAAGCTCTCGCCGTTCTCGAAAGGGTCGGTTCAAGAGAGATTGCCCGTTGAGGTACATGAGGTCAAACGCGAAAAGACACACGTCGATTTTGATGTCTCCAATCGCCACATCCTTTCGCGCACGATTCGTCAATGTCTGGAAATTCTTCAGCTCGCCCGTCTCTCGATCAAGAGCCACCACTTCTCCCTCCATGATGAAGCTTCCGATGCCCTCTCCTCTAATCTTGGGCACAAGGTCCACCAGGTCGGGGTACTTTTCCGTCATGAGCTCCAAATGTCTGGAGAAGATGGACACTTTGCCTTTGTCGTCGCAGTGGACTTGTGCGCGCTGCCCGTCATACTTGAACTCGCATGCAAAGTCTCTCCCCTGGAGCTTCGTCAGCATCTCTGAGAGGTCTCTGGTTATGCTCCCCAACATGGGACGCAGTGGAATGTGGAGAGTCAAGCCGCATCGCAGAAGCAGCTCCTCGCATACCCCAATCTCGAGGAGTGCAGGGATGAGGTCGTTGTAGTTGGGGTGTCTCGCAAAGCTGGCTTTGACAATCTCTTCCGCCTTGCCCCATACGTCTGCCAACTCTTCCTTCTTCAGCTTACGCAGTTCCCCGACATCCTTTGTGCTGTATTCAGAGCCAGGGGCCTTGGACAGCAGGAACGCCCTTGACAACGCGATAAGCATAGTAGTCTTCACGGCACCAATGCGAAGCTAAATATAGCATTAGTTGTGAGGTCAGTTACCAAAAGCGGGGGAGAGGAAGGGTTGATTTCAACACACATATTGCGAGACCGTTCGAACAATAAACCGGCTTTCCTCTCCTCCTCGCGCATCTTGCAATAGCCGATCGACGATCCGCTGCTTGGCCTCGCCACTTCCCTGCCCATGTGTAGTGGCAATCTTAACCAAGGCCTGATAGACACCCTTGATGGTGAGCGGCTTTGGTTTTCTCAACGTGAAGCTCTGTTTCTTCTTGGCTTCGAAAGCAACATCGCCCGGGTCCCCGTACTTGTCATAGATGGCCTTGAGAGACCGGTTATCAAGGCCGCAGACTTGGCGAAGTGCCTTGGATATGGCAGAGCCACCGAGCCCAAGCTCCATGGAAATGTATGGAGGCGATATGGAGTTTGTGGCAAGCCAGACCTAGGATGATGAGCACTGCGGGATACTACCTAGTGGTGATGTCGAGCACGTACCGCTGGTAAGAGGCTAGAGGGATCGCCTTCGATCAAGATTCGCAGGCAGTTCACAAGGGTATCAACAATCTTGATGCGGCTTGTCGTTGCGCTAACAAGGACAAAGCATCTGGTAAGGAGAGCATATGTAGCGTCGCCCTTTTCGGCAGCCCAGCACTCTTGTAGTAGTTTTACGTACTTTGACGGTTCAAAGGTGAGAGGAGACTCGTCAAGAGGAATGGAGTTTGTGACTGCGTCATCAACCATCCCGGTAGATTGCAGAGACAGCGTCTTCCTGTTGTCTTGCTTCCTCAGAGCTGCATCGGCAGTTGGTGGCTCCGGGTTGCTGACAGAAGCAGGCGTGGAGTCGCCGTCTTCCGTCTTTGAGATGGCTCCGACGTCTGAGTCCTTGGGCGTTGAGCTTTGGCCTTCAGAGGGAGTCTGGCGGTGACTTGCTACCTCTTGATTCCATTCTGCCTGTAGCTTGCGTGCCAGTTCCTCGTCTGAGAGCAGAGCGGAAGAGCTGCTCGGCGCGCCATCCTCGCCAGTTGATGGATTTGGCGATTCGGGCTGTTTCTGCTTGGAAAAGAAGTACTCAAGTCCCTTGGACTGAGCTGCCGGCTGCTTCTTGCCACTGTTGAGCTTCCTCGCCTTGGCCGGACTCGACATGATGTCTACCTAGGTATGTGCCGTATATGTATGTCATTCGTATCATTCTCCAGCAAGCAAGCATCCTCTAGGGCATCTCCCACTTATCAGCGTCAAGAAGAACGGCTCATAAGGACAAAACCATCATCTGAGAAGCAACTTCATCCCATGATTGCCGGGAAAACGCGTCATATCCAAGCAATAGTGCAGCTGTCAGTGCTCCGGACTCATTCCTCACGTCGTCCATGACGCACTCCAACACGAGCGCACGTGACCGCGCCTCAAGCCTCCCAGACCCCGTCGTCTGTCCTGCGCTAAGCCCCTTTGGGCCCCTCAATGCCGCACAACCAGCAACCCGCAATTATGCGAAATCTTTCCCCTTCAGCCCCACCATCTCGAACTTCAAACGTCCAAACTATTCATTCCCCCTCTCAATCACACCAGGCCCAACAATACCTTTTTCTTTCTCTCTCTCTTCCTTCTCCTCCTCCTCCTCCTCCTTATTTCCTCTTCTTCCTCAAATATACACCACAGCACCAAGATGAACGGCGAAGACCCCGCGGAACGGCCCGACTACATCACCGCCGTGATCAATGGCCTCGAGCGCTACAACCCCGAGGCCGTCGGCACCCTCGAGACCTACCTGCAGGAGCAGTGCGAGCAGAAGTTTAGCGACTGCAATGCGAACCGGACGCTGTTGAAGCTGTGAGTGGACTTGTTCGGGGAATATCTCGGGGGAGAAAATACCCCTGTGTCTTTGGTGGTGCCGCGTTCTTGTTACCTATATGATGACCGTTTTTGTAAACGTTTCCTATTACCTGAGACGGGGGTCTAAACAGCCCTTGTCGCTTGAAGTCAACTTTAGTGGTGTCTGAAAAGAAAAAGAACGAAAGACAAATCATTCTGCTTTCCTTTGCCATATCCTCATATATTCAGCGCATCCAAACCACAGCAGTGCTAATCAAGCAACTTGCGCCAAAAACTCTAGCTACCAGCTCAACCCCGACCGCATGAAGGACGAAGTCGTCACCAACATCCTCGTCAAGGCCATGACCAACTTCCCCTCGTCCCAGTTCACCCTCGCCCTGCACCTCATCAACCCGTCCGCCGCCTCCTCCGGCGAGCTCCACGAGGCAATCACCAAGCTGCGCTCCCTCAACTCCCAGCTCCAGGGCGCCCAGTACGCCGACTTCTGGGCCGACCTCGACGGCGACGACCTCTGCGCCGACCTCATCGCCGACATCTCTGGCTTCGAGGACCTCGTCCGCGAGCGCATCGCCTCGCTCGTCGCCCAGGCCTTCCGCGAGATCCAGCTCAGCCACCTCGTTTCCTGGCTCGGCGTCAACGAGGACAAGACGCGCAAGTTCATCACCGAGGTTGCCGGCTGGACGATTGAGGATGACGGCACTGTCAAGATCCCCTCGAACCCGGATAACGAGGCCAAGAAGTCGGAGATTCGCGAGGATGTCAACGTCGATCAGTTTGCGCGAGTGATCCGACGGGCGTGGGAAGAGACTGTATAAAGGGTTGCTTACAAGGAACACGAGAGAGAGAGAGAGGGTAGACATGAAACGAACAACATGACAAACGATAGAGTCATGAAGGGGGAAGGCGTTGATTCACCAAAGTATTTGCTTATACAGGGAGCAGAGCTCTTTTGACAAGATGGATAATGTCGACGGAAAACCCCGTGATGCGGAATGAAATTTTCTTTCAAAAGATTTACTGGCATTGGGTGCGGGGGCCCCGAAAAAAAGCTCAGGCGTTTAATAGGAATAAAATGAACCCTTTGAAACTGTTCGTTTTGGAGGAAAGCGATGCAGGTTTCAGTCCGATATATACGACTATATAGGTAGCTCAGGACTCATCGTACATATGAACGTCTCATCTATCATGTTCTATTCCCATCGTACATATGAGCATATCAATCATCATGTTCTATTCGCGATAATGCAGGCTTTTTGTTATCATAAAAACTTCGTCGGGGGCTACCCAATCCTCACCATTCCATCATTATTTGCCCTTGGACAGCTCCTCCCACTGCACACCCGCCCACTCCTCCAGATAACCCGCCTCCTCAACACCCACATGCCTCGGCAAACAATCCCTCTCGCAAACCCCCACGATAATCGTCCCCCACTCCATCCCGTCCAGGCTCAAATCCCCTTCCTCGAGCTCCGTAATCGCGTTCGGCGTGAGCTGCACCTCAAACGTCCTCCGGCCGCCGCAATTCGGGCACCCGGGCATCGTCCGCTTCGTCAGCAGCTCGCCCACCTCGTCCGACTTGGAGTACAGCAACGGGCTGCCGCCAAACTCGTAGCGGATGCACTGCTCCGGGTTCTGGGCCATTCTGTCGGCGAACTTCTGGAAGGTGGCGTCCATTGCGGATTCAAAGGCCTCGCGGTCGAGCGCGGAGGGTTCCGGGGCGTCCGCGTCGGCAATGGTCACGTTGGCTGGCAGCTTGGTGGTCGATGTGGGATCCAGCGTCTCGTAGTCGGCGTCGGCGAGGTAGAGTGTCGGGTAAGGAGTTGGCTGAGCCGACTTTTCGGGCCACGGCTCGGGAGGAGGAGGAGGGCCCGCGGGCGTAGTGTTGAGGGCAAGTGTTTCGGCAAATGTCTTGGACAGGCTCGCTGAAGCTGCCGAGGCAGAAGTAGCAGCGGGCTTCTCAGCTGGGGCAGCAGGCTTGGCAGGCTGGCTCGAGAATGGGTTGGACGAAGAGGTGCTGAAAGGATTGCTCGACCCCGAACTGAAAGGATTCGCGCCGCTCGAAAACGGGTTCCCGCCTGCTTGTCCCAAAGGCTTCGCCCCAAACAGCGACTCCCCAAGACCAGGTCCATCCTCCTCCTTCTTCTTCTTCTCCTCCGGCTCGCTCTTCGCCTCAGGCTTCTTCTGCTTCTTCTCGCCCTCAGTCGTCGTCTCAGCACTGTCTTTCCACGCCCTCACGCCTCGCAGCGCGCGAACGCTGCCAGCCTTTCTCCGGCACGTCGCCCTGCGGCAGGCGAACACGTACAGCCGCCGCTCGTGGGAGGGGAATTTCTCGGGGAGCTCGCCGTTGAGCTGCAGGAGCAGCGCCATGAGGTCTTTGCAGACTTTGCATCTCGCCAGCGCCGCCGAGGGAGGTTTGTCTGCGTCGAGCCAGTCCTACAAGCATCATCAAGCACGAAATTAGCATACCATGTTCTCAGGAGTCTTCGAGGCGCAAATCATCGCCCGTGAAGAATACATTGAAGAGCACAAAGGGCGATAAGTTGACTTACCGGAGTGCCTCCCAGTTTGCTTATCGTGTCCTCTTCGGCCTCCTTAGAGGCATATCCCAGAAGGACATTTGTCTCTGTAAATTCGCCGTCTGACGAGTCTGAGGCGTAGTCGGCCATTGTCGCAAAAGTGATGGGTTGAGAGATTGCTGTATGTAAGTCGTCGATGGTGGGGTCAAGATTTTTTTTGTAAGTAGGTGGGAGAGATAATATTTTTGGCTGCGGGGCTTATCGGCTGGTCCCTTGACGGGTCCAAGCATCATCCACCGCATTCACTACCTACGTACTACCTGTATATCTTGCATACCTACTTACCTATCACGGACCAGGCTGTCGTTACAAGACACGGTAGATGGTAAAATTGATATGCAGAATTAGGTAGAAAGCTGTCAGTCCAATGTCTGAGCATGTTGCGGAATGATTTTTGTCTACTACAAGTCTAAACAACAGATTCACGTATTTACATGTGATCCTCAGGGCCGTCCATGCCCGGGCCCGGCCCAGCAGCTCTGCCCATCTGTCGAGCCTTGAGCAGCTCGTCGCAGAGCAGCAGGTTGGACGCAATGCCTGAGCTTGAGGCAATGCAGTTTCTCAGCACCCTGAAGGAGTCAAAGACACCCTCCAGCTCGGGATCCATCGGCTCTCCGGTCTCCAGGTTCAGACCAACAGTCTGGCCTTCAGCGTGCTCGTCTTGCAGGGCGGCAACTGTGTTGTCTTGTGTTAGCTACCTATGCATCTCCAACGAAAGGTCTTCTTCTTCTTCTTAGTGCAAAACTTACGAGCATCCTGAACATCGTGACCAGCATTGGCAGCAAGGGTCTTGGGAATAATGAGCAGGGCGTCAGCAAACGCCTCCACGCCCCACTTGGCCTTGCCCTTGACAGTCTTCGCAAAGGCATCGCTCTTGAGGTGGGCAGCGCAAGCAACCTGGAAAGCACCGGCGCCAGGGACAACACTCTTGTCGACAATCATGTTGTAGACACTCCTCAGGCCATCTCGGACGGCATCCGTGACCTGGGCAATGGTGTGCTGGTTGGGTCCCTTGATCAAGATGGTGACAGACTTGGGGTCCTTGACCTCCTCGATGAAGGTGTACTTCTCCTCGCCCAGAGTCTGCTCGTAGACAAGGCCGGCCCAGCCGAGGACCTCGGGCGTCAGATCGTCCACGGTGTTCTGGGCAGTGCCGCCGCAGATGAGCTGCAGTCTCTCCATGTTCCTCCGCTTCGCTCTCCGCAGCGCCAGGATGCCGTTCTTGGCCAGGACGTCGAGGGAAAGAGGATCGATGCCCTTCTGGTTGATGATGACGAAGCTCTTCTTGCCGTCGTCACCGCACACCTGCTTCTTCAGCTCCACAATCTTCTTGAGCTTGGCATCAATGAACCGGCGCTCACTCTCGACAAGCTTGTCTCGCTGCTCGGCGCTGGAGTAGAAGAAGCCAGAGTTGATCTCCGTCTTCTCGTACTCCAAGCTGACGTTCATTGTCAGGATGTAGCAGTTCTCCAGTCGCTTGGGCATGTCGGGATGCCTGGCGCCGTGGTCCAACGCCAGTCCTCGAATGAGCTGCGTGTCTGAGGCAGTGCGATGCTGCATCTTCATAATCTCCACCATGTGCAGGTCGGGCTTGGCCGGGGCCTGGTAGATGGACAGCACGGCATCGACGATATCGGGGGTCAGCTTCGCAGCCAGTGTGGGGTTGAGCTTCGTGGCGAGGGATGTTCGGGCAACGTTGAGCAGCAGTTCGCGATCGACCTCCTTGGCCAGCTTGAAGGAGTCGAGGAACTAATAGCAAAGGGGGGATAGTCAGCCAAGGCAAGCACATGCATCCAAGGAGCCTTGTCCTATTATTACCTTGAGAGCCTCAGCCTTGGCAATCTCGAAGCCGTCGGTGATGATGCGTGGGTGCAGTCCCTCCGAGATGTATCGGTCTGCCTGCTTCAACAGCTCGCCCACCAGCAGCACCACCGACGTCGTGCCGTCGCCGCAGATGTCGTCCTGCGCAGTCGCCGCTCGGGCAATCATGACAGCGGTCGGGTTTTGGATTTGCATTTCCCTCAGCAGCACGTTTCCGTCCTTGGTCAGTTTGATCTGTGTCGAGCGAGGGAGGTGTGGTTAGAAATAGGGGGTTCCGGCCATTGAGGGGTACATGGTTGGGCATTCGCGTACCTGTCCCGCGCCGTCGACGAGCCTGGACATTGCCAGTTGATTAGCACTCGCAAGATACACTCATGCAGCTTTCCATCCTGTCCTTACATCTTGATCGTGCCTCGCGGGCCGAGGTTGGACTTGAGCACATCTTGCAGGCCCTCGCCGGCACTGATGTTGACCCTCAGAGCTTCACCCCTCCTCTGTTACCCGGTTAGACGCCAACAGCTCACGCAGGACCGACGGACAGCAGGGAGACGCACTCGGGACTCGGCCTTTGGGTTGAGAAGTTGTGCCGCTGACATTCTGTGATGGCTCTGAGCTTGCCGGGTCGATTATCAATCTCGTGGGCTTCGTGTCGGGCAAGTGTCGTGCTTTCGACAAGCTTCCCTCTGCCTGGCGCCGACCCGCAGTCAGAAGAGGTGGGCTGGGTTCTTTTTTCTGCCGCGCTGCACAAAGGCGGTGTGGAGGGGGATGCTGTGTCAGAAAGGTACGTACTCCCCTCAGTGCCTCGACCTTCACAATCTACTACCTAGTAGTACCTAACCTACCTACCTACCTCTACCGTACACACAATGGGCCCCTGCGCAAGAGCAGCCTTCATGCCTGAATTACAGAGAATAGCAAAGATTTCGCATTGAGCTTCAGGATCAGTAAAACTTGGATATTGGGTGCCTGGAGTAGCTTTCACGGCTGATGCTCGATTCCAACCAGTTCCCCACCAAACATCTGTACCACCTCGACTGCCCCCCGTCATCCGCCCCCTTTTCCTCCATACCTCAGTATTAGACACTCAAGCACACAAACCAAGACACCTCAAGCATAAGCCTAACAAAATATTCACTGTTGTAGCCGACCAGCTAAGCCTTCTGTGCGCGATTACCATCTCGTCATTATGCCATCCTGACTGAATCGCTCGTCTCCAATTCCACATTGGCAGCCGGTTCGAAAAGGGGAGCACAGTACACGGGGCTGATTGCAATCCGTACCGCGTGCTTTGCGGCCAACTTCCATAAGGGCACCGCGATAAAGTCATCCGGCATCCGACCATTACCGCATGAGCAGAACCACGACTGTCCTGGCTCAAGGCATAGTGGTACAGTGGCCTCTTGCTTCGTGTACTCACAGCTCGGAAGATGATTCCAAGTGCGGCATCGCTCGATGAAGGACGGGATAGTCTTCTTCTAAAGAGCCATCTCTTCGTCATCCACTTGCAGCGTTAAGGGGTCCAGCAATTCCAATCCCTTCAGGAAATCATCAGAGTCACCAGATGCCAAATAACGAGATGTAAGCGGTAAGATGGCGGCATCCAACACCACCGATGCAGTGTCTCCATCCAACCGCAAGGCCGACACCAAGATCAAGGCCTGAATATCTCCGCGTCGCCGTCCATTGAGTGAAAACATGCCTGCCTGGCTTTTCAGTGTGCCAGAGCACGCCTTAAACATGGCGGACAGGGTACCTTTGAATTTGGCACGCACGTCTTCCGTAGATTCCCTTTGGTCGTGTCGAGGCCACTGCAGGGACGTCAGCGTCGTCAACCATGCCAGGCGCTGAGGTTGGCTCAGTTCAATAACAGGAAGAGCATCGAGACTGAGGTGCGGCATGTTAACAGCAACAGGGAGACCGCCAGGAGTGATCGTGGTAAGCGAAAGCCAATCTTTCAGGACGCTGCTTTGCCTCGGATCTACCAGAGGGGCAACCACCTTGATGTATACAGACGTGCGGCCGACGCCACTCAAGCCAGTCTTGCTGGCAATGCTCGACAGAGGCACTGGGTATCTGAACGGGCAGATGAACTTCTGCTTTCCTATGATGACGCTGATAGAGAAGGGGTTGTTCTGATACAGTTCAAAAGGTGGCTTGTTCTGCGAATCGTTCTTGAAGCTCTCGGAGGACACCTGGATGAGCGCGCTCAAAGTTGTAATATCTCTCTTGTCTGAGCCAAGCTCGGCCATCAATTTCATCCGGGCCTCATTGTCCACTCCGGTTACCTCGTCTCTCAATGGCCTCACCCCACCACTCGTTACCTTGTGTGCAGTGGTTCCAGGCATCAATTTAGTTATGAAAACGCTCGTGGTGTTTGACACGGTGGTTTCGTACATCGTTCGATGACACATGCCTAGCATTTCGGTGAAGAACGTGGTATTTGGAGAAGCCGTACTCAAATCCAGTCCAACCACGTCTGTCACGGGCTGTCCAGCCAACGCAGATGTTGGCACCAAGAAGGTGGCTACCAAGGGCGATGTTCCCGACCAGCAGAGTTCATCTTGTTCTATGCGAACGCTGGCATCTCCTGAAGCAAGGTTGCCTATTGCCGTCACTCGACCAAACACAATGTGAACATCGTCAAAGACGTTGCATCTCCTTTTTGATATGATGCTGCTAGACTTCAGCGTACCTACCACGGTCGGAACGGGCCATGTCGGGTGTGGTTCGGGGAAGAAATCGCGGAGTGCATCTCGAGGCACTACCAGAGTGATGGCGACCTCGGGCGGGACATGTTTCCATCGACTTAGGAGACCAGTATTGGGCACCTTCAATACACCCGTCACCCCAATAGAGGTACGGATGTTGAAAAGCGCAAGCTGCAAACGGAGATCCTGTGCCTGCCTTCCAGCCATAGACAGAGTTCGTTCCACCTCTATCCTCCTCAGCAGGCCGTCAATCACTGCATTCCAGTCAGTCTTGACTCGACTCTGTATGAGTTTTAGCATGGCCATAAAGCTTCCGCGATGGAAACAAGGCTGGTTTTGAGGCTTGTTTTTGGACTGGCTGGCGAGACCTTTCTCCGTCTCGGCTTCAAACATGTCAAGATACATCCGAAACAACAATTCGATGACCTCTTTACCGTTCATATGTATCTGAGATCGCTCCACGTTGTAGTCCCCAAGCTGGTCATCGCGTTTCCATGACAAGCAAACGGGAAACCGGGACGGGGCTAGCTGAGGGGGGACTGTTAGAGTAACCATTTCGCGGAGGGGTGAGTCCGCTTGCGCATTCGTCCAGCATTGTAAGGGTACGAGACCCAGCAAAAGAGACATTGTGGATGATGAGCCGTGCAATGGCTCTCTGAGACGATGCTTCTCGGGGCTGTGGTTTTCCACATGATCCTCGGTCAACAAGGTTGCCCAGGGTTTTGCCTTGAGCAATGGCCCCGCGGATAAAAGGACATTGAGGAGTCCAAAGTCTTCCGACAAGTTGGACGTGTTGATGGCGTCAAAGCTGGTCGGCGCACTACCATCTTGTCCATATAATGCCTCGTCCAAGCGGAGGACTTTCGAGTCCCATTGACGTCTGTACCAATTTGCCGACAGCTGGCCAGTCGCACCAGCATACTGGAGGGTATGACTGAGTGCGAATGGGTCCGAAACGACGAAGCGGACACACATGCCGTCTTTTACGCCCCTAAAAGCGCGAGTCCATGCAATGAATTGGGACCGTGCAGCTGCCACGACTCTGTGTTCCTCGTCATCCTCATCGTGCCTCAGAGGAGAGTTTGCGGTCAGACTGGTAAACGCAGAGGCGAGATGGAAGCTGAGTACGGGATCACTCCCGCTATGAAGAATCTTCCAGTCGGAAACTAGGCCATCTAACAGAGGGTTTGGCGTTCTGTGGTCTTTTCCGTTGATCATCGCGATCACTCCGTTCCAATAGTCGTGGGAATGCGGAGGCCCTGCACACGAGCGGGCCAAAGCAAGGGGCGAAGCTGCTCGTACGGCCGCTAGATCAAGAGAAGGCTCCTATGCCCGTCTCTTCAGCATCCTTGCCAGTTTGATTGCTTGATCGTCTCTGCTTTCTTCATGTGCTGCGTCGAGGATGCGCTGAAGAACCCTTCGGACATCACACAGGGTATCTTCATCGCAGATCTGCATGATAGACCCATATAGGCCATTATTGAAGGTTTCAAGCGATTCCAGCATGGGAATCATGGTCCGGACATGGCGGATGACGAGCTCTGTCGTCTGTTCATCCAAATACATGTGGTAATACACGTCCCATAGTGCTTGATAAGAGGCGCCTTCTTCTCCAGCCAATATCATGGTCAAGATGACCAGATTTCGTGCTAACGAGCGGCCGGTATCAGCGACCTGGAGTCTATACGGCCTGAATGGCCCGATGTTGATAGGACTCACCGGTGATATTTTCATCGTCATTGCAGCATGTGAAGTCGAGCTTCCTACCAGCTGAAACAGGAAGGCATCATCAGCCGGCGCGCATTTGCCATGTAAAGACAGAGGAAACTCACGCAGCCCTTGCTGGACGTAGGAGGTATACAGAATGCTGCTCAAATCACCACAGCCAAGTGACAAGACGCTGGCATCCTGGCCATGAGGAATGCTTCGAGCCAAGTTGATCGCAGGTGCGTTTCCAAAGGCATGGAACCAGCGGAATCGGTGCAGGACAGTCGGGGTCAGCATTTCCACTTGACGAGGCGTATCGAATGGACTGAATAGGGGTATACTTGAGCTGAAGACGAATACAAAGTGCGGTGCAGAGCAGCTGGACAGTTCGCAGTGCCAACGGCCACGACAAATGTTGTTTGGTGATGTCTGCGAAATGGATAAGGTAGACAGAAGAACGAAACATACCTGCCTATGGATGAGGAGGAGAAACTTAGTTGTTGAGGGAACAGAGATCAAGTTGCGTGATGAAGGCAGCGGCTCAAAAAGGGCCGCGCCTGCCATGTTGCAAGACGTCACTTTCATCACACCGCCGGCAGAAAAATCAGGGCAAGCCACACGAGAGGGAGGGGGAAAGACTTGGACCAAACATCAATACCTACTCTCAATTTACTCACCACGACGGTACAACATCATGACCACGTCCCAGCGCACGCATGTCACATCCAGATCTGCGCATATCTTGTCCAAAGCTCTTCTCGCAATACCGGCCGATCAGACGTTTCATACCCTTTGTTTCATACCAAACGGCGGCACTGAGGCTTGACGGCGTAGACGAAACATCACAGGCAGCAGGCAAAGCAATGGCATTCCATCAATATCCGGCTCTCATTCGTACTTCAGTGCGTCCAGGCGATATCCTCGAAACTCCGAAACAACAATAAACTGCCAGGCCGGGTCCGGTGTGGGATGCCCGTCGGCGAGGCTCGTTTCCAAACATCAAAGGCGTTTGTAACATGACTGCATTTCCAGACAAATGAAAGAATAAACAACAATCGATCCCTTTTATCCCCAATCCCTTTCCTCCCCGTATTGTACAAGAAACTGACAGCAGGTTTCCACCATGGCCTTGCTGTGATGTACACAACAGTCCGAGGCCGAGGAGATGTCCAACAGAAGTCCTATAACCCAAGGAAAAATGACAAAAGAAAGAAACATTATCCCGA